CTGGGCACATCTTGCTCAAATTACGACTGATCAGTACAGAAATTTCTTAGCAATCCAGCCATACTCTTTGTTGGGCCCAAAACAGTGATAATGTGTACAAAATATTATTATGCAATTGATGACAAATGGTACCGAAAAAAACACCCGTTGCACTTTTGCATACGTACAAGGTGAGTATGAACCACAACTTGCACGTATACAAAAGTGCAACTTTTTCGGTATCATTAATTGCATAAATTCGTATACACTCCACTGTTTTGGGCCAAATAAAGAGTATGGCTGGATTGCTATTAAAAAGGAATTTCTGCACTGATTAGTCGTTATTTGAGCGAGAGGTGCTCATTTGTTTTTGAGTAAGACAACAAAGTATTGGAAGGAGGGACTTTCTTTTTTTGGGTTGAGTGTACATTGTATGTGAAGCTGAAAGTCGCAAATATAAAGAACAGGTTTTTTATATTTCCAAAAAATAATTACAAACTAACGAACAAACGCCACCCAACACTTAATACAAAAAGAACCTTCTTACACTATGTCTGTGTAATATGCATTATTGATTTAGGTAAATTGTTGCCAAACGCAGCTTAAACGTATGCCCTAATTGTGGCATGCCCATTATAGATGGCACTCAATACAATGTTTAGAAACTAACAAAAGGTAATGCATTATACACCTCCCAAGATGACAGGCATGCAGAGGTATACGATCAAACTTTGTCACTTTTACAGGTCACGTTATTTTTTTTTAATAGTAAAGGTTGAATGTATACCATGTACCACCCCAGCCGCTGCAGCCATTCATACGATTTTCATTATTAGGCCTAGTGAGGTGTAAGTTTTGTCTATACCTTCCCCTGCATCTCGACGTTTTGGTTTCGCTTTCCATTCTTCCCCTCACCCTTCTTGGGTTTCTTGTCTTTCTGGTCTTTCTTTTGTTTCTTGTTCTTCTTGCCCAGGATATCCATCAGGCTGGTGGGCATGTAGTAAGGCTTCTCAGGGGATCCATCGTGTCGCTCCAGATCCTCAAGGAAACAGAGGAACAGAGTGTCCACCCCCATGTCATAGACGCCGAAGGAGACGGCGGCGATGACGTACGTGAAGATGGCAATGGCAACGATGGGAGCCCAGATGTAATTGAGGGGCTTGTTCTCCTGCAGGAGGGGATTGTCCTCCCAATTGAAGAAGTAGAAGGACCCGACGGTGATCCCAAGGGTAACAGTCAGCTTGAAGATGAAGAGCATGAAGCTTGTGATGCTGTTGAGGACGGCCGCGCGAACAATGTTCCTCATGAGGAGGCAGAAGGCATCCTTGGCGGCGAAGCAGAAGGAGCGGCCGTAGACAGCGATCTCGATGTAGGCGTTCCGGTTGATGAAGCGAATGAACTTCTCCAAACACCAGAAGAAACACTTGCAGCAGCAGAGCATGAACTTGGCGATGACGTTGCCCAAACCGCAGCCCTTGATTTTGCTTTCCGCGTACTCCAGCATCACGCGAATCATCTGGATTATGGTCACGATCAAAGAGCCGAAGGCTAGGGAGCCGAGATGGTAGCGGAGGGACCTCCACATGGAGCTCAGAATGGGAATCGTTGGAATGTCTGCTGGCTTGCTGAAGGCCCAGTAGTAGGACGCGAAGGCCCCGGCTATGGACATCTCTCCAAAGGCTATGATGAAGTTGACTATCCAGAAGAGCCCGAACACCATGTAGATTTGGAAATACAGCCTGTAAGCGGGTGTGTCAAAGCTGACAAACTCGCACTTTGCCGGTGACTGAGCGACTGCGTCGAACTTCTCCTTGTCACAGAGGGAGCCGTTTAAGACATTTGCCCCTTCAGGTGCGTCGGTGATCTCGTAGGTTGCGTTACCTGCAGATGCGAGGAATACCATGACAAAGCCCAGAAGACAGCGTGGATAACCTGCAGGAGAAAGGGGACAACGGGAGCGAGGAGTGTAGTGCTCATCATACCCAGGGCACAGCTTGCTTCTTCCAACAGTGCAGTGGCGATACGGATGCGCTTGAAGAGCACCAATATAAGCAGCAATAGGACAATCCCAATCACGGTTAGGATGATGGAGAACGCCAGCCAGATATCGGGAGACTCGAGATAGCAGTTGATATCCAGGTAATTGAAGCCGCCGTCTCCGATATTACCGCACTTGTTCACATCAACGTACTGGAAATACTGCGCGTAGCAGTAGTAGTTTCCAAAAGCGACCAGACCAACAAAGAGGATGATCACGCCCCAGACGACTAAAGTAGCAATCCACTGCATGGCGATTAGGAGGAAGACGCTGAAAAACAGAGCGATTCCGAGCCCGGCCAGGATGAAAGGCCAGGTGCTCAAGAAATCAGCCACCAGGTTCTCAATGAGTTCTATCCCGTACACAAAATCGACCAGTTCCTTGAGGGTGTCAACTTCGTCCTGGGTCACGTTCCGATTATTATCGGTCTTGCCGTTGGCGTCTGCAATCTGGATGGGTAGGCATCTGCCAGCAAACGGTTTTAGCGGGAGGTAGTAAGTGGCGCACTTCTCCTCGCGGATAAGGTCCCACATTTTGTCCTGGTCGGTACCAACGTAGGCCTCGGGATCGAAGCCATACAGACAGATGAAATCATCCCAGGCGACTTTAGACAGATCGATGACACCAGTCAGGTACTTTTCAATGATGGAGAAAGTCTTGTCTGGGCATTTCTCGACGCACACCTGGGGAGTCGGGCAGGAGAGTGTCACCAGAGTAGTGGATGACAAACAGGCCAACCAGTCGAAGTAGAAGACATATGGCTTGTCTACGACATCCTTACTGATCCCACATATCTGGCCCTGGTAGTCAGAGGGGTAGATCAGTGTGTCAGGGTTACCGTACAAGAGGGCAAAGACAGCAACCGCCCCTACACCTAGCAGGAAAATGACGAAAATGATACAGCAGATCACATCGGTGCAGCTGCGGTTACGGATCGGTCCACGGAAGGTTGGGTCGTACGGACGCGGTTTGCCGTAGTACTTCTTCGGTTTGAAGTCTTCCTCTTCCTGGTCGTCTATCTCCTCTTTATCGGCGATGTGCTCCACCGAAGTGGTCTTTTTATTTTTCTTCTCACCCAAACCCATGTTTTCTCGGCCCCAAAATGTCAATGTCGATACGCAATATTTAGGCGAAGTCAAGCGACGCTAGTTGATTATGTTACTTGAATGGTTATGGCCTTACCGTGCTGTGTGTTCACGGAATACTGATTCCAGCTATTCCGGACTTTGACTGCTCAATTTATTCTTCAATGCAGTCTTTTGTTTCCACTGTATCCCATAGCATGCGGCTATTATTGCCTGGTACTGCCTGCTTGTCGCTTGTTTGTTTAAGAGTTAACAATTAACCTCGATTTATGACCAATATTAATAATTACCGAACATAGACTGCCAAAGGTTGAAATGCAACGGTTATCAGTCTTTCCTGAAATGTAATCCAAACAGTTTCTGTTCAGTCTACAAGGACCTAATATAGCCATGTAGCAAGAAATACTTAATTTTAAAAAAAAACATTTCCCGAGTAAATCTTTGAACCGTAGGGGTGTAGACCTGTAAATAGGCCCAGAATTGCCTACATGGGCCAAATCACAAGTTGGTGATATTAGAGCATTTTGTGGGTCATGAACTTGAAGGTTTGTAAAAAAAAAAAAAAAAAAAAAAACCGTACACAGGAGTGTCAGCTCCTATTTCTGTGAAATTCGCATGAAATTGGCCCTAAAATTGCTCTACATGTTTTGGCAATGGAGCGCAGGCGTCATTTTTCAAAATGGCGATGGCACAGAACTACTTTTTCGGGGTGATCATCTTTGGATGGAATTTTTCCCAAAAGTCACTTTCTATAATTAAAAACAAAAATTGAACAGAAATGTTAGATTATGAAATAAGCTTTAAATGGATGGGTGTCTCAAATACCTTGGAGAATTGTGAGTATTTGTAATAATTTTCGGAAGCACGCGTAATTATCACTGAGGTATATGGGAGACGATTTGCAGGTCTGCACCACTGATCTCTATTATTATACTGACTGGATAGCGCTTCGACCTATGCGTGTACACAAGACCGTGACGCCCTCGGCACACACGCGGCGGCCATTTTGAAACTCCCTCAAAAGCCCACAAAGCACAGATCCGTATATAAAAAACACAGATTGACAATAGTTTAGGAAGCAATTTCGGATCATCGAACACATTTTTATTTTTTTCATTTTGCCCACAGTGTTGTTTTACTCATGTTAATATTTGTTCAAATATATAATTTTATTTCGCGACCAACTCCTCATGAGGGCACTGTTCATAACGTATATCATGCATGGCCACATTGCACAGTCACTATTGCTATTCGCTTTCCAAGGGACATTACACTAAACAGCCTCTCGCGAAAAAAATACAGTTTTGGTGAAAAATACGAACAAAACTGCGGAAAAAAGGGAATTTATATGGTGACTCAAATGGCTGTGCTTTTCTCCGGATGGCGAATTTTCAGTGATGGGGGGGGGGGGGGGGGGGGGGGGTGGGGCGACTGGGGAGGGGAACTTTCAAGGGAGCGTCCCCCTCCCCCTATCTCCCCGCCTGCCGTAAGGTGCATTGACAGAAAAAAATGAAAAGGATTTCTGGGCAGGATTTAAAGAAATACGTTCCTAGTTTCATTGTCATCAAAACGTTATGGAATTATGTTTCGTCCAATAAAACGAAAACGCGGGGTAATTTCTTCTAAATGGGCCCTTTAAAAAAAAGTGATATGTGGGGGTTATCGGACATACAGGACTTCACTTTAAAATTGGAAAATTCCAAATACAACTTTCAGCACCGCCAAAAAGTATGTCTAGCGCCCTCATTCGTTAAATAAAAGGGTCTGGCCGCCGCCTCATCAAATGTTAATAGTCTCGTCTGCATGTGCATTATGTACATGTATGCATCAGGTCTTGTGCAGCTTTTGTATCGGCTGTCAAATTGGAGAGCTCCGAGACCACGCAGTTGTGGAGATTATGTCCTAATGCTTCTTTCTAATTTTTCTACATCAAAATAATGGATTTTGTTAATTCAGGTGAGCGTGCTGACACGTGAGAAGTCTTGGATTCCTCTAGTCGAGTGTGGTCGAGTAGCACCGCAATGCTGACCCCGTAAAATCCTCTTCGATTTCCGGAGTTAGTGAGTATCTTGGCAGGAAATCTTCTCTGACTTGTTTTGTGACTGAAGCGAGAACATGGCGGAAAAGTCGTGGGGGAAAATGAACACTTCGACGGCTTCGCAGGGAAATAAACCCGTCCCTATGAAGTTGTTCTCAACGTGGGAGGTTGAGAGGACGGCTCCCAATTGCATCGCCAGGTAAATATCATAAGTATCACTAGTGTCTGTGTTTGACAGATGACAATGATCACGATGATTTGAATTTGTTTTGTCATGTTTGTAGGCCCTACTAATGACTTTATACTTCATGTAGGCCTAGGCCTACTTCAACTTGTTCATTTGTCATGGCAGCCGTAACACATTTTGGCACAATTGCAGAATACCCCGCCACTCAATCTATCCACCTCGTAGCCGGCTACGGAGTCACACCAAACATTGTCATTGGCTCCCTGTTTTAACATACAAAACGTACTGAACAGTGTTGTTAAAAAAATTCCACAGATTAACAAAAAGTGTACCATTTCGTTTAAATTAAACACTATTTGGGCCATTTTTAATTACATTGATGTACATTGTGGTAAAAAAAAAGTGGCTATTATTTCCGCAAGGAATAGAAGGAAAAGGCCGCCCTTTGCTGAAATTTTGTGACGACGACTATTCGCTAAATTAGTTTTGAAAGGTCGCTATTACGAACATTTTCTGTGGATCCAGTGATGTTCGTTATAGCGACGTTTCACTGTGTGAATGGTAGCCCTACTTGTATGCCTCGCCTACCCATGTTCAGTGAGACCCAGACTAAAGAGATTTAGGCTAGTTCTAGGGTGTAAGCGAGGCCGTGGTAACTGGTTCATGGACTCAAAAAGAAGATGGATGTTTGTACTATGTAAGCACAACGTTAAAGTGAAATGTACCGAACAGCACAGTGCAGTTTGGACTTTGAAGTTTTGTTTTTCACTTCTGAAAAAAGAAGTGTTCTTTAATTTCATTCCTCAATGATTTTGCATGCATGACAGATTGTCTACACATTTTGTTTAAAGTGTGACCCCAAATTGCTGTTTTTCTTATAATCTGACGGATCCTACAATTTAAGTGCACATACATGTATACATGTAGGGTTGGTAGTCAAATTATTCCCTTTTATTCAAACTTTTATTGTTATTATTAGTTGACATTTTAATTTTTTTGTATTTCTTTATTTTATAAAGTTTTTGGAAGAGAAAAAAAAAAATGCCCCAATAGGGGTTTGGAATACAAGTGCACTTAATACATACATTGTACATTAACAAGTATTGTCCAGTTGTCCCCTGAATTAATTTAAATAAGTCAGTCACATAAATTTATCGTACATGTTTTTGCAATGTTACTAGAAACACAACATTTTTTTTTTCTATCTTGAAGTGAAAGCTGTCAAATCTTGACATCCTATACAAGAGAAAACTTTTTGCAGTGTACATATCGTACATTCTAAATCCCACGTCGGCAGACTGGTTTGATCAAGTTCTCACTGACTATAGAATTATAAGCCCTTTTCACACTAGACAAATCTCAGGGTTGACGCAGGGTTGACGCAGGGTTGACAACACGCATCGTTTCACACTTGAAGAATTTCAACCCTGCGTCAACCTCGAGACTGATTTCATCCCGGGTTGAACTCAACCCTGCTCCAGACCAGGGTTGAGATTTTCAACCTGGGTTGAAATTCTTGCCAGGGTTCAAAACAGTAGTAACTGAGCATGATAAGCTCGATTTGCATGAAACAAGTGTGAAACGATGCGAGGTTGAATGCAAGGTTGAAAAATTAAAAAACTCAACCCGGGGCGGCACTGTGTTCACCCAGGGTTGGGTTCAACCCGGGTTTAGAGGCTCTAGTGTGAAAAGGGATAGTAAATTCGAACTTTCCAAATGCATCCATGTAGTTAGTTGGCAGTGAATGGATTATGCAGTGTCATGATGGGACACAGAACCGGTACATACCGGTACATGTACACATGTACACAACATGTACAAAAATGTACATGTATATTGTGCACTGCAGGTGGGCTGTAAAATGTGGTACACATGCACAACACATGTCTAAAAATACATGGTCGACAAGATTGATCCAGTTCACGCTGACTACCAACAAACTAACAATGGGAAATTCTGACATTCTCTCTTTCCCAATACACAGTGGGTTGATTGATGAATTTACATGATGCATTGTCGCATTTTGGAAATTGTGCTCTTACCAAAATACTGCACAATCTGTGTACATGTATTTATGTAGTGTGCTAGTTTGCACTGACTTAGGGACTTGGTATTTGTCTTTGGAGTGTGTGTTCTTGAGCAGTGGGCAGTACCATCCTGATAAAATTGCAAATCTAAGTTCTCTTTGTTGTCCTGTACATATATGTAAGCTAGTTTAATTACTCTTTTACTCGCATTTGTTGACTTCTGAAAAGGAAATGATGGCTAAATGTTGGCTTTGTACACCCTCCTCCTAAATTCCAAAAAAAGAACCTCAACTCAGCTTTGTCTGAAAGGCACTTTTTAAATCACCTGGTGCAGCAATTTTGTTTATAAAATTGTTTGGCTTGACATGTATTCTATACTCTGCACAGTTGTATACAATGTAATTAATTTGAAAGAAGATCCAAGCCCTGACCCCATAAATAATGGGATAACAAATGTACATAGTAGTCTGGCAGACTGCCCTTTTGTATACATGTAGGCTAACCATGCATGACTCATGTCCATTGATCAATTGTCAAGGTTTGAACTACAAAAACAGTCTGACAATTGACTCTTTGTCAAGGCTTATAACAGCACTGTACAGCTGGGGAACACCCTACAGTGTGTACAATGCATGTTTACATGTACTGCACAATGCACATGCTTGGGCAGTTAGTCATGTTGATTGTTATTGATTGGGATGGCAGGGATCTCCTCTTTTTCTTTTTTTGTTGTTTATCATTTGTCCCTACCTGTTGTTTCTTTTTAGCTTTCATTATTTTTTATTTTTTACTGCACTGAGACATTTAAAAACTTGTATTATAGGCCTAATACATGAACATGTATTTCTTTTCAATTTCCATGACAAGTGTCCATCTAATGTACATGTAATTAGTTTTTGTACTCATGATTTGTTGTTACTGTGTGGCCAATATGCACACATTGATGGAAATTGATATCCTACTGTACAGCGCTCCTCTGAGTAATGACAGAATACAATTCAATTGGTTTATACAATTGTGCATGGCGTACGTACCGGTACATGTCATAGTAATATTTAGTACATTTGGAAAACCATAAATTATATCTAATGGTACATACATGTAATTATATGACTTACTACATTGATGTACAGTACAGTATGTGGAGCCAATACACAAAAAAAATGTACTAGATATCTCCATGCACTCAATACCGATATACCCTGCTTTCCAACTCTTAACATGGCAGAATTGTGTTTTTAATAAGAACGTAATTAAAGGGAAAATACAACATTTGCAAACATCAAAAAATAAAACTAGCAAATCATTTTGAAATACCTTGCTGGACTGTTAGTGAATGACTGTCTAAAGCATCCTGTAACATCATGGCACCTGGTATACTGTCATTTTCAAGAAAAGTGGAATTTTTGTATCAATTTCCAACGCTGGTCGGCCGACCAGCGTTGGAAAAAACTGGCTTTTTTTCAAATACTGGTCCCAATTGACCATCGCACTTGTTTGCAATCGATTGTACACACCTATGAACGGGTACAAGCCAGCTAGACTGGTTCCCTGACCTTACAATTCCCCAATGTATGAAACTGCTCTGTTTCTTGTTATATGGAGTCAGGGAACCAGACTATAGGAAAATGATTGTTTTTCTTGGTTTTTATAGCATTTTCGAACCCAAAACCTCAAAAAAGTCAGTGTAACTATATTTGCTATATTTCCAACCCCCAATTCCATCCATTTCTGAAAATTACAGCAAAAGCAAATGATGTATATATATATTCCCTTTTATAAGAATGTAGTTATAAAAGATACTCATACTTCATAGCAGCTCACTTGTATGCACACGATTGTTACTGTACTGCTCTTTTGGATACTTGTACTTACATGTACTGGTACATGTGTACTTGTAGTACATACCACATTGTACATTGTTCATGTGCCGTACACATGTGCCGATACTACTGCATGTGTACAGAACTGATATTGTTCATTGGTCAAAATCATCATCATGTCCTTTGAAAACATGTATGTCTGGGCGTGTTCATCTATTCAAACTGTGGACGAAAACTTTCAGGGAACAAAAGAGAACAATATCGTCGACGATTCCCAGCATACCACGATTGGGGTCGTGATTGGGGTCGTGTACAAAGCCAATGGAAGTCTTCCTAAAAAGAGTACAAACAAAAGAGGGACAATACATGTCATGCATGTAGGACGTCCACGATCGACGGTGTGAATGCGCTTGTGTGCGTGTATACATTTGTATACAATGTATGGACAGGCACACAGATTTAAACACTGATTTTTGGGGGTTGTTGAAAGGTCATATTGGAACATGTAAGATCTACACCCAGTCCTAGTGAAGAAACAATGACTTCCTTTTTGACAGTACAGACCTGACTTTATCAGTCAGAGAAAGTGATAAGGGGGAAGTGCTGTGTCTAACTCGACTGTCACATCTAGGGCATGGCATACATAAAGGTAGGAAATTACGGGGACATCAGATATTATCTGGACCCTATACTAGCCTACTACACCTATTTTTGTCCAACAGAAGCAGATATGTGGGGTCAAATTGTCTGGAACTTCGAAGGATATAATAATTTACGGACTAGACGCTTGCACGTACATTACGTGTACATGTGTAGATTCATGGTTTTAATTCACAATGATGCTTCAAATGTATGGACGTACTTAAAAATACACATAAATGCTTGTACATTTAGTTAGAAAAAGTTGACGTTTTATTTTAAAGAAAGTTGAAAGTTGAGTTATAAAATATATTTAAGTTACCTTCTACTTTCTACTTTCTACTTTCTACTAGCACTTGTGTTGAATTGTATTATCCATGAATCCATGAAACTACATATCGGTACATGTAGATTGCTGGGGTGGTTTGATCGGTTTGGGTGTACAGGCAGTTACGGTTTGGGACGGTAAGTGCCAAAGGGGTTTCATTGTAAATAGAAAAATATCTTTTTATACTGTATAGCAATCTCACTATGTACGTGTGCAGTGCAGAGGATAATGTGCACTGGGTGTGTACCGTACATGTACCAACATGCTCTATGGTTGTACATGTACATAGTTCTTGAACTTTGAAGTGCTCTGTAAATGTACCTACGTACAATGTACAGACAGTACATTACATACCTTGTATGCATGTACATTATTTGTATACACACTGTACACACACATGGGTCATGTATATCTAACAAGTGGCCATAATCCTGTGTCATGACATAAAACAACATCAATAGGCAAATGTATGCTTTATGACTTGCAGGTGACATCCAGTCCAACTAGTGCTTATGACTGTGCACATCAAAACAGTAGTACATGTGCACATAATGTACTACTGGAATGTCATGACTCATCATGGGTTCTTATCGTGTCCCAAAGCATGAATCATGTTGAATATTGGACTGTACATTACACATACGTTTATTACAAAATACAGTATACATGTATACGCCCTACCTGATCTATGATCGGGTAAATCAGCTTGTGTACATATACATGTAAAAGGAAATTGACGTGTTGTATATATTTTAACCGATTGTGCCCTCCCAAATTTATCACTTTTTGACCCTGGCCTTGTTTGATTTTTTTTGTGGAATTCTTGAAGGCCATTCGTTCTTCCCCTCTTCACCCTCTTGCACGGAGCTGATGAAACTCGCTCCATAAAATGTGTACGTCATGCTTGTTACATAATCTGAAATTTCTGTTTAATTCCTTTGGTAAACAACAGAGTTACATAAGTACAAAATGTAGGACTTTTTTTTTTTTTTTTGATACACAGTACATGTTATCTGATTCTGACGCGGTATCATCTTACACGTTAAATGTATTGCCATGTACCGGTACATGAATACATTGTATTTATAAACACAAAGGAGGTGGGTGCAGTGGGGAAACATGATACATACATGTACTTTTTTCTATGACTAAAGCCTGAGTTGCTTGAATCGTATGCACATCATGTACATTGTAGCTGTTGACTTTTGTCAAGCGTGTAGAGCTACATGTACGTACATGTACAGTATAGACCTTTCTTTGTCATTCCATGGTTGGCAGTTTTAACCACTGGTTGGCAGACTACATGTATGTGGTTGGCAGACTATGTGGTTGGAGGACTATGTGGTTGGCAAACTAAGGAAGGTCAACTTTCAAAAAAAAAAAAAAAAAAAATATTAATGTTTCCAAACATATCATTGGATTGTTGGAAATACAAAAAAAACAATAAATGCTGCCAAAAAAAAGAGAGAAAAAAGCAAAATAAAAATGTCCTTTTTAACACAATGAGGGTATGCAAGTTTTGACCAAATCTTTGCCAACCGCGTGGTAAAATGTATGCCCTTTGTATGTGGCAGCCCATGCAACATGGCGCTCAGCGTTTACACACAAATAAAAGGAAGGTCTATAGGACCATCCATGTAATTAATCAGTCAACAAGTTAAAGATATAGTCCATCATTTGTAATTTGTGCATTTTGTTCGTTTGAAGCAACAAAAGTGTTCAATATCTAATGAAGGATACTGAACAACTAACCTGATGAAGTTTCAGTTCAGCTTCAGCTGTATATTCCGAGAAAAACAGCATTCTAGGATCTCAATTTCAAATCAAAAGTTGCTGAATCATGTTTTGAATTGTTTTGAATTGCAGTTCTACAGGATGTCGCGCACTGATCTGACGAATTATAGCAACCGCGCGCGCCTGTGCGTCGTGCCAATGCTTGCGCGCGCTGTACCGAATATAAAAACGAACTACCCATTTAAATTTTCCTACGGTGCCTCTTAAGACGCACCGGTGGAAAGGCCTTCTTTCGTTGATTACTTCAAAATGATAGCTTGCCAGAAAGATTAATTTCACAGGGAGTTTAGTCCACTTACTATCTTTCAACCAAGTATGTTTTTCAACAATAATACGCCAGTTACTTTTTCGGATGGCTGCAAATGATGGACTATAGCTTTAAGCAGTTCACATTGCAATGCCTGTTTTTCTAGCAGCTCCTTGCAAAAAATAATATTGGATTAAGTTAGCTTCAAGAAATAGTGTTGTTAGAAGATTAAAAGGGGTCCCTTTCTTTCTCCACTCTACTGCTCATATTAGTGCAGAATGTAATTTGTTGTGAGCATACTTGGCATATGCGCCGAAGTGATTTGATCATGAACATGATAAGTTGCAAACTGTAGAGCGAGCAGAAGACACGCGTTCCGTCGGACTGACGCTGAGCCTTGAGGCAATTTCAATTACAAGACTTCTCTCTTTTCATCCTTCACTTGCTGTTCCTTGAGTCTGCCTTGTCAGTCTGTGGCTCTCCTTCCCTCGCTGCAAACATATTTCTGGGTCGGCCGTCCAGTCAACCCATGCATGTAACACCGCCGTCTGGTTTTAGTCTGGGCGCACAACATTTCCCAGAATATGGCGATTGCCTCGAAAGTCCCTCTCGGTGGACGAGCAGTCTTTCAGGCGCTGCTTGCTGAGGGTTGTAAAGGTTATGCAGTCCCTGATGATGGACTGTTGCTGAAAAAAAATGTCACTTTGAAATTTTTGGACAAATTGTTGACAATGATGTGACAAGCTTACATTTGAACTCACAGGAGGTCTTCTTATCACCAGTTGGTTGTAGGTTTCTAATATTTTCTCTATATTTTCACTTTTCTTAAAATGGCGACTACATGTACATGTCAGTACAGTCTGTATGTGTACACGTGTACATTTTGTACACAATGTGCATCACATACAATGTACATTTGTACATGTAGGCCTATATCATGTACTGGTATGCAAATGAACATTTTGTAGCACTTTATAATATTGCCGAGTATGCAAATGTGTACTTGTGGGTTGTATTGAGGTTGTATTTAAGTACATTTTCAAATGCAAACTGTACAATGTTACTTGTCAACAGAATAGGATTCCCACCGTCACTTTGATGTGTACAAAATGTACGTCATCTCGGCTAAACTACAAACTTGTACGTAAATGAAATTTGTAAGATAAAAACGAACATGAGCTGTATGTTCTTAAATAATTTGTATGTACATGTACCGGTACATGTAGTTTAAAATGTAAATTTTATAAGTTTGTGAGCCACAGCCAGTGTAGCCGTTGGCCATTACTTGCTGGAATTGATAAACCTACATGTACTTCTCTAGAAGATGCTATCTCTAGAAGATGCTATTTTTAAAAAACATACATGCCAGTTGTCCTCGGTAAACTAATCTGACGGAAACTGTCGTTGGCAGGAAGGAAGATTAACTGAATGAATTATTGATGGATTTGTTATCTTTTTACAGGTTATGCACTCTGAGGTTAACACATCTGGTGGTGCTGAAGACACTAGAGACCGACTTGGGCTCTGTCATCATCGCTGTGCGCATGCAGGTTGGTTTCAATAATGTACCTAAGTACAAGCACATTCATATCTACATGTACCAGTAGGGCTTCATTAAAGGGAATATACATCATTTGCTTTTGCTGTAATTTTCAGAAATGGATGGGATTGGGGGGTTGGAAATATAAAGCAAATATAGTTACACTGACTTTTTGGAGGTTTTGGGTTCGAAAATGCTATAAAAACCAAGAAAAACGATCATTTTCCTGTAGTCTGGTTCCCTGACTCCATATAAGAAGAAACAGAGCAGTTTACATACACTTGGGGAATTGTAAGGTCAGGGAACCAGTCTAGCTGGCTCGTACCCGTTCATAGGTTTGTAATCGATTGCAAACAAGTGCGATGGTCAATTGGGGCCAGTATTTGAAAAAAAGCCAGTTGTTTCCAACGCTGATCGGCCGATCAGCGTTGGAAATTGATACAAAAATACCACTTTTCTTGAAAATGACAGTATACCAGGTGCCATAATTTTACAGGATGCTTTAGACTGTCATTTACCAACATCCTATTAAGGTATTTCGCAAAAACTTGGTAGTTTTATTTTTCGATGTTTGCAAATGTTGTATATTCCCTTTAATTTGTAACGCTCCATCTCTAGCTGACAAATTCAACAAAGCCATCCCACTGGTCAAACTCAGTTGATTGGCTGTTTTTGAAAGTTGAGTGCTCCCTGCCCACAAACAGCAGGATTGCTTGGCTGTGACTGTTTACATGTTTGTATGCTGTAGTACACTTGATACAGCTACCCGGTATGATCTGATACACTGTGCCCTCTGGAGACATGCACACAATAGGGAACAAAAGATTGTATACGTCTCCACAGGGCAATTTCTACAAGGAATATGTCTCTTCAAGGTTTTCACAAAGTAGATATATGGATTTTACTAAAAAAACTAGGAATTTCCGAGGTATGTTGTTCTGTCGCAAATGGTAGAGTTTTAGAAAAGGGATATTAAGTCCGAATTTCAACCAAGGAAATTAACTCTGGTTAAAATCAGTGCATTTTGAAACTGTACTCTCAAACTCGAAAACTTTAGTACACGAGAACAAAGAAATGTCTCCACAAGGATACAAATTTCAGTTTTCATTATGTGTACTCTAGGAGATTGATAGACCAGTGGGGCCAATTTCATAGAGCTGCTTACATGTAAGCACAACATTTGCTCAGCACAAAAAAAAACCTTGCTTAATATAACCAGGTTACCAGCCCAAACTCCATGCGATGTACATTGCTCGTGACTGGTATGTATTTAGCTGTTGTTTACTTAGCATAACAATCGCATGGAGTTTTGGTGAGTAACCTGATTATATTAAGCAAAGTTTTTTTGTGCTTACATGTAAGCAAATTTTGTGCATTAAAGCAGCTCTATGAAATTGGCCCCTATGACCAGCAACCTTTTTTTGGCAAGCTTTCATGTATGTTATCCTTTGCCTTCATGTCTGTTATCCTTTGCCTTGTATTTTTGTAATTACATTGTAATTTTGTAGATAAAAGTACAAGTACGTATGTGTGCCTGAACTTGAGTGTAATTGGCTTTAAATTGTATGCATGCCTGTTCAGTGTGTGATTATGCATCAACTACCCTGGATTATTGACCTTGTAAAAAGTACAGTGAAAGGTCAGCTTTATTGTATAAAATCAGGCACCACATAAAATGTACATGTGGTACTCACTAGTCTGTGCACATAATTTATGGAGGTGAATGTGTACACGGTTACAGGATCGCACTGTATTTCTTACATTTGTACGTATATGTAGGGCATTGTGAAGAGCATTTCATGAACTAAAATAGCGACCAGTAGTCATGCATGAAGTACCGTACATGTACGTTCATCTCACCACCATCTGTTTTGACTGACCACAGCTCTCTTATCATACTAGAGCCATAGAATTACAGCCAGTACTTTGTTGGTGATTAAGATTAAGTCTCCAGTTTACCATCTGGTTGGACATTTTTTTTTAACCACTTTGCAGTAAACCACTTGGCAGTTGCTAAAGTCATGGGATCATTTGATTAAAGTATGTGGAATTGTTACCTGCCAAATTATTATCAAAAAGCTTACTTGGATTAAAGATTGTACTGGTACTAAACACCCCGTGACATTTTTTCTGTTTCTGCTCCTTGCTCTATGCCGTCGTTTAGAGGAAATCAAGAAATGTAGGTGATTTCCAAAGTTCTATCAGTCACTTGACGGAGTTTTGAGAAGAACGAGTTTACAATGTACACGTATACACAAAATTTAGTTTCGTGATCCAAAGGTTGTTCACGGTTTTTCAGTGTTTTCTCGAAAAGTGTAATATCCACTGAGTTGAAACTTCGTCAGGTTAGGTTTTTAAGTATTCTTCTTTGGGTTTTGAGTGGTGGTGTTCTCGGAAACGATCAAAGTTCATACATGTAAAAAGCAAATGATCCCACCTTTAAGAGGAGATGGGCGTATAAGATAGGCCTATGTTTGCGAGGTACCTAACGAAAAGTATATTTTGCCTGCTGAACAACCTCAAACTTGAGGAGTTGTACTTGGCTCATGAGCATCCCCAGATACATTTTTACACCAGCCACAGCCGGAAATCAGCATCAATTGCACTACAGTTGCTTTGCATCAGTCACCTGTTTGACATCTGTTTGAATAAAAAAAAATAATCATCGATCACCTGTTCTGACAGGTAAATGTACATGAACATGAACATGTGCATGTAGATCAAGATATGTATGCACATGTGCTCAACATTTTGTCAGTTTGCACAGATGCACACAGGCACCTGGGTAGTGACATTTAAGTTTGAACTGAAGGATTCATTCTCCAAAGAGTGCATATATATAATGTGTAATGATGAAAAATTCACCCCTTTAGGCCAAGCTCCCTGTTCAGCTTTTTTAAAGTTATAGTCCACCATTTGTAATTTGTGCATTTTGTTCGTTTGAAGTGCAACAAAAGTGCTCAAAATCTAAAGAAGGGTATTGAACAACTAACCTGATGAAGTTTCAGCTCAGCTTCAGCTGTATATTTCGAGAAAAACATTCTAGGATCTCAATTTCTAATCAAAAGTTGCTGAATCATGTTTTGAATTGGGCCTGAATTCAGCATCCGAGACATGTTCTCACTGAGCCGATTGCAGCTACCGGTACATTGTACATGTACGCGATGTTACGCACCGATCCGACAAATTATAGCAACTGCGCGTGCGTGTGCGTCATGTCAACGCTTGCGCGCGCTTTGCCGAATAAAATAACTACTAATGGAAATTTCCAACGGTGCTTCTTAAGACGCACCGTTGGAAAGGCCTTCTTTCGTTGATTTCTTCAAAATGACAGCTTGCCAGAAAGAATAATTTCACTGGGAGTTTAGTCCCCTTACTACCGGTACCTTTCAACCAAGTATGTTTTTCAACAATAATTACGCCAGTTACTTTTCGGATAGCTGCAAATGATGGACTATAGCTTTAATTTTTTTTTTTTTTTGAGACAGACAAATTGATAGAAAGCTAGTGGCATTTTCTTCTTCCTGGACTGTAATCTTCAGCCCTGGTGTGATAGCAGCTTCTGTTTACAGCTTCCTCACCCTTCGCATTCCAAGTGCCAGACCTGATCAACCATTCCCGTGGCTCATAGAGTTAGATTTAAACAACCCTCTATCCTCCTCCTGATTGGATTTTTGTTGGTGTCCCTCTGCTGGTGTTTAAATGTCAGCATCTCCTGGCAAGAATACAGTACAGGTCCCAGGAATACATACATAAGTATACATTGTACCATACTTTACATTGTACATACCGGTACATGTATGCACTATACTGTAACTTTAAAGATTGTGCAATATACCGGTACACATGTAGACCTTTGCATGTGTATGGTACGTGGTGGTCCTCAGTCGGCATTTAAGTATTGGGCTTCTAAATTTGAATCAAAAACTGGGGCTCGAAAGTTTGTGCATTCTTTAAATATTATGCCATCTCTTAGTTAATGCCATATTTTTGATCTGTTTTTGGGGTAGACGTACCGGTACATGTACCACAGTATGTGAATCGAAGGTTATGGAGGCAGTTTTTTTTGGGGCCAATACAAATTTGTTGACATTGAAATAAAATTTGGGACAGAAGGAACTGGTACATGTACGTATGTAAACTCAAAAACTGCTTGAACAAAATTGACCAGCAGTCACAGTCAATTTTGGGTGGTCACATGAGGCCAATGTTAATACACATTTGTCTTGTGTACCAATGGTGAAATCATCATGGGTCCACCATAACCAGAACTGGGTTTCCTTCGAACACAGTTACATGTACATGTTCTTCAACATCTGAGCAATTAATTAAAAAACCTACACGTTTCTATGAATTCCTTTTGGATAGTAAATACATGTAAATTTATCAGAAGAGGAGTGAAGACGACTGTACATGTACATGTACATTACCCTATTTCCCTATACAGAAATATTACAAAAAGAAGGAGGCCCCCTCCCCCCCCCCCCCCCAATTTTCACAGGTAGAAATTCAAGGCTTGTCTGAGCTAATCCGGTTCGTTAGTGTGACGTCACCTCCAGCACTTTCTGCATGAGTGGAACCGGAAGTTAACGCAACTCGAGCGTTTGTAGCCAATGTGCGCTAGTCACCAATGGTAGGCGCGCGTGTATGACGTTTTTACTAACGAACCGGATAATAACCTCCTGCACTTGCAGCATCTTTTACATCACTATAAAATCTAATCACTAATCAATGTTTCTTCCCTTTTTTCTTTTCTTTTTTCCTAGAGCTCCAAGCGGACACTCCGATCCAATGAAATCTTCTTCAGTCAAGGCAGCTTGCTGGACACCGAGCTGGACCTTTCCTTTTCATTACAAGTAGGTGTTTTTTTCCCCAACTTTTCATCCTTTCAAGAATTTGTTTCAAAGTCGAAAAGACAGGGGGTACGGGGGGGGGGGGTACAGAAACAAACAAGCAGGGGACAACACAAGCATGCATGGGTGGAAAGAATACCACAAAGTAGGGATTAGGCAGGGCATACAGGGAGCCTGTTAGTGGGTAAAGATCAAAGGGGTAGAGGAAGTTGTGAGGGGGGGGGGGGGAGAGGATTGGGCATGGGAAGAACAAAGGAGGCTGTGGTGGGTAAAGATCAAAAGGGAGGGGGGGGGTGTGAAGAGGGGAATGATGCAGGAGGAAGGATAGCAGTGGATGAGGTAAGGGTAGACAAGGGGAGATGATGGGAGGTGATAATTAGGCAAGGGGAAGGAGCAAAGGGGTGTGACTGGGGGTAAAGTTCAAAGGAGAGGACAACAAAGGGGGTGATAAATGCCAGGAGGGTATTAAGAGGAGTGTCTGTGACAAAGGATAGTTTGATAAACATCTGACAAGATTACATGTAGTCATTCCATCCTGGATGATGAGTCTTTGTGGTTGGATAGTTGGGAGACTTTTCATCCACACTTGGTCCCTGCTGAGGCCAACTGAGTCCTTGCGATGGTCAAGCGATTCCTTGTCCTGAAAAATCATAATCAGAAATGGAATGGTTAGGCAGGTGAAGTGGTGAACAATTCACGATTTTTTTTCTTTCTTTGTTTTGGTTGTACATGTATGTGCTGTATCATACTGTAGATGTTCCAAAATCTGAGATTGAGGTTTGATTATTATTATTAGATACGGTACATGTACGTTGTGTATACTCGAATGATACACTAGCCTATTTATACATGTACTGTATTTTTTTTGCTTGTACAGTTTCCTTCAACAAACAACGCTGTTTTGACAAATTCTGGTGTTTTTTTTTAAGTGAAAGGGAATGTGAATGAAGTGTGAATACAAGTACATGTACATGTACATGTACACCATATGCATAAATATAGCTTGCACATACCGTATATGTTACATCATGGACAAACATGTAAACGTATGTACCTGTACTCACAAGGTGAATGATTCATTTAAGAAATAAACTACTAACTTTTCAACATTGTTTTTATTCATGTACAGTACATGTGTACATGTACATGTAGGTTGACAGGTGATGTATGTACTTTTCAGGCTTCAGTATTCTGAATTGATATGTACATGTACATGTGTGCACTTTTATTTATTAACCACATCCAACATCGGAAGAACCACCAATTACAGGAATGGGATAAAAAAAAAGAGAGACCAAAAAAACCTGGTTTTTTTTACTAACATAAATATTAAATATTTCATTTTTTGTACATATATATATATATATGTACATGTAAGTACCCACATGTATATATTTGATTTTTTGCAAGTGTACAATGTACATTGTAAAATTTAAATGTTTAATTTCTACTTTCACTTGTTCAGATTTAGTGAATAATACTCTGTTCAAGAATCCCTCAGTTAATTTAGCACTCCATAACGTACCCAGGTCCCACCAGCAAACATTACCAGGGAAAAAACAAATTTGTAGAGTTGTTCAACCTGCTCGGGCAAGGACCTGCAGGTTTTTCATGCGTGTACATGTAGTCTTGTGTAATTTGGTGCAGTCTTGTGTAATTTGGTGCGGGCTAAAATGCATGAAATGCCACAAGATTGCGTGGGGATTGCAATTTATGATTGTCCGAGGTTGACCACAGACCAGCAGTATACATACATGTATCATTTGTACACAGTACACAGTACATGTACATTGGAAGGTATTTTCATCCATAATACATTTCTGTGGTGTATCATTATCAATGCATTTAACTATTGCCGATGCACAGAACAATTTGCGCACCATTCAGGAGTGTGAGCTGCTCTGCCGTTTTAAATTGAGTGGATTGCTTGAGGCAGGTGGAAAGCAGAAATAGAGTGTTCTGTTATTCCTTGAAAGAATTAAGGACCAGATGGACATGTACATGTACATGTGCCGTTGTATGCAATCATGGTCTGGTTTAACTGCGCATTTGGAGCAAAGCTGGTCAAATCCTAAATTGGTTGGGCTGTGCGTTTTCAAATAATTTCAATTACCGTATTCTACGGTAACGTACTAGTTCATGGACTGGTTCTTGACTGGATATTTTCAAACAGGCTGATCAAGTTTAAAGGGTCTGTGAAATGAATTTTTCTTGGGAACATATTTTGTTCAACTTTCTACTCTTAAATACATACATGTAGTGCCTCTTTGGTTAATTTTAATCTAAAAGCGCACTTCTCTTTTTAATTTTTAAATTGTCCATGCTTTCCGGACCACTGAGGGCGCTGTTGCTGTGATGTCATTTCATGAAGACACTACCCATGTATTCATTTTAGGGGTTTTCTGAACCCAAAATTTGCTCATAAAAAACATTTGTGAGAAAATTTTGCTCATTGGCTTACTGTCATAGATGCACAGAAACAACAAATCACCAAAAACATTTACGACGGCAAAATTTAAAAAAATTCTGGCAAATTTTCGAAATAGCTACAACATTAAGATTTCTGCCTAAAATGACATTACAATACTTTTTCTCATAAATATGGAAGTTTACATCAGAATGAAAACCAAAGAGGCATGAAAATGCCCTTAAAAATGGCAAAATGAAAATTAGAAATGAGGTTAACTGGGACACAAAGGTGCATTTTCAAGGATTGCATTTAAAAAAAAATGACATTACATGAGCCAGTGCAGCAATTTATATTCTAGTTTCTACACAGTCATGACTGTACACATTGTACAGTATATAAGCTTAACATTGTATAGCACAAAAATTGACAGCATTGCCAGCTTCTCTGGTTGCAGTAGGCGTTTGCCAAGTCATCCTGAAATTGCCACTTCCTGGTTTTAATAAATACATGTAGATGTATTTTATTCAACAGCCCACGCAGTATCTGGATGCTACAAGATAATTGTACCAGTAACTGTATATTTTCCTGGAATATTTCCTGTTGAAGAAGTTGATTTATGCTGCCCCCAAAAATAATATGTACATTGTAGGTTTCTGGTTACTCTGGATAAATAAATACTGTTTGCCGTGTCAAATGTGAAAATTATTTCGATTTGGTGCGAACTTTTTACAGCACCACATTTTAGGAGGGGAGTTCTCTTTAACCTCTTTTATGGGATCTTTAAAATGCAAACTGTTATGTACATTGTGTAAGGCCAAAAAAAAAAATAAGTCGGTCTCTGGTCAGCGCGCGCGTCGATTTTAATCATGCGCGTCGATCTTTTTTTTCCCCAAAATGTTCCGCGGTAGCTTCAACAGCGCCCTCCATTTCCGCACCTCCTCAATTTTTTTTTTACCAAAGAGCACCAAGGAATGGGAAATTGCACCAAGGCAAATGATCGAAAGCACCAAGGCAAATTATGGAGGACACCAATGTACATGAGGACACCAAAAAAGCGAAATAGTACGCCACCTTGTCTGTACAATCCAAGCTTGAAGAAAGAAAAAAAAAGCCAAAAAAAAAAAAAAAGCCGCGTGGCCGCGTCAATTCCAGAACTTTGGTCTGACCAGAGACCGAATATTTTTTTTTTTTGGCATAATATTGTTTGTGTACATGAGTTTATTTGTGTCCATTGCAAAACTCCAGCATCTCAGCAATCAAAGTGGTGAGACAAGTACCTGTACACACTGTAACTTTAAGTCATAATAGAATAATAAATGTTGGCATGTGTGAAATGTGCCAACAGTATTGTGCACTTGTACAATGTTCATGCAATGTGTACATATGGGGTGACATTTTTTGAGATACATAAGTACATTGTACATGTAAGCTCGCACTACTGCAAGAAGGGGATGTTTACATTGCACGCTATGAAACCAAAATGTTTAAACAAGAAAAAGGGGGAAAAGGGAATTTACAAGAAACATGTACATGTAGTTCCAAATTTCATACATTAAAAGGGCTCTTACATAGATATGTTGTCCTTCAGACAGATTTCAGACATTTTTGGGAACTGTCATAAAACATGCACATTGTACTGTACATGTACATGTACACTGTATAGGCCGGTACATGTACATGTATGTGTACAAATGAACAAACATGTACATTGTACGCTTGTACTTGTACAATGTACATGTATGTACATGTACATGTAGATGTACCTTACTGTACAATGTACACATGTACTTGAAATAGTACGCAAATATATGTGTTCAATGTTTGTTATGAATGAATATCTTTTAATGGACTAGGAAGTTGTCAATACATTGTATCTACATGTATTGCAATTCCAAACATTTTTTCTTAACCCATTAGCAATTGTACTACAATGTATTACATGTGCATTGTGTTTAAATTCAATGAAGGATCAATAAAACTACAGATTGCTTAGGAGCCACCGTGACTAAAGAGTTACATTGTAAATGAGTTCATCAAGTGCACTTATGCCATGCTGTACTATAGTGCCTTTTTGAATACAGTATGCTATGTTTATCCCACTGTCTAGTGTCAGTTCATTTCTTGACAACGCTTACGATGCATGTGTAGTTTATGGATTTGTGTTCTCCTGTCCTGCTTTTTCAGTACCCACACTTTCTCAAGAGGGACGGCAACAAATTGCGCATCATGCTGCAACGCCGGAAACGCTACAAGAACCGGACGATACTGGGCTATAAAACGCTGGCCGTTGGGCTCATCAATATGTCAGAGGTTTGTATATCACGCTGTCCCATCCAAAAGTTGACTCATTGGTAATTTGAAGTACATGTTAGCCCCCCCCCCCAAAAAAAATGTGTTCCGACACCACTATGCACTGAGTTACACCCGTCCTGTAATTGTTTCAAATTAAGTGGAAAATACAACATTTGCAAACATCAAAAAATAAAACTACCAAATCATTTTGAAATACCTTGCTGGACTGTTAGTGAATGACAGTGAAAAGCATCCTGTAAAATCATGGCACCTAGTAAACTGTCATTTTCAAGAAGAGTGGTATTTTTGTATCAATTTCCAACGCTGGTCGGCCGACCAGCGTTGGAAAAAAACTGGCTTTTTTTTCAAATACTGGCCCCAATTGACCATCGTACTTGTTTGCAATCGATTACACACCTATGAACGGGTACAAGCCAGCTAGACTGGTTCCCTGACCTTACAAATCCCCAATGTATGTAAACTGCTCTGTTTCTTCTTATATGGAGTCAGGGAACCAGACTACAGGAAAATGATTGTTTTTCTTGGTTTTTATAGCATTTTCGAACCCAAAACCTCAAAAAAGTCAGTGTAACTATATTTGCTATATATTTCCAACCCCCCAATTCCATCCATTTCTGAAAATTACAGCAAAAGCAAATGATGTATATTCCCTTTAACTTGTTTGATCCATCTCTTTCAGTTTCACATCAATCGAAAATAAAAAAAAAAATGGTAAAAACCAGGAATCCTGAAATACATGTAGCTTTCAAAGTTCTGTAAAATGCAGCACAATTAACAAAAAGTCTGTCACAATGTCAAAATATTACCAGAGTTTTGTTCCTTACCCTTCTTTTCTGCCTTTTTTTCTTCATTTTTTAAATCCAATGTTTCCATAACGGGAACTCTGTACACGTTGTACTGAAATCGAGCTCCTTCCCTTCTGTACGTTCAATCATTTGCAATTCAAGTGAATATATCTACACGTACATGTACATTCATTCACTGTGACATCTCTCTTTCTTTCTCTGTTCTTCCTACACACCTTTGAGTGACCTTGGCCTTGTGTTTGGACGTTATCCATAAATAAAAAACGGAATCCATTAATAAAAAATGGAAGTTCAAACATAAACACATCTCTCTGAGCTGACAGAGAGAGGGGAAACAGTTCTCAAAAAAAAAATTATCTTGGTAACAAAAAACAAAACGGTTAGAATTACACTCTCAATGAGCAGTGTTTATTTCCCATGAGAATTCCGTGCCAGCCTATGATTTACTGCGACTCTATTTTGTCGTCTTCACTGAACGTACGTACGTGCGTGGACAGTAACGTACGTGCCAAGCGTGCCATGAATGTCCTGTTGTACACTCTGTTCATCGAACCATGGAGGAATAAGAACACATCGAACCGTCTCTGAATAATGCACAGAATTTTGGATTGAAGAAAGGAAACGGTCCAATGCACGCGTGTAAGGCAAACAAATTAATCATTGGAAACGAATCTGATTGGGTTTGTTTACTGTGATTACACCGTTTTATTTTGTTAGTTCTGCTTGGAAGATTAAAGGGTTTTCGCGTCCTGGAAAGTCCCCAATTGGGCTATAAAACAAACTTATATCAATAGGAAAGAGCATTTAAAAGTAGCATATAAATGTTCACAGAACCATCCTTTAAAAATTTGCTGTTTTTATGTGTACTTCCGAGAACGAATTTCAGGGTCCAAATTTTGCCTCTTAAAAAAATTGAGCTGTGTGGGTGCTAGTCGTTATTCCATTCGCACATTTTCCAGAGCAATGCATGCTTTGGACGTGCCGGACACAACGTGTGTATTGGTGCTTCGTGTATTCAATAGGGGACGTTGAACAGTAGAGGATACTCAATTCCCGAAGGTCCCCAATTTGGTGATCCTGTACAAAACATATGGGAGGTCTTCCTAAAAAGAATCATCCGACATCATGGACACAGAAGCTGGAGGCAAACTCCTTATCCAAGAAGGAGACTTACATGTACATATTATCGGCTGGAAATACGTATGCGTATGCCACATAATGTCCACCGCATCAGAAATAAACAACCGTTTTTCCCCCGTCTTTCTCAGGCACAGTGGGATACAGTATTACATTGTAGGTTAATGTAATTTCCCTTCAACCAGACCTTGAAATACATGTAGGATAAGTAAACAATTTTAAACATAAAAATGTCGTTGATTTCAGGATGATGCGCCCCTTTAGCATATTTTTGTATTTTTTTAAGCAGCCTTCTATATTATACTTACGTGTATACTGATATATCCTTGAAAAAAATTCTTGTATATATGTATGTATGTTGATCTCTCTCTTCAATTTGCTTATTTCACTCTTAATGTCAAGACATGTAAACCTTGGGGAAATACCAACCCATGAAATATTTAACTGTAGACACGTATGTATCTTTTCTCAGGCATGATATTTTTAAGACGTGTCTGAAATCAGACTTTTTAAATCTGCGAGAAAGACATTATCAGTATAGAAAGCAAAACGTGTACATCTGTCAGACATTTCGTCAAATTTTCGGACTTTTTTTTTTAATCTCATCCCTGTTTTCTAAATATCCAAAAATTTAAGGTTTTGCAAAATATACACTTTGTAACTATCGGTTCTTTTAATGATGCACGGCTGCAAGCAAATTGAACCACGGCTCATTTGTTTTTTCCTGTTTGTCCTTGTATTCAAAAGAAAATTGTTTTTATCTCATCAACACGGTGCATAGAGGAGTGACTTTTCCCTTGAGTGCTTTCCAACAGATGCTTATGAAAAATGCATGTTTGTGTCAACGAGCTTCTACGAACTGACAAATTAATGGCGGCCATTGGCTCCGGGCTGCAGTGTGTAATCGCGACATTTACGCTGAGGAAATACCCGCGTCATATCTAAATTAATTTTCTGAGGGGCTGTATTTCTTCAAAGCTCAGGTGGGCTGCGGTTGCAAGCCTTTTGACAAAACACAGCGATTAAGTGAGGTCAATAACAGCTGCATGGTTGCAGTGCCGGTAAATTATTAGCAAATTGAGGTTCTTTGAAAACCTGACATCTTTTTTTTTTATCCTGTTGGAAAGCAAAACATGTTGGACAGTTGTCTTGTGACATTTAGTTGAAATTTATGAGTTGAAAAGATCAGTCAAAATATGAAGACAATTTCAGGAATCTCTAAGTTATCTTATTGTTGTGTTTTAATAGAGATAAGCTACTGAAACCTGTATGCTCCCCCCCAAAAAAATGTACATTTTTTCAAGTTTTTTTAGCGTAAATCTATACCTGTACTACAAACACGTATATACATGTACTGGTATATATATACATGTTCTTATGAGTTTGGCCCTCGATTAGTATCAAAAAGGATAATTTTCACAATTTGAGCAAAAGGAAGAATGAAGTGGTGTTTATTTGTTCAATTATGTCTTTTCTTCTATCAAATTTAACTTTTCAGCAGAGGGCGGATATGCAAACTTTAACTTTGTCATGAGCTCAACAAGTTAAGCAAACAAATTTGCTATTCTACGTGTAATTTGGTAATTGGTTCTCATGTTTTGTACGTTGTACTTGGTACATACGGACACTACTCAGAAGGATGCATCCTTCTCAGGAAGGATTGCATCCTTCTCAGCTTCACCGGTTTCGAGCTTCACCAGTTTGCATCCTTCTCACGCCTCACTGTACCCATCCTTATAACATCGCATCATCGTTGGAATCCCTCATTCTCCTGACGACGGGCAGAGCATACTGTTCGAAACGTTCAGTCCCTCCGGTTCTTTTCAGAACCACACATACTCACAAAAGAGATTTATTCACATGGTGCTACTGCAAATTTATCTTGTCTTACAAAGCATTGTCCTCGAGAGTATAGTAAAACAAGAGTGTGTGGCCAACCGGTGTACACACCATTCCTACCCATGTTCAGTGGGACCCGGTTTTGCCTACACTGGACCCTTGTTGACTTAATCCAGGTTTCACCATCAATCCCCTGTGATGCAATCTGATACTTATTGATTGATAACTTTGCTCTTTGTTTTCTCTGTGGGAATGTAGGTGCTGCAACAATCCAAAGATAACGAGCTGAGTTTGTACGGGAAGGAACACGGAATGGACAGGGTTGCCCACGTGACCGTCTTAGGTCTGTCCAGTCAGCCGGTGGATCAGTTCAAGCGAGGCATTGGTAAGGCTCACAACCAAAGAGTTAAAGTAACCTGCCACAAAAATGCTTCTTTGGACAGTCAGTCATCGTTAACCCTAACCTTTCCAAATCCTCCAAAATTCTCTTTGCAAAATGGAGGATTATGCAGGATTGAGGCTATACGGCAAAAATGTGTGGCTGATTTTGGAGGATGCACTGTATCAAGGTCTTGGACCGGACCTTGTGTTGTGTATGCTCAGCCGTGCATAATGTAAGGCCTAGATACTTGAAATCCTCCACACTGCTCTAGGATGTCACTGGCTTTGCCTCACCATATTGACAGTGATTGCTGGAGGATTTTGCAGGATTGAAGCAGTGGTCACCCCTCCAAGGACCACATTCAAGAAATAACAGGGGATTTTGCAGGACTGAGGCTGTATTCATTTTTTACATGAAGGCAGTTGGAAGATTTTGCAGGATTGAGGTTGCATCCTGACAACAATGCCTAGAGAGTTACGGTTAAATAAGATGCGTACATATTTCTTGCATTTAACTCCTTCAGTTTTTTTTGTCATGGGAAAAATTATGCATCTGAAATGTAAATCTAGTCATACAAAACACATTTAAAGCTTTCGAAAATTTTTCACTTGTCATATACAGATAAGTGTATTGGAGAGTCACAGATGGTACTGTGTACTTACATGTACCTGTGCTTGGCCAGTGCACTTGAAATGGATACTCAAAGAACAAAATGACATTTTTTTAGTAATGATCAACAGTCACCAGTATTTTTATAGGGGCATTGTACACCACACTACAGTACCTATCGCGGTGGAATCGTGTCAACGCAGCTTGTGGAATATAGTCCAATTACATGATACACAAATGGACGCGGAACGCGCAGAATCTGAGACAAACAAAACTTAACGTATGAATTTCCATTGGGTTGTCTAAGGGGCGTGGCTAGCTCACAAACGGCGATAGTTCAATTGTCTTCACAGTCATGACAGGTGTAGTATTTTGAGGTTTCACTCCGTTTGTGAAGAAAAAAAAAGAAGGAAAAGCAATTTTATGAGCATTTCCCACGGTGATATAATGTTGTTGTTTCTTTGTTTCCTTAAATTTTTTTAACAAGGCCAGCCTCTCCTGCCTATGTGGCAGGCATCCAGATACTTTCCCTGATTTTCAGGCATCGGGTTCCCAAACTAAGTTAACAGCTCTAACCTGTGAATTTACAAAACTTATACTTGGTGCACTCATGGCCTGCAGTCATCTGTGTAAATGTCATGTCCATGTTCATTACACATGTTCATTGTACATGTACATGTACCATCAACAGGGGTTCGTTAAACTGTACCATCCATGGCAGGTTGATATCTGACAGTCGCAAAGTCCCGAGGGGGAGAAAACGGTCTCTGATTTCTGGGACCTTTGATGAGTTCCCTGGAAACCTGGAGCCAGCGTCTTGTAAATTTACTCTCGGCTGTATGCTGTTGGTCATGATCATTTGGCATTTGGCTATGGTCGGTCTGACAAAACACCAAGGGCACTTCTCTGCGGCGGAGCGTGCGTAAATATTTGCAAATGTCTCTTTCGCTGAGACGAAACGGTGCTGGAGACATCTTGTGGGTTAATTTTTATGGACCTGTTTACTTGGGAGAACTTGTTGACTGATTTTTAGCTTAATTGTTAGGTACATGAACATGTTGATGCATCTAAACAATTTCACATATGTACCGGTACATGTACCGTTATATGGGTCATTCTAAAACTTTGGGTTTCACTTTTTTCTGTCCCTGTTAAATCTGACAATTATGAATTCTGATGCGCTCCGTAATGCAGTTGTCCCCCAATGTGTGAATAATTAAATTAATATTCATAAATACCTCAGACAGTTTAGCTATTCCTATTGGTCGAGAGCCCGTCACGTGGCCGGTCTTAAACGGATGATAAAAACATGGCTAGCTGGTCTTAAACACTTTTCCAGTGTCACATAAAATGTGGACTCCTAAAAATCCAGTGCCTCTTACATGTACCATTTCATTGGTTGAACGTTCACAATCCTCACGTAGGCGTGCGCAACACTACCAGCGAGTCAGAATTTTATAGTTCTAAATTCAAAACGCAGCGCCCCAGGTGCGTTCTGCGCGACATCGCGCAGAACATGCTACGCGCGCGTCAATCTCCATAAAAGGGTTGTTTACATCTTACTCACCAGCTGAACTCTCCATTATTTTGCTAGAGGGATGTTTCAAAAAGCATGAAGTGAACTTGTTGAACAAAACCGGGATTTTTGAACGAATTATTTGATTTTTTTTTACCGAAAAGGTATTTGTGAATGGGAATAAATGTGTGCTCGGTCGGTATTTATCACTCTGTTTAAGACCGCTTAGAGTCTGGGTGCTGATAATTACCCTCGCCTCCGGCTCGGGTAATTATCAGCACCCAGACTCTAAGCGGTCTTAAACAGAGTGATAAAAACATCCGGAGCACACATTTATTCCCTTAGCAAACTACCTATCTAACAAATAAAAAAAATAATTTGTAGTCATTCTTATTTCAATGATACTTGAATGTCAAATCACAAAGTACCATTACCAAGGTAACAGGGAGAGGAAAAGTGTCAAAACTTTGGACCTTATTAAACTTTACAGAATGACCCATGTATACAATGTACAGTATACGTGAAACTCTCTCTTAACCCTAGCTCCCTAGAGGCACTATTGCCAGGATGCAACCTCAGTCCTGCAAAATCCTCCGTTATTTCTTGAATGTGGTCCTTGAGAGGGGTGACCACTGCTTCAATCTTGCAAAATCCTCCTGCAATCACTGTCAATGTGTTGAGGCAGAGGCAGTGACATCCTGGAGCAGTGCGGAGGATTTCAAGTATATGTGTATAACCCTAGCTCCCTAGGCACTATTGCCAGGATGCAACCTCAGTCCTGCAAAATCCTCGCACACGGTGTGAAAAAGGATTTCAAGTATAATCTAGGCCTAAATTTATGCACGGCTGATCATAAACAACACAAGGTCCAGCCTAAGACAACATTAATTGTAAGACCTTGACACAGTGCGTCCTCCAAAATCAGCCACACATTTACATTAATACTTAACCCTAACCTTCCCAAATCCTCCAAAATCCTCTTTGCAAAATTGAGAATTTTGCAGGATTGAGGCTACATGTATATACATGTAGCCTCAATCCTGCAAAATTCTCAATTTTGCAAAGAGGATTTTGGAGGATTTGGGAAGGTTAGGGTTAAGTATTAATGTAATTGACTCCCCTCGTCAAAGACTTACATGTGTGTAGGAACCCTATGGCTAACATTTTTTTCATGTTGCGTTCTTGAAACAGTGCCTGTCCACATTCTGCACGTTTTTTTGTTGGTCTTATTCCGCAGATCGATCACCGGATATTGACAATGAAACCGAAGATGAGGAAGAATCTTACTCCTCGGACCAGGAGAACAGCGACAGCGGAGAAAATCTTCCCGAAACCCAGGTAAATATGGCCCGGCTGATTGAGTTTGGTAGCCAGTTGCCGATGAGCTGCCTAATGCATTGATTTCATGCAGTTAATGTCTTTTTTGTCTGATTCTTGGTGAATGTTAAGTACTGCAGAATTAAATCACCTTTACTTTTTTCCGACTGAAAAACACACAAAAAACAAACAAACAACAACATCAAACAAACAAAATCCCCCTCCCCCCCAAAAAGGTTATATTACCTAAGTTACTTTTTCAACTGAAAATAAGTTGGAAATCTCCAGAAAATTAGTTGTGCATGCGCATATTAAAAAAAAAAAAATCACCCCCTTCAAAAAAAGAAGAAAGCAAATTATGAAATTGAGCTTGTAGGGCTTTCAAGAGCACGTAAATCAAAGTAATAATTTTGTAAAAAAAATGTATAACTTTTTTTCAAGATATTATTGACATCCACTGAAATATGTGTGGAAATGATTTACTTGGTGATATGGCATTTTTTTAAATCTCTTATTTTAATAAAACAATTTCCAAATATCCAATTCAAATTAGTACCTGAATTCAACGTTTACACACATGTAAAAGCATATATAGGCTTATTAGAAATCATGACAAATTGTACTCTTTCATCTTGAAGAAGCATTGTGTGCAATTCATACCTTTCCAAAATTTATACGACCCATGTAACCAGAAATGCACATGCATACTTTGTACATCATCATCTTCGACTCAGCATAGCTTAAGTCCAGTTCAGTGCCAGTGATGAGCACAGAACACATTTTGTAAAAAAAAATAAATGTTTTAAAGGGAAAATACAACATTTGCAAACATCAAAAAATATAACTACCAAATCATTTTGAAATACCTTGCTGGACTGTTAGTGAATGACAGTGTAAAGCATCCTGTAAAATCATGGCACCTGGTATACTGTCATTTTCAAGAAAAGTGGTATTTTTGTATCAATTTCCAACACTGATCGGCCGACCAGCGTTGGGAAAAAAACCGGCTTTTTTTCAAATACTGGCCCCAATTGACCATCGCACTTGTTTGCAATCGATTACACACCTATGAACGGGTACAAGCCAGCTAGACTGGTTCCCTGACCTTACAATTCCCCATTGTATGTAAACTGCTCTGTTTCTTCTTAAATGGAGTCAGGGAACCAGACTACAGGAAAATGATTGTTTTTCTTGGCTTTTATAGCATTTTCGAACCCAAAACCTCAAAAAAGTCAGTGTAACTATATTTGCTATATATTTCCAACCCCCCAATTCCATCCATTTCTGAAAATTACAGCAAAAGCAAATGATGTATACATTTGTATTCCCTTTAAATCTCTTATTTTAATAAAACGATTTTCAAATATCCAATTCAAATTAGTACCTGAATTCAACTTTACATATATACATAAAAGTAAAAGCATATAGGCTTATTAGAAATCATGACAAATTGTACTCTTTCATCTTGAAGAAGCATTGTGTGCAATTCATACCTTTCCAAAATTTATACGACCCATGTAACCAGAAATGCACATGCATACTTTGTACATCATCATCTTCGACTCGGCATAGCTTAAGTCCGGTACAGTGCCAGTGATGAGCACAGAACACAGTTTGTAAAAAACATAAATTCTTTCAATACTTGTACATCATGCTGCGCCCTTACCACAAGATCACATATTCCTCAGGACATACCAGCATGGGTCCTGACAGAAGCCCAATCTTCCATGCTTCCCTTGCGCTTATTTTGACAGCAATTGCATTGTGGAATGCATGTTGGCACTCTCTGGCAGTTTTTTCTTTTTCTGGGACTTGTTATGTCACTTGATAGCCATGGTCTCCTGTTACAGCCTGCCCCAGATCGCAGACAGGGGAAGAACACAAACAAGTTGGCTATTGCTTCAGCTTGAAATTGTATATGTGTTTTTATTTTTACTGGGTTGCATTTCCAGGACTGTGTCTTTTTTTCTTACATTCGCCTACTGTGCATTGTATAGAGATGTCTTTTGTGTATTTGTGGCGGGATTCACTAAAAATAAATATCCGATCAATGAATTGCCTTTATATTGCGTGGTTCTGTTTCCCATAAATTCAAGTGGGTTTTACTTTTGCAGTGACTGTACAGTCTACGCAAAGGTTTTCAAAATGGAGAATCTCCATTCCAACATAATTTCTTTGGGTAAACCACAAAGTGACGTATCATCTATGGGCTTGCCTTTGTGTAAACGTCATTTCGTAGTGCAACAGACTGTTTCTTTTATGAACATGTATTAAATTTCTGTGGATGTTTCTCTACATGTACATGTACATGTTTCTGATATTCAAAGATGATACACACACCATTGTGATGTACACAAGCTTTACATACGCTTGGCTTTTAAAATACTGTTATGTATACGTACAAGTACTGGTCCAGGTATATGTACATGTACATTGTACGTATAAAATGACAAAGAAACTGAAAATTTCAGTGTCTTATTTATTCTATGTTTTATTGCATGTCGTACTTTTTACTTCAGAATCAGAGTGTGATTAACAGCGTCTCTCAATTCGGTTTGTTAGTGTGACATTATTCACACGATGTAGCATATTGCACGAATGGATCTGGAATTTAACACAACTTGAGTGTTTTACCAATGGCCACTTGTAATCAAGGGTGCGCACGCGTGTGTGACGAAGTCACTAATGAACCAGATGGGTTATTTCACGGTTAGTTTCGTTACATTTTAAGCAACGAAGCACTGCTCTATGGGCCCCAATATCAACATGTGTGGGTATCAATTCTCCATTTTGGTACAATCAATACATCTTACCAGGACTTATATCAAAACCACAATCATTTACATGTACATTTTGTAGAAATGTTTTGTGAGTTGTAATGGGACATGCACTCTCGTATGGTACAAAAAAGAAAACCGGACAGGGATTGATAACAATGCATGTAAGTTTCCTCAAAATGGATATAGCTTGAATGAATTACATGTACATGTACATCTATAGTATTTGTGTAATTGCTTACTAAATGGCAAATGTTCTGACAACATGTACGTGTGTACATGTATAACATTTCTCAATTTCCCTTTTCAGTTTGAAGCCTTGCCAAAAAAAATATGTAGGTTATGTTACGGCTGCGTTACAGTTTGTCCGGCCATCTTTGGAACAAGTAAAACATAAAATTAATTATCAAAAAAAAAGAAAGAAGCTTTTTTGGCATAGAAAGCGAACCTATCTCTCAGCCTTGCATGTTAAAACAAGGTGTCAAAATGACTACCAAAAAGCCATAATTTTAGCCCCCCCCCCCCCCCCCCGCCAGCTTTTGACAAAAAAAACCTGCACTTAACGTTTCATCTCACTGGAATACCACTCAAATGAAAGGCCCTTTTGTCCCCTTTAATTTGAGATTGTGGTGCTAAGTCCTAAAGATACATGTACATTCAAACTTGTACTTTGCAGTCCAGTCCACTTCTCCCTGGCATTGCCCCTACATGTACTGTAGTCATCACTGTACATCCCCCATCCCCACCCCCCTCGTTCAGTCCATCAGTAAAATGACACAGATTCCTTTGAAGACATCGCACATGTAGGTTGTCATCTCAGGCCATTTTAAACCAAACCAATCAATGACTTCCGTCTATATACAATATGTTTATGCAAGCACAGAGGGAAAAATAAATATATGGGTCGTGATAATTGATGCCATTTTTGTAATTGGATAATCCAGGATGTTTGCTGACCGTGGATCGTCATTGATTAAGATGCACTGGAAGTTGTATCCGGGTAAAGGAGGGCTGCCCTTGGGAAAATAAAACTGATCTACATGTCATAATGCCTATAATGTTCTCATAAAAAGGTCACACTTAATTATACACTTCAAGGATATGACAGTCTTTTTTTGGAGGGGGGGGGTGCTATTTTATGGTTGGAGTGTGCTGACTTTTTTCTCATTTATCCAGGAATTTGCACAGAATTTTTTTTAAGGGGAGAAATTTGTAAAAAACAATTGCACCATTTCTGAGTCATTTGTTCCAGAGCCATTTTGTTTCTGTTAAAACATTCTCATTTTCAATTTGTAGAAGTCCTAAGCCCCCCCCCCCCAAAAAAATACCCCTACTTCTGGTTACCCTACCTGCCCTATTTTGACAGCCCCTACCCTAATTTTCTTTTGGGAAAAATGAGGAAAGAACCCCAAAAACCATCAATTACTACCTCTTACCCTTGACTACATGCAGACACACACACAAAAACACGCACAAAATTGAATAATTCCCTATACCTACCTGCTCTATATTCAAATGCCATGTAATTGAAAACACTTTTTTTTTTCAGCCTTACGTCCATTTTCACTGCTCTCATCATTCACACATATGCAGGAACTTAGCAAGTGTATAAATCTGTGTTGATTAATGTTGTAAGGATAGAGTCATTAATCATAAATGTACTACCAGGATGATCGCTCCGTCAGACATTACCCCCCCTCCCCCCTTGAGTGTACTCAGTGTGGAAACCGTATGCCACATTACTCCAGAAAATCCCATGAATTCATTATGGCCCACACACAGCTGAGCCGGCCGTCCGCACCTAAAGATGTTTGCATTACCGTATGGATTTACACCTCTCTTGTGATTTACTGAGAGGTTTAAGTCGGCTGTTCACGCTGGGGAGACGCAACTGCCAGTGCTAGTCTGCGTCATGGAGACAGGATATGGTTTCCATTCAGTGTTGTGAACTTGTTGTTTTCTGTTGGATACAAGATGTTGCTTGTGAATCCAATGACAGAATATAGTTCATGCTCCCATACCTGTAGTTTCACCTACATGTACATGTACATGTACAATGGTACATTAAAGGGAATATACAACATTTGCAAACATCGAAAAATAAAACTACCAAGTTTTTGCGAAATACCTTACTAGGATGTTGGTACATGACAGTCTCAAGCATCTTGTAAAATTATGGCACCTGGTGTGAAGTCATTTTCAAGAAAATTGTATTTTTGTATACATTTCCAACGGTGGTCGGCCGACCAGCGTTGGAAAAACCTAACTATTTATCAACTACTGCTCCAAATTAACCATTTTTTCAGTCCAAATTTTGTTTGCTATTGGTTACATGTTTCATGAACGGGTGCAGGCCAGCTAGACTGGTTCCCGTGCCTTACAATTTTCCATTATCTATAAATTGATCCATTTTATCTTTTGTGGAGTCGGGGAACCAGACTACTTAAACATTTTTGTTTTTCTTGGTTTTTCCAACCTTTTCAAACACAAAACTTCAAAAATGTCAGTGTAACAATATTTGATCTATATATATACTAACCCCTCAAATAGTTCATTTCTGAAAATTACATCAAAAACCAATGATGTACATTCCCTTTAAGTAGTAATTGGGCAGCATTGTATCAGAATATACCATACCAGGAAATGTGTAATACATTTTCATATACATGTGCAGGGTACATATATTCTATCAAATGATTTAAAATGGCAAATTTATAAACCATTAGATTGTATTTGCATACAAAAACAATAACACTTTACACGTCCGTCCCCCGTCCCTGAAATTTTGTTTGTCATTTTTAACGTTTAGATAGAAAAGCATTTAAAAAAAAAAATATTTACATATGTACACATCTTTCCAAAGTCTGACTACCTCAATTTTCAGGTGCTTTTTTTAAAAATTCTCCGTTCTTTATTTTAAGTTTCAGTAAATTGGTTATGTTACTTTAGACATACCGGTACTGAGCTTTTCTACCTAGCTTTCAAACAAGACAAAATTTGTTTTCTGAGAAAACAAATCAAGTGCGATAAGATTTAAAGGGTTTGCGTGGTGAAGATAGCAAGATTAAGTCACACATTAAGTTGCACAATGTAATCAAGTGCGGAAAACGTTGAATGTCCAGGCATGCTAGATACTACATGTAGGTACACACATGTACATTATTTGTACATGATGTACATTGTACATAGTTACAGAGATGTCGTTATTCTAAAATTTAGGGATGTCAATTTTTTTGATGATTTTCATATCCAGTGGGTAATTTGATGATGTCATATTTGTGATGGTTTGTTCTCTTTCAGGATCTCCTGGGTGAGGAGGAGCAAGAGCCAGGAAGGAAGGGGCTCAGGACCAAACTAAGACCTCCCATGATCAGGGTAAGGAATCCTGATTCCACATTGATGTCATTTGAAGCAAATATTGACTGCTTCAAGTAATTTAATAACACGAAAAATAGGTGACTCACGGTACACTGTGGATCACAGAGGAAGACTGGCTTGACTGTACCACGAGTTAAAGCAGTCAATATTTGTTTTGTAATGCCTTGTCCACAGAGTCTGCTGAGTTTTCGAAATGTCAGATGTTTAATCCAAAATCCAATACATAGGGTAATAGTGGGTATCTTCGACCGGGGGAGAATCCGATCACTTTGTATTAAGCACAAACCTTAGTTTTGACTAGGGTTGATTATTTGCTGCAAACAAGGTTTGTGCTTAATATAGGCTATCAGCTTCGGTCCAAAAATTGGGCCACCGGTATCAAATGATCGAAAAGAGCAGTGCTCATAGCGATTTGTGGCAAGGTATGCACATCTAGAGTTGGAAAATGTGTGATAGCTTTGCAGTGTGAGTGGTGGCAGTTTTTTGGGTGTTATCACTTTCAATTTTTTTTTCAAAATGGCCGCCAATATGCTTGCTACCAGATTAATTATATGTGGTTACAAGCATGTTTTGGCCGTCATTTTTTTTTTTTTTAAAGTGAGAGCACCCAAAAAGCTGCCACCGCTGCAATGCTATCACATATTTTCCAACTACAGGGGTGCATACCCTGCCAAAAATCACAATGAGCATTATTCCCCTCTTTTGATACCGACCAAACCCCAGGCTGATGGCCTAATAGCAAGTGGTCAGATTCTCTCCCCGGTCGAAAAATACCCACTCTTACCTTACAAGTATTTCAATTTGAAATAGAATTTTTGTCTTCCAAACTACCCCTTCATGAAATGTACCCAACTCTGTAGAAGTGCCTGAGAGCAATATGCACAATGCACAAAGCCATGCACAAAGTACTGTTTTTAGAGCAAGGCAGTTGGGAAAATGCGCGCCGCAACTTCAAGAACATACAAGACATCAGCGCAAGCATGGCATCAACTCAGGAATGGTTTATTCCATCTTTGCTGGAGAGACAGGTCCGCACTTCTGCCAAATTAACCTGCTGGGTTCTTTCCATTGTTACCACAGCAAAGGAACTTCAAGCAGAAGTTCATCGCCCTCCTGAAGAAGTTCAAAGTTCAGAGCGACGACAGCGACACGGAGCAGTACCCGTACGAGGACCAGGATCAGAACCAGATGGATCCGGACTTCTTGCTTTACGACGACCTGGATGACCTGAATCTCAGCGACAGCGGGCCCGATATGGACCAGGAAGATGAGATGAGCATTGGCTCCACGCCCAAGCCTGTCTTGAGGTCAGTGTGTTTGTCTGTCTGCTTGTCTGTCTGTCTGTCAGTGTTGTTGATTTAATTCTTTTTAGTCCAGTGGCACTAGGAAGAAATCGTAACACACCGGATTAAAGCACCAAATTTTGTGCACTTAATAATAATAATAACCAAATTTATAAAGCGCCTTTTCAAAAGGATACAAAGCGCTAGGGGAGAATGCAACTAAAGACAAGTAAGTGAAGTATATGAACATTATGAGACCCATTATGTAGCACCTTTTTGCTAGGTGCTGCGGCGCATATTGCTGCCACTGCCAGAAACACCGGGGCAAACCCCTTCTCTTAGCGGCAAGTGTTACTGGGTTCTTTAACGTGCGTTACACAACACACGGGACCTACGGCTTCACGTCCCATCCGAAGGATGAAGCAATAATGGTAAAGTGCCTTGCTCAAGAGCACAAGCACCATGTTCCCACGGTCAGGATTCGAACCCATGTACAACGGCACAGTAGTCGAACACAGTAACCATTATACTTACTGCACCCCACTTGCTGTGTAGGTTTCAGTGAAACATTCTGGGGGGGGGGGGGGGAGCAGTGTACATGCAGGTCAAGGGCAGTCCTGAGTCAAAGTTCATATGGTGTGCTGTACTCTATATGGGACTAGTGAATTTCCACAAAAAGTCTGAAATTTAAGTTCTGAGTAGCCAAAAAGGATGTTATGTACATGTACATGGCAATATAAAAGACCTATAATATTAGAAAAAGTTCCATCACAAAAGCTTTGCCCAGCCAAATACCGGTAATGGAGTTTATTTAATAACCCAAAATGCTGAGACATGTTGATTCAGTATTTTTTTGTAACATTATGCTTTCTGTTCCATTACTTTTGGAGAAAAACAAACTTTGCTCTTTTTTTTTACATTATTACTTTGGTACTGTGATATTAACACTAGCAGGTGTATATGTGCAGCAGACACATTGCTGCTTAATCATGTAAAAAAAGATCAAACTTTGTTTTTCTCCAAGAGTAACGGAATAGAAAGCCTATTTTTACAGAACACTCCAGGATCGCTAGAGTGTATGGGTGTGAAGAGACTGTAAACTGAGTCTTCCTCTCAACACCTTGTGTGCAAATTGTAATAGCAGTCAAACTAGAGTTTCGTATATTGTTTCAAATATACCATATGCTTCCATAGCTGTACATGTGTATGGGCAACTACAGTATTCTTTCATTGCCCTTTTTTTTAGTACATAAGAGAAGAAAAAAATGTTCACACATGTAATTACATGTATTCACCTTTTGCATATTATACAAATGTAGTATGCATGTAGCTGTGATATTTTGTAAATACATTCTATGTACGTAAAAAAATGAGAAGAAATATGGAAGAATAGAGAAAATGAACAATAATTCGTTCAATAACATTATGTGTTTCAGCTCAAACCCAACATGCCATCCGTGTGTAATAGTGAATGGAAAAACAGATACGGGCTCCTCAGGACTTGATAGCATAGCTACACTTAATCACATAAATCTACAGGGATATTTGCGAACTGGTGATGGGCCAGACCCGTTACCATGGAAATACTGGCCTTAATTTGTTGGAAAGCTCCATCTCATTTATTGGTTTGAGCAAAGCTCCCCAGGTGCCCGGCTTATTACATTGCTGGAAATGCAATTGTAGGATGTTTTTATGTATTTATATCTTTTTTGCCTCTTGAGTTGGAATTGTGTTCTTGAACATGCAGTTGGTGTTTTTGTTTCTCCATTTGTGGCACACAAGTTACAAATAAATTGAGCATAACGTTTATCTTTCACACATGTACGTACATGTACACAGTCCCATGAAGACATGTATGTATGCCAATGGAATATTGATGTAGAATACATGTACACGTACTGTACCATGTACATGTACCTAGGAAAAGGTGCATTTACCGGTAGTTCAAAATGCATGAGCTTGTTAGAAAGAACGGCCAAAATGAAGTCAGAATTGCTACAAATAAAGATTCGCGATTCAAATCTCATTCTCTTAAAATATGCCAGCATTGTTGTTCTCAACTTTTTTAATACCATTAAAATCAATCCAAACCAGCAGTTTTGAAGCGTTTGCTTCAGAACTCAGTGTTTAAAAGGTTCAACGTGATTCTTGCCAAGTTTACTCTATTTTTTTTCAGGATAAAGTCACAAATTGCACTGGGTTTTGCCAACATAAAGATTTTTATAAATGCTGTATCTATGCTGTAGCTTGCTGAAAACATGTACACGTTTGGTACAAAATGTATACACACGCGTTACCGAAGGGCTGAGTACGTGAGTTCGCATGTGATTAGCTCTTAATAGCTAAAACCTGGCACGTAACGCAATTATGCAGTGTATGCCATAGGGAATCGAGGCCTTAGAAATGAGATATCTGTACAAAATAATCTGAAAAAGGCTTGACTACCGGTACATGTACGTACATGTACATGTACATGTAAGTAATATTTGCATCCTGGAACTGAAAATTCACTGCCCAAATCATTAATTGTGCTCGCTAAACAAATTGGATACATGTACCGGGTACATGTATGTCCAGCACCCATTAAACATTTTTTTTCGTTCTATTTATACATTTTGAAACTGTACATGTATGTTTTGATCCAACCAAATTTATTTTACCAGTTATATCCTTTGCACGTGAGGATATTTGTTTCGAAGCTTGCAATGTTTACAGCAGAAATTGAGAGACCTTAAGATCGTACTTTTATCATCAAAACTTAAAGGTCTTCTCAAATGTCACACTTTTGGGCCCATTAGTGTGGAATTGCCCAATTTCATTCCCTCCCCCTCAACCACCCCCTACCTACAGTGTACATGTACATGTACATGTACAATGTAGCTGTAAGTCAACTCAAACACCCTGCCCCCACCCACCACCAGCTGTTTGTTGGGAGTCTCGCCTTCCACTGCTAGTGTGAGCCGGGTTTGAATCCCGCCTTGACCAACATCTTGGGTTTTCAGTCACTACCTGATTCCCTGGGTTTTCCCCAGAATATTTTTCTGGGGTTTTCCTCCCACCTCTTAACTTTAATTTCTTCTCATCGTCTTCACTCTACACTGCAGGTTTCTTCAGGCTTGCGAGATACATTGTACATATAGGCCTACAGCGCCTAGGGCGCTTTTGAGGAATCCTTGGTTTCATTACCAGAAATGATTAATAATAACTATAATACCTTCCTCAAGTGTTTATCAAAACAATTGTTAACTTTGATATTCAAAGGCCCGTATAAACTACACTGTCAGTCAACGACTGTTCAATTGGCCTCAAGTGACATCCAGTCAGTGCCTGACTTTACCATAGTAAAATACCAAATTTGTAATCTAATAATAATAGCCAATTCAGTGCGTATCAGTTCCTCAAAACCCAACAGCACAAGTCTTTCGTTCTGCCGTCAACAAGCAACATCACTGTAAAACCATTCTCGGCCATCTCTCCTTGGTCCATCGATGGCCCCTCCCATAACCCTAGCTATAAAGTGCAGTTTCAGTTCACGCGCGTCATTCCAGATCCGCGGAGGGCGAAAAACAAGAGAGGCACATCTTGAAAAATGTGAAACGTGATCCAGTATCCACATAGCCAATGATGCATTGCAAGTCCTCACACGGACACGAAAAACAAGTCTTGCAACTTGGCATAATGCAAGCTCTCAAGTCTCATAAGACATGCGCATATACCGGTACGCTGCCCATACTGTACGCATGCCTTTTAATCACTGGTTTTCTGTTGATGTATTGTACTACATTTTCTCTGTGATAAATGGGTACATTTACGTACATATGGGCAATTCCACGGTTACTCACATTACATTTTTGATGTACTTTTGAGTTTCCTTGGGCTGTAATTACCTTACTGAAAAGGTTTAATAACTGTTATCCCCATGGTAGATAGAGTAGACCTAGACCTACCTAAGCACCAAAGATGACATCCAGAAAAATGTGTTATGTATGATAAACAAGACGCACGAAATTGGTTACTCATGTTGCATATCGTAACGTGAGTAACCGTGGAATTGCCCATATGCGACTGTTCATAATGTTAGGTACCGGTAAATATACATGTTTGCAGTTCCTTTAATAATTAAACTTTGTGCATCCATGCATTTCAAAAAAAGTTAATGTACATGTACCGGTACCATATCAATCATCAAATACATGTACCGGTATACATGTAATATGTACCGGTACATGTAGATAAACATGTACATGTACTTTCATTTGCTGTACATGCATTTATGAGTATTTCAATAATCACTGTCGATTGTGTCCAAATACATGTGCAGTAATAAATGCGGCATTTGAGTACCCGTTACAACATTATTAATTTGTTTTCAGTGTGTCTAATGAAGCAAACATCAGAACATTGTGTATGCATGAGGTACAAATATGTCTAGGGTTTCACTGAGTGAGTGATATTCCAGGTGAAAAGATGACTTCTACATACGTAGAAATAAATCACATTGCATAGGACACGTACGCACACGTGCATATGTCTGTTTGCTTGGTATCAGATTTCCCTGAGAGAGATGGCCATTTCATCAAAAATAATTACAGCAGGAAGATTGAAGGCTGCAAAACATGAAGTGTAACCCAATTCATGCGTAAGTGATTTGTATCATGCTTGATACGTGTGTATGCAATGAATACACCCATGTTCCTAGTCCTCCATGATACACCGTAGATGTTCAGTGTAAATTACGTACTGGATGTACCCCCAGTACATGTAACGTATCAGCCTCGACTCCAGGGGCACGTGCGCGTTCCTTACACTAACCCCTGGCCATGATGATGACGTAAATGACGCTGATTGGCTATTCACAGCGTACTGCGTGCGCATTTCGAAGATTGCATGCCGGGCGCGCCCATAATGCGCTCGCGTGCTTTGCACGTAATGTCACGTACGAAAAAAAATTGTTATTCATTTCAAAAGTCGCGATGCCTGTACGATATGGATTATGGCAGCCTCGTTTTCCCCCCAAAAAAACAGTATCTGTGGTTGTAAAGGCACGAAAGGGGTACGTACATTTAACACACATCTTTGCTAAATAACGCAACGTCCAAACGTTATGTTTGAAAGGATTGATTCTTCAAAATCACAACTTTTAACATTTAAAGATGGCGTCGGCACGTAAAACGGATAAACTGCAGCCTATATTATAATGTGCCATATTTTGACACATTTTAATTACACAATTAAAACCAGGGGTTAAGATCGTGCAAGGCATGATGGGAAACAACATGGCGCAGTGCGATCGTACCCATGGGGAACGAGGTTGGTAACGTATGTACAAGAAACAAGACAAGCATTTCATAATCTTGTACCCCACAGTGTACGGTACATATGTACAAAATGTACATTCATGGTACATGTACCATGTACAAACTGTTGTTCCATACATTTTACACATACATTTAGTGGTACACAAGTGGGTGTTTATGATCTGCAACGTTCAAGTGTACATGTAACATTTAACAACATGTAGAAGTGAACAGTACATATTCTGAGCAGTATAGACAGATACGTGTAGTTATTGATGATAGTATGCACTGGCTGCAATACATTCACATTCTCCACAGGTGGCCTACAGATTATTGGTTATCAGTAATTATCTCCTGTCTTGTTTAAACATCATGTCAGATAAACCTTTGATCAACATTAAAGTTGCCAAAGTTAACATATTAAGTGTTTTGTTGAATATGTTGGGATATCATATGGGGAATTCCATGGTTACTCACGTCACATTTTCGTAACGTGAGTAACCGATTTTGTGCATCTTGTTTATCATACATAACACATTTTTCTGGATGTCATCTTTGGTGCTTAGGTAGGTCTAGATCTACTCTATCTACCATGGGGATAACAGTTATTAAACCTTTTCAGTAAGGTAATTACAGCCCAAGGAAACTCAAAAGTACATCAAAAATGTAACGTGAGTAACCGTGGAAATGCCCATATGCATGTATGATATTCAGGTCACAAGTACATGTAACAGTTGATGATCAGTAACAAAAGAATGCCTTTTTTCGCATTAAATTTGAATATTGTGACTTGACTTGGGACTGGGTTACTTATACATTTGTATAGCACTGCTTTTTTTATAATGACTAAACCAACGGAACATGAATTTCTATTAACCCTTACTCTCTGAGGGTAGTTTACTGCATGTCAGTTGGTTATGCCAATGCCCTCCAGCTGCAGTTTATTGGCAGATAGTTTGTCTTAACAGTGAAGGCTCCAATTGGCAGGAGTTGGAGGCCCTGGAGGGTGCCTGATACTGACCAGCTGGGGGCACTCACTTTGTTATCAGAGGACTCTCATTGTTCTCTGTGGCATGTATTGGAGTGCCTGTCCAGTTACCCTTGAAATGACATGGCAGATATTGGAGGGCCGTGCAAAAAACATATGCCATTTTCTTAAGGCACATAATGGCATGCTTTGGAGGGTCCAGTTGGGTAAGGGTTAAAGATACATAATTGAGGAAACTGATAGTGGAGTTTATTTCAAATAAAATGTACACTTAGAAATGTAATCGAATATAACCAGGGGTGTGAAATCTCAGCTTTAAAGCTGATTTCAGCTTTTTTGTTTTGGATTTCAGCTTTTTTCCCTCTCTTGCTGTGTACAAAAGTATAAGAGATTTCCAAAGTTCAGTTTTTTTACACCTTTTTCAGCTGTTTTCAGCTATTTTTATCAGTGGTCACTCACACCCCTGTATAACATGCCCAAGTTCCACCAGTTAAAATTAGCACTGCACCATGTGTAGTTGTGTTTTCCACATTTACAGTCTTGAGAAGTACATTTGCATAAAGCTGGAAATCTGTCTTGCCTGACGAGAAATGTTGGAATTTTAATATGAATCATGTACATTAAGGCAAAGATGCTTATAAATGTTCAAAATCATTTAAAACTAACAGAACATAAATACCGTTTTTTAAACTGAACTGAACTGAAGAAGATCACAGCAATTGATATTCTTTGTTTCATTGTATTGATTTTTTCTAATCCTCCGCACATCTTATCTATTTTCTATATTTTATTTTGTTTGTACAGGCCGTTCTTTTCCCAGGGTATTCCTACCTCCAGCTCCATGGCCGAAGAAATGGAGCAGTTCCCGCTGATTGACCAGTGTCATGAAGACAACGGCAACAGCAAAGACTCAGGCAGCTCAGGGGTGAGTAGTGAGGAACGCTCATTATGAGTGGCTCTCAAGATCACAAACTGGGAGAGAGGGTAGATGGGTTAAATTGTGGCTGGAGTTGAGACTACCATGTCTCCCTCGAAAAAGTTGTCTTGAAACGTAAATTATTTTTTTGATATTTAGAAATGTAAGACATTCACTTTGGCTATGCAGTTCGTCATCGGCACCACGAACTGAGACTCATGTTCGCGTGAGTGCGCTGCACGCGCACGTATTCACAGAACCAAGATATTTTGGGTTTCACGAACTGACATCCTCCACAGTGCGGCACTTTTAGAGCGCACCCTGTACATTTTTGGTTTCACGAACTGACACTGATCTTAATTTTACCAATTGAAACACATTTTAATTAAAATTTTGTATAATCACACAAGTACAAGGATGGATTAAATATGTGTCAAACCTTTCAAACTGTATTTTTCCGTTCTGTATTGCCGCATCATGCTTGGGTGTGTCAGTTCGTGAAAACGAAAATCGTCCTATTTCGCGTCAGATGTGCGCCCGCACTACCGGGTGTCAGTTGATTGATTGAAATTGTTGATTACGTGGTTTTCACGAACTGACACCCACTTGCGCGTGAGTGTCAGTTTGTGGTGTCGGCGACGAATTATTAAGGTAAATGGGTGTATAATAATTCTGGCGCCAAATTCTACTTTTACAATTGAAGGATTTTTTTTCTTCTTAGAACCATTCACAAATTGAGCAGATTTCCTGACAAGAAATTGTAATGCATACCATATGTTCCAACCAAACTTTCAATCTGTCAGTGTCTGCCCGCACACCACCCTGAAACATTTGTTCTACCTACGCAAAGTGGAAGTCATTACTTATGAGTCATTGCGGTCGTGTTGATGGGGAACCATTGAATGGGAACATACATATGTATATGTATTAAAAGCATTCTGTGGGGGAAAAAAAATGGATTAAACCTGGGGTTTTTTTCCCTCAAGTGTATACAGGGCGAGTCAAAAAAAGCGAAACCCAAATGTCAGGACTATTGTTTTATTGAAGTTCTGCATGTAGCACCTTTGAAATCTAGGATATGAAAGCCCAATTCATCAGCTTTCTTTTAGTACAAGAATCATTCAAATCACTCATGTACTTTTTAAGTTACGGATTTTTAAACACAACCACCGTTTCAAAGTTCTGTCCATGGATCACAAAAAAAGGTGTGCATTCTTTCAGCAAAACAAAAACAATTCACACAGTCAGTCAGTGAGATACATGTAGATACAAAGAAGACAATAGGCAGACTTTGCACTCTGTTGTTGTCTCATAATGTTGGATTCATCAAGATACATGTACATGTTCAAAAGTGAATCCTGTAACGGGCAAGGGTTAACCTAAAAATACTGCACAGCACATATACTGGAATTTGTATCCTTGTAGTTTGAAAGTGTAGTTTCAAAATGTTCCTATATTAACCAGAATTAATTTCCTGGGCTGAAATTCGGACTTAATATCCCTTTTCTAAAACTCTACCATTTGCGACACATCAACATACATTGGAAATTCCTAGTTTTTTAGTAAAATCCATATATCTATTTCGTGAAAACATTGTAGAGACGTATTCATCTAAAGAAATTGCCCTGTGGAGACGTATACAATCTTTTGTTCCCTGTTATGCACATGTCTCCACAGGGTACCGTGTACCAAATCAACAGCCTCTGCAGTTGGTACCAAATAATCAGAAAATAATGTTGCCTTTAAACAGGACTTCCCCGTGGATGACGAAACAACTCCGATATCCGAGATCCCGCCCCTTCTTGCCAACCGCAGCGAGAGCATCCTGTCCCACCAGAGCGACCCGGGGGACGTTCTGATGAAGACGACGCCCTCGCCCAACAACGAGAGGACGGTACCGCCCTGTACCAACGGCGCGGGCCAGAAGGAGAAGCGGCAGCACAGCCAGTCGGTGCCCAAGACGCTGAGCAAAGAGTGGTCGCAGGGCTCACAGGGTTCACCCAGCAATGGGTCGCGGCAACACTCCAAGTCCGTGGAGAAGGCCAGCAGCTTTGGCAAGGCTGATCATAGGGTATGGACATGTAATCAGGCTTGGGCAATTCCAAAATGTTTGGAATTGATTCCTATTCTATACAGGAGTCATTATTCCATTCAAAATCAAACTCATTTCTATCTATCCACACTATCCATCCAAAAAAAGCTATGAGTTAATACTTCCATAATTTCACCAATAAAAAGCAGTACTGCATCACTGCATGTATATACACAGTGTCCTTGACAGGTGTTATATGTTGTACAAATATTTGCCACAAATATGGACATGTCTAAGAATTAAACATTTGAAGTGCCTGGAATCTATTCTTGAGAGAATTGAATTGTTACTAATTAATGGAAAATGTGGAATCACAATTCCATTCCAAATTCTGAATCGATTCTATTCCATTCTGATCTGGAATCTCCAACCCATTAAGCTCTTCCCCGTTGCACACTTTTGCAGTTCACTTTTCCAATGCCATGCTCCATGTTGCAGACTGGCACATTATAAGCAAGTGCATGTCAGATATTTGGGCATGCATCTCAGACATTAACCCTATTAAACCGCCCTGAATCCTTCAAAATCCTCTTTGCAAAAGTTGAGGAATTTGGGGGATTGAGGTGACATGCCAAAAGTACGTTACTGATGTCGTACCAGTAGGATGCACTTTGTCAAGGTCTTGGGCCAGACCTTTTGTTTTTGCTCAGCTACCGGTATGCATAAATATAGGCCTGGATTGTGCTTGAAATCCTCAATACTGCTCCAAGATGTCACTGGCCAAGCCTCTGTATTGACAGTCACTGCCGCAGGATTTTGCAGGATTCGGGCAGTGGTCACCCCTCCACGGACCATATTCAAGAAATAATGGAGGACTTTGCAGGATTGAGGCTTTATGCTATTTTTCCATAAGGCCAATTGGAAGATTTTGCAGGAGGCTACATCCTGGTAAAAAGGCCTAGGGGGTTGAGGTTAATAATATCGCATACTGTATATTGTGTGTATGTAGATGTATTCTGAATCCATTCTTCATAACAATTTTGTTTTGATATCGACTTCTGTCTTTGATGTCATCTTCTGTCTTTGAAAATCCTTTGCAGCACCCGAGTGTAACGCCGTTGGCTGAACAACTCACACATCTCTGGCAAGGCTTGACGGATAGTCAGATCCCCGACAAAGTCATCCTAGTCAGTGTGCTGGAGAAACACGGCAAGGTAGGGATCCAGACCTCTTGTTCTTTTCTTAATTTGTTTCCCAACCTGATATTGTGCACTTAGGTGTATGGTTACTCAATGCATTTTCAAACTTTAGCCCTTGTATGTAAAAATTGGTGTGTTCCTCACTTTTGTGTTCTATTCAGGTATTAGCCCAGACTTTGACAAATGCTGGGGAGAAAGTGGTGTGTACGTGTAACCATAACGACGTGGAAGCAACTCTTCAGTTTATTGTTAACAAACTCCAAAAGTAGTAAGTGGACAATTTTTGCAATGTGGTGTGGAAATTGTTTTTCCCCATCAGAAAATAGAACTTAACATCATTGACAAGTTGGAATCTTCCAAAAGGGTTCTGCGTTGCATGGAAACATGCATGTATTTTCAAACTTGAATACTCCATCTCTGAAGCTTTTATCTGTAAAATTTTTAAAAATATTTTTGAAAGAATCCCCTCTTTTCTTTCGTTATGGTGTTTTGAACTCATGGTGTGCTTTTGAAATCAGGCATGAGAATCTTCCTGTTTAAACACGAATTCCGTTTTTTTTGTTGCCCAAATTTCTGCATTTTTAATTTATTTTGAGCCTTTTTTGGTTTTTGTTTGCCTGATTTCACATCTTTTTTTTTTGTCTTTGCACAAATTTCCGTTTTTTTATTGAAATTCATTCTCATGCCTATAAACATCAGGTGTAAGTGCTTCTGGCAGCTCACAGAGTTAGGGCCTGTAAACTCGGAAAGAATACAGTACTTTTAACTCTTATCTTGTTAATCCCTTTGTCAACAAACTGGCCCCTGTCATCAGATACTGCTGCTAATCCCCTGCACTTGTCAGTATCAGCTGTGTGACAGCACTTTATATGTGGCTTTTTTAAACTAATAAGTTTTGGGGATTATAAAGCCACTGTTTGGACAAAGGATTAAGATAGATTAGAGGGCTGGCCAGTTTACAGTTAGATTGACTGTTTTCTCTCAGAAGTTTCTAGTGGAGGTTACACGCAATGAATGCAGCAAAGAGCATTCAAACCCTGCACCGTGGTATTGCAAGTTATTGAACCACAAGTAAAATCCCCAAAGTTTTGTAAAAAAAAAAAAAGGGATGATCCCTCATACTAATCCTTTTTTGGGGGGGTATATTTTCCACGACAGTTGTAACCAGAATCCTAAAATCCCTGAGCCCCTCAAGGTAGCCCTGTGTGGGAATGAGAGCTACGCTGGGGCAGCGCTCAGACCCTACGTGGAAATGTTTTCGGCTAAGACGGCTGATTGGCAGAATTACGTCAGCTTTTATGTTGTTCCGTTAGGTGAGTTGTACGAGTTGTCACTGTGAACCAGATTATGTCTGAAAACACTTTTGATCCTGACAAAATGTCTGAAAAGTGAACAATGTTGATGATATTTCAGACATTTGGTTTTCTGGGATGTCAGAAATGTAACACAAATGGGCACCGCTGCAGACATTCAAAATATCTGAAACGTAAGCCTTTCAAGAAACAGGCTCAGACATTTCCATGTGACTGACAGGCTGGTTACTTGTTAGGTTTATATTTCAGATATTTTCAGGTTAAAGGGAATATCCAACGTTTGCAAACATCAAAAAACAAAACAACCAAATTATTATGAAATATCTTACTGGACTGTTGGTGAATGACATCCTGAAGCATCCTGTAAAATCAAGGCAGCTGGTGTGCTGACATTTTCAAGAAAAGTGGGGTTTTCAAGTACTGCCACCAATGAATTTACCATATTTAGTTAGTCCGCATTTTGTTTGCAATCAATTACACACCTATGAACGGCTAGCTACACAGACTGGTTCCCTGACCTTACAATTCCTGACGTCTATAAATTGCTTCATTTCATCTTAAGTTGCGTCAGGGAACCAAACTACAAGAACATGATTGTTTTTCTTGGTTTTTCCATCATCTACGAACACAAAACGTTAAACAAGTCAGTGTAACAATATTCGCTATAAAATTCTAACCTCCCAAATCCATCCATTTCCGAAAATTACGGCAAAAGCAAATGTTGTATGTATTCTCTTTCATAGAATTTCTTACAAAGTGTTCATTTGTCATTGTTCATTCTCTATTTACTTGGGAAATTAATTGTGACTTGACAAGTACTATCGGATAAAACCAAATTTGTCGCTCTACATGTAGCTAAAAACCTGATTACAAACATAACTGTTGTTATTTTATTTGCTTTTTTTTTTACAGGTAATTGTTCTCTTGCCAAGTATCTGGGCTCCTTAGACTCCAGGTACTCTTCGTTGTTTCTGGACCCAAACTGGAAGGAATTCTTCGACAGAGATTTTCCAGGTAAGAAATCAAGGGAGCTGTCTCCCGAGTGGCATTTTTTTTAAAACAAAAGCCAGCCTCTATTTTCAGACTAATTCATACTTCACAAGAATGAGATTACCATGCACATGTGACCTTGCAGTACAGTCACAGCAAAATTTGCCAGAATCAAAATTCCTTCATCCCTTGTGAACTCACTTGAAATTGAATAAATGTGCATTCACGTTTGTGAGCAGTATGACCGGCCCAATCGTCTTTCTTTTATTTGTCCTGAAAATAAAAAGTTTATTCTCCAAATTTGTTTCTGTTCGGCCAGTAGAGTCTGTGCACCGCTGTGCTCATGTTGCTACTAAACTCTTAGTTGTGGATCAGAAATTACGAAGTGGCCCTGTTGTGTTTTGGAGTACCCTTTTTTTCCTGTAAATATGTTGGCCAGACAGGAAATTGTTTACCGTGCTTGTTGCTATGGATTTTCAGGTTGTGGTTCTTCGGTGTTTTTATGAAAGCCCTAACTGACTAATTCTTTGCGCCAACTTTCAGATAACCAGCCGCACACAAAATCTCGCAGGACAAGAAATGCGGCCTGTAAGTTTGCCCTGCCCCTTGTCCCCGTGCTTTGTGCTCCCAGTGATGCAGCAGTGGTCTTGGCAGATTATTTTTGTTTTGGCTAAATCACAGAGTCGCCTCCTGCCCAACCCCACCCACCCCCCAACCAAACCCCACAGCACCCCACGCAATTCCAAAGCAGTGGCTTATCCAATCAATACGTAAAATGTGACTAAAATTTTTGGTCTCTAATGCAGATTTTTTTTTTAATTTAAATAGTTAAGACATAAGACTTGTGAATTGTAGTCTTGGCAATCAATATTACTCATAGGAGCTGTTTTAAGACCTCCAAAATGTTCGTGTTTCCCTTGTGGTTTTCCAGTAACACATAAAGCAGGAGGCACGAGTGCGATACGTTGGCCATTTCATCCAGATCTGTCCGAGTGGGAAATTATACATATACCAATAGTACACATGGTACAAGATACAACTTCTAAAATAGCCTTTTCCTTTCAGTTTGTAAATCAAAATGTGTGTATTTGTTCATTATAGCATTGTTGTGAAACAAACCGACCAATCAATTTTTAATTTGGCGAAGCCATGAATAGGTGCGTGCAAGTGTTGGTACGATGCGCACGCTAGTGCGGTTGCTATAATTCGTTGGTTTAGGGCGTGACATCGCGTAGCTGCAATCGGTTTAATGAGAACGTGTCACGGATGCTGAATTTGGGCGCAATTCAAAACATGACTCGGCAACTTTTGAATCGAAATTGAGACCCTAGAATAATATTTTCTCAGAATATACAGCATTCACTGAGCTAAAACTTCATTGGGTTAGTTGTTAAGCACCCTTCTTCAGATTTTGAGCACTTTTGTTGCTTCAAACGAACATAATGCACAAATTACAAATGATGGACGGTACCTTTAAATCCTGCTATTTTCCCTCCAATGCTATCGTGTTATCCCTCAATCCAACAGTTTGTTTATTCCAGGTCATGTGAACGCAGCATGGTGTGACCGCTTTTTTTTGGTGTCCCAATTATTTGTGTCTTGTATATATATTTATTGATCGTTTAGGGTCAAAATCTGTGGGATTTGTACATTTGGAAAAATAAAGCCTTACACGATCCAGCCACTTTATGATGGGACTGATTTCCATTTTTGTTTTTCAATTTTTGTCTTCACTATTTCATCAAAGAGTACTTTAACCCTCCTGCTCTTTACAGTCAAAATTCACTTCCACTTTTAACGAAGGCTAGTCACCAGCAGTCAGATCATATGCTAAGCAAGCACTTAGACTAGTCAAATTGGTTTCACAGACAAAGCAGGCAAGTTGTGGTCACAGGTGTTTTATCGATCACCCGGAGTCAAAGCATAGCTGTATCAAGTTACTTAAACAGTCCCAGCCAGTCAATCCTGCTGTGTGCGGGCTGGGAATTCCAAACTGTTGAAAACAGTCACTTGATTGATTTTGACCGCAAGGACAACTTGGCACAGAGTGTATGTTTCCATAGAAGGGTTAAAGTCATTGAAAAAGTTGTGCCCATCTACTGAACTCGAATACATTTTTTTTGGTGCCAGAATTTTAATGGTGCTGTAAGTGTGTGTCTCTGTTTGCAACTTTGAATTATAAAAACATGAGACACATACATGTACATGTACTAAGCCAACTTTCATGTGGTGTAGAGTTGAAATCTTGTGTAACTGTTCTCAAGTCAAATCAGTGGCCTTCAAGTGGCAATGGAATAGAACATCCACTGTTTTGCCCTTCACTGACGTATTTTTTTGTAAACATACGTGTACTCAGTGCTGTCGAAGAGCTTGTGATTGTTGCCTTGCAAGCTCTGTTTGAGGGTTTACGTTGATGAAAGGCAGTACTCAGTACTGGGTATATAAATGTTTTAGTGTGTATTTCTTTTTAATTGCATGTTTTGTATGAGTATTAAACACAAACACATGATGAAAATATATTTTAAGATGGCAGAATCGATCAAATAAAATTGTGAGGTTGTATTTTTCCTTTTCGCTATTAGCAAAAAGGACACTGCAAACTGAACACTGCACTCGTTGCAAATGTGCATGTATGTACACGTGCACTTGCAGTGACCACACAAGTCAAGCCCAAGTCAGTCACAACTCGGTCACAAGTGATCAGAAGTCAGTCACAGGTCATCACAAGTCAGTCACAAGTCAGCCACAAGTTAGCATACTTGAGCAACAAGTCAATCACAAGTTAGCCTACTTCAGTCACGTGTCAATCAAAACTTTAACACACTTCAGTCACAAGGCAATCATGAGTTAGCACACTTCAGTCACAATTAGATAGCACACTTTGGTCACAAGTCAATCACAAGTTAGCACACATCAGTCACAAGTCAATTACAAGTTAGCACACTTCAGTCACAAGTCAGTCATGAGCCTAGCACACTTCAGTCACAGGTCAATCACAAGTCTATTACACGTCATCGCATACATGTACATGTACATGTATCAGTCACAAGTCATCACACAAGAGTCACAAGTCATATGTACATGTACATGTATGTACCGGTACATGTAAGTCAGATATCTCTCCATCGCAACTCAACCATAAGTCAATCACAAGTCCATCACAAAAGTCAGTCTGGAACTAACACAAGCCACTTACAAGTTAATCACAAGTCTTATAGACTAGCCAAATGACAAATCATTCAAATTGTGACCAATGCATATGTATCTGTGACTGTTCATCCCACGTTACTGGTGACCTTGTGATTTGGACTTGTGTTGGAATCTACAGCACAGTGGCATGTCTTCCCATCGAAGTAGCTCTGTTGCTTTGAATTGTTTTCTGTGTGTACTGTGCTGAAGCATTGCCAAGAAGGATAAGGCGTTAGTAGATTTTCACTTGACCCACTCAAGTAAAATCAAAGTAATCTTAAAGAGATTCTGCTATCGTGTGTAACTCCTGAACTTGAAAGTGTTGATTAAACTTTAAGTGAAGATGGCGTCTCTAGACTGATTTACGACCTAAAAAAGCTTTGCGAGAACCATCATTTTTTGAGAGCAGGTAAATTTTTGAACTAGGATTATTCAAGTGGTGTACCTCTTCTTCATTGGTTTTGACCCTGTGTGTTTTGCAGACGCCAAGGAGATGGTGAACCGAGTCAGCCAGTATCTGTCCGGCGGCCAGCATCGTCTACAGCTCCCCGTGGGCGAGGTCATGGTGACATGCAAGCAACGCAGCACCGATGAGGAATCCATACAGAAATTCATCCCATTCATTAATGTGAGTTGGCCCTGGAAACTTTGACAGTTCAGTGGATTATGTGATACAAGTACTGCCTCTGGGGTGACGGGGGGAAAGAAATCAAAGAGCCTTGTACACTTTGTTGCTGCTGTTCATGAACGGTTCCTTCTACCAGTCTGAGTACTAGTGTGATGAACATTCCGTATTTCTATATTTCCATTCTCAGAATGTCAGGATAGGGTCCACTGATGCAGTGAGCTTTTCATTGTCAGGTAAGAAATCATGAACAGATTTATAATAATAATAATAATTTGGGAGGCTAATCATCCTTACTCGCAGCTGGTATGCTGAATTGCCAAGGACACGGCTACAACGTGGTCAGGCTGCTGGCACGTAAAGGCGCCTATGGCTGCCGGCCACATCGACCCATATATGACCACGGAACACAGCCTGAGATTGAAAGTGTTTGATTTTTCCGGAGGGAGGAAAACCGGAGGGCCCGGAGAAAAACCCACGTGGCACAGAAAAGAACCAACGCACAACTCTACTCACATACGATCCGCGGCCAGGATTCGAACCGTGGTCACCTTGGTGAGAGGCGAGCGCTTTACGCACAAGCCACCCATGCCACCCATTTATGGTAGAATTCCCATGCCACCATTTATGGTAGAATTCCATGTCTATATACATGTATGTCAGTACTTAAACATCCAGTTAGAGGGTAAGAATACTATTTTGTGTTAACAAAAAGGAAAAGATTAATAAAGGAAACCCTTTTGCATACACAAAATAAGAAAGTACTTGGTTCAATGAGCCAGTTTATACTGAGCACATACATGTTGCATGGTAGAGCGATAAAACACTGAGCGATTTTTGAATCTGCATTCTGGCCAATCAGTGCATTGGCGATCATGCAGGCATGCAACTTTTCCTCGGATCAGCTGATTTCCTCTTTTTCTTACTTCCCATGTGTGCCATTGAAAATAGAAAAACACTGTACAAAGTCTGGGAAAAAAATTGAATTTCCTCTTTTTTGTGTGATTTCCCAGTTGCATGCCTGATCATGGCATTTGTAGGTTGGCATAACATCACCATGTGAAGCAGTGAAGGTAGCCTCTTGGTTGTCCCTGGTGGTGTGAATCACTTCTATAGGCCATATCCTTGGGCAGATAGTGACATTTGGGGTGTACAAACAGACATGGATCCAAGGTTTTTGATGTAAGTTTGCCTATTGAAAGTCTTCTTTTTTTTCCCCCTGCCACCTTTCAGAGTGTGAGGACACCAGCCCAGGCAGTGCTGGAGGACCTCTCTCCTCCAGTCCCCCAGGAGGACCTAGCAATCGAGACAAGGACGTCGCCGGCTCCAGCACCCCACCGTCAAGCCCTGTCGTCATCAATAACAGGTTCAGAAATAAATGTCCAATCTTCCCAGCCACAGAAATCGCCCTTATCGTTGCCTTTGTCCAAGACCGAATTTTTTTTTTAGTCCCCTGATGCAGCTGGCCCCTGACAAGTGTGGTCAAGCTGCTGAGGCGGAAGAGGATGCCATCTGCAACATGAATCAAATGCAGACGTGGGAACTTTGGCAGTGCTACCCGGGAAATATTGTACATATGGGGTTTAAAGGGGTACTTGCATTGTTAATAATAATAATAAAAATAATATAAATTTATATAGCGCACTTGTACTGAAACCCGGTCAAAGCGCCAACACACCAAAATAGTCATGGTCCAGTCATAGTGAAATAACTAGTGAATTAGATGAGATTTCAGTTTTCATTTGAAGATGTCCAGGGATGTTGTTTGACAGAGTGTGGCAGGGAGTTTATTCCAAATGGCAGGTGCTGCCTTGGCGAAGGTACGCTGACCATAGCGGATTGTATCTAGTTCTGGGTTCTGCTAGCAAGTATGAGCCTGAAGATCTGAGAACCTGGCCTGTTTGCTTGAGGGAGATACTGAGGAGCACGACCATGCATGATCTAAAACACAAGGAGGCGGATCTTGAAACTGATCCTCTTGGATGCCGGAAACCAATGTAGTTCACTTGTAATCCCTCTTCTTTAGAATTTCCCTTGTGGGGTTTCCGTTTTACAAAGACTGGCTTATGGGGTAACATTATTCCCTTTGTGAGAGTATGCCACAAGGTAGCTCTCGTACCATTTTACACAGCGCGTGTGAGGTATGCTCAGAATTTCCTGTGTAGCTCTGCCAAAGATCCCAGTACATTATTGATAGTGACCTCTACTGCTCTGGTGGCTGTTTGGAGCTTGTCATGAACCTGCTGTATGAGGGGAATAAAATCCAAATCCAGTCTTGTGTCAAGACTACCCTTATAAATGAAATATAATTTTGTTTTGTTTAACTGTGGATGTCATCTTAAGATATGCACACCCTGCACAAAAGTTACCTACATGCAATAGGGATGGACACCATCCAAACCCCCCCACCCCTTTTCCATTTTGTCCCTCAATATCACTGCCGCCAATTGTTTTTTTATACCAAGCCTTTATGATTTGGTTGGCTGAAGTGTTGTGCATATTACGCAACCAATTTTATAAATGAACCTGTTCACTGACCCTGCATTGTAAAAAGTGCATATTCACGAGAGTGATGTTAATTGTTATCAATGATAATTACAAAATGCCCATTCTAACTAGGCTAAAACTTTGCATTCATATTGAATATGGACATCTCTAATAATGTATACTAAATTGCTAAAAATCTATCATTGCACAGTTGAGATCTGAATGGTTGGAAAGGGAGGGGGGGGGGGGGGGAACACAATTACTCATACATTGTGCCCGTCTGATTTTTAGAAGTTTCTACTGGGCATTGAACTAAACACCGCAAAAAACAAAGTCCACACTCATTGGAGGGGTCATGATTTTGAATCTGATCGTCCTATGATGACGTCATTTATATAGACCTTTGGGATATTTTGTTAGCTACATTTCGATACCCTGTTTGCTACCAAATACTGTAAATCCTCCAAGATTGACAACGGTTTATGAAAAATGATGCAGTTCGGAAAGTTCCAAATTTAAAGATTGCGCGAGAAGAAAGTGCAAACACACGCTCGTAATTGGCCCCTATCGACTACACAGTGCCTGAAAAAAGCGCATGAGCATCAGGCCCTGACAGTAATGCATGCAGACTTCCATCCTAGTGGTCTCCCAACTCTCCCTCTGTAACCGTTGAGGGCGTACTTGTGTACGGAGCTGGCTTTGGACATCTGAGGAATTTTTTTACAGAGCCGATCGAAACATGTCAAGTTGCTTAGAATCACCCTTAATAACCAAACCAAAAAGTAGATTTATCAGTGGATTAACCAATTCATCCATCACCAATGTAATTCATCATTTAGTTTCAAACCCTATATGCATGCGGTAGTGTATTAATTTCACTTATGTTTTGTAGGCACCACCCCACATTGTGTTTTTGTTTTCTTTTTGTTTGTTTATTTTTCCTGCATGCGTGTGACCGTGCTAATTATGTTGGCCATCTTACAGAGAGGAGACAGTCGTTGAGGCAAGGTAAAGAGAAAAACAAGATTTTTTTTTTTTTCATATTTTTTTCCATTTTTTTCCTCTTCCTTCCTATTGCTTCAGTACCTTACCCTGTAGTGCTCTGTCCATTCATTTTCTGTCTGTCAGTCATTCTGTCGGACTATCTGGATGAACACTTAAACTGCCCCAAAAATCAGTCCTTCCGTTTTGAGGCGTGCGATCGCACCCCCACGCCATCACACGCCTAAATGCTTCCTGAGAAGTGTGAATAATCGCACGCCTGAATCTCTCAGTACCGCACACCTCGGCATACATGGCATAATTATACTTCATGATTTTGTGAAAAATAAAGTACGTCTGTGAAGAGAATATGGCTTTATTGTAAACCAAGCTGAATATTTTGAAAAACAATACCAGATTGTTCAGTCCCAGCTTGGACCACAGAATCACACACCTAGAAAAATCACACGCCTAGATAAATCACATGCCTAGAAAAATCCAGGTGTGCGTTTTTCCACACATCTGTGATTTTCAAATCAGAAGGACTGAAAAAACTGAATTTTTTTTTTCCCCTTACATTTCAAGGCTTAATATAACAAGAATTTGTTTTGCCTCACTCCACTGTTTCTAGGGAATGAAACGAGAAAATATTTCTTGAAAAAAGAAATGGTCACTGTTACAGGGTTTGTTGCTGTACTGTGGGATCTATTTAAGTAGATCTGTTTGGGCTGTGCCGAATATACCGAATATTCGAATATTCGATCATCCACCGAATATCCGGATAGTATTTTTCCAATTTGAATATTTGGAAAAAATGTATTCAGTATCGAGAAGATGAAGAGAAATGTCATTTTAATTGCATAAGTTTGCATGTTTAAAAACTCTCAAAAGTACCAGCTAGTCAGATACATCATGATGTTATTTAACAACTGTTGACTGCTGTGATGCGGGATATGATGTTTTTAACACCCGAGGGGGCTACAAATGGCATATCCTGCATCACAGCAGTCAACTATTGTGTTGTTATATCGTGCCAATAACTCAAAAAGATAAACGATTGTAACTTACTGTGTAAGAAATAGATTAAATCACTGCGATCTAACTTTTGATAGCTGAAAGTTTTGACGTCCTGCTGGACAGGAGATTAAGCGTTTGACAATGCAGTTCTCATTGCACAAAGCTAGCATGCTGGCAGGTTCCACACGCACACGCAATGAGCGCAATCTAAAATCAATTTGTGACATGCATTTTTATTGTCCAGACACGCGGCCGTGCTAGACCAATGAAATTACAGTATCCAAGCACACGATATAACAATTATATTTGTATAGCCCATTGCTCACGCAAATCCTGATCAATGGGCCATTTAATTTCTGATAGCTGCACGCAAATTTCATGTGCTTGCCCTTCGTGATTGGCATGTGCAATTTCTGACGGGGGCGCATGTGAAGCTTGTCCAGTGTTACGAGTATTAAAATATTCAATTGAATCCAAGTTCGAATGATTTGAAAACGCTCAGCCCTACTTTTAAACTTTGACTGTGCATGCATGTCATGATACATGTACAATGTATTTTATGTTTAGTTTGCACTAATACTACCTGTACAGCCTCTAACTAACCCGTAATTGCATCATAATTAGAGCATCTATTCGTGTATGTTGATCGGCTGGGTCAGCTTGTTATTCATGGTACACGTACATGTATGTTGATGGCAATTGCGTCTTTCCAAGGAACATTGGTATAAAACTCTAGCACCCAATATATTACAGACAAATGTTTTGTGACTTACATGTACCGTTGCGTTGAAGCATGAACTTACCTTAATATGAATCAGTAGTCTCCAAGAAAAGACTGGTGCCCATCTGGTGCCAGAACCACTTGGTAGTGATATCTACTGTGAAGGCAGGGGCCCAGACAACGATGGCTGCCCTGTCTACGTAAAGACTTACCGTAATTATAGACTTGCACCAACTGGTCCCCCTTGCGTTGTCCCCTTTTGTCCAGTGTTAGCCCGATATCCGGCGAGCTGATGGACCTTCAAGTGGAGTACTGGCCCATGCTGGGCGGCAAGAAAGACAAGTCCTCACTCAAGACTGCCTTCCGGTCACTGACGGTACAGAGGCTGCCCTCTCACGCCGACCCTTCCACCACGGGGCTATCTATGGTCATCGTCACCAAGGAGAAGAATAAGAAAAGTAGGTCTTTTGATGAATTTTTTTTTTCAGACAAGTTTTGCTTTTCTAACAAGTTTTGCTTGGTCCTTTTTCCCTTCAATTTGCTTATTTGATTAATATTTTAATCTTGTTAGGCGCCATCATTTTGTTTTAGTTAAAATGCACCACAGTACTGAACTTTTCAGTATGATGGTTAATGGGTGTTTTGTTGAACATTGTTCCTTCTCATAGTGTCTAAATAGATGGATAAAGGCCCTCTGTGCTCAAGAAAATAATTTCAAGCCAAAAAAAAGTGTGTTTATGCCCAGATTACTCTATATTTGGTCAATACCCATGTGAAAAAATACTAGTAATACAAATCCTATGGGAGTTGGCCTGGGTCTGAAAAGTTCAACCAGGGTTAAAGAGGGCACTCACGATGCTTTTTAGCTGTGTCTCAATAGGGAACTTGTGGAGTATGACATATTTTGACAAAAAAATGAAGGAGCAATTAATAATTATTCTTTTCAATCCGTACAGTTTGATAAATTCTTCACTGATATGCTTACAATATTGTCATTTTCTGAAACAAAAAAAATATTGTTTTCTTGTGTACCACGATAGTCATGAGAATAGGCAAGAAGCCTCGGGAAATAGAGACCGCTTTCAAGAGTCAGGAGATTGACGGAATTCACCGACTGGTCTGCACCTCAAGAACACAAGATTACTCGCTAAAAGGTGGGATTGAAATTTTAAGGGAGTTTTGGAATATTCTAAAATAGCTCCTAAGCAAAGGGATTTGTATGTGGAAGGCCAGTATTACCATTTGCATGCTGTGATTCATTTTCTGATTTAACGTTTTATCTCGGTGGTTTGAGTCACAAGCAAGCTGCTTAAGAAGAAAATTCAAGAGTTCTCGGTGTAGTACTCAGGCATGCAGCTTTTCCTCGGATCAGCTGATTTCCTCTTCTGTTTTTTTTCTTATTTCTCTTGTATTCCCTTAAAAAAACCTCCGAAGTCTTGTAAAATTAAAAATTCCTTTTTTTTTAATGACTTCCCAGTCGCAGCATGCCCGAGCACCTCATTCCAGTGCTTAACAACTACCATGGTAAATTAAACTGGTGAAACCAACATTTAAAAATAATATTTGCATAGAAATGGTTTTAATTCTTATCTGTTTTATTGGTTTGCAGTGAGTATTGATGGTATCGAGCTCACCCGAGTCAAGTTCTTCCAGTTATCGGCTCAGTGGCAGACCCGCATCAAGCACTTTCCCGTGGCGCTCTTTGCCCAGGACGTGCCGGCTTGCTGATAAACCGGGGGAACTTGCAGCATCGCAGTTGGAGACACCTAACCATATCGTGGTGTTGTTTTTTTTGGCTGAGGACTGGATTGAAGTACGAAAACGGGGAGTGGCATTCAATGCCAATAAACGGAGATGAAGAAACCGTGATTTTCATCGATGTTGAAAAAGTGGTGGTGTTGAGCTTGGAAAACAGCCATTCAGCGGTTATTTTATACCAGCCAGGCATTTACTGCTTGTGTTTAAAAATCAGCTGCCAGCAAGTTCGGATCGGAGTTCCTTTGAGTTGTTTAAGCATCCGACATGGAGCCGTACCAGGCCTGTTTTTCTACAAATTGGCAGACGCGGTGTGTGCATGTGCCATAGAGCTGGTAATTTTGTGCCGAGCGGTTTTATCGCAGATGGAGTCTACTCTCTGCGGGTATACTACTATTTGTAGCGATTGTAATGTAGCTGAAGGCGTATCTGCCACTGCAGATCAACCGGTTGTCAACTGACAGTTGGAAGGATATAAAACAGGGTTTTCTAAAAAAACAGTAATTAAAGAATAAGCATTGTGTCAAAATCTCAAGCATCTTTTGACGAAAGAGTCTTCAAAGTTTGATGTTCCGGTTCGAGGGAGAGATCAGATGAGAGATGTTTTTTTTTTCTTTCAGCATGTACCGAAATGATATTGAGGCTTAGGATGTATAACTACTGTACAGTTTTTCTTTTTGATCCGGGGATTGAAAGTGATCACAAGTTGTCGAATTTGTGCTTTGACCCAAGAGAGTCTTCTGCTGTGCAAAACAGACGGACAATGGGGCTTCCTATGCGTCAAGAAACCGGTGCTGATAATGTGGGAGGGAACACTAGTTGGTGACCACTGTTCGCCTTTGGGTTGATTCCGTGAATCAGCTTTTCCTGGCATGTAACCGGAGGCCACCGTGATATCCCGAAGAGGGATCTCATTCACATAATCTGACCTCTGGGTCAAAGGTCACAACCTGGGTCAAAAGGTCAAAGATGAAAAGAGCGGCTGTAAACGTACTAAAGTTTGTCTCTGCGTAATGTTATCTTTGTGTTTTTTTCTCCATGTGTGGTGAACAACTCCGCTGTGCGAGTTCAAAACAGTAAAATATATGGGCAGTTGCAATGAAGCTCAAAAAATGTGTAAATGTCGCAGGAAAAAAAATATGAAAGCTTGGAAAAAGAAGAAATTGGAAGCTATGTGTAAGCATTTGGATCGGTGTAGAGTGATGTGGCATCGTGTGCTTGAACTGAAAGTACTAAACATGTACTTTTTTTTTAAAAATGTCGCATGGAGGTATAGAACAGATGATGTTAACTGCCAAAGAATTAAGAATTTAAGTGGGTCATTGAGTGGATTCGTCGGATGAAAGAGTTCGTTTACCATGGCGTTCATTGATCTGCTGAAGAGTTGTGCAATCACGTTAAATGTTAAATTGTACAAAAGTTAAGTCTTGACTCTGTATTGCTTAGTACAACAAATTGTACATTGTTGAAGGATGGAACAAGGTTGAGGAGGCTTGCATTGAGTTCGGGTTGAACCTTTCTTTCTTTTTTTACATTTTTGTTAAATTTGGTTACACTATCGTTGCTAAAATGCACAGTACCATATAATTCAATCTGGTTACCGTTCGGTAACGTCAACCATCCAAACCCTTCCCCCTCATTTTCGCCAGCTTTCTCCCTTTCTGTTCCCCTTGGGGTAGAAGCCCTGTGTTATTGAGTCTTCTTTACAATTTCAAGTTGCTCTTCCTTGACTGTTTTCCGAGTTTCACCCTGCAAAATAGATTTTGAAAAATGGCTACTTTGTTTCAACAATACAAAACTTATTCACTTTTGAATGAGACATCAAACAAATAAATATCCACCAATGTTTAGTTATGGAATATATACTTCACAAAATTTGAAAAAAAATTGGGGGGGGGGGGTTGACAATAATTCAGGTGTATCTTTTTGTGTGTAACAGGCGAACAAGCAACTCAAAATATGAGAGTATATTTTTCAGAGTGTTGAAAACGTCCACAAATTTAAAAAAGGGAACTTTTCTTTCGTTTAAATAGAACCTACAAATTGAAAATTCATTAGGAGAAAACAAAATTGAATATATCAGGAGTTGGGGGGTGGGGGAATGAAAACTCCAAAAAAAATTGTCAACGTGTCTATGATATGTGTTTGCATTTGCCTGAAGACACCCCTTCCAATACCCATTTCTTTGGCGTTACATAACATTTACAACAGTCGATATGTGTATACCATGTATCCATGTCATTTAAAATCGTCCATGTTCAGTACAGTTGTTTAAGTTTTCTCCAGTGAGAGCTAGCATACATGGTATGCTTGCATTTTGCTGATCACATCTGGATCTGTGTAAAGAGAACTGTGATGGTGCTACAACATGACAATTTTTGGTAGATTAACTTCAGAAAATGTGGCTGACAATTTGAAGACAAATCCAAAATGGTTAAGGCATTGTTTTTGGTCAAGTGAAAAAAATGCTTCATCTGAAAGAGTAGCTCCCTACAGCTGCTACGTTTACACGTAGTTGCCCAAATAACTATGCGACAATTTGTCTAGATAGTGCCCAATTCTATCAAAGAAGGAATCAAATGCTGTGACATTACAGTACAGTGTGTGCAAGTTTACCATCCAATGAAAGTGCAAGTTGACCTCAAAACACCTGCGAGATTTTATGGGAATACAGTACATCCAGGCACCATGTATGAGATCTACAACATGTGTAATGTTCCCGCATGCTGTATTATCCAGGCATGTTGCTGTTATTAAAGAGGTTGTGGAATGCTCGAAAACATTTCCGTCATTTTTCGTGTATATGTAGCCTAAGGTGTGATGAAATAAAAACGACTATTGTTTCTGTCATGGAATGAGTACAAAAGGTACTTTTGAGAGCTGTTTTTCAGGTCCAGTTTCGACCCGAACGTGCAACTGTGTAAAAGTCGTCGTTGCGGGCAGCAAACAAAACACAGTAAATCGTGACGTAATAAACAGGACTCGTGTATGCTACTGTGCATCGGGAGTCCTGTTTATTACGTCACGATTTACTGTGTTTTGTTTGCTGCCCGCAACGACGACTTTTACACAGTTGCACGTTCGGGTCGAAACTGGACTTGAAAAACAGCTCTCAAAAGTACCTTTTGTACTCATTTCATGACAGAAACTATAGTCGTTTTTATTTCATCACACCTTAGGCTACATATACCCGAAAAATGACGGAAATGTTTTCGAGCATTCCACAACCTCTTTAATGTTTGCACCATGTATTCAAAGTGGTGCAAGGATACATACATGCATCGGTACAAGTGCAAAATTCATTGTCAATTCCTGCTAATTTCCCAAAACATTTCACAACTTTCCGTCGTGCGAACAATCTCAACAGATTGCTGGGATCATGTCAGTATTGTTTTTATTACTTCTTTTTTTTATATGAATGTTTGTTTTTTTAAGGCAAATGTAAAATAAGTAGAGGAGATTCGTACTGTTGCTCAAGGCTTTTGTTCCGAGCAGGGAAGAAGTCAAGTTAACTCTGATTTTAAAGCCTTAAGATTAAACATTTGTAAAATCATGAATTTACATGTATTGTTATATTATACAAACGATGTATGTACAAAAGTAGATTCACACATGTTGAATTGGTCAACAATTGCTGACCCGTATTGGTTGAAGAGAATTTCTACAGTATAACCCAACTGTTTTTGTGACATAATTAGGTCCAGCTGGTCTGACCACTACTCTTGAATAAGCCGTTTTTTGACAATTGTGCAAAACTTTTTGACAAAGGATTACAACTTTTTGAGTTAATAACAAAAATAAAGCTGTGTTTCACTTGTGTACAAAGCCCCACGTGTAATTGAAAATACGTATCTCAGCTCTGTGGATTTCTGTACATTAGGGCCTTCATAAACATGTACCTCTCGTCATGCATGCGATGTATGCCACAGCTGGAATGAACACTCGACTTGCCCAACTTGCCCCCCGTGGCTTGCTGTGTTTGAAACACAGAAGTGTATGAGGCTATCTGTTGTTTCTGTAGCGTGTGACGTAGTTTCATTTGTGACATAGTTTCATCCGTGACTCGCATTTTAAGTATTCGCCTGGAGTCTAGTGACTTGCTGCAACTGGAATTTTGCACGTCTGCTGCTGATTTATCGTAAATGCAGTAATTTGTTTTCTTTCTTCTTTTTTTTGGGGGGGGGAGATATATTGGAAATGTCGGTAAGGCCACACAAAAAAAAGTGTCTCCGGTTTCCGGTATGCGCGCGTCGCCGTAGCCATGCGCGTCGGCAAAATGAAAAAAAGGTTTTTTTCAATATAAGATGATGTCTCAAAACTGCCAAACTCAATGGTTTGACTGGAATCCTGCTGCTGCATAATTTCAACGTGTTTTCAGATGGGGTTACGATCGAGTATAAGCTTTATGTGGCCTCTCTAGACTCCCATATATTTTGCACTAAATTTAGTCTGGCACCATTTGTAGTCATCAGCCGACATTTGAAGACGAAAAAATTCAAAAATGCGTGGCCGCACCACTTTTGGGGCAAGCTCCATACCAGAAACCGGAGACTTTTTGGGGGGCCTTATCTGAGAGGGTATTAAAAGAACCTACATGTAGAGTTTTTTGTGTCTAGACATGTTAATTAAAATCAAAATTGTAAAGTTGGATTTGAAGGCGGGATTTGAACCGGGGACCTCCGGATTGCCGTTCCTTCACTCATGCCAACTGAGCTAGCCAGCCCAATTGTTGGTGGTTTCCAGTGGGTAGCTGAGTTGGCAGAGCGCTGGTACGGTAATGCACAGGTTGTAGGTTCAGATCTCGCTCCAGTCAATTTCTTGTTATAATAATTATGCATGCCCTTACATGTAGTTAGTGCCCCTTTATAGTTATTTGATTATTCATATTAGAATCTGTCATATTTACTTTTTTTATTATTGTTTCAGAACAAGCTGTCTTTACACCTACAACTCAGTTTACCTCTGACCCAAATTATTGGGGTTTTTTTACTTTAAAAAAAATTCTCAAGTAAAAAAACTCAGCATTTCGGGAACACTTTACAGAATGAGTGCCAAAACGTTACCAAGCTTGATTTATTGCTTTTGTTTAGCTCAAGAAAATTGCCATTTCGTGTTCAACTCAAATGATGGAACATAGGTACATGTACCTTCAACTTGTCAAATTGACAAACTTCCTTACGTTTGACATCTGCAAGCATTTGCAAGGAAATCTGCTTGAAATTCTTCAGCTTTATGGGAGAACATTAGAAATTATATGTGAATGTATAGGAGATGTTAGCCCCATAAATGTGGCCAATTTACTGGACTACCTCCGTAAATAAAGGCCATACTTCCACCATGTACAAAAAACATGTTGAACTTTGTCAAATTTAGATTTTCACATTTAGGCTCAGTTTGTAGTTTATTTTTGCTTTAGAAGCATACTCACCCTCTTTATAGGCTAATCAGAAAGTGCTGCCTTTTTCAGATGTCTATTTTTTGTGAAATTTCCAGATTCGTTTGCACACATTTGCGTATCAAAATTTCAACATGAAATTTCACGAAAATTAGGCATTTGAAAAAGGCAGCACTTTCTGATTAGCCTATAAAAGGGTGAGTATGCTTCTAAAGCAAAAATAAACTACAAACTAAGCCTAAATGTGAAAATCAAAATTTGACAAAGTTCGACATGTTTGTGTACATGGTGGAAGTGTGGCCTTTATTTACGGAGGTAGTCCAGTAAATTGGCCATATTTACGGGGCTAAGGAGATGTATGAAAAGTGGAATTATTTACCCATTTATTTCACCTGGCCCATTACTGGCAATGCATACGTGTTAATGCATCTCATGTCAACATATTCTGAGCCACATATGGTCTCGTGTACTTGCATTATTTCTGACTGGCATACAAATCTGTTAGTCCTAACAATTCAAAGTACAGGGCAAGTCGGAATGATCTGGACCCAATTTAAAGAAAATATTGAAAAATATGTAGCAGTTATCAAAACAAGTGCAAATGAGATATGTTATAGGCTGGTATTTTGGACATATTTGGTGAAAGTTTCATGCGTATCAATTGTATCATTATGAAGAAAAGCGCTAGCAAAGAACACACGCTAAAAAACACTCTGACCACTGTTCCATGGTTCAACAAATTGATTGAAATCGCATACTGATGTGAAGCAGTGTAATAACAAATAAAAACCTAGTCATGGTGACTGACTCACTTGAAGTTATTGAAACATTTAAAAAATGCAAAACCAATTCCGTGTGCAGACTGGAAAATGAGCCACTTCAATGAAAATGGCATAACTCCTCACCACAGCCGCTAATGTAAAAAAAAAAATCAAAATTACTGCGGAAGACAAGGTAATAACCATTCATATGAAACACGCATTTTGTTTTCTCAATAAACTCTATTTGCTAAAAGAAATTGGTGAAATTGGGTCCAGATCGTTTTGACTCATCCTGTACATACCGATAAAAACAGCATTAGGCGTACATTTCAACTCGGTTAAAATTTAAATATAGCTGAAGCTTTTGTATTTGAAGAAGTTTTTTTACTTTGTTGAACTATTTTTAACAGTGGTTAAAGACCCAAACTAAAAATAAGGAGATTTCTATATAACAGTTCTGCTTTTTTTTTCTTTTTTTTTTGATCTTTCAATTATTATTTGAAGATACAATTATCAAATTTACATTTTGTGGGCTCACTGGGCTATGGTCTGTTTTGAAGAAACTCCTAAAGAACCTTTAATTTTTATATGCAAATTATATTCACAATTTCTAGAAAAAAAGCCATTTTCAAGAATTGGGAACCTGTCACCCTTTTTTTTAACTAAATAAATTTGATTCAATCTGCAGCTCTGAATCAGTTTCAGCTTATAATGGAATTATATCCAAAAACTCATCAGAAATCTCAAAATAAACAAGACGTGTCAAAATCTTCAGATTAAACATTTAATTAAGTGCATGCTGTGTGTGGCAAACGCTTCCGTATAGCTAGTTTGCTTTGGTATTTGTTTTCCAATGTGTAGATAATCACTGCGTAACTGTATGTACATGTATGAATTGTATTATTTATAGATAAACGAGAAAAAAAAGTATTTATTTTGCTACGTCATAACATTTTGTGCATATTCAAAAAAAGACAGAAATGGCCCTTGTTTCATTGTGTACATAATACGTAACTGTGTTTTCAGTAGCGCACAACTCGGCTCTGTGCCATTGCCGGGGCCAATTGTACATTAATTGCATGTGATCATTTAAAAACAATTCATTCATTCTAAATTCTGACTGTATGCTTAATGACTTGACAAGGATCGAGAGAATCACTTGGCTTTTCAACAGCATTGTTTTCACATCTTCCCTTCCACTGTGCCTCTTACAGAGGGTTCAAAATGGCAGATCGCATGCACAAGACATGGCTAAATGTTGTGTTATATATACAATGTAAAACTGGTGGGATTTTTATTGAATTTCCAACGTGGAAACATTGGCAAAAACTAATGACCCAGAAACAAACCTACCGATTTTAGAGAGAAAAACCCTGCTCAAAGTGAAGAAAGGCCAGATACCTTGTGAAATTATTCCGCCGCAAATGGTACCGTTTGGAAGAGAAACATTCGTTAAAAGAGTTTTTAAAAATTGTGCCTGCAAGTACTTTTCTACGGGCGCAAGCAACGAAATTGTCTGTTTTCTAGTAGCCACTGAGCCTAAAGTTCAACAGGTTTATTGTTACGCACCCAACTTACAATTTTGAGCAGTTTTGTTGCTTCAAACCAGAAAATGCTGCAAAGCAAGTCATCCAAAAATTGAAGTATTCAGTATTCCTTTTAGACCAACACAATCTGGTCGAAAAAAATATTAACTTGTTAATGGCTTCATCTTAAGAAAGTATAAAAGGGAATTGCAAAGCTAGGTGAATATTCCAGTTGAAACCAGTTCAACTGGAAATTGGTGACCGGTTTTGAATTGGTTTAGCTTGTCCAAAGCCAGTTATACCAGTTCAAATCCAGTTCAAACTAGTCACCAATTTCCAGCTCGACTGGAACCAGCTAAAACCAGTTCAACCTGGTTTCAACTGGAATTTTCACCTGGGAATGAATGCAAAATAATAGGCTTTATTCACAAGTCAGCCATATTAAATTGAAAGCGGGGTAAACTCTTCATTGTTGGAACTTGCGAATAGAAATGAAAGCAATGAAACAAAGTTCATTACAAATTAAAAGCAGTCTGCTCTGATGAATAATTGAAACTTTGTGATTGAGCAGCATACCCTAATGTTTTCAGCCACATTTTAAAAAAAAATTGAAAGTGAGGCTAGGAGCGCATGAATAGTCTGGCACCATCCCATTCAACAGTTTACAATATATAAACTACATTCAGGGAACATGATTTAAAATGGCTTCCTCGTGAAGGTCTATGGGCAGCTTGCACAGGGCAGCTGCTTGTGGCTTCGAAGAACAATCTATTCTTCAAAACAAATATTTTAACTGACCTGCATCTGTTAAAATCATTAGAAATTAATAGGAAACTTTGTAAATATTGAAACGTTTCATATTAATCATATTATTACCTAAAATAACAGTAATGTATGGCCAGTAAAACTCAGTTCCTGTCTGTGTCGATTTAAAATACGTACATATCGCGTTACAGTAAGAGTTTTGACGTTTGTATAATGGATGGGATTTTGTGCTTGAATTTTTATGCACGTCTTGCCAATTTTTTTGTACAATGTATTATGATATAAACAAAATAAAAAAATGCAGGCATGTGGTCAGTGTCAGTAAACAAGTCAGTGGAAACAAATGCATGGTGTCCTCGTCAATTTATTTCTGTTCTTCATTACTGTGTAGAGAACCGTTTAGCTCATGAATAAATGCTTCAACCCTAACTCCCTAGGGGGTGTGCAAAATCATATTAAACTTGGAGGATTCAAGACTGTTGGGGCTATTGGATTACAGTACAATGTAGATACAAACAAGTTAAATCTAAGTTGATTCTGGGTTTTTTAGTTGCAAACTTTACAAGTACTTGACTCAGGGTTTGACCTTAACTTTTTTCCCCTAGCCAGCCAGGCTACTGAAACGGACTCTTAAAAAGCTCATTGGCATTTTCACTAGCCCTCATGTTTTGCTTTTATAGTGTCTCATATACAACAATGTGCATACATGTAAAACGTGTATCCTGTCGGTGTTTTTAATAAACAGATCTAATAATTTAACCCTAAACAGTAATTAAAATTAGACACAAATTGATACAGGTTTGCTTTCTGAATTTAAAGATTTATTTCTTCCTGTCCTTTCATCTTTGCCGGACCCTAATATTTTGACTCGCCAGCGAGGCTACTTAAGGAATAGTGACTAGCCCGCCGCTATTTGGCTAGCGGGCTACCGCTAAAGTCGAACGCTGTTGACGCAATCAACCTTTTGTGCCCCATCTTAAGACTTCTTTTGTTTACAAACATGAATTATGGGCAGTCTCATGCCCGTTTCTTAAAATGGCCTAAGTTGACTCTCAGATGTTTGTGGTAGCTCGAGTATTTTCGGAAGTAAAATAGATTCATTTTCCCAACAAAATACCTAACACGCTTGTCATCAGTCCTGACATTTTTGAGTACATCAAATCAAGGCTTGCGTTTACAAAATGTCCATTTAATTTCCATTTAGGCCTTGTTCCCTCACAATATTCGATCTCAGGCTGTGCTCTGTGGTCATATATGTGTCGATGGGCCCGGCAGCCATAGGCGCCTTTACGTGCCAGCGGCCCGACCACGTTGTAGCCGCGTCCTTCGCAATTCAGCATACCAGCTGCGAGTAAGGATGATTAGCCTCCCAAATTATTATTATTATTAATATGCACTCGTATATTTTTGAATGTGACGGTTATCTGACCTTCAATCAACAGCCACCAGGTGATCATTAGGTCCGGGAACTAGACTAAGCAGACAGACAGGAAGCCACTATCCTGCAGTCTGGGTACATGACTGCCCAGCTATAACTCGAATTTCAACATGTCCTCAACACGCATACTGTTAATATAAACAGCGCCCCCTTTTGTCTGCACACCGAGTCCATTCATACTCCTAGTCCCACATCTTAGCTAGGTCCCGTGATTGTGTTACTCGTCACGTGACCCTGAGTGCCTGTAGCGTCCCATCCCTGCAGCCAATCAGCACCTCCGGTTCTCCGTTCTTGTCCAGGTCGGCGACAGCCATGGAGTTGATCCAATCAGAGGCCTCGTACCAATTCACCAACTGCAGACGGTTGGAACCGCACAAGGAAATGAAAACACATCAATGGTTGCTACGTCATTCCAATCAATTTAAGTAATTAGCATTTTCTTTTATGTATACACACACATCCTCGTTTAACTTCCAGGAATTGATTTTTACCTCATCCGGCTATTGACACACAACAGCCCACTGCTTTGAGAACATGAAAAGCCAATGTACAAATTCCGCAAACATCCAAAAACTAACACCTTGCTTGTTTGACAGTAAACAATACTGCCTATAGCACCATTTGAAATCATAGCACCTAGTATAAGTAAAGTCTGTCCTGAGCCAATGTGGCTCATCAGGCCGGCGTTTATCTCCGGTTTCAGTAGCATGAAACGACTGAGAATATTTCTACTCCCCCTGGATGGGATGCTAGTCCATCGCAGGTTACTCCCCAGCTAATGCCGGTACCCATTTATACTCCTGGGTGGAGAGGGGCAAGTGGGGGTGAAGTGCCTTGCCCAAGGACACAATATATGACCAGTGGCTGGATTCGAACCCCAGACCCTCTGATCATGAGTCATGAACCCTAACCACTAGGCCACACACTCCCCTAGCACCGAGTATACTTTCATTTAATTAATTAAAAAGCCTTGGCGTTAGTATGGCATTTTCCACGTTGCAGTGCACGTTATAATAGGGGACCACATTTACTCAACCATTTGCTACCAAATTTAGGTAGTACAGTGGTCAGAAGACTGCAAACAGCCATTACTCGAGCTTGCTGACTAGTCTTGTTGGCAGGGTGACTGATTATCCTTGCCCTGCAGTGAGGCCAGCTGGACTCAGTATAAGGATTTTATTACACAAACATGCGGTTCTTGTCAGAGGGCTGGAGTTTGGCTAGGATTTTCAGGATCAATAGTTGAACTCTGGGGGCTCTCACCACTTTATTTGGCTATGTTTGAATGAGATGTGGAACATGTTAAATATTTATTTTTTTTTCTTTTTAATAGTTCCTGAAAATGGTAATCTGCTTTACAGCAGACTGTTATCACAGCAGCAAAACCTACAGTTGCTCTTATGCTCGCTTCCCACAGGAGATTCAAGTCAATTACAAAAACTATGGGTTTACAACCATAACAGCGAAACACTGTGTTCATGGTCAACCGCTGCAGTGTGCGTTAAACTGGAACTGTGGCTGCACCGAGTTGACGCCACGACTTTGATAGCATAACTGTAAATGTTAAACACTACCTTCAATCCCGATTGGGTAAAAGGAAAACCCCAAACTCAACAATTGAATTGTCTGCCTGAAATGTTGACTCCTCACCCACCTTGCGGTTGTGGTAGAGCATGAGACAATGACTGTGTCCTGCACACAGCAGGGAATCTAACTCATCGGCGTGGCCTGTTGCTATGGCGCCAAGGTGCATGATGGGAAGTTGGAAATTTGCGTACTCGGTCGTGTGTATCTGAGTTAGAAACAGGAAAAATGAACTGTGGTTACACTGAATAATGGGCGTCGCGAGGGAGGGAAAGTGGGGGCGGCGCTTGGCCCCTCCCCCCCCCCCCCCCCCCCCCCCCCGGAAAAAAAAGAGACTAGATAGCTACATGTAAGGCACAAAAAAAAAACACCAGTTTTGCTTCCGATTACATGGCATTTGAAAATAGGGTAGGTAGGTATGTAGGATTTTTTTGGGGGGGGGGCATTTTTTTTGTGTACGATCATATGGAGGTGTGTGCGTGTAGTTAAAGGTAGTAATTGATGGTTTTCAGGGTTTTTTTTTCAAATTTTTCCACCACTTTTTTTTTTGGGGGGGGCCTAAGTTGATAGAGCACCAGTACATGTATGGTGTTCAATCAGACTCCAATGAATTGAGTAAGACCACGCACCTGGAAATCAGTCATAATAATGATGGAGCCATCGTTGCCTCCCAGTGCAACTTGGCTGGCCGTTGCTTCCTGCATCTCGGATGTCTTTATCTCCTCCTTGGGCAGGAAATTACCATAGCACATCTGGATACGTGGGAAGAGAATGGTCCAAATGAAGTTAGGTCTCAGTTGTAGTTGCATCAATCACAAATCAAATCAAAAGACCTCAAGCAAGCAACAGAGGATGAATACTGACACAGGAATGCCCTTGTCAAAGTTTTTATGGTAATGTAAATTTCCATATTCATGAGCAAAAGTGTAATGTCATTTCAGGTAGAAATCTCAATGTGACAGCTATTTCAGCACCACAAGTTGCTAGAATTTTGGCTATTTGGGAGAAATAAGAAAGACTACTCCCCCCCCCCCAAAAAAAAGACTCTATGGTGGGGTTAAAATGAAAGGTGTAGATTGCTAGAGTATAGCAAATACACTAGTCGTGGAGACCCAACCACATGTCGATGGAGCATAGCAATGACTGAGACTGCTCAATGGACAACGTTAAGCTTGGCTGCACTCACCGCTGTAATAACAGATGGTGTCTGCAGCGTCAGTACAATCAAACCCTGCTGGATGAAATGAAGGTTTCTGCAGTCATCTGAGGCCAAGATGTAATTGCTCCGTCGGCCGGAGGAACTGACCAGAGTTGTTGCTAGGAGACACTTGACAACGCTTGACCGACTCTCTGCCTACACAATGAAACAAACAAGGAATCCAAATAGACAAGAGTTTCAATTATAAAATTTAATTTGCCATCTTCAGGGTTCGACCTTAACTTTTTTTTTGTTACTCTTTCACTTTTTTTTCGTGGGCATTTTCACTAGCCCGCATGTTCATAAACAACAATGTGCATACATTATAAACGGTGTATCCTGAGGCAATCTTGTCAGTGTTTTTTAATAAACAGATCTAATATTTTAACCCTAAACAGTTAAAATTAGACACAAATTTAATTGCTTTCTGAATTTCATGATGTATTTCTTCCTGTCCTTTCATCTTTGCCGTATCCCAATAATTTTTGACTCGCCAGCCGGGCTACTGAAGGATTAGTTTGTCCAGCCCGCCGCTGTTTTGACTAGCATTTAGCTAGCGGGCTACCGCTAAAGTCTAACCCTGCCATCTTGCACTTCTAGTTTAAAACCTAAATGCCAAATCAGACAAGTCCAAATGTTCTTACCTACATCCAGCCCAGCCCAGCTGAGCAGAGCCCAGCCCAGCCCAGCTGAGCCGAGCCGAGCCCAGCCCAGCCCAAAGTGACACCTTTAACATTATTATGTTGAGTTCATACAAATCCTAGGTACTTTTGGAACACCGGCCTTCCTTTACCTGTACTTCCTGTGATGGTGAGTCCAGTCTTAGCTTCCACAGGGGACTGTAAGGTAGCAGGGCATGCACCACCCCACCGGTATCACCAGAGATGACACTGACATTACCAGCTGCAAAAACATGGATGAAAGCATAATGTAAAATCGTACAGCTACAGATCGCCGGTCACATCAAGAAGATGCAAGGTGATTCAACTTGAGATTGACCTGTGATTTAACTTGAGATAGACTTGTGATTGACTTGTGATTGACTTGTGACGACTGCTGATTAACTTGGGTGATTACCTTGTGATACGACTTGTAATGTATCTTGTGATTGACTTGTGATTTACTTGTGATTGACTTAAGATTGACTTGTGATTTAACTTGTGATTGACTTGTGCACAAGTTGTGACTGACTTGTGATTGACTTAAGATTGACTTGTGATTTAACTTGTGATTTAACTTGTGATTGACTTGTGCACAAGTTGTGACTGACTTGTGATTGACTTAAGATTGACTTGTGATTTAACTTGTGATTTAACTTGTGATTGACTTGTGCACAAGTTGTGACTGACTTGTGATTGACTTGAGATTGACTTAAGATTGACTTGTCAAGTTGTGATGTAACTTGAGATTGACTTGTGATTGACTTGTGATTGACTTGTGATTGAGTTATGATTCTATCCATCATTATGACTTACTAGCATCGGCATCCACCTGTAGACACCCAAGACTGTGTTCGGATAAGCTCTGTCTGCTCAAGATCTGGCCGTTACAGAAGATGGTCATGGTCCCCCTGGAATCACCCGCTACCAGGTCTGCCGTGCTAAAGCGAGTAATGTCAGCCAAGACCAGCGATTGCACTGGTCCCCCTTTGGTCTCCAGGCAAAGATGGGGCTGTGGGCAGGATACCAGCGGAGGAGAAACACATTCCGAATTTAATGATTGAATTTATTAAAGGCAAGCCACTTAAATACATGTAGGTACATGTTGATCTGTTTACACCTTGACAATCTGAACAAATGAACAGATATTGCGTTAACTCTTTTCTAACATCAGCAACTTCCATGCACCAACCCCTTGATGCTTACCACAGACGACTTTGTGGTAAGGAAAAAAAAAATCACTTTTATAATGTTCAGTGTTTATAGGTTTTTGCCCTTCACTGACGTTCTTTATAAAACACTGTGTACTCCAGTGTTGTTCCGAGTGATTGTGAGAAAAAAATCACTCGGGTGGGACTCAAACCCACGGCCTCCCGTTTACTAGTGCAGACGTCTTACCACTCGACCACCAAGCTTGCGCTTGCCGGGTCGGCTGGCTGGTTGGAATCAGATACTATAGCAGCGGGTACCGCAACGAAACTATTGGTAAGATGGGATTTGTGTTGGGTGATGTAAATTCAGTGTTAGGTTTTTGCCCTTCACCGACGCACTCTGGTCGACAAGGAGCACAAGTGTTCACTGTTGGAAGCACCACACATGAGTCCCTCATCTAGATGCTGAACAGGCTTTGGTGAGAACCTTCGTAGATAATAGATGTAGATGTACTATATCCATCCGCAATTTCAGGTATGCGATTTGGTCATGTGGTGAAATGGCTTGCAGTTTGATAAATGGGATCAGGTACAAAAACAGGTGTAACTTTCTCTTTGTTCTTTTTTTGCACAACATATGGCCTTGAGTTTACATCATCTGAATGAGTAAAGTTCAAGGAACAGATTTTACACACACTGTATCCTGAGCATGATGGGGCATATTTTTAATGAAATTCACCTTGAGATTACCACATGACCACAAAAGATGGTGGATATCCGTGGAATGGTCTATTAAGTCCATACCGTGCAGTGCATACATGTACATCCACATTAGGGCAAAATACTTACCACTGGTTCTGTCAGCTCTTCGCCTGTGGAATGTCCTGATGGAATATCGTAGACCCTGATGATACCGTCCTCACAGCCCACAACGATACAGTCATTCTGCAAGCTATGCAACAGAGTACAACATTAAACGTAGAGTACATCATTTGCCGCCATCCACAAAGTAACTGACGAAACTACCAATTGTGTATTGCCATGCGTAATCAACTGTTTATTAATATTACACATGTAAAGAGGTCCACTTTATGCATCTTTTGGAAAGAGTCCCATATCTGGCCATCAGTAATTTTTCCCTTAAATGACCTATCATCAGAACTTGATAATATGTCATAAAAAATTAGCAAATAGCAGGTACAAATTTTAAATTTTTACTGAGAAACAGACTTGGAAATGTTCAGACCAGTCCCATGGGGTTTGTGCACAGGGTGACAAGTGATGGCCAGATGTGGGAATCTTTCCCATCTTTTTTTGAGCACTTAAGGTCTCGATCTGCTGGTGCACATCTAGACCCGTGAACGTGGCTTGTAAACTACGCCACGCTGTTGTGTATTTCTGAACCTGGCGAAATTGTCCCTCTGACTCCCTCCATTACACACACTGGACGTTATTTTGCAAATGTAATAAGTACTCACATATGAAGCTGTCTTGAAATCTGTTTGTACATCAAAACTTGCATTTGACGAAATTTGAGGAAAATTCTGGCCCCGGTTTACGAAGTCCTGCTAGCTGCCATTTTCTCCCAAGTGACGCATGCGCTTTGCGTTTTATTGTACCGTCCTTCGTATAATTCGACGGCTGTTTACTGTCGCAGCTAAAAGAGACATCGTTTTAGACAAGTTTCAAGTCCTTTCCTCTCTCACCGCACCGCACCGCACGCAGGCGCACGTGCGCCCGCGTGCGTGTGCGCACACGTACACGAGATGAGCCGAGCAGCCAATCGGGTGCGGGGACGGTTTTTTCGGGGTTGCGACATGAAATAGCCGTCAATCTGTCCAAGCGACTCGTCTGGGGTCATTTGTCAGGGTCACTTGTCGGGTTAAAATGAAATTTCTACAAGTTCGTATGGGTCTATACTGATGGGCAAATTTCGTCGAAATTACACAGCCTGAACAATCGGACAGGCAAATTTAGATTTCTAGGTGAGTACTCAACACCCATCCGGAATTATGTATGTCGGATCGATTTCGCTAGGTTTTAAAATACACAACAACGTGGCGTTGTATACACAACGCCACGTTCACGGGTCTAGTGCACATCAAGATTTGCCGTGTTTGACAATTTTCTTTCACTTCAGGATAAACATTTCATCCTATGTGTGCAAAAGCATTCTTGTGCGCTATTTTTATCTTTCACATTTATCCCGAAAAAAAATCGTCGAATCTTTAATGTTGTGCACCAGATTTGGAATAGCGAACGCGAACTGGCTAATTGCTACTACATGTATTTGTACTAACTACATGTATGCCATGGTTAAAGTCAATGAAACTTGAAAGTTAAACAACAAACATCACAGTTTAGTATGACTCAGTTTCCTTACCGAAACAGTTTTCCAACAACAACTTGGTTGAATGCTTGCTTCAGTTTTGTCCTCCATAGAGTTTGTAAATTTGTTTTATGGGGCATTTTTTCGTTATTCTGCTGTTTATATAAGGCAAAGGATACAATTGTTCAATAGAAATATGCCGCAGTGAGTGTGACTGTACTGCTGTTGTGTTTATAAAGAATCTGACTCTAGAACTAGATCCTAGAGAGGGCGCTAATAAAGTCTTTAATTCGAACTACAGAGGGCGCTACAAAGGTTTACTGGCGGGTGGATGCAAACTTGGTTCAGACAGTTGTAACCGTAACAATACTTTGGAAAATAATCAGTGAATAGACATTCGCCTAAAGAACGTGCAAAGTCGATGGACTCACGTGAGGATTTAGGTCTCAGTGAAGATTTAAGCTCGGGGCTGAAAAGAGAAAACGTTAAAGCGCAAGTCAATTTGTTAAATATGTGTACAATGCAAGGGTACAGCGTACGCGATTTTTTTTCTGATGCATTGTGACTTGTATAAATTTGTATTTAATGTTCGTAGTATGTTATGTACTTTTCCTTATGAGTTTAACTGTACTTTAACATTATATAATATTTTGTGTAATGTATGCAGGGCCCCAATGGCACCCGGTTTTTCACAGTTTGGGCGCAGGGCCTATACCCTGGGTAAAGAACTTTGGAAAATAAATAAATTATAAACTTCCTTTTGTTTTCATTGTCACTTTCTTGAAGTATTGAATTGCCTACACTAATAAGGGCAGTTCTTGAAGATGAGTTCTTTTTTCTGTCATTGTTCTGTTCACCTTGTAACGGGGCTGTTAAAGAGCCTGAAAGTAAAAGGTCTCGCGGCGAGCTTCCTGAACGTTCCTCATGTGGCCGGCCTACACGGGCATACTGGGTTGCCTCTTGCTATATAATTTTGACAGAATAATTTCTAACCGTAATCACCCAAGAAACATTCATGTTGGAATTTTATCTTGGTATTTCTCAAGAAAGAAACGATGACAAATCACTTGGAAATGGATACAAACAAGAATTTTACTTCTATTTCACATCCGGCATTTTCGTTTCCAGGTCTCCTTGTTCGTTTACGCTTGTTTTCACATCTAACATTTTTCGTAAAGCTTCTCGTCGTTATAAGTTTAATGTATAACGACGCAAAGATTTAACTATAGCCGATGGGTTCTAGGTTTAGACGGGCTGACTTGAATGCAGTCCTAGCGGTCATTTCAGATTTTTTTTTTTTTGTAAATGCTACTGAGTCCTCCAAGTTTGATCCAAAAATGGTAAATCCTAAAAGATTTTGGTCTCTATATGTAAGTTCCAGTTTTCACCCAATGACCGCCACAAAATTATTTCATGAAATAATGTTCGTCTTTGTACTGGGCTCGACTAGTCCACGCGTATTTTAGATTTTCGGAAGCGCCTGTTTATTTTTTGACACGATATTTCTCTTTCACGTCAGGCGATTTTTCGATTTCCATAAATTGAAATGCTATAGTAACAAATTTACAAAAATCTTTTTCTAGCGTCATTATCTTAAGAAATCAATGTACCAAAAATAACTGCAAATTCTGTAATTTTCGGACGTTAATTTTCCTGTTTAAAGGTTCCGGAAGCGCGCCGTCAGGGGTTAAGGTTCAGGATCTATTGTCTGCACTATTTTGTCAAGATTAATCGGCACCGACAGGGCCTCTGTGACTTAAGATAGAAGCAGGGCTAGTGGGGCATGGGGAGGGGAGGGGGCTTTCCATTGATGTTATGTTATTCTTGCTAAAAACGCATTCACCCTCATCAGCTCCCTGCAGAGCATGGGGTCAACCCGATCGGTTCCCCACGAATGCCCAGTCCCTATGTGTTCCCCAGTCCCCTGTGTTAGGGGTTAGGGTTATAGAGTTAGGGATAGGGGAACATAGGGAAACCGATCCCCCCACAAAAATTCTGGGTCCGCCCCTGAACGCACATGATGCCTTTTCAAAAAAGCCTACATAATCACGGCGTTAATCGTTGCGTAACGATATAGGTTTAGCACACGTATAGGGTTACGACTAATGAAGCTGCCGTATATAATTATTCCAAACATAACAAATGAAAACAGTTGGCTCATTGCTGCCCGAAGTATATCAACTTCTGTTCGTCCATGAAGCTAGATAAAACAGATGCACTCAACAATGTTGAATGTCTCTCCGCCTATTTAGAAAAATCGTTTTAGCAGAATTCTAAGGAAGCTGAATAGCCCAGTGGTTAGATTCGTCGTCCACAAATCGCGGAGCCCGGGTTCGAATCCCGTCGGCGTCTTTTTGCTTTTCAACGCACGCATTCAGTTATTATATATAAGATGTTTAATTTCCCATCGTAAATTACCAACAGTACCTTAGCTTAATCGGTAAGCACTGCTGCTGGTACTGTCCGCGAGTTCCAGGTTGGCGCCTTCGTACAGGTTCAGGGCATTTGGTCCACTCGGAGGATCAGGGCTTAGGGGCCGCCCTGTTCCTCCCTTAGCTCTTTGCTTTTACATGGTGCCTGGCCCTCCGGGGTTACATGGATGGATAGGGAAGGAAGTGTGTATTGGTCGGGGACGCCGAGACCCCGAAGAGAACTAAGGGATTGGCTGGGGCATTGTTATGGCTCAGACCGATCCCTGAAAGCTTGACTAGCACATAACTTTTTGATTTTTTTTCAGCCTCTATTTATTTTTTTTTTACTTTGGTTTACTTTGATATTTACATGTGCTCGGCAGGTCTCCGGTAGCATTAAAAACGAAACAAAGGTCTATGTCATAAATTAACGAATATTTTATAACTGACTGTAATAAAAATTAAGTTTCGTTCGATCAATATGACTGCATTATTAATGGCGCAATTTCCAATTGACGTAAGAAACGCCATATAGGCCTATACAATTTAATTCTTTCAAATAACGTTTCTTTAATATTGTGAACATTCCTAACAAATATAGTGATTCGCAAAATAGGAAAAAAAAACAAAAAAGCCCCTCTCTAAGAAAGCCTGTTAGTGCCAACTTTTTGGGGGGGGAATCTTTTTTTTTTAATGATTTTTTTTTTTTTTTTTTTTTTTTTGCAATTTTTTTCATTTTTTTAACTTTTCGAAACGAATGTTTGGTACACGGGTATTGCCGTACTTCTTGTCCATAATGTACAAGAACGATTTCAGGCCATGGCGAAAATGTCGTTTTTGGGTCCATGGTTTCATAAAGGCCACTCAGTCTATTTTTAGTAACTTTTGGATTTTTTGTTTTTGTTGAATTTTTTTTGTAAGGTTTTTGTTGTTTTCCTTTTTTTTGTTTTTTTAATTTTTTTTTAAGGAATTGTTTTGGGCATTTTTGAGGGAGGGGAATTTTTTTTGAGGAATTTTTTTTTTTTTTTTTAATTTGTTTATTTTTTTTCACTCCCCCCCCCCCCCCCAATTTCTGGCAGACATCATGGCTGCCGCTCAATTTAATTAGGCATTACTTTAGTTTGGGACTAAGTTATGACGAAATAATTGCTTCTCTTGCTTGTAGTCATAATATCATTCTCAGCATGGGGTGGGATGGCATCTCAGGGGAAGGGCGCCGCTGACGGCAGGTAGGTAAAAACAAATAAAAAAATTAAAAAAATAAAATAAAATTACAAAAAAAAACCCAAACAACAAAATCAACACCAAAAAATTACCAACAAAAACAATCCAAAAAAAAAAAAAAAAATGTTGCCACTAACGGGCTTTCGTACCCCACCCTTAAAACTGGAAATACAAAATTGAAAAACAAAGTCAAGTAGTGGAACTCAAGAAGGTACATTTAGGACTGAATTCCTAAATGCCATTACATTTTGACTTATAACAGAATTAACTGTCATTGACAGGCAGGCGCGGATCCAGAGTTGTTTTTGTTTGGGGGGAGGGTGGTGGTGGGGGGGGGGGGGGGCTTGTACCATATGTTCAATGGGGGCGCTGTTCAAATTCGACGATTATTATCACCATATGTCAGAATAATGTACATGATTATACCACCGAAACAAGCTGGTTCTGTACGTATTTGGTGCAAGGCGGACATTATTATTTCCAAACAAAATTGGGGTGTCGGAGGAGGGGAGGGGGGGGGGTGTTCGCATTTTTTCATTAATTTCTATGGACTTTTTTTTTTTGGAAAGAGCTGGGGAGGTACCCCCTTCTCTTGATCCGCGCCTGGATGGATAGTTTTTTGTTATTCCATTTCCGTTATTCTTAGCGCCTATTTTACTCACCTCTGGGCAGTGGCATAACGGGAATGGGAGGGGGGGGGGGTGCAGAGTGGCAAATTGCAACCGGCCACTAGCTTTTTAAGAGCGAGCCAGGCGGGGACGCGTGAAGCAAAATCGGGCCAGGCGGAAAAGCGTGTCACCTAAGTCGGAAGGAAAGGGATGAAGAGCGCCACCCACCCACCCGTGGCTACACCACTGCGTCCATATAATGTTAAAATAGTTGTGACGGAGTTGAGAAAAGAGAAAAAGTCAGACGCGGGTACAGACGGGGTTGAACCCCCCCCCCCCCCCCCCACATGAACAAAACACGAAAAAATGTATAATTATTTTAATAATGACGCGGTCCGCCTGTCCACAACAATTGGATATGAACATCTGACGGGCCTAGCCTGAACACAGGCGTAGCCAGGAATTTGGAGCGGGGGGGGGGGGGCCTTTACAAACCCCAACCAGGGGCGGAACTAGGATTGTCCAAAATGGGGGGTGTGAATTGTAACAAGAGGTAAATGGTGAAGGCAAGTTGTGGCGCCTACGCTGAAGACTAAAGAGGGATGGTCCCCCCCCCCCCCCCCCGATTGACGCCCATGCCGAAGGCTTGTCCGCCGTGCGTCCTGCATGCTATAATACTATAGAGAGGTCTGGGTACATGCATTTTCCTGTAAACTAGCATAGGTTTCGTCGTCGCGCGCTGTCTTGTCGCAGTTCTTGATCCCGTCGCTTTTTAATCTTGACTTAAGTATGACAGACCCCAATAATAATTGTTGTCTTGGGTTTAACTAATCCTAGCAGGCTATGGTTTGACGTGAACTGTCGTAATATTAATTGTGTCTCTCCCTTCCCTTTCTCTTTTTGGGTCTCTCTCCGTCTCTACATCTTACTTATATTTTTGAGGGCCCCGGAAAATTTTTGATCCTACATGCCCTGTGGTGCAATCTGAGGCGATTCCTGGCCCCTTTCCCCCTGAATTATTTGAGCAAAAGTTTTTAAGACTTATTTTTTTTAGAGGGAAAGGCATTACATGACTTTCGGGCAACCAAATACACATACTCGTATTTCGCGTCGGGTTTTGGTAAAATGTCTTTACAATTTTTGTATTACATTTCTATTTTTTACAGCAGGGGGCCCCCCTGGCTACGCCTATGGAAACCGGGGAACATAGGGACTATAATATAGGGACCGGTGAACGCACCCATGAGGCCCCCTAAGTTGAACTGGACCCGAGTTACCCCATTACAATAATTGGAAGACGATCACAACTTGACAGAAGTCTGATCTCTTTTTCTCTCTTCCAATTGTGTCCCCCCTCCCCCCCCCCCCGAACGCGGCCGGTCGAGTCCCGTTCACAATTATGTTTTTCTGCAACCTTAGTATGGTAAATGACAATAATGCGCATGCGTCAGTATTTAACCGAATAACCTCCCTTTATTAAAAAAGAAGAAGTCATCCAGAGCCATGTGAATCGTGGGGTGGGCGGGGTTGGGAGCACAGGGAGGTTTGAAGGTTAAATATATTTCATCGATTGGTATATATAGGACTTGATTAAACAAAATTTAAGAAAGACAATTGACTCGAGTGATTATGTTCCACACAATGCTTTAAACTTAAAGGTAATTAAATGACTTTACTATAACCGCGCTTGCAGAATGGGTTTTCAACAACTCCGGTGCCGGGTGCGCGTGCAGCTGAGACGGAGCTGTGATTCATGATGTCCATCATGTACCCATACTATACAGTGCTATGAAATTGTCGCACGCGGTTGTACCTGTAAATAAATGTATATAATAATAATATGATGATAATTTCGGGGAGGTTATATCATCCGACTGGCAGCTGAGAAGCTAAATTGCGACTACTTAGACGCGGCTACAACGTGGTCGAGTCGCTGGCAGCATCGACCATCATTAGGACCACGGAGCACAGGCCAAATTCATTAGACTTCACACACGTTGCATTACTGTATACCGTGCGTCAAGGGCGGATCCAGGGGGGGGGCCAAAGGGGGCCATGGCCCCCCCCCCAAAACGAAATCAATTTTTTTTTTTTTTTATGTGACATCGCAATAACGGCAGGCAATGAGTACACCACCATCTTTTCCTCAAAAAAAAAACATTGGTTAAAGTGGTCAGAAATTGCCTCAGATCGCACCACAGAGCATCTAGAATCCAAAAATTTTTCGGGGCCCTTAAGCGGGCCCCGAACCCCACGCCGTAATTTTTTTGACCCACTTTTTGACATCGCAATAAAGGCAGGCAATGAGTACACCACCATCTTTTCCTCAAAAAAAACATTGGTTAAAGTGGTCAGAAATCGACTCAGATCACACCACAGAGCATCTAGAATCCAAAATTTTTTCGGGGCCCTTAAGCGGGCCCCGAACCCCACGCTGTAATTTTTTTGAACCACTTTTTGGGGGGAACCAAAAATTTTTTGGGCCCCCCCAAAAATTATGTTCTGGATCCGCCCTTGCCGTGCGTGATTGGATGAAAGTTTGTGTGCAGCAGCCAGTGCTAGCTGACTGCTCAGTCTACTTTCAGAAAACACGTACGTACACTCGAAATTACGCGTACGTAGTGTGAAGTTGAAGTTGCACTTTTTTTTTCTTTTTTTTTTTAATATCATGCATGGATATAAATGATGGGACGATCAAGCACTTGGTGCGGTCATGCCCGTGCCGCTCTCTCGCGCAACCTCCACCGCGTACCCAGCCAAGGGCGGATCCAGAACACAATTATCGGGGGGGGGGCCAAAAAAAATTTGGTCCCCCCAAAAAGTGGGTCAAAAAAATTACGGCGTGGGGTGCGATCTGAGGCAATTTCTGACCACTTTAACCAATGTTTTTTTTTGAGGAAAAGATCGTGGTGTACTCATTGCCTGCCTTTATTGCGATGTCACATAAAAAAAAAAAATGGTTTCGTTTTTTTTTTGGGGGGGGGGGCATGGCCCCCTTTGGCCCCCCCCCCCCCCCTGGATCCGCCCTTGTACCCAGCTAGCTCGGGGGCCGCTTTATTACGTTCAGTAACTTCAGCCACATTTCATTCTCCCACAAAAACGCTTTTTTTCCTTCTTGAAATACAAGCTTAACATTCACTGTGTGGACTTCCGAACAAACGCTGATCCACATAAACCAGGTAGCAGCGACGTTGTGATGTGTGGACTTGCCCACGTCCACACAGTGTTTCCCCTTTCTGGAAAACAGGTTTAGAGGCGTTTTGGGGTTAGGTTTATCCGTGGCAAAATGAAGAAAAACACCAAAGCGAATCATAGAAAAAAATTGGGTTGAAAGAGTTTTAACAGTGTGAATAAAATGATTTTTTTTCACAGGTTTTTTTTTAACTACATGAAACAAAAGAATGTCCACACTACGTATGTAACGTAAAACTGCGAGGGTGTGTGTGGGGGGAGGGGGAAGTGTGGGGAGGGGGAAGGGGAAATGTCCTGCAAGCCCTGTCCACGTCTGCAACTCAATTCAGCTCGTCCTTCGCTCTATATCGCTGCACTACATCTTCAAAATGGAGTCATAAAATTGAAAAAAACGGACCGTGAAATTTCAATTCAATTCAATACGCATCCTGTGTCCTATAGTCACTCAATAATCCAAATGACGTGCACGTATTTAATTATTTAATATTTACCTCTTGCTCACTGAAATTGTACATAAAAAAATACGATGAATATAGAAATATAAGGTTCGCAGTAATTGCGGGTCGATGAACCCCCACTTATTACAAAATTCTACCCTCGACTTCGATGTTGTCACCTCTCATCGAAAATATACAAAATACGATGGACCATATCACAGCAAACAATGCAATTTTTTTTTTTTTTGCCCACAGTCACGGTGCAAAGCCACGTAAATAATGAATGAGAACAAGTATTCCAAATTCCCGGGTGTGTGATTAATGTCAAACATGTTCACCATCACTTTTCCAACCAGGAAATATAATATGGAAGGGGGCGAATAAAAAAAAATGCCAGGCGCTAAGAACGTCGGGATACCACTGCGCTCACGACAAGCTGGCCAGTCAGTACGTGACTAGCTCAACAGCGCAATGCACCGGTCACATGGGATACCAGACGTAACACGACACCCTTGAAATTGGGTACGTGAACAAGCTTAACCTGGAATCCATACGCTTTCGGCGAACCCATAAGCGCGCTTCAATTTTTTTGCCGCCAAATATAAGTTCCCCAAGTTCAATCTGTTGAAATAAAAGTTTATTAGTTTGATTTATAGAAAATTAAAAAAAATAACGGGGGTCGTTTTTGAAGAGGGGTCAGCTGCAACGGTAGCTTTTCTTAGAAGTTGAGCCGGAGCCGACATTATTTACATTAATATCTTTTGTCAGATAATCGATTTATGGCCACACTGCATGACGCAGGATTTCGGAATGTCAAGACCGTACGTGCATCCGCAACGCGAATAACATGTCTAAATAGCCTGTCTCCCAGCGCGTTTCGGTGCTCAAGTCCATGCACAGCTCGCCCCACGCAGTGCATGTGGAGCGCGCGCTTGATTTGATGCATTGCGCACTACTTGAATTTGCACGTCTGACATATCGAGGATAGCATTGCACTAATCCCAGCTCGCTTTTTGTCTGACACTTGTTCGTACTGTTCGAAATGGTAAGTTCACTGTTCCATTTACTAAGACGGGGCGTTGTTATTGCGTGCATATGGTGTAGCCGTAAAATAGACTGTTATGAAGAAATACCGAATTATTTTTCAGGTTAAAAAATGTTTCACAAGTGCTGGAGAGATCACACGTGTCACGTGCGTGGGTTGTCGTAGGGCGAACAACTTGCCGCTACTCGCTAACTTTTTGACATTGTACAATGACATTGTCAAAAAGTTTGCATGCGCCATGCAGTATTGACAATTGTCCTACATTTGTGGACTTTGTTAAAGTTTCTAAGTTTGTTTCGGGGATGCATTTGTAATGAATCGTGACATTTTCACCCTTATAATATTGCCCTGTCTAATGAATTTTCTTCTAATGTTTTTAGGAAACAATTGTCCGTCAGACCCCCTAAAGTTACGCGGTCGTATTTCTACGCACTCAATTAAATTTGCGTTGGACAACGAGCGCGCGTTGCAAGCGTTACCTGCGCCGATTATAGAGGGTCGAGGATACAATTAGGCTAATTTAGGCTACTTAGTTTTAAAGTTTTACGTGCATATAGGATCTAGTAAGTTTGAGCCATGTTCTGCAGTGGTTGTGATGAGAACATGATCATGATAAAAATGAAGGCCGCGGGAAAAGAAAAAAAAAATCACCCGACTCATTCCTGTTTTTAATATAGGGTCTAACTCTAAGTACATTAAAACTGTTAATATTCGGGAGATGATTTCTGCTGCATCACTTTATTTGCCCCAAAATGTTCTGTTTTCCTTCCTCCATTTACAATGTATGATGTTGTGAGGTTGGCCCGGGGCCAGGCTTCTGATTAGGGAAATATTCCTATATCTGGCCATCACTAATTTTTCCCTCCAGTGACCCATCAGTATCAGCCATCAGGAAGTGATGATAGGCCCATTGTCCTAAAAAGTCAAATTCAGCCGGAAAAATATGAAGTATTTACTGAGAAAACACTTACAAGTTTTCAGACCAGTCTCATATCATAGGGTTTGTGCACAGGATGTCAAGTGATGGCCTGATATGGGAATCTTTCTATGATTAGGCCTGCTCATTTGCAAGTGAAACGTTTTGTATAATTAATATAAATGTATTTGTTCCCCTTGGCCCTTTCTTTCAATTGTACAATTCTGTTTTATGCCTTCAACTTAAGTTTACAATGAAGGTTTGAACATAGGCATAGCCTGTAGGCCTAAATCCCCAAAAAACCCAAATGTAGTTAAATTTTGAAGTAGCCACTTAATGAAATATTTGCCTTTTCTCCCCTTCAATCAGGCAGATCAGCTGACCGAAGAACAAATAGCAGGTAAGGGTTAGATTATGCATCAAAGGCATGCTAAGCTAATTGTAGAAATTAGGACCATATCACCCCCCCCCTCAAAATACTCTCCTTTTTGTGATGTCAAATTCTTCCACATTTGTAACAATAACAAGCTAGCTAGGCCTACCACAAACTACATGCAAACTACATGCTGGTTTTGAAATTGTAGGGATCAGATCATGGGCCATATTATATCCACTTCTCGCCGGCACCCCATCCATTTTTGAAACATAATACTGTTTTAGCTGCAGTGGATAACATTTATGTATTTGACTTTTTTATTGTCTGGGATACTCTGTCAAGGTTTATTCCACTAGATGAATACAAAATTTGATGAATAGCCAGACATTTGAAAGGCTTCCAAAACTGGAAGAATGTACTAGCCTAGGCCGGTTTAAAAAAAAAAAGTTGGATGTCGTTTCCTTGTCAAGAAATATGGATACATATGGCACAACTAAATAAAATAAACCTCTATAAAAAATTTTTTTTAAAAGCTTAAAGGGAATGTACATCATTGGCTTTTGCTCTAATTTTCAGGAATGAACTATTTGAGGGGTTAGTATAATAGATCAAATATTGTTACACGGACATTTTTGAAGTTTTGTGTTCGAAAAGGTTGGAAAAACCAAGGAAAAACAAAAATGTTCAAGTAGTCTGGTTCCCTGACTCCACAAAAGATAAAATGGATCAATTTATAGATGATGGAAAATTGTAAGGCAAGGGAACCAGTCTAGCTGGCCTGCACCCGTTCATGAACATGTAACCAATAGCAAACAAAATTTGGACTGAAAAGATGGTAAATTTGGAGCAATAGTTGAAAAATAGTTAGGTTTTTCCAACGCTGGTCGGCCGATCACCGTTGGAAATGTATACAAAAATACCATTTTCTTGAAAATGACTTCACACCAGGTGCCATAATTTTACAAGATGCTTGAGACTGTCATTTACCAACATTCTAGTAAGGTATTTCGTAAAAACTTGGTAGTTTTATTTTTCGATGTTTGCATATGTTGTATATTCCCTTTAAGAAGCTAAGGCCCCCCAAAAAAGTCTCCGGTTTCTGGCATGGAGCTTGTCCTAAAAGTGGTGCGGCGACGTGGCTTTTTTTTTTTTTTTGACTATTTTTTTTCCTTCAAATGTCGGCTGATGACTGCAAATGATGGCCGACTAAATTTAGTGCAAAATGTATGGGAGCCCAGGGTGGCCACATAAAGCTTTACTCGATCGTAACCCCATAAAAAATACATGTTAAAATTGTGCAGCAGCAGGATTCCAGTCAAACCAGTGAGTTTGGCGCCATCTTACATTGAAAACAAAACTACGCGCGCATACCAGAAACCAGAGACTTTTTTTTTTTGGCCTAATGTTTATTCCTCTAGTTATTATCATCATCATTAGGAAATATTAGTGTAAATTTCCTGGCCTTTTCTTTTTTTGAAATAATTAATTTTTGAAAAGCTGTTTTAAATTCAGGCAGTGTCATTTATCACAGTCAGTGAAATTCTAGTATTTTATTGGAAGAAGTTTCCAGTTAGAGCAAGCCATCCAAATGTTCCTCCACAGAGTTCAAGGAGGCGTTCTCCTTGTTCGACAAGGATGGCGACGGCACCATCACCACCAAGGAGCTGGGAACAGTCATGAGGTCACTGGGTCAGAACCCCACTGAGGCTGAGCTGCAGGACATGATCAACGAGGTGGACGCTGATGGTAAGTCAACAAACACTGCTGGGCAAATCTACCCATGGACCATTTACACAGGCGGTGGCATGGGGGGGGGGGTTAAAAAAAAAATGGAAAAGGAAAATGTCAAACAGGCCAGAGCAATTTCAGATATTTAAAGTTAGTGAATTTAACAGTAAAAAGTGCTTAAAGGTGATCCACAACATTGCTAACATCAAAAACACAAAACTACCAAATTATTAAGAAATACCTTATTTGACTGTAAGTGAATGATAGGCTAAAGCTTCCTGTGAAACAATGGCACCTGATGTGCTGTAATTTTCAAGAAATGTGGATTTTTTTTGTTTCCATTTCCAACGATGGTTGGCCAACAGATCTTTGGAAAAGAACTGACTTTTTTTCAAATACTGCCCCCAATTTGCCTAATTTTTTAGTCTACATTTTTTTCCAGCATCTATGAACACTACACTTTAAACAGGTCGGTGTAACAATATTTGCTATAATTTAAATACTAACCGCAAAATCCATCCATTTCTAAAAAATACAGCAAAATTACCTTTTGAGGATCTTAATATTGTACACATTTTATATATTACATAATCTTAATATTGTACAGCATTAAATGATGGCTTCCCACTGTTTTTAAAAGTCACAGCTGGCCCTAGTCTGGAAAAAAAGGTGTACAACCCCCCCCCCCCCACTTCCCCTCACTCCTCCCCCATGACTCCACACCTTCATCCATCAATAATTTCTTGCTACACTACTAAGATGAGGAATGTGGATTTACCAATTGCAATTTGGATGATGAAGGAATTTCATTATGACAATGTAAATATATGCTGGCTTTTAGCCAGAGCAAATTATAATGTATGAATTTGAAAACAGTTTCCAAAGTATCTTTACACTTTATCAGAAGGCCTGATCTTTTGGATACAATCCTTTTCTACAATTTTTTTTACAGAAAAAAGCAGGGTGACGGTGTTGAAAACTTGAAATGCAATATTTTCCCATTCACCTGTGCCCAGAAAGCAGCATTTTCAAACTCAGTTCCAGTCAATATGGTTTGTTGATCCCCCCCCAGGAAATGGTACAATAGACTTCCCCGAGTTTCTGACGATGATGGCACGCAAGATGAAAGACACAGACAGTGAGGAGGAGATCAGAGAGGCCTTCAGAGTTTTCGACAAGGACGGCAACGGATACATCAGGTGTGTACATTTGCCTGATTGCCTCTCAGCTTAATTTCACAGCAATGCATTACCGTTGAGGTAAAAGGGTCAAAGCAGGCCCAGCCAACTATGACGATTCTCATTCTGTGGTTATTCAAATGTGAAAGGGAAAGATCACTGTGCAGAATGACTCATGTGACAAATGTTTTGGCTTTTGTCAGACAGTTTTCTCAGTCATGTAACCTTTTCAGAAACACGTATACCTTCATTCACATATCAAATGAGCAAAATATCTTACAGGCTTGTCAAGTAACATTTGTTCTCTTTTCTGAATTTTTTACAAAAATCACTAGAATTTGCTGCGAATATTTAATTAAGAAACATTTGAAGTCTTTTCAAGCACACAAGGGTCTTACAGACTTGTCGAGTAACATTTGTTCTCTTTTCTGAATTTTAACAAAAATCACTAGAATTTACCAAACATATTTAATTTATAAACTTTTGAAGTCTTTTCAAGCACATGGGTCTTACAGCCTCGAGTAACATTTGTTCTCTTTTCTGAATTTTAACAAAAATCAGTAGAATTTGCCAAGAATATTTAAGTTAGAAACTTTTGAAGTCTTTTCAAGCAACAGGGGTCTTACAGGCTTGTCGAGTAACATTTGTTCACTTTTCTGAATTTTTACACAAATATGTTCCCAAGCACACAAAGTTTTATATTTAAGCCAATTATACAACTAATGCCAGATCACTTAAGTGAATTCCAGAGATGGCCGAGCAATGAGTTCCATTCCAATGGAAATATTTGCATTTATGATTTATGCACATTTTTGTTATCATCCCCGCAGCGCTGCCGAGCTGCGCCACGTGATGACCAATCTTGGGGAGAAGCTGACGGATGAAGAGGTCGATGAGATGATCCGAGAAGCAGACATCGATGGAGACGGCCAAGTCAACTATGAAGGTGCATAGGCCTACAACAGTTTGGTTGTCTTTATATTAATGCCCCTTTTTTGTTGAAGCATAATTAGAAAATTTTATAGTCACTAAAGTTTTGTCAAACAGGTAATGCAGTTCCTTCATTGTACCTCTCATTGTGAACTCAAATGATCTCCAAGTGTATAAAATGTGATGAAATTTACGGTTAGTAGTGAATCATCACAACTTAATCCCAGTGAATACTACCGAAATAAATTTAAGACTGACTTGGAGAATTCTGTAGTTATCTGCCTTAAGTAGTTATTAATCTATGCTTAAGCTGTCCTTTTGAATCTGGGCCAAATGTCACGGCTCTGCTAAGCACAAAACCTTGATGAGCACAAAAAAAGTCTGTCTTATAAAAGCATTTTTATGTGATTTTCATGCTAAGCAAACAACTGAATACTAATCACTAGCAATATACATCATTTGGAGTTTTGGCTGGTAACCTGATTTTATAAGCCAGACTTTTTTTGTGCTAAGCAAATTTTTGTGGTTAGCAGCGCCGTGAAATTGGCCCCCGTACCCACCTTGGGGTTCACAGTATTTTTTTTTGGATAGTCTTCAACACAGCATAAGTTCAAACTCTAATTTTGAGCAGTGTGACGCATGGAAAAAAGTAACAGAAACAGATACTAGATGACAGCTTCGAAGAGGGAGCATGGGGTACTGATTGTAATTGTGTGGTGCAAGTTGACTGTACTGACTGAGAGTTTATCTTTACTTCATGAATAAGACAAATTAAGCCTACCCTCCAACCCTCCCCCCCCAAAAAAAAAAACCAAACACGCACACACCCACCCAAAAAGAGCTGAAAATTAATATCAATTTGGGATGTCAAATGAGCAAATAGCACTTTGAGGTACGTTTATGTATGGTAGTAAAACAACCCAAAATGGGCCTTTCATCCTATTTTCCTCAAAAGCATTTAGAAAATGTAGCCCCTTACAAGCTGGGAGTAGAGCTGGACCCAGAGTGCATATAATTCTATGGCAATCAATACAGAATGGTTATTCACTGGAGCTCTGTTCATGCATGTGGCCTACACAGTGGGCCGGATTCAGCCCAATCACATAACGGAATAATCATTTTTCAAACTTTTGGGCCAAGATGAGATTAAGAAAGTCTTTATTAGCAAGTAACAGTCAGTGACTGAGTCAGTCAGCATGGGCGTATAGCGAGGGAGGGGGGCAAGGGGGGTGCTCTCCCCCCTGGAAAAGCAGCCCCCCAAAAAAAATAGGAAGAAAAAAAAAGAGAAAAAAGAAAAGAAAAAGAGGCGCAAAGTCATAGTGTTATAAATGTAATGGGTTGGGGGCAGGGGGCCAAAATGTCCCTGCCCCCCCCCCCCCCCCCAAAAAACTGATCAATCGAGAATATGTAGAGAAATACACGAATCTTTTGGGAAGAATATGTTTTGCCCCCCTCTAGAAAAAATTCTGGCGACGCCCATGTCAGTCAGTCAGTCAGTCAGGTGCAAAGAGGACTAATGGCTGACCAGCAAAAAAGTGATTCCTTGGAATCACTTACTAAAGGCAAAGCCAACTTAAAGGGAATGTACATCATTGGCTTTTGCTGTAATTTTCAGAAATGAACTATTTTGAGGGGTTAGTATAACAGATCAAATATTGTTACAATGACATGTTTGAAGTTTTGTGTTCGAAAATACTGGAAAAACGAAGAAAAACAAAAATTTCAAGTAGTCTGGTTCCCTGACTCCACTGAAGATAAAATGGATCATTTATAGATGCCGGAAAATTGTAAGATAATGGAACCAGTCTAACTGGCCTGCACCCGTTCATGAACATATAACTAATAGCAAACAAAATTTGGACTGAACAAAATTGGTAAATTTGGAGCAGTAGTTGAAAAATAGTTAGGTTTTCCAACGGTGGTCGGCCGACCACCGTTGGAAATTTATACAAAATACCACTTTTCTTGAAAATGACTTCACACATGGTGCCATAATTTTACAGGATGCTTTAGACTGTCATTTACCAACATCCTAGTAAGGTATTTCGTAAAAAATTGTAGTTTTGTTTTTCGATGTTTGCAAATGTTGTATCTTTTCTTTAATTGACACTGCATTTCTGTTTTGTTTTGTTTTTTTCTCAGAATTTGTGACCATGATGACATCGAAGTGATCAGGAGGCAGTGAGCCGCTGTAATAGCTCTGCCTGTTTCAGCCTGGTTGATTTACATTCACCCACCGTGGACGATAAGCAGCTGGGACAACATCAAGACTTGCCTCTCTCTTATTATCTGACTGTAAAATATTTTTTATCTTCGTTATCACAGCTGACTCGATATCGCAAAGGAAAATAAAGGGACCGAGGACAAATCATTTGATCGGAATTTTTACCATTTATCATTCTCTTGATAGGCTACGAGCCACTACAGGGCGAGTCAAAAAGAGCGAAACCCAAAGGTCAGGACCATTTTTTTTAGTGAAGTTCTGCATGTAGCACTTTGAGAATCTAGTATATGAAAGCCCAATTCATAAGCTTTCTTTTAGTACAAAAATCATTCAAGTCACTCATTTACTTTTCAAGTTACAGAATTTTAAACACAAACACCGTTTTGAAGTTCTGTCCACGGATCACAAAAAAGATGTGTTTTTTTTCAGCAAAATGAAAACAATTCACATAAGGATGTATGTGAATTGTTTTCGTCTTGCTGAAAGAACACACCTTCTTTGAAAAGTACATGAGTGATTTGAATGATTCTTGTACTTAAAGAAAGCTTATGAATTGGGTTTTCATATCCTAGATTTTGAAAGTGCTACATGCAGAACTTCACTAAAAAAATGGTCATGACATTTGGGTTTCGTTCTTTTTGACTCGCCCTGTATTAAACATTTTCTATATAAATGTATGTAAAACGCAATAATAAGTACTTTTTACCATCTTATCTTGCCAAGGTCTGTCACGTGATTATCCACGTTCTTCTTGTTTTGTAATTCAGCAAAATGAAAGTTAAATTTGTAATAGGCCTAAGGATTTGATGGTTATCACAATTTTCATGTTGTTTATTGTACTTTTTGGCATATTCACTTTTTGATTCCCTTAAGAAAATTACAAATTATCAGTGAATGCTGAATATGTACGTTGTTCATCTAGTCCTTGTTTTAAACTCTTTTTTTTTTTTTTTTAATTTTTTTACATGTATTCATATTTACACAGCCATGTTAATTAATGAATCACTGCTTTTAGGTAAACCGTAAAGATATGGTGTATTTTGATTTTTGTTTTGCAGTCGCTTAACTTTTGGTTTGAAATTTTGCTTTAAAATACTCCATAAAGGATATGAAGTTGCCTACTTCATTTTTATCTGTATTCCAGTATTTTAGGTTTTTGTTTTGTTTTAAGCTTTCCTATATTTAATCGAAACACTGCTTTATTTCTGCATTCATAATTTTTTGACATGGTTCGTGCAACTGTTGAACTTCGCAGACCCCCCCCCCCCAACATTATTAAGGATAAAATTTGTAAATAATTACGAAGGAGTCGTAACCAACATAACCAATTTTGTGATGTTCGTTAATCGTTGAGAGCTGTTGGATTGGTGGTAACCATGACAATGCCACCAAAGTCATTGGAATTTTTTATTCCCACATTTAATATTTGCATTTCCCACAAATTGTCATTTGCATCTTTGCTGAACATTTTATCTACATTTATGTAATCTCTACTTTTTGTATTACATTAATGGTTAATTAAACCGATTTTCGAAAGATCTTTATCCTTTTCGACTTCTGAATCTTGCGTTTTTTTTGTGTAAGATCATTGTGAAGATTGGAAAATAGTTTAAAGGGCCATGTAATGTTATCTTTTTTAATGCAATCCTTGAAAATGCACCCTTGTGTCCCATTTAACTTTATTATAAATTTAATTTTGCCATTTTTGAGTAAGGGCATTATGAAGCCTTTTTGGCTTTATGCTAATGAAAACTTGCATATTTATGAGCAAAAGTGTGATGTCATTTCAGGCACAAACCTCAATGTACATACAGCTATTTCAGCACGCAAATTTGCCAGAATTGTTCTTTTCTTTGGTCATTCGTTGTTTCAGTACATGACAGTAGCCAAATGAGTAACGTTTCCTCACAAATGTTTTTAATGAGCAAATTTTGGGTTCACATTTTGAGCAGAAAGCCCCTATTAACTTAACAGTGTCTTTCTGTAATGACATCACAGCAGCAGCGCCCTCATATGTCAGGAAAAGTTTGGAACATTTCAAATGTTTAAAGATGTGCACTTTTCAATACGATAGTTTTCATACGCTTGAAGAGGAGTAGAAATTGCACTCAATAATGTTCCCAAGTTAAATTCATGTCATGAGCCCTTTAACAGTTCAAAAAATTTCTCGTATACCATTCGTCTTAAGAAATCCTTTATTTAAACGGGCTTTTCAAAGTTGTCATTGGGAAGGAAGGAAACAAAAAGTTAAATTGAATATGACAAGCGTTAACATTAAACATCATTGAAGAGATGGGCGGATCGTTTTGAAGGAACACCCAATTAAGAGCTCCAAAATTTTGACAAGCAAATCCACAACGAAAATGCCTGGGTAATCATGGGCGCCGCCGAGGGGGGGGGGGGGGGGGGGGCACTTGCCCCCTTTTGGAAAAGAACAAAAAAGGAAGGGGAAAAAAAAGGGAAAAACAGAGGTGCGAAGTCATATTGTTATTAATTATATGCACATTTAACAACGTGCAGTCTGTAGACTGGGGTATCAATGGGGGTTGGGGTAGACAAAACTAATGCCCCCGCGCCCACCTTTGAAATAATGATAAATTGAGAATATGCTACAGGCAATTCAATTAATTCAAATGAGACCGAGAGCTATAAGAAGAGAACCGGGCGTTAAAAAAAAAACATACCACACAAAATAAGCAACATTACAGAGTCAGGGCGCAACTATAATGGGCGCGCTGCAACGTCTCTATTCAACGGAAATGACAAAAAAACAAACAAACAATCCAACGACGCGACCCGATCTTAAGAGCACGATGAATGGTTCTTAGGTTTTAAACTCCAACGTAACTGTAACTAGCGAAATAGCCTAGCGGTTAAATTGCTGACCCACGGGTGGAGAGTCGGTGGTTCGAGTCCTGGTCGCGCGTGTGTCTGTCATTTTAGTTTTAACACACGATATCCGTCACTTTCTATAAAGGATTTAATTTACTGTCCTAAAACACCAACAGTACCTTAGCTTAATCGGTAAGCACTGCTGCTGGTACTGTCCGTGAGTTCCAGGTTGGCACCTTCGTACAGGTTCAGGGCATGTGGTCCACTCGGAGGATCAGGGCTTAGGGTGCCGCCCTGTTCCTCCCTTAGCTCTTTGCTTTTACATGGTGCCTGGCCCTCCGGGGTTACATGGATGGACAGGGAAGGAAGTGTGTATTGGCCGGGACCCCCGAGATCCCGGCAGAGTCCTAAGGGATTGTGATGGGGCATCGTTATGGCCCATCCAATCCCTGAATGCTTGGCTAGCACATAACTTTTTAATTTTTTTATCCTAGTTTTTTTTAAACTTTGGTTTAATTAGTTTGATATTTACATGTGCTCGGCAGGCCGACTGTAGTATTAAATACAAAGCAAAGGTCTATGTAATAAATCAATGAATTTTAATAATTGACTATAATATGTTGTTCGATCAATATGACTCTGCCATTATTAATTTTGCAATTTCCAATTGAAGTAAGAAACGCAGTATGCAATATTGTATCGGCAAAAATAAAGATGTACATTGTAATATGTTTATTACATGTTTCAAAATAATAACGTTTCTTTAATTGTGAACATTCCCCAAATATATAGTAATTCGCAAAATAGGAAAACGCAAGAAAACAAAGCCCCTCACCCTTAAAACTGGAAATACAAAATAGAAAAACAAAGTCAAGTGGAACACCCGAATGTACCTTAAGGATTGAATTTGAAAATTCAATAACATGGGGCTTTTACAGACTTGCCTTTTACTGTCAGTGACATGCAGTCACGAATCCAGGGGGCCGGGGGGGGGGGGGGGCTGGGTGGGGGTCAACCCCTGCTCTGACACACTAAAGTAAAGATACTCTGCAGTGGCTATTATGTATCTGACGGGCCTGAACCACTCCCCTCCCAACCAAACCCCAGCAAAAGTTACTAGATCCGCCTCTGACGTTAGTTGGTACATTGATATGAAATGTGATATCGACTTATCACTATTTTGACCCAAAATGAAGTTGCTGGATAGCTCATGATGTAGAATGAAAGAATGAAATGGGGTAAGCAACTATTGTTATTTGTTGGAGTCCCCAGAATGTGGGAAGGCCTGTGGGCCTTTGTAGTCTGATTACATTTCGGGCAAAATTACAGGCTCGGATTATCCAATAACATAGTAGGTACTGTGCCTACGGGGCCTACGAAAAAAATTCCAGGGCCTAGCGAAAATAAAACATATAAATAGGCCGACCGTGCACACGCCACACGCAGAGAAAAGTTTTAAAAAGTTTAAGGGTCTCTCTCGGAATTTTCGATTTCAACTGGCGCTGTATGTATACCAGTGTTGTAGGTCTCGAGACCGGTCTCGGTCTCGGTCTCGAGACCACTTTTTGCCGGTCTCGGTCTCGGTCTCGGTCTCGGGAGCTGTGGTCTCGGTCTTGGTCTCGGTCTCGGTCCCCTTTGGTCTCAATATTTTGGCTGGTCTCGAGTCGAGACCAGCCAAAAAGTGAGGGGGGGGGGGCGGATTCCGCCCCGGCCCTTTTAGGGTTAAGTAAAGAATCAGTTTAAGGCAAATGTGACTGCAGTGTGATGCTAATGGACATGTCTCTCTTGACTTTCTAGTGAGTGAGGCATAGTCCAATAACCATTGCTCCTCTTCTTATATCTCGTTTTTATTGTGGGATGATCTGTTGAAACAAGCACTTTATAGCCATCCTCATTGATTCCAAATACAACTGAGATTTAAATCTTATGAATCAAGACTGAAACATTATTTTTACCGTCAGATTTTGTATTTGGAATATGGGAGCAATTCAACTCTTTTTCCCTAGAAATATTGGTGATTTTTTTTCTATTTTCCTTTTCAATTTTTCCTTTATTCGTGGACGCGGGAAAACGTTTTTTTTTTCATTATATTTATAAATGGATATTTATCAATTCGTAGACTGTTAAATTGGCATTAGTGGTGGACAGCTGAATTTTGTGATCTCTTTATTAAAATAGACACGACTTGGGAATAGAGTATGCAAATTACGTGAAATGTTCACAGTTACTACTCAATACTGACATGTTCTTTATCCCAATTATATTTGTTTACGAAATGGAGCATGCCATTTTTTTTTTATCATACGGTCCCTTTCTTTTGACTCGCCATGTATTCATCTTTTCATCTGTGATAAACACAAATTGAGCTACTGCCATAGTCACACAAAAATAGAGTCTAATTGCCTGCCTCGTCTCCTTCCTAAATGTCAATTGCATTTGCATGAGTCGAAAGAATTGTGTTCCATTAATCGCTATATGCTGTTTACGGCCATCACAATAAACTATTAATATATTGGCAATATGTCGTACTTGTTAATCACTAATAACATTTTCAAGTAAATTGCCCAGCAAAGTAGCTGATGCGGTTGATACGATGGCACGGTACAAAACACAGAGGCGTGCGCACCGAGCCATGAATCCTAAAAGTACATCTCGCCCACCACATTCAGTTTGTGACAGCGCCCTTCTATTGTGTCGGCCATATTCTCAAATAGGCTAATGACGATGATGACGGCGGGCAGATTAACAGAAGATAGATCAGGCAAATAGGGTCATCAATCTTCTATAGTATATGTAACGTTATTGACATTAAACAAAAATAAAGTGGCATTACATTTCAGCCTTAGCCAGGCCTTCTTCAGAGGTAAATGACAGAGGAACAAGAAACAAACATGTAGGGGACACACAAACATGCAGGGTTGGAAGGAGAATCACAAAGAGGGATGGGGGGGGGGGGGGGGGGCAGACCAATCTATATCTGGCTACCATCTCTCAATTTGTTGGTCTACATGTACAAATCTATATTCCATGACTGAAATTTTAAAAAATAAATCAATATTTTCTTGCTCCAAATTTTTTTTCGAATCAGGTTTACAAGGAGGTCCAATGTAAAATTAAAGTTGCATTTAAATATCCGTTAGTGGTCATTGCTGAAACCAAGGGGTGGCTGTGGAGTTTAAGGTCCGAGTTCCTGTAACAGATGAAACATCCACCTTTAACTTTTTACTTTTGTCAAGTTTCAAAATGTTCAAGTTTTGCAAAAACTAGTACAAATTGTCGTACTCCTAAGTTAGAGTTTCTTCATCAGATTTACACTTTATAGTAGTTAAACAATTTAATTTTTTTTTTTTAAAGTGGCAAAAATATATGGAGTTCATCAAATAAGGTTTTCCCCTTCTTTAAATTAGGTTGTTTCCAATTTTTTTAATTGATTGTGACAATAACAAATTCTGTTGCCATGTTGTAATTTATGGCATGAAGCAAACACGAAGAGCACTCGCATGACACAATTAAGCAGGTACAAGTGATTCCTAACTTTCAATCACTTCCTTCACATCCCCATGAACATCAACATCTCAAGGACAGACTGTTCAGCTGTAATTAGTGTCTTGTTGTTTATTTAGATTATTGTTATTTATTATCCGCGGTCTCGGTCTCGGTCTCGGACCATTTCGGTCTCGGTCTCGGTCCGCCTTGAAGGGGCTGGTCTCGGTCTCGGTCTCGGTCTCGCAACTTCAGGTCTCGGTCTTGGTCTCGGTCTCGGACTATCCGGTCTCGACTACAACACTGATAGGCATACATGCTACCCATACGTATGCAATTTACGTGTAAAGTATTGCGTTCTGAAGCACACTGCCAATCATGGGCGTCGATCGTTGGGGGACGGGGGGACATGGCATTCCCCGGGGTCATGGGCGTCGCGAGGCCCCCCTCCCCCGGAAAATGAAAACAAAGAAGAGGAAAACAAAACAAAACAAAACAAAAAGGAAAAAGAGGGGCGAAGCCATATTGCTGTTAATTTGATGGGGGAGGGGGAGGGCAAATGCTCCCCTGCTCACGCTCGGAAAAAATGATGAATTGAGAATATATTGAAAAAGTTAAGGAATTTTGGGGAAAAAATTTGCTTTGCACCCCCCCCCCGGAAAAAAATCCTGGAGACGCCCATGCTCGGGGCCCTCAACGGCGGGCCCCAAACCCCATGCCGTTCAGCTTCGCACTCACATATAGTTCTGATCAATACACATAATGTAGGCCACTTTTGAGAAGCGATTGACGCCCTTGGGGCCAACAGGCTTTTAGAGCCAGGACATCAAGGTTGCCCTGGCTTGATTTGTACAGTGATTAATTTTTTTACCTAATTTAATTAATAGCATGAAGTTTGTGCCGCTGTGCCGGTGTAGCGTGAATATCCGACTCCGTGAAATATGGATTCATTGGTAGTATAGCGCATGCGTAAGTAAGATAATATGCTATTTGTAGGATCATAAAGGGAGAGTGATCTGTCACGTGCGAGGGATTAACCAATGATAGGGCAAAGGGGTCCGATTTTCATACGAGTCGGATTTTCTTATCACACCGGTGCCTAGGGTGCATGGAGTATGCCTACGGAACGCATGATACCTAAAGCCTATACGAAACACTTACCCAGGCCTGGCAACACTTACACTTGTTTGGTTCTTATAATGTCATTTGCTATCGCAATTAGCTATCCGTAAATTATATTTCTTGAAAAGACTAACGCTATTGGTCATGGTGCATTCAAGCAAATAAAAATGCGGGCCGAGAGGTGCAAGGTTTTACACTGCGCCAGTTCTACTATTAAGAGACGCGAATATGAGATGCAATAATAGGCCTACGAGATAATACGGTAGAAGATCATCGAGTTGTTCACAGTATTTAATCTGTCTGTCATAATCATTTTTGTCAACTCTGGGCTGGTAGGCTACGATGATGAGCAGATGAGTCAAATCTGCACACATGCTCAGTGGACTGGAAGTTGTTTTGGTGGCAGTCGGGATACCGATGCGGACCGTCTACTGCGCATGTCGAGATGCAGCGGGATAGCAAGGCGCATTGCACCCTGAAAGGTATTTCGTCGATTCGCATAATCAGGCGCCAATCACTGGTATAGTAGTCAGCAGGGCTTTAACTCCTCGGATTCTACAGCTTGTTTTTGTACATAACTCACTCTAGTAATAATTTATCAGTGACAACCCTAAACACCATTTCATCTCCAACTCCCCAAAAGGATAATGACGGTTATCTTTAACTCGATCAAAGACCAGTTCAAAGCATCTTTGACGATCAAACTTATGTATGATCATTATCACTTAAACGTCGTCTCGTCCAAAATTATATGTCTATGCCATTAAAGGAGTTTTATAGGCTTCCACGAAACAAAACGTCAACACTGTTTTTTAAATTTATCTAGGCTTCCATTAAAAAACAATTAAAGTAAGTGAATAACCCTTCCAATAAAGCTTCCTTAATCGTGAAGGCATCTGATTGCTTCTCATTATGATGTTCACTGGAGAGATGGTTTGTGGTTGATCATTTTTGATGTTGACCACGCCCTTATGAGTCCTACACATTATACTGCATTATGATAGCTTGATGTTGAATATTGATTTTCAAGGCAATAAGATAAATTGGGTCAAAATAAATTGAGATCATATCTCAAGATCTTATGTCATTTCTGTTGTGTGGCGTTCTCGTGTCATTTTTTGCTATAGTCGAGATGAAATGAGATACTTTGTATACTCGGCAGTATAAGCAATTATTTGTGGAAGGGAAATATTTGAGACAACAAATCTTTTAAAAGAAAAGAAAATACACACTGACATATGCTAGTACAGTGGACATAGCAGAGCTAAGAGCCGGACTGAACTTGGCCGTTTCTGAGGGCTATGTACCAGTCGTACCAGCGTACATATCGCCGCATGAACCGCATGACTAGCGTGTTTAGCAAAGTTGGAATTCCATTGACGTGAGTCGCAATCTCCAACTCGTGGAGACGATGCGCACTTTCCTTCTTCACTTACCACGAGTAACATCGACGGGTTTTTCATTCCCATCAGCTACACCATCCCCGTCCGTGACCTTGGACAAAATAACCAGTTTGCTTCAATGGTGAGTTCAGGGTTTTCCTTATCATTTTTACGGTCCCGTGAGAGAATAGTATTTGAACTAAAAAATCAGTGGGAAACTGAACAAGATTTAGTGCATCATACTTAAATTTGCCTCGAAAAGTCTGTAAAAATATCTTTGTTTTCCTTTCTGTAAAAGGCGGAACAACTCAGCGAAGAACAAATTGCCGGTAAGTTTTCCGTTTCTTGTAAATGCATGCATGAGACAACCCTCATATTGCATCAAATTACGAGAATCTTTTTACCAAACGGGTGCGTAATTATAACCATATTATAAAATAGTTTTGCATGTGGGATGATTTGTCAACTGGACAGCTATTCACGTTGAACATGTGTCATCTAGATCGAGGTTCTATTGGTGAGCGATTTGCCTGCAACCAGTAAACCTAATTAATTGGGCTGGTCTTCGGACTTTTTATGATGGATGATTTGGATAAACGGAAAGGACAGTTTAATTTTGAAGTTTATCGTTGCCCTTACTGATCAGTTTTGCATGGATTTCTAAAAGATACAGTTATTAGATTTTGTGGTATAGAAATTAATTAGTTTTCTTTGAATACTGTCGAATTTGGATTTCGGTAATGTAACTGATCGTTATGGTTCCAAGACACTTTTATCTCCTTAACATCAGCATTGCATTTTTGTGTGTGGAGAAGTTAGAGTTTTCGTTGCTAAAGGTGGTAAACTTTCTGCATAATCATATTATCATTTTTTTTTTACATTTGCACGGTGTTTTAACACGTTGTGCAAAAGTTAAAAAAGAATGATAGGCCTAATAGCATGTTCTAAAAAGGAGACTTCAACAGACAAATTGAAATCAAATATTAAGGTGGACATTGAACAGAAAGACTGTCCACGAAACGAAAAATCAAATTTAAAAAAAATAACTTGACCTAAAAAAGACACCATTATTAACTAATGCTTTGCAAATTCCCTTTGCCATGATAATAGGTGGGGCGTATAGGCCTGTCCACAACAGATGATAAAATGATTATATTGCTCGGCTCAGCAACTATGTAGAAAATTCCGAGGCACAAAAAAAAATGCCCCGCAATTTCATACATAGAAATTCACACGCATGCATGTTGGTTGCATTTTGTTGTTAGTTTAATAATAATATTTTTGAATTGGTATCGGGTGCATGGTATTCTTCAGTCGACATTTTAGTGCTAAAACATAAAATATGTTACTATATTCGATGACCTGAGTGTATTATATGGTCTCAGTATAGAAACCACATGAACAATTGATGCAAAAATCCACAGGAAAAAAAAAGCAGGCGTTTGCATTGATTTTATATAACAGTAAAGTGAAAAAAATTGAGAACCTATATCGACCAATAATTTCAAATTAAGAAGAGGTGCTTGTTATTAAAGAAATAGACAGTCATCACACATTATTCACGTAAAAATGGATTAATCTATTTCCTGCAGAATTCAAGGAGGCGTTCTCCTTGTTTGACAAGGATGGCGACGGCACCATCACCACCAAGGAGCTGGGAACAGTCATGAGGTCACTGGGTCAGAACCCCACTGAGGCTGAGCTGCAGGACATGATCAACGAGGTGGATGCTGATGGTAGGTTCAAGATGCATCTTATACACTTCATTTTTTTTGTCAGTGGAAACCCATAAGAAACGTACATCACTCTATAATGGGAGTAGGATGTAGGCGTATTTGGAACCCGTGGATAATTGTTGTTGTGGTGGTGGTGTGTTGGTACATGGTGGCGTGACCACTGCTGCTTTCCAAGCACTTATTCCGTCCATCACCACACCACACCACGCCACCACCACATCGATGTTTCCAAGGTGCAACATTGTCCAAACTATTGGTGTGCCTAATTTCTTCTAGGCCTACGCTGTCTTTTTCAAGGTGGGATTCATATATTTTCTTGGTTACCCTCAGCTTGCTGACCCTCTGAATCCCTACATCAATTTTACTGCTTCACATTATCGGTCCTATATTATCTTCACATTATCGCTCCTTTTATTTGAGTAACGACCGAGAATCGAACAAAGAGTATGGCAGTTTTGGAGAATTTTGCAGCTACACAATGTGAAGTAGCATTATAATTCTAAGAGAGGTGGTTCTTAGAGGCGCGGCCAAGATAATTATGCACGAGAACTGGACGTTTCGGTTACTATTGCTCTGACTGTCATGTTTCTCTTGAGGACGTTCAGAACCAAACGAAACGTCGGTTTTACTATTCTGTTTCTTCGCGCCATCTCTCTGTTTGGAAGATATAGGAAATTAAGTCACAAGATATTCGTGTATAACTTTCTACAATAAGCCTCAGATCGAATGAACTGACGTGCTCCAGTGAATTAAATGACGTGCCGCAGTTCCCTGCTGTTTGTGTGATAGCCGAAAATTAAAAAAAAAAACCCACTAAATCCAAACCTCTTTTGGAATCTTCTTTCAGGTAATGGCGAGATCGACTTCCCTGAGTTTCTGACGATGATGGCGCGCAAGATGAAAGACACAGACAGCGAGGAGGAGATCAGAGAAGCCTTCAGAGTCTTTGACAAGGACGGGAACGGCTTCATCAGGTAAACCACGAGGCTTTAAGTAATCTCGTCATCTGACCAATTAACTTTACCGTTTTAGGTTCAGATCTCGGCCTTCAGATTCGCTTTAAGGGTACGCAAAAGCGTACAAACCGTACCCTGTGAGGGGGGGGGGGTGTAAGGAGGCTGTTTACGATTTTCAAAAATAATTAAAAGTGACAAGGCCAAAACATATTTGTTGTATTTCCTTTTTTTGTGGGCGGGGGTATAGATAGTACACCTACATGTATAGTCCTAACTTTTCTTCTCATGACGAATAAATGGGGGAAAATGGACACTTGTCGATTACCGGTTCCCCTCTACCAACATAAAAACGTTTATATAGAATACATGTACATGTACATGTACGTGCATGAGATACAACGTACAATGTACATGTACATGTACAGTACAAGTGCATACATGCACACATGTGTACTATGTATGCGGGACAGTACATCACACCACATGCCCCAGGCAGGCCTCGGCCTCATGTTTACGTACAAAATACAATAAATTCGAACTGTACTACCATTTAGGCATGTACGTTGTGCACCGAAATTCAAAATTATGGCATTACCAAGAAATTTTAAAGTTTTTCAAGTGAAAAAAAAAAGACCGGAGATTTCCAGCTTTTTGGGTCGGTCGGGTGAGGCAACCCAATTTTGTTGTTGTGGGGGGGGGGGGGGTTACCTACCTCCATGATAAGCAGAGAAATCTTCATTTGTTCCCCTTTTTAGTTTGTATTCTTTAGGAGGTGGGGGGGGGAGGGGGTCCAGCAAAACAGAGTACTCTTTGTACGCTTGTGAAAATGATGAGAAAATGGATGGCCCGTAAGATTAAAGCATATGTTCCAGAATCTGATGACCGGGAAAAGGCAGCAGCGTATCCAGCTTTGGATGTCAGGGGGCGGGGGGGGGGGGGGCAACCTCATATCCGCGCCGAAATGTAGACATGTTTTTTTTTTCTCCGGACACTTGGCCTCCTTGAAATCAAAAAGGGGGGAGGGGGGCGGCTGGTGCCCACCTTCCAAATAGGGGCGCTCTTCAAAAGTAACTATAATTATGCACACTGCAAATTTATATACCCATTTTCACGGCGCATTGTAATGACAGTTTTAGCGGGTTTTCTTTTTGTTTTGGGGATTGATGTCATAACTCTCTTAGCATTTATTGAAATAATTGCTGAACGAAAAGTTTCTGAAAACAATTCGCCAGGGGCAGAGTGCCCCCTCTGCCCCCCCCCCCCCCGGATACGCCACTGGGAATTAAAGGTATGTAAAAAAATCGGAATGCTGAATTTGAAACGGGGATGCATGTTCCTTGATGTTCCGAAACTCAAAGGTTTAGCCCTCTGTAGGTTTGGAGCAGGGCAACATTCTCCCCCCATTTTCTGGAGATGACTATACTGTCTTGCCTCGTGAAATATGGAACACATCATTCAGAGCCATCCCATCGTTCACGCCCATATATGGACAAAACTCGCGGGACAAAAATGTGCATGATGTTATCGCTGTATATTGCTCGTAAACGGTTCTCTACTCATAATCATGTTCAGTGCATGAATTCGTAAAACAGATGTTTTTGCATATAGGAGCTCCGAGAAATTGGGACCAGAGCCAGCTTAGCACAAACATAATATATTCAACTCTCAAAAAATAAGGTTACCACCCAAACAAGTTATACATTGTATAATATCCCGTATAACTGGTTCCCTCTGATTTTGTTGCTGAAGACACACATTTGCTGAGCAGTGCTTTCAGCTGTAGGAGCTCTACGAAACAGGCCCCATGTGTTCAGTAGACAGCCGTACTTTTCGCAAGAGTGCATAACATCGTGCTTGAGTGAATACGACATCCAGTATATGGACAACTTAAGCTCGATCATTCATCATGTTCTCATACCTGCCCGTTCCCTGAACTGCAGGGGGGGGGGGTCGTAAACCCCCAAAGTGGAACTTTTGATCTGCACAAAATATGCAAAATATGTGTCGTGTCATGCCTATGCAAACTGTATGCTGCGAATAAGTGGGGGGGGGGGGGGGGGGGGGGGTCGTTCTGATCAACTGAACACCCTATGGGGCACGGGTTTGTCATACCAATATTATTAAATGTACCATCTGTTTTATTTCCTCAACAGAGAAAATGAACTTTTTAAAGTTAATTTATTTATTATTTACCATTGCATTAAGCCTTTCGTTTTAAACTAAATTTTTGCCTAACGACTAAAAAGCGCTGCATGTGTTGTTTTCCAGATGAGGTGAGTTTGATAATATTTTTTTTTCTTTTTTGCAGTGCTGCTGAGCTTCGTCACGTGATGACCAATCTTGGCGAGAAGCTGACGGATGAAGAGGTTGATGAGATGATCCGAGAAGCAGACATCGATGGAGACGGCCAAGTCAACTTTGAAGGTGAATTGAAGGCACAGTTTACCATACAAACTCCGTTTTGTTGTGTTATGTTTTTTTTCCCACCAGATATAGCGTATTTGGATGGCTCATGAAGTGAATGTTTCTTAGTAACATATTTTGTTCTACTTTCTAATCCTCTTAAGTGTATGAAAACTAATTGATATTCCCTTTTGGTTAATTTTGTTGAAAAGTGCACTTCTTTAAACATTTAAAATTGTCCATGCTTTTCCGGCTGAGGGCGCTGTTGTCGTGATGTCATTTCAGGGAGACACTGTTCATAGGTGTTTTTCTATTAAAATAGTGAACCCAAAAAAAAATGCTCATCGAAAACATTTGTGAGAAACGTTTGCTCATTTGCTTACTGCCATGAACTGACACAACAACGAACCACTAATGAAAAGAAACTTAACGACAGCGTAATACCCAAAATTTGGGGAATGACATCACACTTTTGCACCTGAATACGGAAATTCGCATTAGCATGAAAACCAAAAAGGCACCAAAATACCCTTAAAAATGGCAAAATGAAAATTGAAAATAAGGTAAAAGGGACGTACAGGTGCCTTTTCAAAGATTGCATTAAAACAATTACATTTCATGGGCCCTTAATCTTCTTTGTCTTAACAGGCAATTTATTCTTGATTTGGTTTCAGAGTTCGTAACAATGATGACATCGAAATGAATCCCCATCCGCCCTGCATCTCACCATCTTATCTCGTTGTCTCCATTCATTCTGTCTTGTTGTGTGCGACCAACTGATGAAAGATGCGTCTATAATGATCACGTGTGTCCCTTTAGTCTCCGCGCACACCTCGCCAGAGATTGGACGGACCACGCCAGCAGAGGGCGTCTTTTTGGAAGCCTGGTCGCTGATGGCGTCGCATCGAGTCAAGATTGGATAATCGTTTCAGGATTGGACTATCTGTATGTTAAATGGCCGATAGCACAATGGGAACGGCGAACTCAGCTGCGGGGTGCTTTTTCTGTTAATTCATCGGTCACGCGTTTAACTTTTGTATTTGTTCTGCCTGAGAAATGATTTTGTGTGACTAGATGTTAAGTGCTTTTGGGGTAGAAACGGGCAAATAAAGTATTCATAATAACCGACCCGGTGTACCCAAAACGAGGTCACGAAGAAGTATATATTTATACAATAATTTTACTTATTCATTCGTCAATTATGTAGTCGTTTTGGTTTTTAACTACAAAAATCAAATTTGCACAAAATAACCTCTCCGTGATAAACAGTAGAACAGCTTTTTTACTCAACTAATATTCCTGGATTTGCTCCAATACCTGTACATTCAGCAAACCAGTGAGAATGTGTGGCTCGTACCATGTTTGAACATGGAGTTGATTTGTAAATAACAGAATGAACATTTTTTTTTCATGTGTCATTTGAATACCCGCATTAGGCCTACTGGACAAAATAATATATCGAGGAAAATTGCAAAGGAAACAAAGTCTTATCGCTTGGACAAAATTTGTCGAAGTTTCCATCAAAACTTTCTTGACTTCATTTCATTTTGTTTTTCTAGATTTATCGATAATGAATCCCAAATTCAGAAAATCCCCAGGCGTGCATGAGCACATTTATCTGGAATTATTTCATATTTGTACGGAATTGTGGGTATCCAAATGGCCGATTTTGGACAGTTTTTGACGATGTATATAGTTCAATGGACGACGATAATTTAGACAGATCGAGAGAGGCTTCAAGATTTACATAAAAACCTCGAGTTATTTGTGCGATTGCTCAAATTAAAGCTGTACCTCTGATCGATTTTGCAATTTTGTGCTGTTTACCAAAATTTTGATTGGGAGTGTTGTACTGTGACTGGCATCCAGATATTTCGCAAAAGGGAATTTGTAATACAAACCACAACGGGCAACATTTCCCATTGAAAGTGTCAGCATGTTTGCATTTCTTCAGAAGCATTGCAGTTTCCATTATTGTGTCAGATATACACATTATTGTACCACTGAATGTTTTATCACACTTTCATTGTAAATTGTTACCCACAATGGGGTTTTAATATTCGTTTTTTTCTGATGTTACCTCGCGTGTTTGGTGTTTTTACGCGATTTCTAATTAAAGTTGAAAACAAAATCCATTTTGTATGGATACAAAGCTTAGTGTCGTCCATTATTATTTATCATTGAGTCGTATGGTACTTGACTTAAGCCTATTTTTTTCACCGGCGGACCTTTATATTTATAGTGGGATTTGGGCCGCTCCCGAAAAGAAGATTGTTAACTTTGTTTTTATAATAACCAGGGAACGCACTAGCCGACTGTTTAAAATTTTAACGCAACGGTTCTTTGTAAATTCCAAATTACAATAAATTCCACAGTGCAAACGCAATTTTTTTCAAACACAATTATGCAAAGCACAGGGGCGGATCCAGATTTTGATCAAGAGGAGGTTTAGCTGCCAAGGAGGAGGGTGGGTGGGTGGGGGGGGGGGGGTTAGCAGGCATTTGCTGTGATTTACAGCACGCCTTTCCTTTTTTTTTGGCGGCCCGGGGAGGGGGGGGGGGTGTCAGACCCCTAGCCTCCTTCCTCCTATAGATCCGTATCTGAAGGGTATAGCTTAGCCCTAAGGGGCCGGGTTATTTTGACCACCTCTCAGCCGGGGGGGGGGGGGCGGATTTCTTTTTCCCCCCTAAGATCTCCGCCATCGAGTAACGAAACATTTTGAAACTCGGTACATGCATAGAGCAACTCTTCATGAACATACCCAAGAAATTTCATGACCAAAGGTGAAAGGGTTTTGGAATTATGGCTAATTAAATATTCATAATATATGAATGGCAATTCTGGTCTGTATACACGACGTATATGGGAAAATTAAGTTTTCACGGCGCGTAACGCCGGAAAAATTGTCGCTGCGCGACAACCCTCGTCCGATTTGTATGCTTTTGGTGTCAAAAGATGCGCAAGGCTCGAGGCTAAAAAGTCATAAAAGCTTGGGTCGCGAATTTTTTTTTAAAAGGCTATCGCGGAAAAAGTCGAGGGGGGGGGGCAGATTCCGCCCCGGCCCCTTTAGAGTTAGTTTTCGAAATGACGGTGGGTACTGATGACACCTTAGGCCCTAACGTGTTATGTTTTTCAGGTCCGAACCCGGTTTTTCAAAAACAAATCATTGGAAGTCTGTTTCTGTTCTCGTAAATAGCCCACTGTGAATTTGGGGGTGGTTTTATTCGGAGAAAAAAACATATACTGTCGTTCTGATGCCCTTGATCATGGTGATAAGAAGCCAACGTTTGTTTCCAGTCTACTTGGAGTTTGTTTCTGTATAACCTGCAGTCTGATGCACACACATGACTTGTGTGTCTGTACAAACGTGTACAGATGGGTGCGTTTCATAAAAAAAAATGAGCAAGGTTAGCCGTCAATGGCGCTCTTAGTTATGGCGGTGGGTTAAACCCAGGGTTCCAAAAATCATTTAAAATACTCACAACTCTCCAAGGTGTTTGACACACCCATCAAGTTAAAGCTTATTTCATCATCTTTCATTTTCTGTTCAATTTCCTGGTGGTAATCTGACAACTTTTGGGAGAAAATTCTATCCGAAGATGATCACCCCTGAAAGTAGTCCTGTGGCCCATCTCCATATAAAAGAAAAAACTGATGCCTGAGCTCCGTTGTAAAATAGAGCATTAATTTAGGGCCCAATTTCATCCGAATTTCACAGCTTCCGCCCATCTTTAAGAAGTGACCCTCAAGCTCATGGTCGACAAAATGCTCCATAGCAAAGAATTTGACTGAGGGCATATCGTGATTTGGCCCGCGTGGGTTATTCTGGGCCTATTTACAGGTCTGCACCCTTTACTAGCTGATTTATGTCTATATGGAAAATACCGAAGGTAAAAGATAAACAGCGCCCCCACTATCGTTTTTTTTCCCCACCCAGCATGTGCATCCGTTGTTACTGCACAATGCATAACAAAACTATATCAAAGGATAGCCGCTAATGATGCCAGTGTCTATATTCACGCCGGTATCTGGGAAAACTGAACAAAGTTATATAAGCGCTCAGCTCAAGACTTTTTTTTTTGGGGGGGGGGACAATTCTTAATGACAAAACTGTCTGCAACATGTGGTGTTTTCAGATGTCATTACGCTCGGATGAACTTAATGAGAGTTTACAGAGAAGTCGACTTTTGTTGGAATTTAAGGTAGGGCGATAGGGCCTACGCATATTCCCCACTGCACCCATTTATCCCATTGACAATCAAGAAGTCCCATTGATGGAGGGATTTCTGATGCTGCATGATGGCATTAAGGGGGTGGAGGTTCTTTGTTGGAGCATGGATTTCCTACCTCCATGGTTGGAGTTACAAAAGAAGCGGTCTGCTTTGGTTTGATCGAAATCCCTAGCGTACGTGGGCTCTGACACAGGGGCGGCGGAACCGGGGGAGGGGCACTTGCTCCCCAAGATTTACCCAAGTGCACCTCTTTCGGTTCGGACAAAACGTGCCCTAAAAACGCCCCCACACTATTTGATTTTACGGAGGTCTAGACTTGTCCGGTGAAAAAAACCCGGATGTGCCAAAAAATGCTGGATACACTGACGGAAGATGTCTTTTACTGAGCAAATGCCCCATTTTGGCGGTGCCCCTCCCGTTTGAAAACCGTTCCGCCGCCGCTGCTCTTTCATCCGGGATTTTTTTACATTGACCTATCTGCTCTCGTTAATGAAATGACCACTCGAAGCTGTTCCCATTATTGCTCTTCAAAAAGAGTGGTAAATCATTCAATCTTTTAGAGTTGTGCAAACACTATTAGCCAAAGTGAAAAACCACGCAAAAAGATGCAAACTTTCATTCAATTAGCGAGTAAAGTTGCAAGACATTTTGTTCGTGAAACTGAATGGTTCTTGAGTCTGGAATGCTGAATGGTAACACCATAGTATGGACGGTGACGGGATTGTGCCTTTGATGATAAAAACATGCAGGCCCGGGTTAAGTTTTTCGTTGGCCTTAGGCGCCATTAGGCCCCCATCGGCACAAAATTCATGCTGTTATTATTATTAGTGTTAAAGTACAAAGCACTGTACAAATCAAGCCAGGGCAAAGTGGTATACTTCATAGCTCTAAAAGCATGTCTGCACCAAGGGCGTCAATCGCTTTTCAAAAGTGTGTGTGTGTGTGTGGGGGGGGGGGGGGGGGGGGGGTGATAGGCCTACTATGTGTATCTGAGTGCAAAGCCTGACGGCGTGGGGTTCGGGGGCGGCCCGCTTAAGGGCGCCCCGGGGGTAAACATGGATTCTTGTGTGCGACCTGAGGCAATCTCTGATCACTTTAACCGAATTTGGTTTTAGCACAAGATCACCATTTCAAACAACATATTCGAGTTTGGAGTCACTGAATCAGCTATTCTGAGCTATAGAATCACATGTAGGCAAGGGCGGATCCAGGACACAATTTTTTTGGGGGGCGCAAAAAAATTTGGGTCCCCCCAAAAAGTGGGTCAAACAAATTACGGCGTGGGGTTCGGGGCCCGCTTAAGGGCCCCGAAATTTTTTTGGATTCTATATGCTCTGTGGTGCGATCTGAGGCAATTTCTGACCACTTTAACCAATGTTTTTTTGAGGTAAGATGGTGGTGTACCCATTGCCTGCCTTTATTGCGATGTCACATTAAAAAAAAAAAAATTGGTTTCGTTTTTTTTTGGGGGGGGGGCCCATGGCCCCCTTTAGCCCCCCCCCCCCCTGGATCCGCCCTTGCATGTAGGCTACAAGGTTGGCACCGTGCTTCAGAACGACAGATTTTCTCTATACATGTATGCCTACATACTGAACAGCATCAGTTGGTGAAATCGAAAATTCTGAGAGAGACCCTAAAACATTCTAGACACCTTTCTCTGCGTGTGGAACAATAGAAAATCCTCGATTTACACCATAAGACTGCGTGTGTGGGGTGTGTTTGGGTGTTTTGTGGCACTGAACAAGGAGATGTCTCCAAAAAGGATACAAATTCCAGTATGGGTGCGGCATTTTGCGTAGGCCCTTGAATTGTTTGCAGTTTTTCGTAGGCCCTAGGCACGGTGCCATGGGTAATCCGGGCCTGAAAATGACATTTGGCACACGGTCGATCAGATCAGAATATGTCATGAGAAAAAAAAAATTGGCTGAAGTGGCCATCGCAGATTTGTCCTTTGAAAAAAAAATATAGGTAGAATAACAAGCAGCATGGCAGGCATTTTGAAAATGTTGACAATTGCTTGATATTCTACTTTTTATTTTTTTCAAAGGACAAATCTCCCATGGTCCTATAGCCAAATATCTTTCTTAAGACATACTCTGACTGTGTGCCAAATGCCACACTTGAATCATCAAAGACACACATATATCATTCGATGAAAACTGGGTGCAAATGAATGTTTTCATCGGATGACGTCAGCCCGCGCCCACCTATAAAGTCAACATTTACAAGACGTTGTCAGATGGGCATTTTCCGGCCTGTTAACATGCGCAATATGATATAAACAACCCAAATAAAATGTGTTAATAAAGCCTACTTGATCCAGTGCCGTGCCCGGCTTTATTGCAATTATGAATTCAAGCAAGTATGTTGACTCTTGAGATTACAGGGAAAAAATCATCCTCAATTAGTGTTCATGATTTTGGGACAAAAATGTGCTAGTGCACAGTTGCATGAGTTGCAGTCAGTTTTTACAGTGTATTTTTGAGTAAAATCCATGTACCTATTTCGAGGTAACCTTGTGGAGACGTATTCACCCATAGAAATTGCCCTGTGGAGACGTATACAATCTTTTGTTCCTTTTTATACCCATCATCCACAGGGTATACCGTGTACCAGATCCCAGCCGGGCACTTTTAGATTGTTGGTCATCCCCCATCCACCCACTCGCCCACGAAGACTTACGCTGCTGACAGTCAAAAGGACCGAGGCCGATGGGATGACTGAGCACAACTTACCGGGGATTTCTGATGCAGCGTGTCGATGACCTGTGTGGGGGTGGAAGTTTTTTGTTGGAGTATAAAGCAAGGCCTCGCTTTATTACAAAACCAGCAGTCCTGTTTGATCCAATCCCTATAGCATACGACGCAATTTCACACAGGTTGTTGCCAGAGGGGCGTTTCCTGGCCTGTTAACATGCGCAATGATATAAACAAACAAAACAAATTTATCAATAAAGATTACTTAGGCTAATCCAGTGCCGTACCCGGCTTTATTTGCAATTATGAATTCAATGCAAGTGTAAATGTTGACTCTTTAGATCATCGCAAGAATGTTGATTGTTATCCACCGGACTACATGTCGTTCTATTTGTATACTTGATATGATTGATAACCAGTCTGGCTTTATGCATGAATGGGTTGCTGCACCCACAAACTCGCACTCCACTTCATTGTGGTTTGATTGCGGTGCAGAGCTAGACGTGTTTCATAAACTGCTCGGGTTTTTACGACGAACAACGAAGTTCCACTTACCTGAAACATGGCCGTGAGTATGAATCTCCGCTTTCTCGTATCCAAAAGGCTCAGTGGGTGAATGACTACAATCGGAGGTTTCACAGAGAACTTAGTTTGTGAGGATTTGTTGGGATTTTTTTTTACGGGGGCGGGTTGCCCATAATATAATACATCTCAAATACTGGACTTCCTCTGTGTATGTTGACAGCCCATAAAATAGTGAGTCTCAACTTGAAGGAATTTTATATCTAACCTATTCCGATGATTTAGAGCCACGGCGATGCATGTTAAATTGGAAAGAATGTTGCAACCTGACGCTGATTTTTTCTTCATATATCAACTCAATGAAGGTCAGTTATTGCATAAATGATGATAAGACACGAATCTGGGAATGAGAAACATTTCCAATTTTGCTAGTAAACACTTAGAAAATGTTCTTGACTCTCCATGGACTTTGCACACAACCGCTGAAGTAGCGTCAGGTTGCAACATTCTTGTCGTTAAATTTCCTGATGAGTTAATATGATTTCTGAATTCGAAACCTAGACTGTTTAAATTTCCACTTGATATTCTCTATGGAAACAACTTATACCTGGAAAAATCAGGGGAAAAAAATTCCATACCTGCCTTTCAAGAGTTTTAAACCATCGTATGGCACGAGCTACGGGCAGTTCCTATACCTTCCTTTGACTTTTCACTCCCCTTTAGATCTCTTAGCGGTATTTTTTTAAAACCGTTTCCCCTTATCACTTCCACTGTTCCTTCCCCCCCCCCCCCCATGTTCCCAAAACATTCCTCTCCCCCGTTTCCATCAATCACGGCCACTGCAAAATTGCACGACTTCCATGCCAAAACATGAAATGGAAAAGTCCAGATTTTACCTTGCGATAATATTCCTCCCATTCCACGCTGAGCCACTCAATATTTGTATACTATTGCAAATCAACATTCCTGATGTGACTGCCTATCCACATACATTTTTCAATCGTGACAGACTTTGCCTTTCATATTTACGTTGTGAATACTGTACGTGTAGTCAGCGCATGTCTGGTTATACACGAACAAAACGTACGTTGACTCAGTTAAAAGTAAACTTTACAATATTTTACTTTACGTGGGAACAAAAAAAAAATCTTTCTTTCGGAAAGAACTCCAGTCTTTGTGAATCGCAGTTAACCAAGGTCGCATATGAGTGTGACTGCAAAAGGGGTCGAAAGTGGGCATTGTCGTATCTGTTTAGAGAAACGCAAAACGCTTGATGGGAAACACCTGAACCAGACTAGGACCTTGAGTACAGACAAACATGAGAAACAAAACCAAGCCAAGTTTACTCACTCTTTATAGCCAGCAACATTGTCAAAACTGTTCACGAGGCAAATACAAGGTCCTCAATTATTTCACCAGCCAAGTTTGAGGTCTCAATTCAATTTTCAAAGGAGACTTTTCTCTAACATTTTGCACCAGAGTGAAGCCAATGATTTTAATCTGAAGCCTAAGACTAGACTGGTACATATTGTCCAACTTTTTGAGAAGATTGATCCTTTGGTATACTAGTCTGGTGGCATGACTATGGAAATGTGTATAAATAGAGACTAGGTTACCATGCAGATGTTTCTTTTGACACATGAATGAGGTAGTATTAAAAGGGTGTTGGATTGGTTGTTTTTTTATGGGCCAGTCACATAGTAAAACCTCTTAGTCCAAGATTTATGTAACTAAAATTTAGTGAAACAGGTCAGAAATTGGCCTGTAAGCCTATATAAAATGTGTGAACGTTTGATCGACTTAACATTGTGTACACTGTGCAATTCGGGCACTTTACAGTATTATGCAGTGTATTATACGGCTCCGTGGTGGTACACACACAACTCTTTCCCATTACGTGTATAATATAGAAGCATGCCGGTGTCACATGAAAATCCGACTTCTATGAAAATCGGACCCCTATTTCCCTATTATTGGTTGATCCCTCGCACGTGACAGATCACTCTCCCGAAACGATCCTAAAAATAGCCTAGTATCGTACTCACGCGTGCGCAGTACTACCACTGAGTCCACATTTCATGGAGTCGGATATTCACGCTACAACGGTTGGTTTTTTAGTGGAGAGCAGGCCTAATACTAAAAAAAAAAATCTTGGATAAAAACTCTTTTAACAGCTATAAATAGCGAAAAACGTATGCACGCAGTGTTGTCTGCATACCGGCCATGCAGTCATACATGAAGAGGACAATCATAGATCGCTGAAAGGAAACTCATTTAACAAAGTTCCTGTTTTGACATAGGTGGGCGTACACAGACTACACACGGTAGATGATGAGAGTCGAGGTTTGCTTGCAAACAAAGTTAAAAGAAAGCTACATTTATTGGTTTTTTTTGTCCAATTGAATTCAATTGTACAAAAAACCCAGATAATTGTAGTCTTTCTTTTAACATTAATGCTATATAGATAGATAGTGTTCCCTATGGCGTCATGCCGACAGCCAACCGTTGGGCAACCTGCAGCATTTCATATAAAGACTAGTGTCCACGCTCAAGAAAAAACCCCTAATTTTTGTGTACTTTGTGGTATGAAAGGACTTGGGAGTAAGTAACCAAAATATACTTTTTTTTGGAAACGATATTTTGCCCGTTGCCATGGTAGTTTGAGGCTGCAAAAATTATTTTTTTTGGCGTTAATTTCAAAGGTCATCAAGGGAAGTCAGGTTGGCGTAGCGGTACTTTCCTCGCCTTCCACCGCTGTGACCCAGGTTCGAATCCCGCCTGGGCCAATATGTGGATTGGGTTTTTGAAAGTCCCTACCTGATTCCGTGGGTTTTCATATAAGAATACTCTTCTGGGCTTTTCCTCCCACCTCTAAAACTGTAATTTCTTCACATTGTCTTCTCTTTACTGGGCACCATGGGAGATCAGTGGATTCCACTGAATGGGCTACCCAGTTAAAAAAAGAAAGAAATAAATTTAAATAAATTGAGCCAAAATATGAAGTAATGTCACAAAAGTAACTATGAAACGATAAGGTATCATCGTTACCCTTACAAGAAAAAATAGAAACACTTTTTAGGCCCTACAATACAGCATGTTTTACAACTACCAAAATTGCATAATTTACACCATATTTGACCCTTCAAATTGCCACTTGCCACGGCAGTCAGAATAATATTTGGCGCACACTATAGAGTTCACGGCAGACACAGAGTGTGCCTTCGCGACGTGTTATTACCAACATGTTATAGTGTCTCAGTACAGTACCCCCATTATTGTTGATGAGGTATAGGCTTCCTGTCTGTATTGTAAAACAATTTGTGTTGATTCTATTGAGGCACATGCCAACCCCTCCCCCGCAAATTGGGCGAGCCAGCCGAAGCTGCCTACGTCTTTTTCTTATCGAGGGAAGTGTTTTGGCAAAAGACACATTAATTTGTTCAAACTATGCATGGAAATGTGGAATTAATGCTAGTTTTGGGGCAAATCTTGGTAAGAATAGGAGCGAATGCCAGAATCGTCACACTCATAGAATCAGCGGTGATGATGTATTTCTTTTGCTGGACCTGCTGGTACTTTTCTGGTTTCACTTGTAATGGAAAGTACGATATCATTTAGAGTATTCATTCATATCATTTGATTTTTTTTCCTTCCCATTTGGCAGGGTTCCATGACTCCTGGAAAAAAGCAAGGTGAGTTAAGTTTGGGGAAGCTCAAATGTGTGCCTTTCAGGTTGCGTGTTACCATACAGGTGTTAAAATCCCACCTTTTTTTTGGGGGGGGGGGGAAGGGAAGACAGACTCATCTCTGAGAAAAGCATAGACCCCTCGTACGGTGCGCCCTCACCAACGGCATTTTTCTTTTAATTCAGTGACAATGAAAGTACAAAATGTCTACACATGCGCATTATGACAGAGAGACTTGTCTGAACTAAATAGGCCAAAAAAACAGTCCGCCCAGCTGATGTGAAAAAAAAGTTATACACTCAATTTATTCTATATTAGAGAGTTCTGAGAGCCATGGAATTGGGATATTGAGATATGTCAATGCACCCTACCTGGTCTTTGGGCTTCCAATTCTGAGCAGATCTGGATGCATTATTGGGTCCGCCAGTGGCGCTATTTAGCCATGTTGTGGAGGGATCCTTTTTCAAGCTGGCTACTTTTCCAGTTTGGGAAACATCACTCGTTGTACTAGGGTGGTCTTCTTTGGGTGGGAATTTCTCGAAAAGTCAATGGTCAACCGACCAATAATTGAAAAGAAAATGAAAGATGACATGTTCATCGTCATTTTTCTAGGAATGCAGCCTGAACACCTGTGAGGGTTCTGAGTTATTTGAAAAGACTGTTCATTTATCACTGGTGTCTGGAATTGTTATACTTGGGCGCACCCTTAACCTATCGCGGTAGAATCTCGTCAACGCAGCTTGTGGAATATTGTCCAATTAGGACAAGGAACGCGCAAAATCTGAAAAAGATCTGAAAAACGCGCAAAATCTGAAAATCTGAACGCGCAAAATGTACACAATTGCATGGGTTGCCTATAAGGGTAGTGGCTAACTCGCAAACGGCGATAAGTCAATTGTGGAAAATGACCGAAAACATTTATGAGTTGTCCCATCCTATAATGGGTTTAACTTCTCATTGGCCGGCTTCTGTCGAAAGATAAGTGTTCCGAGTAATATCCAGATTGTCAAATCTCTTAATCCCAAGCCTGAATTCGCATTCAATTCTTGTATGCAGCAATAATATGACAATGTTAACAACAGTGCATATTATTTTGTGTAAAGTAAGCTAGATTTTGGGTCAAAATACTATTCTTTACTTCTCCTTTTTTGAGTGGAATTTGTAAAAAAAAAATAAAAAAAATAAAAAACTTCATAATGAGTGCAAAGATTCAACCTTGAAAATAAAATGGTAAAACTCTTGTTAATTGAAACATCATAGCATGCAAAGACGCTTTCAAGCAGTTTGATAAGAATGGCGACGGCAAGATCAGCACAGACGAGCTGAAAGCCGTAGGCAAGGTGCTCAACCGGGACTTCTCCGATGCTGACGTCAAGCAAATGATGGAAGCTGTCGACACAAATAGTAAGTGGGTTTTCCCCAACCTCGTTCCCATGGGTACGAGATCTTGCTGCGCCATGTTGTTTCCCATCATGCCTTGTGAAGGAACGCGCACGTGCCCATGGAATCGAGGCTGGGTTTTCCCCTTGAAGCTATCGACCAGTATCATGTTGCGGCCATCTTGATTTTCCCCATTCAAATCAACGTAATCAAAGTGGGGCTCGAAGGAGAAATAGTCTGGTTCCTTTTTGCACGACAAATATCATTCAGTACTGTTATTGGATACAGGGAACATGGCTGAAATGGTGGCAGCATGATAAAGGTCTGTACCTCACGAACGCGCAAGGTGTGCTTGGAATGTGTCGGTCTGAGTGTCGGTCTGAGTGTCAAAGTTCCCAAGATTGGATCGGATTGATCTGTCAATAGCGCCCTCTACACTCTAAAAAACTGAAGAGTTGAATTCAACAAATACATGAGTTCGGTCAGTGACCACACTTTGAAATTGCTAAATCCAACATTTTAGAAGTTAAAGCCAACACTTAAAATGTCAATTCAACATTTTAAATGTTGTCAAGTGTTAATTCAACACTTTCACAGTGTTAAAGTTGAAAAATTAATGAATCAGCACTTGGCGTTACAGTCAACAAAAGACGTGTGGAGTTTTATGTGATACTGGCCTGCGCTGGCAATTACACAACTCAAGAATTGATGTGTTTTCCATTGCAGAGAGCGGCTTCGTTGAGTACGACGAGTTTGAGAAATTGATGATTGCGCAGGATAAAAAGATGATGGAGGGGGTGGCGGAGTCCTTCAAACAGATCGACAAGGACGGCAGTGGTTTTATCACGTAGGTGCACTTTGGTGTTTTTTTGTAAAATGTCTATTGGTTTTTTTCGTGGATAGTTTCTTCGTATTTTTTTTTTTTACACGGTATCATAAGCGGATTCAGGGGGGGGGGGGAGGTGGAGTCGAACCCCCCCCCCCTCCTGCTCTGACACCGAAAATAAACTATGCTGGTTATAATGTCCACCACCGTACTTGTGCACAAAATTCGGACAGCGCCAGCTGTGTTATACATAGGGGTATTTGTACACTATTCTGTGATGTAGTGTTAATGATGTTCTGATTTCAGCAGTGCCTCCATTGAAAGTATGGTATGAGCAACCCCACCCCCTATTGATTTTAAGGAGGCCAAGTGTCCGGCGAAAAAAACAAACCTGTGTACATTTCGGCATTGATTTGCTGATGACTCCCCCCCCCCCCCCCGCAAACAATTCGTTGATCCGCTCCTGGTAATTTGGAATGATTCCCAGTCCCAGACCTATGCATTTTTTCAGCATGTTTGAATGACCATTATTAAAGCTACGAATGGTGGGAAGTTGCGTCAGAAGTCGGCATTTCCCATGGTTTCCAGAGCGACATTAAAGTCGGCATTTATTATATTTTCAAGATTTGCTGTTGGACCGGATACACATGTTTACGTTACCATAGTGAGGATTTGCGCATTCACTGTGAACTTTCTTTCAACCCGAATTTGCGATCACGATTTCCTTGAGTGCTCCTCTTCATTTTCAGACGGATGACCCTATAGCCCAAGAATTCCTCTAAAACTGTTTTTCAGAGAGGGGAAACATTGAGTATAACACCGGCAATCGTGGACCTAGGACAAAAGGGTTGGTTCACAAACAATACGTCCACGATTGACCGAATGTCCACGATTGAAATTCGTGTACAAAACCAATGAGAACTGTTGATAAAAAGTTGAGTTGTTGAGTACAAACAAAGGAATGAGGGTAACGGACAAGGGGAGGGGTCCACGATTGCCTGTGTTTACGAAGATGGGTGTGTACTGTGGACCTGTGCAAGTCCACACAACGTCTTCACTAGCTGCATCGCATATCGTGTGGGCATCTTTTGTACACAGGTCCGCACAGTGATTGCACTGCCTGTTCACGATTGTGCCCATGCACGGTGTGTGTAGTTAGGCCATATTTTTTTTTTGCTGGTGAAGGTTGCAGATCAGTAAATAAGCTGCCGCAGTAAAGACCTCAGTGATAATTACACCCTCTTCCACAAATTTGGAAAAATACTCTCCAAGGTGTTTGAGATCACATCAAAATAAAGTGTATTTCATCATCTTTCATTTTCTGTTCAATTTTTGGGGGGTTAACGTATGACTTTTGGAATAAATTTCCATCCAAACACGATCACCCCTAAAATAAAAGCAGTCCTGAATCCCATCGCCATTTTGAAAAAAGGGCACGCCTATTACGTACGCTCCAAATCTTGAGGACATATACAAATCCGGCTTAGGCAATTCCGGGCGTAGGCCTGCACCCTGAATCGGGACACTGCAACAATGCCATCTTAGTAACTTTAATCCAATCTAAAATTAGTGATTGGAAAAAACAATTTTCGAATTGTGTAGCAACAAAGTCCGCGTCACACAGGCGTCAATATTAACCTTGGATTCACGTACTATACCATGACTGTACCTCAAAATGGCGTCGTATAACAGCGCCCTCATTCGATCATAAATATATCCTATTCAACGATAGCAAAATATTGAAGTTGCTCTCTGTGCCCCATCATCATTTTTGTAGTTGGTTTGCTGTTACGTTCTAAAATGCTCTTTTGTTGTTTGTTGGATAATTTCCAACTAAGTATAAGCATTCTCGTTGATAGACTTCTGATAATGGTCTATTGTAATGTTTATTGCCCGTGTGCAGACTGGACGAGATGGACGCGCTGTTCAAAGGCCTGGGAGTTACTTTGACTCAGAAGGAGCTGAAGCAAGAAATGGCTAAAGTGGATCTGAACAAGGACAACAAAATTAGCTTGGCAGGTGTGTGCGTTTTATTTGCAATTGGAACCGCGGTACAACAGATCGGTTTCTGTTCAAAGCTATGATACTAACTTAAGTCATCAAAGGTATATAACCAGAATTTGGTTGACTTGTATGCACTGCACGCTTCTGTGTAAAACTGTGTACATACACACTACTTGTACACTCTTTTTGCTCGACCAAGAGGGCCAGCCACTGGTGTCGTCTTGGTTCCTCTGTCACTGACGGACTGGCACTTGTGACACTAATATAACACTTAAGTCTCGCCTTGGCTCAAATTTAATGTTTGACTCAGTTGTCTATATACATGTACAATGTAGTTGGATGACCGTCAGGATGACTGTAGGATGACTATAGGATGACTCGGGATGACTATAGGATGACTCGGGGTGACTCGGGTAAAGATTTTTGGATTTGACATCTTGAAATAATTCTGAAACGATAACAGTATGTAGCTTCCTAGCTTGGTAGTAATCATGATTCTTTATACTTTTTTTTTTTCAGAGTTCAAGAAAATGATGGAGGATCTGTAGACAACCGATTTGGAAAAGCCGCACCAACGCAAAAAAACGTGGTCATACACTCAAGATGGCGAACATTAATAAACAGGCAGTAGACTAGAAAAATCAAACATGTTTTTGACAGAACAGAATGTTTGTATTTTTGTATTTAATTAATCTAAATATAGAATCCTTGATAAAATTGTTCAGGTTAAAAAGGTGGCCTAATTTTGTTCAGTGGACTACCGGGGAGTGTCAGGGGGTCTAAACCCCTTCTTTGGCCACATACATAGGGGAATCGTGCAGAAGAATGCAGCAAATGCCTGCTACCCCCTTTTTGGCAGTTAAACCTCCCTCGTGATCTTACCCTGGATCCGCTCATGTTATCATAATGTATACGCTTTTTGTTTAAATGGTAAGCACAATTTTAGGCCCCTATTTAGAAGATGCATTTGGGTGCTTTGGTACTTTTTATAAGGGGCAGTTTTTCATAAAATGAACTCTATAGACTTTTAAGACTTCCTTGGCTATTCAGAGTGATCACACTACTAACTGCTTCAACATAAATAACAAACCACATCACGTGTCATCACTGACAGACAAGTTAACCATTCTTGTGAAAAATGCATAAGCCTTTCCCCAACTGTTGTTGGAGCATGTGTACAATGTTGAATATCTTAACAGTTCTTGACTCTTTTTTTTATAACTATATGGCTTCTCATATTTGCAAACTTATGTACTGAAGATGTAAACAGAGGCACAGTGATATTTTGCTGCTTTTCAATGGTGATAATTTTTGTTTCAACTTTAGAATAAATTATGTTCTGCTTTTTAGAATTGAGCCTTTTCTGAGGTCCACAAAGTTGACATTATATGCGAAAAACACAAGCTCCTTTCCTATATGATTGACATTTAAAAAAAAATAGCCCTTGCTTTACAGAGAACTACCCAAACTTAACTCAAAGGTTTCAATGAACCAATTAGTTCAGCTGTAACATTCAATGAACGACAGGTGTTCGTAAATATGAAAGAAATACCACTTTGGTGATTCAGTGGACTCACGATGAACTTGTACTAAACAAATAATTAACTGACCCTAATCCAACTCTCCTGCTCCATAATATCTGAATGGGTCTACGAACCGTTGTATACTTATAGATCTCTACCTAATATATTTAATAAAAAAAGACATATAGATGTCAATCGGTGTCTTGCTGGATGTGCTGAGATATGGAGTATCTTAATCTTCGGTCCCGAGTGTATAGTTAATGGAGAAATGCAACTACACGGTGTTGAGATGACAATTTGAGGAGCTTAACACAAAACGAAAGATGACGAATCAGGAAAAGAGCAATTTTGCTTGGGGAATTGAATAGCGTGTTCAAACTGCTTGAAATGATGCATATCAAGATCTGGAATTTTGCGTGGCTATCTTCTAAAATTACAAGTATCGAGGCAAAAGAGATTATTTACGCGCACGATTCAATACTGTATAATGGAAATGAAAATGGCAACCCCATAGAAGCGTTCGAGATCTGTGAACAAAATGACGGCTTATATCGTTACTTTTCGAGAAAAAGGCCACTGCACACGACGGGGGCTATACGTGCTGAGCAAAAGTCATTTTCAGGCCGTTTGCTAGCACTAGCTCACAAAAATTTAATATCACCCGTGTGCGGTCATTTATTTTGCTGAGTTTTCTGTCTCGCGAGGCCGTGAGGAAAATATCTCCCCTCTTTGATTTGTCCTAAGCGTTTCCGCTGCAACTTAATATGAAACTACTTAACTGCAAATTGATACTTGTGAAAGACGGATGATAAGGTTTTTGAATGACAGGAATTCATCGGCTGCAATTATGAACACACATTTTTGTTCAGGATCAAACAATTAACCGAAATAAACAAGAGTATAGGAAGCCTATAGGCAAGTTGGCCCCAGAGTGGACATTCAATTCAAATGAAGTCATTTTTATGCACCTGGTCTAATGGACCGCATTTAGCACATTCATCATCGTGACAGGTGTAATCCTATACGATAGCACTGCCCAGCTCTCACGTGACAGTCAGTCATGTAGTGACTCAGTCGGTCAATGATCTGAGGTGCAAAGAAGACACGCCCTCTGCATAGGTGTAGGACCTTCAAAAAGTGCAGTGCTAGAGTACGCAGAAGCTTTGAGTATCAATTCATTTACAATTTCCCTCTAGTTTCACTTACCCCGCCCCTCCCATTATATTTTTCAAACCTCGACTTTGTTCCAACTTTGGATCAGGCTCCATTTATATTTTGGGCCATAGACGTAGTGGCGTAAATATGTGCCGGCGAGTGGAGGGGATGGGGGATGACCAAAATCCAAAAATTACCCGGTCGTGGAAATTGGAAAAGCGGGAGGGGGCTGGAGCTGGACACCACATTAAACTAGGGAGCGCTCTTCAGGATACGTAGGCCTATACTCGCGCTTACATCAAAACGGCGCATCTTAGAAGCTGTTGTAATTTGTTTCTCCAGTTTCAGTGCTATTGAGTACATTTTCGTTGTTGGGACAGTCCGAAAAATACTTCGAAACCAGCATTTTTTTCTCATCATGAAAAAGTGGGGGGATGATTCAATAGCCCAACCCCCCTGGTAAAAAAAGTGGAGGGGATATTATACCCCCCTCCTCCGGATTTACGCCCCCGATACGAAGGCTCAGTGTCAATACCAAATCATAATAGCAAAAGTAACGATAATGACCGCAGCCTAAAGATTAGAACATGTTCAAAATTTTCTAACTGAAAGCTCTCATAAATTTGTTCTGAACCAGACATGAAGCTGAATTCAAAATAACGCCGAATTTTTGAAAAATTAAAGTAGTTTGCTACAGAGCTCTCCCTCCCCAGCCCCGTCTTTCAAGACATCTCTCCAGCGCACTCTGGCGAGTAATTTACCAAATTCATTAATTATGTACAATGAAAAACTCTAAATAAGAAAAAAGTCCCGGCTTATTAAAAATGCGCACTGATAACATACTCGTCAATTCATCGATCCCTTTTTTTCTGGGGCATTTAACAAAAAAAAATCAATGTGACTCATGAAACCGTACCCCGTGCTCATATTTGCACAAAGAAAAAGAGCAAACAGACTTATAGCGGTATCGACTTTTTTGCATATCGATATGAAAAAAAAATAAGCCGAACCCCGTCATTGGCGTGGGTTTATATTATGTTGGCGGAAAAGCTGAGTGCCTGCATTCGAGATTAGAATCTGTGGGTGCAGCATCGAACACAGACACTTCGCTCGTCTGACGCGGACTTTGTGCTTCAAGTTGACTTCAACGTGTGAACTCCTCTACAGCAATGGCAGTGAGATACATTTTGATTACTAATAATAAATTAATTAACCTGATTATTTTGTTCATTTCGCCAAAAGCTGGTTATCATTGGAATGTATAATTCGGAACGGTTAGAGAGGAATTGAGTTCACATCTGTTTGGAAAATCTATGGCATCAGTGCGGAAGTGCAAATGTAATAATTATTGCTCACAGTCCGTGTCTATATAGGGCCTATATAATATGAATTGCAGACATTTTGCCAGGTACGTTGAACGAGTTTTTCTGTCTTATTAAAATTGCCACATTTGGCACACACATTTAGTGTTGGAAACAAGTGATGCTTTGCATTTCAGCCTGGCAGCTTGGTGGGGCCAGTGCTATCATCAGGGACACAAGTTAAACATTTCAGAATAGGCGCATTAAAAGATTATTCACGTACGTGTATAACATGACAATAAATACGGTCATTCACATTCCTCTTATAAACTGATTGTCACCGATAAGTATTATAGTCTAAACATTTGGACATGTTCTTAAAACAAAAAATCAGGAAGTCTGTGAATTAAAAAATTTGTAAAATAATTTGATATTAAAACACATGTATAGACCAATAACTTTTCAATGATTGGAGGTGTGTATTTATCCATTAACACGAAGAACCCATTGGGGATGTTTGCATGTAAAAAAAGAAGGAAATATTCACGAAGGTAAGGTAGCCCAGTACCTTTACTGTGTGCACATTCGCAATGTACAATGAGGTGTACAGTATTATGTGATGGAGTACTTCAACACTCCATGCAGCCAAAGTTTCAGGGCAGAACTTCAAGTCAATGGTGCTGTTGTCCCAAAAAGAGGCAAAGCAATAAAACCATTTTTTTTTAGGATATAAAGAACTTGTTATACGTAGATACTAAATAAATCACAAAAACAGGAAAATCATTGTGACTAAAACTACCTGCATTTTCAGTTCTCTGTGTGTAAAAAAATCTCCATAGAAATGCAAACAACTTGATGCATTGTATTTGGACACAAAAAAGCAGGGTAGGGATTTTAGTCATGTGTACGTGTCTGTTACACTATCAATACACTACTGTTTGATGTTTTACTGTTTATTATGAATGAAACGACCAAGGTCACACAGCCCCCGGGGAAAAAAACACAAAACGGAATGGAATGTTACTTGCGGGGGAAGCTGTATTTTGTTATGCGCCTACACAAAGTATAACAAAATTATTATTACCTGCGTATAACAAAGGAAAACAAAAATATTCGGAGTATAGAAAATTGAAACTTCGGGTGGGAAGGTTCAGGGTACGTGTGCAGTGTACGCGTAGGCAGGCAGGACAACGACAGAAAAGTCGGAGGAGATACGCTTCGTGCATGTGTTGAAAGCAAGTCAGCATACCAGGGAAATTATAGTAAACAAACAACCTCGTAAAAAAATTATGTTAAAATGTCATTGTCATTGTCTGGCAATGAGCCAGAATAGCGATGAACTTATTGCAGAACCAACAGGTGCAGCCCAGCAAAGCAAACACACCAGCAATTTTTTTTTAATTTTCGTTTTTATACCGTAGGCCTAATCTATTTCTTTCTGTTTGTGTTTTTGCCGTTCATGTTTGCTTTGATCATGTTAAGACCAAACGCGACTATTTTCGTATTTTTATTAAATGTAGTTTTTGGAGCATTGGGGAGAGGATCTTGATAGTAATTCAGTTTACTTTGTTCCCAATGCACCTGGGGTTATTTCCCTGCCTATTAATGTGCTTCCCTGTATATTAATGTATTTGTAGCTGTAGTCCAATGGTTACGGTGTTCGACTCGTGTGCCGTGGCACATGGGTTCCGAATCCTGACCGTGGGAACATGGTGCTTGTGCTCTTGAGCAAGGCACTTTACCATTATTGCTCCGTCCCCCGGATGGGACGTTAAGCCGTAGGTCCCGTGTGTTGTGTAATGCACGTTAAAGAACCCAGTAACACTCATCGCTAAGAGAAGGGGTTTGCCCCGGTGTTTCTGGCAGTGGCTGCAATATGCGCCGCATGCAGCACCTTGTAAACCCTTGTAATTAAGGTGCTACATAATGGGTCTCATATTTCTCATAAACTTCATTTACCTGACTTTAATAATAGACATAATTTCCAGCGCCTTGAGTACCTAACTGTTGGTAGATACGTGCGCTATATAAGATTCCGGTATTATTATATAATACAGTTATTTTTGGGGGGTTTATTTTTTGTACCCTGAAATATCAATAAATGAAATGCACACAAAAGTGACCAACCAACCCTAACCATTGTTACAAATCAACAAATATGCCAACTTATAAGTAAAGAATGAAAACAAGCCAACAAGGAAACACATTCAAAGATGTGAGAGGAAAAGATCTCCACACGTCCCACTTAGGATCCATCGGACTCAGGTTTCTATTATAGGAAGGATGGTAGAATGAAAGGGTCAACAATAGAGGTCAACAGGACATAAAAATACCAGAAATGCATAGACAACTTGTGTACGATTGCACGTATCGCAGTACCAGTATAAAATAGAAAGTCTCACATTAATGTTATCACTCTTTAACAATATAAAATAAGATTGAAGTAAATCAAAGTTGAACAGAAAACATAGAATAACCGACGAGTGGAGGAAGGAAATAGCAAAGCAAAATTCACTGACGCCCGTGATGGTTCCAGAAAAAATCGAAGGGATTGATGCAGAATTTCACACTAAATTATCCCCCCCCCCCTTAAAAAAATGCTTCCCTGCACTAAAAATATGCTTTTCTTTCTACAGCTGCAGCATTTGCTATCATGCAGCAGTCTATTTACAATACGATGGCAACTCCGTGTTGTTGTTGAAGTCTTGAACATTTAGCCATCATATCACTCCGTTTCCCTTTACTGTTTGAAGAATGCATTCACAAGTTCACGGGAAAAGTAAACATTGGCAATAATGTCCTGCTTGCGAAGTTTTTTCCCTTTCTTTCCATAGGTCCGTGGCTATAGGTGATCGGTAACGACCCAATACCAATTCGACATGTGCATGGGCGTCGCCAATATTTTTTTCTAGGGGGGGGGGCAAAACATATTTTCCCCAAAAAAATCCTGTATTTCTCAACATATTCTCGATTTATCAGTTTTAGAGGGGGGCAGGGACATTTTGCCCCCCCCCCCATTAAATTGACACCAATATGACTTCGCACCTCTTTTTTTCTTCAAAAAAGGGCTTGCCCACCCCCCCCCCCCCCTCGCGACGCCCATGGACATGTGTGTAAACCACCTTAATGTAACATTTTCAAATAACAATTTCAAATACTTTCACTGCCTTCTGCATACGTAAGGAAATGTAGCAGGCTGGCTCTGGCATGCATTACCTATGGTGTGTTGAAAAAGGTCTGTGTTGTGCAATAGAAGTTATATTTGGCAGAGGAACATTATTTCCAAAAATGGTTGTCTATCTCATATAATCTGTTCATGATAACTGCATGATAACTAAGTTGAATCGCTAAGCCTGTAAGAAGACTGGAAGAGTCATACACAAAATATTACAAATTAAAGTTGAGAAGTTTGTAAGGGCACAGTATGTTGTTTTCTGTATCACGTCTTATGTATTAACTCTGTTGTTTTTTCTTTCTTTTTTTGACAGGCAACTCTGAGCGACGCAAAAAAGAAGAGTAAGTGTATATTTATGTAGCAAAAAGTTTAATTGTTTGACCTGGTAAAATCTCGCGTGACCCAACAGATGAATTAAATGCACCTTGTTCGATTGTGCTTATTCATTTTTCGTGTTGGGATTTATTTCGAGCTAACATTTTTTCGCTTAATTAAGCATTTTTTTGCCAATCCTTGTTTTAATAAAAAGAAATTTGGAACTTACTGGTCATACATTTTCAATCAAAAGACGGCGCCCTTCGAAGTTTGGGGTAAAAAAGAGACGTTCAATTTAAAGAGTTAAATGAGACAACCAACAAGAGTATTACGATGTTAGTTGTCTTGGGTAAATAATTTATGAGCAAAACATAACAGGGTTCCTGGCTCCAAATTATAATATGTTTGCTCTAGCTTTCAGAATTAAATTCGCTCTTATGATACCAGTAACATTCATCTGATTGCAGCCTACAAAGAAAAGTTCAACAAGTTCGACAAAAATGGCGACGGTAAGATGAGCAAAGATGAACTGCGTGGATTACTGAAGTCGCTGAATCGAAGCCCTACAGATGCCAACCTGAAGAAGGTCATGGGAGACGTCGACAAAAACAGTAGGTTCACTAATTTTCGTTTTTTCCCCATTCATTGTGTTCTTGGGCGAAACAATGTGCCCCTTCGCAGGGACGTTGAAAAGTTGGACCAAGCTACACCCACCCATCGAGTATGAGCGCCGTGCGACCTGCTACTTCTGAGAATAAGCCCGGACAACCCTCCAAACATCCACACAGAGACTTGCGTAAAGGTTTTCCCGGCCAATTTTCCCGGTTTTTTTCCAATAAGATGACGTCTCAAAACCACCAAACTCACTGGTTTGACTGGAATCCTGCTGCCGCACAATTTTAACGTGTTTTTAGATGGGGTTACGGTCGAGAATAAGCTTTTTGGGCCTCTCTGGGCTCCCATATATTTTGCACTAAAATTAGTCGGTTACCATTTGCAGTCTGTGTTGTAATTTTGTAATTGTGTCTGGAAGCCAGAGTGGGGGAGCGATGGTCGTGTATCTGGGACCTGTAAACGCTTTTTAATCAGCGCAATATGTGAGGAGGCAGACTAATGACAAGCCTCGCAGCTCATGCACGATGTTGATGTCGATGTATGGTCTGACGTTATACCAATTTCTCTGATTTTTGTATCCAAATTTCCCGAAGAATGTTCGTGTCGGTCGAGATCGTAAGTGGGTGCAGAATTCTCAAGCCTTATGACCATTACTAAGGTCTCCTCAAGCTCCACTCTGAACGATATTTTGAGAGTTTGAATGGGATAGAACTCATCGAAGCGTCATCAGCAACATCAGCCGATATTTAAAAAAAAAAGTAGGGGGAGGGGGACCCACATCGCCGCACCACTTTTCGGGCAAGCTCCATATCAGAAACTGCACTTTTTTGATTTGGCCTAATCAATCATTTTAGGGATAAATTATGTGATTTGTTATTGTGTCAAGAATTCTTTTGCAACTTAATTGTTGTAATGGACTGTAAAGTTGTCTTAACAACAGATCGACTACACGTGAGAGTATAGAGAGTATAAAATAAGAAAACCAAAATCGATTTTAGGCCCAAAAAAAATAATATTCGGTCTCTGGTCAGACCAAAGTTCTGGAATTGACGCGGCCACGCGGCTTTTTTTTTTCCTTCAAGCTTGGATTGTACAGACAAGATGGGGTACTATTTTTCTTTTTGGTGTCCTAATGTACATTGGCGTCCTCCATAATTTGCCTTGGTGCTTTCGATCATTTGCCTTGGTGCAATTTCCCATTCCTTGGTGCTCTTTGGTAATAAAAAAAAATGAGGAGGTGCAGAAATAGAGGGCGCTGTTGGAGCTACCGCGGAACATTTTGGAAAAAAAAAGATCGACGCGCATGATTAAAATTGACGCGCGCGCTGACCAGAGACCGACTTATTTTTTTTTTTTGGGGGGGGCCTTAACTAACTTCTTTTTTTTTTACAGCAAGCCACACCGTGCTTCACTTTGCAAATTAAATACGAAATACGTAACATTGTGTTATTTTGTTTGTGTGTATCTGTGCCATCTCAATCGTACTACGATGAAATAGTTCTCAAGCGACGAGTGCAGTTGTAAACAATTTTTTTTACAAAGGTTCATACATAAACTTTCCCCTCTTACAGAGAGTGGTTTCATTGAGTACGACGAGTTCGTCCAGTTGATGATCGACATTGACGCAGATATTGACAAAAGACTGCAGACAACCTTCAATGGATATGACACCGACAAAAACGGATTCATCACGTACGCTTTCTTCTTTTCTTCACTAAGAAAAATAGTAACACTAAAATTTGAGAGAGAGAGGCGTTCTCTATCCATTGGGAAAAAATGGTTTATTATCTTGAAAACCAACTTTACCGACCTCGACCGGTCACTTTTGAATAGTTTTAACCACTTAATGATATTGCTTCACCATCAGCAATTCCTTGTACATGATTTGTATATAGCTTCAATAGATAAAGATTTCACCTGATCGTTCAGACTTAACATTAAAAAAGATGCAACGTCCCTCAAACTCATTAACGACAGATTAATATAGCTTTGAAAACCTATTCCCTATCACATTTTTAAATCACTTCAAATGATCAGACCTCTGTTAATATAATACAAACGACTCCATAGATCTTTAAAAAAATATGCTTTGTTTTTAAAACCTTGTGGTAATGACAACAAGGATTCCTAGGGGAAACAAAGAAAAATATTCCGGAGAATTTATTTGGTGTCGGGTAGGAACTTAAAGAGATGAAATTTTAACCAACAAATGTTTTGTTCAAATTTCCCTCTTCTGAAATAATTATTTCTAAAACTATCACACGTCCCATTTCGGTTGCCGGCGCGGCTTTTTTTCAACATTTAAAATGTGTTATGTTTTCCCGACAACTGAGGGCGCTGTTACTGTGATGTCATGTACTGTGACAATGAATCTCCAAATGCAGAGAGTTTGCCAAATGCTGACAGAATTTTGGATTGCTAAAAAAATTCTGTCAACATGTGGGGCTGAAGAAGCAGTAACACCTGCCTTAAATGACATCACACTTTTGCTCATGAGTAACAGAAATTTGCATTGACACAATAACCAAAAAATACAACAAAACTCCATTTGAAATGGCAATATTGAAACTACAGTTAAATGGGACACAAAGGTTAATTTTTTAAGGATTGCAAATCCTCAAGTCCTCAAGTGGGCCTGGGCGGGATTCGAACCCTAGTCGCTGAGGAGGAGGGAGAGGAAAGTACTACTTCTCCCAACCAGTTTCCCTTATACTAGTACATGTATGTTTGTGCTTGTTTCTTGACAGTCCTGACGAGCTCAGCGCAGCCTACGTAGACATGGGCATCGATATGTCCACGGAGGAGTTGCAGAGTGAGATCAAAAGCGTGGATCTGAACGCCGACGGCAAACTGAACTTCGAAGGTGCGTATATGCTACAAGAAAAAAACAGAGGCCAAGAAACAGGGGGGGGGGACAAGGAATCAAGAACTATACATTGTGAATGTCTGGGTCGGTCAGAACCTAATATTTAAGCCGTGTGGCTACAGGGATCACGCTTAGTCCAAAATGTAATCCAGTCTGTTTTTAATTTTACTCATTTTGATGATTGCGATGTTTTCTGTCCCCAAGACACTTCTTAATTTAAAGTACCATCTTCAACCAAAATATGTGTGCCATGTTGAGCTCTTTTTATAAACATTACCTAAAATCAAACTTCGAAATAAAAAGACGTCTATTTTTCTTGGTAAACAAAATAAAAATGGTCTCACACATTTCTCTTCTTCTTCTTGTTTTTTTTTTCCTGCAGAGTTCAAGAAGCTGTTTGGACGTGTGTAATAAGGCAGTGGCAAGTATCCAGGGTTTCCAGTAAATCCTGAGATCACGTGATCAAACTCCAAGATGGCGACTAGCCCACTGTAGAGTAATTAACAATTATAATTAGGGGTAGTATATGAGCATGCCGAGACTGACTTAGTTCTGAATTGGTATCCATACGCGCATGCGTGCTTGTGGAGACTATTGGCATATTACGAGGGGCTATTTAGCTAAACCATCTCGGTAGTGTTGTTTTTTAAGGTTTCAATAACTCAGTCCAGAGAAGTAGTCTCGTAAAGGATATCTCGATAAGAGACCAAATAATGCTTGAGCTCTGCATACTACACTCCTAATTTGCCAAACTTCCTCATATTAACTTTTTATTATGCACCTAACCTCACAAAATGTCAAATATCACAAAAGTAGGCTTAAATAATAGGAGGACTAGTGAGCTTTTTAATACGATACATAAGTCGTTTACTTAAATAGATGCAAGGTTTATGCATTTGATAATCAAAACATAACTATAAAAAAGGTACATCCTACGCTAGCTTTAGATTGATTGTTTAAATTTCGGGGTCAAGGTTCGAACGACCATAGAAAATCCACTCAATACAATCCATTCCAATTTGACCCCATGAAACCATAAGCCATCAGTAACAAGACATGAAGGGCTCCCCCATCGGTGACTCAAGCTCTACATAGGTTATACACATATCTAGATGTTTACAATGGTGTTTGTTGGTGTAGAATGAAATAGTCTGACGTATAGTTTACTAGGCCTATTTTATGGCGCTTAAAAAATAATCTAATGTTACAAAAAGGAAGTCAGTTTAAAAAATAGTCTCAGTTTTTATAATGTGGTTCTTTTATCATTTGAAATGGTTAAAGTTTATCTCTAAAGTCTGTTTATCCGTTGCTAACACTCGTATTTAATGATGGTATTTTCAGTTGAAGTTATATGAATTTATTTGCCATTTAACACACCCAATACTTACAAAACAAGTTTGCGATCCCGTTACTTAAACTCTGAACAAATTGCCTCCCTTCGCATATAGGGAATGCATTTAAGGTAACATTATTGAAACCATTTTCACTCTTTAAGAAAAATTATTATTTTTTTTTTTACATAATCTAACCAGCCTCGACTCCATGGCCGAGTGCACGTTTTTTTTTCACTGAGATCGCGCAAGGTTTGATAGGAACCAACATGGCGCAGCACTCGTACCATAGAAACGAGGTTGCAATCTAACTTGATGAGATGGCAGTTATTTTAAGAAATAAATACATTATGAGGTGTATTAAAAGTTGTGGAAGATGCAAAATTTGGGCCTTAAGTTTCGGTAAATACATACCAGCTAAATAAAAAGAGGGTTTAAAAGAGATGTATTTTCACAGCTCTATTTTAAGTTACACGAAAAAAGTATGGTTTCTTATGTCAAGAACTGTGGCTCTCTTCCACTTCAATGACGAATTCAAGATTTTGTTCGACAGGGGCATAGTTTAACATTTCACTCTTAAAACGCCTGGGTCAGTTTGACCCAAAATCTGAATCCAAATTTGCTCAGTCTGTTTTTTTCAGCGTCAAAAACGACCCTTTTCTTGGGTCATGATGATCCAGAGAAATGTCATTTTTGATCCAGAAAAGTGTCATTTTTTGACCTGGAAAAGGAGTGAGCAAACTTTGATTCAGATTCCGGGTCAATCTGACGCAGGCTTTTTTTTATTATTTTTTTTAATTTTTTTTTTAGAGTGTTGGGGGTATGAGGGGGAATTACACCTATGTTTGCATAGTCAGGATGCAGTAGCGTAGCATCCGGAAGGGGGGGGGGGGGGTGAGAGGGGGAAGGGGGATTCCCCCTCAAATATTTTTGCGAGTGCCGAATTTTTTTTCACGAGTGCCCTCTTCTTTTTTTTAAGTCACGCGAATGTCGGCAATTGTGTCGCCATGAAGAGCGCAACCTTTTGTCCGATAGTCCGCTATGAACAGCGCCCCCAAAGACAAATGGCGGCTAGCCGTACATGTACACAGAACAGAAACATATATATATATTTTTTTATAAATTGCTCTCTGAAATGTTAAGTTTTAAAATCATTTCGAAAATATTTCATTCAATTCAATTCAATTCAATTCAATATATAATTTATTTACTTCATACTGTCGTTGTCAAGTTTAAAAAGCTCACGTCTGGTCTAGTTAGTAAAGACCTCTAGGAGTAAAACTGGTTGGAAGGGTTGATGCCACTGAACTTAACTGGGAACAAGTCTTTAAAAATGTGATTCACAGAAACAGTAGAGGGCAGCCTTAATTATAACATATTAAATGATCATAACACTCAACCTGTGCGTATACATTATGCCAGATTTTTTAAACGAATTTGAAATTGCCACAATATTACTACTTAGGCCTACTGGAACTGCACACGTACAAAGATTCATGAGGTAATAAAGATTCTTGTTCGCTGCAATGAAAGCTAGACACATTTTGGACGACATCTTGGTTCTATTCTGCATCCACAACTGTCTTCATTACACTTCCAGATGAAATAGGCATAGTATTGAGAACTGTCTCTAAAAAAAACAACGAAATGCACCCCCTCCATTTCATGAGAATAAGCAAATTGGACATCTCGTGTGAGCAATGAATGAACAATACAATTTTTGGATAAACAAATCCACCGTCGTGATTCTGTAAGCTGGCTATATATTGGCCAAGGACCGCGTGACGCGTCTCAATGCATTGTTCATGAGAGTTTGCACATGCGTGGGTGAAATGCCGAATTGGCTTACTTGAGCTACATTAATGTCGCTAGAGTTCGTGTTGTTATCATTTGTGTGACTGCTTATTGTCAGACTCCTGCTGAAATTGAGGACATCTTTATCAAGTGGTGGTTGAAATCAAAGAATAGAATCAAAGAGCGTGAAATTGATATGAAGGCAAAGGCCTGGTAGTTGTTACCTTTTAATTACAGCAATCCAAAACGAATGTGTAATTGCAAGTAATTCAGACGCGGCCTTTATATTACAAACGGATAAGATTTCACGCGTAAATATATTTTGAACGCTCAGCCAATAAAAGGGCAGGGTTGGTATCTGGGGGGAGCACTGACCAATTACAAGCCAGTGGTGTGGAATGACGTATCATACTTCGATAACCAATCAGAGTAGAACACATCGTTTGCCAATAGCCATTTCTTGCAAAGCACGCCAAATTCCATCGTCATCGGACCTCTTCAGCAATAGAGCCACCAAGAAACGGTTGTGATTTTTGGCAGCTCAACAGTCATTACTGATAGTTCAGTCAGAAACGAAACATCGATAGATTTCCCCGTGATTTTAACTATCTGGCACACATTACAAGAAATTTAGAGATTAACGTTACCACCTTCGGTCATAACTAGGAATTAAACTAATGAAACAATGGCGAAACTGATCGTTAATGGTCTGGAACTACTTCGCATAATATCCATCATATTCCAGGGAGCTACCTTATGCGTCTCTGGATTAGAAACTTCATCTTATACCTTTTATGCCGCTGAAAATCGCGTCCTAAAAGATTTTGCATTTGCAGCAAAGCCTGTGCGATCTCGTGTCATCTGCGGACGGGAATGCAGCCTGGATGAACAATGCAAGTCTTTTAACTTTAACGCCTGTAATAAAATGTGCGAGTTGAACCTTGCCACAAGACGAGAGGTTAAAGAAAACTTCATTGCGGCTCAAGGGAGTGTGTACTTTGATGCAGATGAGGACACACCTCAATACTCACTAACTGATAGCTCCTTGAATCGCTACAGAAGTTGCAAGATGCTCTTAGCTGCCGGTTATAATTCGAGCGGTATGTACACAATCTACCCAGAGGGATACGGTAACGGCAGTCTCCGCGTCTACTGTGACATGGAAACTGACGGCGGGGGATGGATCGTGTTTCAGAGGCGACAAGATGGTAGCGTGGACTTCTACCGTAACTGGGCAGAGTACCAGTCTGGCTTTGGTGACCTGTCCGGTGAGTTCTGGTTGGGCAACGACAACTTGGTGACTCTGACGTCCGATGATTCACGTGGAACGTGGGAGCTACGTGTTGATTTACGGGACTGGGAGGGCGACACAGCATGGGCAAAATACTCAGATTTCCAAATACCAGCTGGTGAGTACAATCTGAATATTACGATATCAACAGCACTGCGGGTGACTCTCTTAGCCATCATAGAGGACGTCCCTTTACGACAAAGGATCGTGACAATGATGCCGCATTGGGGACAAATTGTGCACAATACTGGAATGGGGCCTGGTGGTTTAAGGGATGTTGGAGGCAGGCTCACTTGAATGGTCCATATAAGAATACAGGCACTAGAAAAGGCTTGCAATGGAGGGCATGGAAATTGAGATATTCTGTGAAAGCATGTAGCATGAAAATGCGTGAAATTGGACCATGAACGTAATGTTGTATGCTGTACAATATTCATGAACGTTATATTGTATTTGGTATAATATTCGTTTTTGTTTTAGTTGGCACTTTTAGCCCTAAATCATGGATGATTGTACAACCATGATTATCTACCTTTTCGTGCCTTCCATAAATTGGCATAACTGTAGATCTGTTCAAAAACACTTTTTAAATGGAACAACCTTCATTGTTTCTGCCTGAGCACTGTCCAATTTTTAAAGTCAAATATTTACCGAATACTTACGATGCAAAAATGAGCACGGGACGTTGTGGACTTGCTGGCACTGCACTGAGCGTAATATTTTCTTAAAAACGTGCGGCATGAAATGCGTGATATTGGTGGTCCGTGGATTTTTTTTTTTCAGTGTTAAACCGACTCTTATGGGAAACGAAGATGGATGTTTGTACAATTTCCCTTTGAAACTGTTTTAAATTTGCCATTCTATTTTCGGCAATCCATTTCTGAAGCTGATTTGCACATTCGTTTTTTAAAGATATTTTTTTAAATGTATTGTTTTTATTATAAAATAGTGGCATGTATACACATTCGATACTACCGAATGTTAAATTTCATCCGAATTCAACCGAAGCTAATACCAATTTAGACTCCACTTGTTTCCGGCAAGCCGATGTCACATTTTGAGGATGTTAACAGTAACAACGCAAAAGAAGTTCTTTACACATACACACTAAAAGTGATCTTTGCCTTATTTTGAAAAATAAACAAACCGAAAACACGCGAGAAACTGAAATCCTGTTTAATTTGTGGTATTATGACAGTGCACATAACAATAAAATAAAGTATACAATTGCAAGAGATAGGCCTACACGCATCTCTGTAACAGTGTAAATTGTAAATATGTCAAAAACAACTTACTTGTTTGGTGATTCGGATTTCAACTTTTTATTATTTATAATTTGAATTGCACAATTATAATTCTTTATCACGTCAGCTTGGAAACTGCGGTTGAGTGTTATTCATATCGCAAAAGAACATGGCAATTACTAGAACTCTGGTTTATTGCGACCGGTTTTTCTTAAGTTATTATAAAAAAAAAAATGAAAAAAACCAACAAATCCAAACTTATGAACAAAAAACACGGTGTAAATTTACTTAAGGAAGTCTGATTTCTTTATGAATTATTCATAATTATAGTCCTATAGATCCAATAATGGCATAGTACACAAATGACGTCAGCTCAGAATCTGTGGCTGAGTGTTATTCCTAGCGCAATTAAGTGTTTAACATGTTCAACATATTTTTACTCAAGTTACTTTCCCAAGAAACTATTTGAAAAATCCACAAAACAAAGAGCTTTAAATTTACTTGTTAAATTAATCTAATGTCATTATTTATTTTACTGCACGAATGGAAACTATTTGGGTTACCCGTTATTCTTCCTGCCATGGAAAGAAGAAAAGTAAAACAGTTCTTTGATCGATCAAATTAATTCCTCTTGTTTTTTGTCCGGGGCTTTGTATTGTCAAGAATGTTGCAAAAGCTCGGGGTTTTTTTTTTTTGGGGGGGGGGGGTTGTAATTTGTTCGAAATGCAAGAATAGAATGGTAATCACCTGTTATAAATTAATCAACATTTGAACATTACGCACGATGATGGGCGTGTTGTGAATTTTTTTGTTAATGATTTATTGACAGTAAATTATATTGACCATAAATTATACATCGAGATACAGGTGGAGGAAGAAACTTAATAATTTTCATTCGAATTTGGCTATTTGCTTGTATATTGCAATACAAAAAAATGGTTCCTATGACCAATGACGTTGAATAAACTGAGTGACAAGAACCAAACCCTGATTGATTTTGTTCTCGATTGATTTAAAGTGATGAATGAAGTGTGCGAGAATGTGTGATTGGCAGCTGTAAGGCAACAGGGGCTATTGCTTCAAAAAAAGGAGGCAGGGCCGGATTATGTAATGTTCCGTGGGCCCTATAAGCAGCAGGTTCCGTAGGCACTATACTCCACCCTAGGCACCTGAGTACGAACAACAGCGTCTTGTGGTTGATTGTTCGAAGTCGCAGTTGCCTTTTCGGCAGCATGGCCTTCTGCGGTGTACCCTGCACCGGCAGGTATCCTGTCTCCTGCGGCATCTTCCTGCTTCCTGCAGTCTGTTGGCCGGCTCATCCCTGTCGTCTGCACTGGCAGTCTGAAAGTCGGTGTTGTTGCTTGCTCAGGCGAAGCTGCTTTCGCCGGGGGATAGTGCCGCTCCAGCAATGGTTGCCGTCACCTCAGTACCAAGCTCAGCGTCTTGTGGTTGAATGTTGTCAGAGTTGCCTCTTCGGCAGCCTTCTGCGGTGTACCCTGCACCGGCGGATTACCAGCCTTTGATGCTCCATGCACCAACAGGTATACTGTCTTCTGCGGCACTTCCTGTGCCTCCGGCCCTGTCTTCTTTGATGCATCCTGCATCGTGGGGTCCGCAGTCTGTTGACCGACTGCACTCGTCCCTGTCTTCTGCACTGGCAGTATGAAAGTCGGTGTTGTTGCTTGCTCAGGCGGGGCTGCCTACGCCGGATGATAGTACCGCTCCAGCTGAATGCCGTCAACTGAGTGGTTCATTGTTCGAAGTAACAGTTGCCTCTTCGGCAGCATTGCCTTCTGCGGTGCATGCACTCTGCACCGGCGGATTACCAGTATTTGAAGCTCCATGCACCGGGTATCATGCCTTCTGCGGTACTTCCTCTACCTCCGGCCCTGTCTTCTGTGATGCATCCTGCATCGTGGGGTCCGCAGTCTGTTGGCCTACTCTACTGTTCTCGTAAAATCGAGGATTAGTAAAAAAAGAAGAGTGGAATCCGGACAGAAGACTGCGAGCTCGTTTATCCGTGAAAATGGCTCTATTTTGCAAGGGAGCGTTGGCGTCCATTTTCAAAATGGCGATGGGCTTCAGGACTGCTTTCAGGAGTGATCATCTTCGGATGGAATTTTTTCTCAAAAGTCATCGGTTACCCCCCCCCCCCCTAAAAAAAAAAGATGATGAAATATGCTTTAATTTGATGTTCGTCTCAAATACCTTGGAGAGTTATGAGTATTTTAAAGTAATTTTTGGAAGTACGCGTAAATACCACTGAGGTCTATGAGAGTCGATTTACAGGTCTGCACCCCCAACTCGTCTGCTGCTAGTGCCGGCTAGGCTAGTCTGCTACTCAACTACCTCCCGTTTTGTTAAAGTTTTTTGGGGTAATTTGCTTGGAAAGGCTACTCAAGTGTTTTGCCTACTTTACCCAGATCGGAAAAATACCACTTCGCTCCATCACCACTTCGTCACATGTGACATTGGTTGCCTTGCAACTTAATCCCATGGTGGTGACTTCCCCGACTAGTTCATGTGTTGTAGATAACATTTTTCTGAAAAATGGTGCAGGCTTTTCAATCAAATAATTTCATTTTTCGCTATGGCTATCGTTCAGGCAGTCGGCCGTCTGGTTCCCCGACCTAAGAACAATATTAAACGTAAGGGTATTTGCTCTGCTTGGAACCAGACTATCAACCGAATGGTTCTCGGACTTTTTTCCTTTTAAAAAAATCCTCCAAAGTCACAGATCACTTGGAAAAAAAGAACAATAAAAAGTAGAATTTGATTTAGCTCCATAAAAATGATAATAGATATAGATTCGCAATGGTGTATTTGCACTTTCCCTAATGATAGTACAATGTAGTTGAAAATGGCGTTACAGTAGTCACTACGTTTAATTTTTTTCCCCCGTAGTGCACACGTACACTCTGCACTTCCAGTGATCTTCTGCTACACAATTTTCCTTTTCATAAATGTTTCCACTTTAATGTCCTCATACAGCCTTACAGGTGTCATCAGCTCCTATACGTCTCTCAAAATGTCTGATGAAGACGATTCACCGTACTGCCGCTGCCGCGACTACCGCTGCAGTGACTGTGGCCAGTGAGTCGCATTCCGTTTGCCGAGCTGTGTCAAATTTAAATCAAAATTCAAACTATTTTCCAGAAACTTGGGAAATAGGCCTATGGATCGCTGCACGATTTTATCGCATTTCTTAAAGTTTAGACGTTGTTGTGTATTGGATTCGCGATAACCGTGCACCGCCGCGAGAGGGCGTTATCACGACGAACTGCTATCACCCACGAACTATTATTTATTGTTCTGCTGATCAGATTGGAACATGTAAGGTTCTATCATGACGAATGTCTAGTGCTAGCGGTGATATACGGAACCTTCTGGTGTATTAAATTTAACACATTTTTAGGTATTCGGTTTCGTCGGAGCTTAATCTTTATTTATTTGCATTGGTTACATGTCACAAAAGGTGAAGCAGGCTGCAATTTTTTTTTCGTTCCAAACATTATAGCTGATGGGATTTTTTTATTTGATTTTTATATTATATACATTATTTGTGCATTTTTGAGCAATTTTTAAAATTATTTTCGATTGATTACAGTATATACAAGCTCTCCATATAATAAATTAATCATAGAAAAATAAAACAAAAAGTTATGTGGCGATGGCCAAGTCTTCAGGAGTCGGACTTATGACCCTAACTCAATGAGCCCCTTACCGACTTCCAATATAGAACTCTTCCGGGACTCGGTACCCGGCCCACCACACCTCCTTCCCTGTCCATCCATGTAACTCGAAAGTCAGGCACCATAAAGGGAGGAAACGAGGTGGCACCCTAAGCCTTGCTGCCGAGCCAGCAAAAGAACCCCGTACCTGTACGCAGATGCCAACCTGGACTTCGCAGACAGTCCCAACTTGTGAGTCAGCTTTCCGACCGACCGAGCTAACTGCTGTTGGTAAATGACGACGGGAAATAAAATATCTTAAACTAACGGACAAAACCGCGTGCGTTAAAACCAAAAGCAACACCACTGGGATTCGATCCCCGAATCTTGGGTCTGCTGTCAGACAGCTTAACCACTAAGCTATTTCAGTAGGTGATTTTCCCTCTGCGTTTCAAAACTGATGTGCATTGTATTCTTTGGCGATAAGATCGGGCCATTCATTTCCGCAGTGGGAGAGTCACTTTGTTTTTCAAAGCTGCACAAAAGATGCATCGCGCTATTCACATGAATGCTGTTACGTAACTAGTTTCTACACTCATTCTGACAAACCCCATTCACTGTTCAGAATCCCTCTCGTACGAACACTTTACTTTGCCAAGCTCTCCCCATCAATTGTTCAGTGTCGCGCAACCTTCGTCCGTACTGGCGTCGAGCTGATGAGGGCTCCTTGAAGAGATTACAGGGAGCGAAATTCTAGCAAGTTCATAATAATCCCCTCTTTCATATTATATTATAATTGAGCTACTGACCCGTTTACTAATAGATACGAGGAAATTGAGTTTGTTTGTCTGATTCTAATCCAGCTCCCTTAGCTTGAGAAAACTCATCCTTTCTTGTATTTACGCTAAGTCTAGGGAATCAGGTGGCATATGGTCGGAATAGTGACCGACTGGTCCAAAGCACCAAACTTGGCAGATAAATTCTTATAGCCCTATTATCCTTGCTTCAATAACATGTAAGTGAATGGATAATGAGGACATTATGAAAGATCAAAAAAAAAAAAAAAACCTGGCTACCATTATACCCTATACAAGTGCTTTCCTATAGATATCATCAAGTAGTCTTGCCATACCTCATTATTGATTAGCTTAAAATTCACAAGATTACTTATTGGCATAGTTACCCTAATAAAGCTTTATGGAACATCACGGTGAACAATGACAACATCATGATATTTAGTCCAGAAAAAAAAGGGGGGAGGAGGTGTCCGTTAATTGGGCTACAATTAGGCGAAGGGTTGCCTAACGTGGGGTGTTGAAAAAAACTCCAAAATATGAGAATAAGCGTATAACCCGGCAGCTTTTACGATTTCTGCAAATTATGCATCCCTCCCAAAAGACTTTTAGGTGTCACTCCTTCTAAATATCTTCTTTGGGGCTTTAAGAATCTATTTGCCAAGTTTGGTACTCTGGACCGGTCGGTCACGATTTTGTCAACAAATTGGATCTAAACCACTTTACTAGAAAATATCCATCGCTTCGCTTCTGCGTTTTCATTTTATATCCAGCACGAGTCACAACCGTCAAAAAAGCTATTTAGTATTGACTAAAGAAAACAAAAACCGAAAAAAGCAGGGGTAGGCCGAGGCGATGTTTTGATGGCTACCCCCTCCCCCCTCCCTTCTTCCACCGACTGACCAATGTTAAATTTATAAAGGCCTACTGGGACAACATTTCCTTGGGTTCCCTAAATAACGTCCATACACACATCATTGCAAATTTCCCGTTTCATTTTTTAAGCCTTTTCGGTCTGAACGCACAAAACATGGCGGGCCATTTAAAGTCCGATACCGGCCAGGGCATGGCTTGTCAGCTGAGTACGACGAAGGGGGTCTACCTAATTTCAATATCTATACGCGTACCAATAGGGTACTGCGTTAAGCGTGACGCATGAATGTGCAAAGTCCACACAATAATCGTGTGTTCCGTCTACAGCCTGTAGTACAGGCAAAGTGTTGTACATGTAGTACGTTGGCTACAACGACTCATACATCCCCTTGAAAAATCTCGGACTTCAACAACTCATCTACTGCTTTTTGGAAAATCCCGAATCGGCCATTGGAAGGCAACTAAATCACCAGGAGGAATCGAACACGGGATTACTTTCTCTTGGCACAAGGTTACTCGAGTTAGTTTAAGATTAAAGTCAGTGAGTACATACAGTGCCCAACTGACGCTGATTTTTCGATTCATTGGCCCGTTCTGACTCAGTATAAGAAGCTGTCACGAATCTCATTCCAGCAATGGGGGTAAGTTACCGATTGTATATCCATTATTCAGGCTTTTAATTAACGCAATGCTTTGTCTTATTTCATACAGTACTGTTATGCATAATTTGTTATCAGAAAGGTTACGATTTCCAACGTGTATTTGCAATTTTTTTGCTCATTAAAGGTAGTGTTCTATACGTGAAGTATTGCAGATCGCGATGATGGAGCGGGCTGGTTAGCGCGGTCTAACCCCCGCATCTCGGGCCACAAAAAAAGGGGGAAAAGAGAGAAAATCGTGCTGAAAAAATGTAACAATTGCCTACTACCCCCTTCCCCCTTTAACAGCTAAACACTCCCTTCAGTCAAGCTAGATCGCCCCTGATGTGTAGGCTTATATGCTTTTATTTTCGGCCGCGTGGTATTCGTGCATACTGAGAATTCGTATACACAACCCGTGCATGCATAATTTGGATGAGCATTTACACTTCGACAAATACCTGTTGCAAGTTTGGCCCACGTTTGAAATACTACACCATCACTGGACTATTAATTATTCTTTTTAAGCTCAAACAACATGCCTACGACTATAAATTTAACGGACAGACTAACTTATAACACGAATATCGGAGTTAATAATTTTTGGAATGATGGCCAGTGATTTCCAGGCATACGTATAAACTAAAGGAGGTTCTTCTTAAATTTTTTTGAGCCGTAATGCAACTTAAGCAGTCTTTTTATCCTCTTGAGCGCTACACGTCGCGGTGAAAGTGAAGATTCTAGAAATATTGTCGACAAAATCTCATGTTGAGTAACTTTTCAACACTGGCCACATAATTGCCATAAAAAAGTACTGTCTATACAAAAGCAGTGGTCGGGAGACAACTGCGTCAAAGTTACACAAATTTTACGTCACTTTACAGATGATTGAAATTCTTCGTCCCTAGATTTATAGACAAACAGCTATTGCATCATACCTCCATGACTAAATGACCTTGACCAACGTACGTCGACAACCTTCTAGGTGTTTGTACGTTTATGGAACAGAAACAGAAACAGAGACTGCATGCATAATAGGAGTCCCTGGCGTTTAATAGTTATAGTAAGGAACCCTGTACATACACTGTATTAACCTCTTTATGCAACGGAAGAATGAAGTGAAGCTAGTGATGCAAAGAATGAAGTGAATATCAAAAGGAAGACGAAGAAGAAGAAGTGACTATAATGAAGGACGAAGCTGAATGACAAGTTTCTAAAGCTGGGAATTGGCCCATACGAAGACGATTTGGATGCGGATGAACGGATGAGGGGAGCGCCATACAGTAGAATGCTTTGGAGAGCTTAATCCAAACACAATAAAAGACTGGCCGGAACGGCCTCCCAGCCTCCCAATCTAAGATGCATGTTGATGATGAGATTCAATCACAATGCGTCTTTGGAGTTGACTTGTTGAAGCTTGCGTAAAAAGTTGTACACAAAAAAGCTAATGTCCATCCTCACCGTACGAGTAGTGTTTATATAACTAAAGAAAATCGGTGTGATATAGCATCCCAAATCTTTGATGCAAAAGAAAGCAGAAATATATTTCTGGATTTAAAATAATAACATCTGCATAAGTATTTTATCGAAGCAGGACCATTTAGGGGTGCGATTGAAACACCGGAGGTCAGAAAAGCCAAGCACAAAATGCAGTGTAAATAGTGCAGGTGACTTTTTGTTATGCATATATCAATGGGTCGTATTTTATATGAATAAAAACCTAGCATTTGCTTTTACTACACATTGTTAAGCAATTACTCGGATCTGTATGAGTAATATTAAGCGAAAGCTTTTACTAAAAAGCATTTGCTAAAATCTGATTTTGTTCTGGTTTTTGTTTCGTTTACTTTTTAGTTTTGCTAGACTATTCAGCATTTACTTTGTTTCGTATGAGTAAAAGGAGTAAATGCTTCAGATTTCTAGTATATATTGATCATTTTGCAAGGCTGGGTCGGGGCCACCTAAAATATTAAGCAAATACGTCCCTGCAAAAAATGCTGCATTTATTAATGCTAATCGCGTAAAAGTACATGCATGAATAATACCATGGGTCGTATGCATAAAAATTAGCATTTGCTTTGACAACCACTTTTTAAGCATTTGCTCGCATCTGTATTATATGAATAAAATGAAGCATTTTTTTTTCAAGACTGGGTAGGGGCTACCTTGAACTTATAAAGAAAATAAAGCAGTGCAAAAAGGCTGCATTTATTAATGTTAATCGTGTAAACTTAATATATAATAAGGTATACATATAATATAGGTTTTCCCGGTAATTTTCGCAATAAACGCATTCAAATTCATCTTGGTAGTAACCGATTTGAAGCGAATTAGCTCCCTGCTGTCATTCCCGTGGTTCGTATCAGATTTCAGGCGTTCAATTTCGTTGTCAGACCCGACGTTTGCGTGTTTAACACATCCTAAGTTGAATTCATGCCATTCGGTTTAATGATTCAATTTAGCTCTCTGTTTGGTTTAGGGTTTGCCGCACAACAATTGACTTTCGCTTTCATCTCGCGTATTACATTTAGTACTTTCTGCATTTTAATTAAATAATGGGAAACGAAGGCAGGATGCGAGGTTTGAATTTTTTTTGGTATTTTTTACAATTCTTTTTTTTATTGGTTTCATTCTAGTTTCATGTTCAAAGTATCCGTTATCTGTCTTTAATCTAAAGAGGTAAAAATAAAAACCGATGCGAGAAAATTAAAGATTATACATGTAAGTCGACTCATAAACAATAAAGTTGCATGGGCAAAATTAAACTCAGGAGATCCTTGCCTTCTTTGTTATAGTGTTGACATACACATTATATATTTTTTGAGTTATAATAATGTTCGTAATTATTGAACTTTGCTCTCTTTTCAGTGAGCTATATCATGAACATGCTTCATTTTAGTAACATCTGCTGTCTTTTTATGCAAAAAGAAGTGATCAATATATTTATTTTTTGACTGCTGCTTTGTGGCCTGCTTCTTGTGGGGAAACAGCTGTTGTAACAAAATACACTTTATTGAATCCTGACCAACAAAGTAATTACATGAACCGGTTTTGAATTCCTTTGCTCACATTTCACAAATGATTGCTTAGGCCTAATGCATGATCCGAACGACCAAACTGACGCGACGTGAAGCCCGTGATGCTTGATTGTGTAAAATACGTCAAAAAACAAGAAGCCTCTTTCGACCTCCCTCCCATATTATGCTAGCCATGATTTAAATCATCCAATGAAAAGTTGGAACTCTATAAAATGGACAGATGAGGTTTTTTTTGTGGCCCAGCGAGTTGGCGCCAACTCGCCGGTCATGGCTGTCCGTGCGCGCACGGTGACATCGTTTTTGATAGTTGAGTTCAAAACCTTTGCCGTTTTTCACATGGCAATAGGCTTCAGTTGTATACAGGACTTAGTTTTTATAACCTAAACGACCTTGAGAGCAAAAGTTAAAAGGACCACTCCTGGCTGAATTTAATGAATGTTCTTATTTTCTTTTTGTCAGGGATCACCAAGTTCTGAGAAAAACAAAGGTATGTACTCAATAGGCCTAATTATATACAACGATCTTCTGAAGAGAAAAAAAAGAAATTGGCTCAAACAATTATGATAAACCCATGCACCCATCGTTTCGATATAGAATCATTCTTTGGAATAAACTTCTCTTTGCACCAACACTTAATTTAATTTGACTGTTTTGTTATGTGAATCACATTTCAATATGGTATCACCAGACAGAGCAGCTGAGATTATAATCAGAAAGTCAGTTGGGCTGGTCACGTGCAGATTTTACAGCAGGTTGATAAAGGATTATCGAAAAAAAAAGGTCTGCCATCACAAAAGCATTTTTACATTATACTGCAGTGCTGCATTTTGGCGACCCTTTAACTGGAACATGTTTCTGACATCACAGCCATGACGTGAACATGTTTCCATTGCAGCGCAAAATCGCATGACCAAAACACCTGTTCGTGAAGTCACTTTGTAAACAAACATGGCGGTGAGCAAACCATCATGGCCACCATGGGAAGACGACTGTTTTGTTCAATTTTACACGATTTTCAAGCAGTAGTCGGGCATTTACTATTTCAGTATTTCCCCTGGGCAGAGTAATTGTTATCTCTTTCAGTGCCAAACTCGTACATGTACGAGGTATATTTGTTAGTCCAATAGCGCCAACCTCGTACATGTACGAGGTAATGTTCGTAAATGTTCGTACTTAAAATTGCCAAACCTCGTACATGTACGAGGTAGAGTAAATATGTTATCAAAAGGGGGCGCTCTTGCTCTTTCTAATGGTACCATTTTCATGCATGTACGACCTGTATTTATTTTTTCATTCGAGTTCTTGAGAGAGGGCGCAGCACTAAATCTCGTATTTTCTGCAAAAAGTGCGGAATCTCCCTGTGTTCAGGCCAGTGTTTCAGGGTGTATCACTATGTTTGTGACTACTTTTGACTTTCAAATATATCAAGGATATACCAGAGAGTAACAACAACAAATTTAGTGAGTAAAACTTATTTACTTTTTTTTTTACAGAATTTTGAACAATTAACAAAAACGCTCGAAGTTGGGCGCTTTAGGGTTAAACTTTTCAAATTTCGCGGGCACTGAAAGAGTTAAGTATCAACTTGTACCCATCCGACTGTACCAACCGACTGTTTATTCATCTAAAACCAATTTTTTTTTTACCTTGCCGCCATCTTGACTCGTAAGCGAACCGATCGCAAGTGTCGGCTTAACTTTTGTGTAAGTTGTAACCGAAGTGCCAAATTGGCCCAGATCAGCAGCTGCAGAGTGCAGTAAATAATACTGCCAACCAAAAGAGGGCGCTGTGTCTTTGACCTTTTATTGCATCGGCCCTTTGTGAAACATTTTCACCCAAGACATGTGTAATGACTAACAGAAAATGACAGATCGCATTCCCATAAGTGAAATTAAGTGGTAGAAATAAAGGAAGTACGTGTTTGAGCGATAACTTCACATTTGATTTTTAAAATGTTCATCGGATTGCATAGGATATCATTTCTCTAATGAGCGGCAAGCTACAAAAAGTACATCAGTGAAAGCCGCTATAACGAACACGATGGGGTCCACAGAGAGTGTTCGATATAGTGGTTGTTCGTTATAGTGATTGTGCACTACATGTATAATAGAATTCACTCATTCGGGAGCCCGTGGGGACGTTCGTTGTAACCAAATGTTCGTTATAGTGGTGTTCCCTATTGCGGCGTTTAATATTGATATCAACCATAATATTAGTGTCAACCTACACAGTGAATATAAACATAACCCGTGAAACTTCATTTGTCGATTGAAACGCAGTTTACAAGAAAGAATTCAGCAAATACGACAAGAACAGAGACGGCAGGATGAACACAAATGAGCTGCGTGCATTGTTGAGGGCGCTGAATCGAAACCCCACAGAGACTAGCCTGAAGAAGATGATGGCAGACATCGATGAAAACAGTAGGTTCACTAACTCGCTCATTTACCTCGTAGTCTTATATGTACTGGCGTCTTAGAGCCCCGCCTAACCAATGTGTACCCAGAGCGACTGAAGTCGCACTGTTGTGCAATGTTATTTTCCCAACATTGGTAATAAGTTTCCTCATTGTTGGTTAATTCGGGTAAAATTTGACTATTAGAAAGAATTTGCAGAAAAGTGTAGCGTCGACAGGATTTTTTTATCTAGAGGGTGGCAAAGCTCATTTTCCCCCCAAAGTCCCAATATTTTCCGGCATTTTCCCGATTGATCATTTTTTCCGAGGGTGGGCAGGGGCATCCCCCAAATTAACAACAATATGATTTGGCACCTCTTTTCTTTCTCCCCCCCCCCTTTTTGCCTCTTTATCTTCTCCCATTGAAAATGAATGCTTAAGTGATGGCTTTCTGTATCATTGTGTATCTTTTTATTTAGTGGGAATTTCTTGGCTGTTTTTGAAACATGGCTTTTTTCTCTTTCAGTGGTATATATTTTGTACACAAAGTGAATTCCCGTAAATTAAAAAAAAAATCATTCAGACATTCGCCATTGGTAATTATTTTGTATGAACTGCTTTCGATAAATCAAGAGGAAAGAAAATGGGCCTGATTAGATCTTTATTATTAGTAATTATGATTATTATCTATTTTTTAACAGAGAATGGCTCCATTGAGTACGACGAGTTCGTTAAGCTAATGAACAGACTAGACGGTGAAATTAGCCGTGAGTTAGCACCAACTTTCGAAAAGCATGACAAAGACAACAGTGGATTCATCAGGTAAGCTTCTCGTGGTAATCATTCAGACATTACTAATTCCAAATTTCTGGGAGGTAAATAATCGGACAAGTCTGCTAGTTACCTTTATTTCTTTTAATGGTTAGTTGGTCTTTTTTTTATAGGCCTATGCATTTCAGCTGTTATACAGCGAAGTTCAGGAATTTTAACACTCCCAGTGACTGATCAAAGGGTATGATGGGCAAAAGGATTTTGATATCATCTCTCCCTCTGACAACTCTCGCAGATGCACATTCATTTTCTTTCACGCAATTGACGCCGTACAACATTGCAAATCTCGGTTCATTGCTTGCAGCCTTTGTTCGCTAATTTAAAATTCAAAACGACTTCAGTCACCCCTTCGGAAATCATGGATCATCCACAGTACTTACGTATAAAGTACATGTATATCGCCCCATCTTCCATCATACCGTTTTAATTTCAGCGATTTAAACAGGGTGAGTAAAAAAGAAATACGAAACCCAAATGTCGGGACCATTTTCTTTAGTGAAGTTCTGCATGTAGCACTTTCAAAATCTAGGTTATGAACGCCAAATTCGTAAGCCTTCTTTTAGTGCAAGAATCATTCAAATCACTTATGGACTTTTAAAGTTACGGAATTTTAAACACAAACACCGTTTTGAAGTTCTGTTCACGGATCACAAAAAAGGTGAGACAGTGTTCTTTCAGCAAAACAAAAACAATTCATATAGGGAAGTATGTCAATTGTTTTCGTTTTGCTGAAAGAACACTTGCCTGTTTATGATCCGTGGACAGAAGTTTAAAACGGTGTTTGTGTTTAAAATTCCGTAAAGTGAAAAGTACTTGAGTGATTTGAATGATACTAAAAGAAAGCTTATCACTTAAAATGGTCCCGGTATTGGGCTTTCCTTTTGTTACTCACCCTGTAGAAGTCCACTTTCCCAAGGGCTAAAAAGTAACCTTCTAAAACAATAAGCCAATGAATCGATTCTATAACTCAGCGCCGATGAGCTGGATGCAGTGTTTCAAGAAATGGGGATCGAGTTGACTCCGGAAGGACTGCAGGCCGAGATCAAGAGCGTGGATCTGGATGGTGACGGTAACCTTAGTTTCCAAGGTATGTATCAGCACTACTGATCCCCATTTCAAGACATCTGGATACCTCGACCGTTGGCCATGCATTCCGAGCAGTACAATTATGTGAAGCTTGTTACAACTGATAATGTAGTAACCAACGGATAATGTATCACCAACCGATAATGTCACACAAATTGACAGATACTGTATCACAGACCGATAATGTAACAACAATTTACCGATAGTGTAGTAAATTGTACTACACTATCAGTCGATTGTTGTTACATTATCGGTCTTAACCGATAATGTTGCAAATTTTGACTGATAGTGTAGTCTGTTGTAACAAAGCTACGCGCTGATTCGCGATTCCGCTATTCGAATATGGCAGAGGAACTAATCTGCTGAACCACTCCCATAATTCAACAACAAAAAAAAACCTACAAAAATAAAATAGAACCGTCTAGTATATAGTACGGTAGATGGGATTGTGCCTTTGATGATTCAAGCATGGCAATTGGCACACAGAGTATGTCATGAGAAAGATATTTGCCTATAGGGCCATCGCAGATTTGTTTGAAAAAAAAATATAGGTTGAATAACAAGCAATGGCAGGCATTTTGAAAATTTTGAAAATCGCTTGTTATTCTACCCATATTTTTTCCAAAGTACAAATCTGCGATTGCCCTAATGCCATGCTTGCATCATCAAATGAACTATTCCCCCAAATATTTCCCCTATCTGCCCCACTAACTAAGAATCGGTGTTTTTGTTCAAGTAAAAAAATGTAATATAATTTAAATTGCCATTTTAATTCGCTTGAATACAAAAACATAATTCGTTGAATGATTAGGGGGTACATGCCAAATCAAAATGAAGATATCCTTCGAATTTGTATTGTTCTTGGAGTAGTAATATGGCGGGCGGTGACTTCACCGTAACAGGCTAATGGGCTATCCAGATTTTTTTACGTGGAGATCAGTGATCAGTGCCGAGTCGGACTGATTGAGGGCGCTATTAATTATAACGTTGCCATTTTGGTGGAACAAACGACGTGAATTCTTAGTTGTTGTTTTACAAGTTAATATTACATGTAAAAAAAAATCATTTTGCAATCTTCAAGTATTCGATTGAAGTGAAGTTGCTACATTTCGTCCTAAAGTTAAAGGATCCAGACCAGTAAATAGGCCCAAAATTAAGAGCATTTTTGCGGGCCATGAACTTGAGGGTTTGTGAAAAAGAAGGGTGGAAGCCGTGCACAGGACTGTGAGCTTCCATTTCTGTGATTTGGATGAAATTGGGCCCTAAAGGCGCTCTATTTTGCAATGTAGCGTAGGCATCTTTTTTCAAAATCTTTAATGTTGGAAGGTAGCCAGGATTTTTTCCCGGTCAACCAACGTCGTTAAATAAAAAAAAAAAAAAGGGGGGGGGGGCGCACAAACCATCTGACTATTGGACAAGAGGTGGTGCTCTTCGTTGCGGCATATGTAAATAAACTATGCTGTGGAACGCGTGTTTCTTTTCTTTTTTATAACTCTGGGGGGGGGGGGGGAGTGGGGGTGGGGAGGGGTTGAGGACATTACTCATGTTTTTTTTTTGCTGGTACACGTAGCTTATTTATTCCAAGCTAGTATTATTGATGACGGTGTGGCCTAATTCATTGTTTTGGGTTCAATTTTTCAGGTCGAACAGTGACTAAACGTTATACTCTTTTTTCTCTTTTTTTATGTTTACAGAATTTAAGAAATTGATTGGGCGCATCTAAGCAAGATAAGAATAACATATAGGTGGAGTTCTCGGAATCACAGCTGCAAATGTCCCAAGAGGCGATCTGTGGTCACGTGATCCAAGATGGTGGCTGGTGTACTCAACATTTAGTATGATAGTTACAGGATGTGCGAGGTGCTGAAACAGCTCGTGATCTGATTTTATAACTACATGTTTACTATTTTTACGAAAGTCTTGAAGGGGTCGACGAAAATAAAGAAGTTATTAAGTAAACAAACAGTTATAACCTGCAATTCAGGAAGTGGAAGGGGCGGTCTGGTGCCCACTCCTCTCACTACAAAACTCCACAGTTCGGGATTTATCACTGGCTAAGTTGAACCTAACAATTAAAATTAATCTGAAATAAAAAAGGTGTGCAGTATAGGGATTTTTAATTTAGCTTGTGTATATAATAACAGTAACAAGTAAAAGTAAAATGCTAACAGTTGACGTAACTTTAATAATTATCACTACTTTTTATATTTAAAAGGTCCCTCGATATAAGACTCTTATGGAATATCGACCTTTATATCACGGACGTTGCTTGAAATATGAATGTGGGGGGGGGGGGGGGTTGACCACCTATGTGCCGATAGACCATTTCGAACAGAAACGTTTCTGTTGATAAAACAACAACAACAACAACAACTTAACACCCCCCCCAAAAAAAAAGCACTTCTTTGGAATCGAGTTATAATTAACACATTCTGCAGCAGAGAGTAAGCAAAATCATTAGAAAAATGTAATAATCAAAATACAAGAAGAAGAATCATCTATAGCTTTGATGTGATTTCCGACCGTCCATCGACTTTATTCGTAATTATCGACGATGACAACATGATGCACTATCAGAGAAATGAAGTTTGAGATGCATTTGCAACACAGTTGGCAGTTGTCCAGCACTGTTTTGATCAGAACGCAATGAATTTATTTGATACAACAATGAATGCGAGCAGAACCGTGACGTCATATTGCACCTTTCAATCTCTTCAGGGCGATTACATGTAATTCCCTTAGATGTTCTTTGTTTCTAACTACATAAACCGAGCTATATATCATTTCTTTGGCAGATGTATCAGTGCAGTATTTCAAACTCTGTAAGTACAAAAATATTCGATGTTTGGCTAAATAAGAGCGTAGCACGGAATGTTTTTCAGTATCAAGTTGAATGGTACATGATTTGAGAGGAATATTGACATAATTATGTTTTTAAAAAATTATAATGATTTTAGTAAACTGTAGAATCATCTAACTATTTTGGGGAATGATCTTTAAGTAATCCAAAAGTACATGTTTACATATTGTTAACTACCTGTTGTGCACAGCGCCCTCTATAGACCTTCAGGCATTCAAATACTGAGCAGTAGTTTTGTGTTGTTTTTATAAAGTACTATAGTGCCGTTGTAATATAAAATTTGGACTTCCACGAAACCTGGTCTTTTTTTACCTTCTATGGACTCTATAAATCCCTGACACGAGACCCGTCACTGTCCTAATTATCTCAGGCATGCACTTGAGGGCGTATTTCATAGAGTCCAAATTTCATACCACACCGTCAATGTAAATTAAGCACTGAATACGACTTGAGCTGAATAATCAAGCTTTTTCTCACTGTTAGTCTGCATGCCTGCAGCAGCTCGCCCTTATTTACAGACAGAGGGCGCTTCTAACTATAACAATGTATCAGTAAAAGACTTTTCTCTCAAAGGCTTTTTTAGGAATGCAAAAATTGACATTCCGTTGTTGAAAATATAACAAATATGTCTTCGTTCAAGGTGGTATCTTATAGGCAATAGCTTGTGAATTGACGTCAAATATACACCATGTAGTTATATTCTAAAAGAACGATCATAAAAGATAAATTAAAATATTAGATAATGCTATATTATTAGTAAGATACCCTCTTTGTACACTAAGGAGTTCTTTGAGCGGTTCTATGTAGTAAGCAAAATATCGGCAGGGCAACACTCAGTCTAGGTCTATCAACACAAATTACTTCACCTTGAACAAGTTCGATGTCAGGTCAAAGACACCGAGAAAAAAACATTCAAATTAAAACGACGTAAACAGCAGGCGAAACAACGGTGGTCTCGTGAGCAAAGCAAGATCAAATAACGGGTCAACCCATAGCCTTCGGATTTGGATTTTGAGATGAAAATTCTATTTGAAAGACTTTACACTTGACGGCTACACAACCCTTGATAATGCCCCAGCGTTGTGATGCGACCCTCATACAAACTTTTGGTCTTTTTACAAGCGTAACATTGCACACCAGCCCAAATTTACATTTTAAAACCAATTAGATGTTACTGAATAAAATACCCATGGATCCATAGAATCCTCATTGAAGCAGACCGAAATTTTGAACAAAAGGAGCAAAATCTTGAATGTGTTTGGTAACTTGAAAAAAAAACCACAAAATGGACTCTGCGGTAATCTGGTAAACACGTTTTATGTACGAAAAAACCTATATGTTTTTTTATGTTACCATTCCAATGACTTAAGCTGTGTTATTTCCCCGTAAATCGTTCTTAATACTTGCTACAAATGGAGGCACATGCCGCAGAAAGTGACTGCAGATTCTGGCTCACTTCGCAGTCATCATGGAAACGAACTCTGCATCAATATCAAGAAAGGAAAAACAAAATGACTTTAGCTTGTAATCACACTATCCTCCCAAGTTCCTGTTTACTCCTCAGTTGGGAGAGGCAATAATTAGTGATCATGGGCGTCGCAGGGGGGAGGGGCGAGGCAAGGAGCGCTTGCCTCCCCTGGAAAATTTGAAAATAGAAAGGGGGGAGACGAAGTGCGAAGTCATATTGCTGTTAATTTAAGGCACATTATACAACAACATGGGCGTCCGCAGGGGTGTTAATGGGAGTGGGGTGGGCAAAATGGGATTTTGGGAAATAATGTGCTTTGCCCCCTTCTAGAAAACAAATCCTGGTGACGCACACGTTAGGCCAAAAAAAAAGGCTCCGGTTTCTGGTATGGAGCTTGCCCAAAAAGTGGTGCGGCGACGCGGCTTTTTTGTTTTGTTTTACCTGTCTTTTTTGCTTCAAATGTCGGCTGATGACTGCAAATGGTGCCCGACTAAACTTAGTGCAAATATATGGGAGTCCGGAGAGGCCACATAAAGCTTATTCTCGATCATAACCCCATCTAAAAACACGTTAAAATTGTGCAGCAGCAGGATTCCAGTCAAACTAGTGAGTTTGGCGGTTTTGAGACATCATCTTTTATTGAAAAAAAAAAAACGTTTTCATTTTGCCGACGCGCATGGCTACGGCGACGCGCGCGCATACCAGAAACCGGAGATTTTTTTTTTGGCCTTAGTGACAACTGTTTCCCCAAGGACACACGCGCCACAGCCTCAGGCTGGACTCGAACCCACTGCAGAATAACCCACAATATCTTGAGTTCGATATGCTTCAAGCCGCAAAACCAGGACACTGTAGTAAATGCACTTAAACACATTTTTTGTGGGTTCCGGTTTCATCATAATTATATTGGCTGGGCAGATAGTAGGGTGTGATTAAGCGTCTTGAGTGGGATGATAATGTAAATCGGGAATATAGACGAGCATGTGGTCATTGTACACGAACTAGCCCCCCCCCCCCCGGCCCCCTGAAATCATGCCCAAATTGATCTATAGCACACCTTCATAGTTGACTTGGCCGTCTCCATCGATGTCTGCTTCTCGGATCATCTCATCGACCTCTTCATCCGTCAGCTTCTCGCCAAGATTGGTCATCACGTGACGAAGCTCAGCGGCACTGCACGAACGGAAATAAAAGATATGTATATGGTATTTAAAGATATAACGCTTGGACATTTGATGACGTCATCAATTTTCTTCTATAACACGTCCCTGTCTATGTTTACATATTAAAGTTCCTATATAGCTTTGTGGATATTTGCCTTTGAAAAATGCAAAGTTAATATGACGCTAGATGACGTGATTATGTAATTATGACGTTTTACTTCGATTTTCATCTAAAACTCGTCCCTGTCTATATACGTGCTGTTCCAAACGAATTGAACATAAAGTTCTGAAGATATATGCATTTAAATAAAAACAATTACTGTGACGTCACGTGACGTATGATGACGTCATCGTGGCATCCCTTAAATTTTCATCTATAACACGTCCCTGATTATCTACAAACCAAGTTTCAACCAAATTGGACCGAATGTTATCTAATATAGGCCTTTAAAAATGCACCCTTTATGTGACGTTACATGACACATGATAACATCATCATTCAATTATCTATAACCCGCCCCTGTCTATGCCCAAACATAGTTTCAATAAATTGAACATATACATGTAGTTCTCTAGATATTGACCTTATGGGATTTTGGAAATAAAAAGAAGGGGAAAAACAAGAAAATACAAAGAGTTTTCCGCAGCTTTGCGGAAAGCCCAAAATGCGCCTAAGCCGCGTCATAATTAGGTTTCGCCAAGGGGAAAAGAAACTCGAACAGGTGATACTACTCAAAGGTAAAACTTGAAAAAGTGGGGAAAATAATATGAGATAAAAATGACATGAACTAATTAAAAAAAAATCTCTTGTAAGACCACATTAAACAAATGAAACACCGCAAAGGAACATGTTGAATAATAAAGGATTCCAAAATATTTTGTGTAAAAACTCTATACAATAACAACAATCAATCCCTTGCACAATGGCTCAAACGCCGAGAGTACCCTGATAAAATGTCAGGAAATTGAAGGGGTTAATTTATGAATCGATAATAATAGCGGTGAATGATATTGAATTATCGTGACACATGTCATTTAGTCATCCCTCAAATCGCGCTAACCCAACGGACGCGGATCGGCCAAAAATGACGGCAAATGGGAACCGATCTTTCCATGCGCACCATTGAATATACTTGAAGCATAAAACCAAACCACGCCCATACCTGATGTAGCCGTTTCCATCCTTGTCGAAAACTCTGAAGGCCTCTCTGATCTCCTCCTCGCTGTCTGTGTCTTTCATCTTGCGCGCCATCATCGTCAGAAACTCAGGAAAGTCAATTGTGCCGTTGCCTATGGAGGACAATAAACATGACTGTATGAAGAAAGAATGAAGCGTTTGCGGTAATACCATGGGAATAATATCTCTTTTGAGTTGTGTGGTTCTGAAAAGAACCATTTTTTTTTTAACTCGATGTTTTGAACAGTGTGCGCCGTTCGTCATCACTGTCTACTGATGACGAACAGAGCACACTGTTCCAATAACATGCGCATTCATTAATGGATAACGAAACGAGCCTGAAAGGTGGCTGCTTTATGTAATCGATCTATATACAGTTCGCTTCTTTCTTTTGTTCCCATTTTTTATTTGAACTTGCACTCGTCTAATGATTAATTTCTCCTATGTACAAAGATGTTACAACATCCCCAGCTGTTTGTGAAAAAACGGCTAATGATAATTTCAAAAGGCGACTTAGGATTGAATGAATGTTTATTTTTTGGATATAGGCAATGGGCAACTACCGGTACGTGAATATATGCTTGTTAAAAGGAAAAGCATAATTGTTTGCATCTTTTTTCTCGATATTTAATCCGCACAACAGAAAATCAAATAATCTCCATATACAGGATGAGTAAAAAAGAAAAGGAAACCCAAATGTTAGGACCATTTTTTAAATGAAGTTCTGCATGTAGCACAAAATCTGGGATAATGAAAGCCCAATTGATAAGATTTCTTTTAGTACAAGAATCATTTAAATCACCCATGTACTTTTCAAGAGACGGAATTTTAAACACAAACACCGTTTTAAACATCTGTCCACGGATCACAAGAAAAAGGTAAATCTTCTTTCAGCAAAACCAAACAATTCACATAGGGATGTATGAGAATTATTTTCGTGTTGCTGAAAGAGCAGAACGATTTGAATGATTCTTGTACTAAAAGAAAGTTTATTAATTGGGCTTTCATTATCTTAGATTTTGAAAGTGCTACATGTAGAACTTCATTTAAAAACTTGTTCTGACATTTGAGTTTCCTTTTGTTTTTACTCACTCTGTATAGTAATGGACTAAAACAGTTGTAAATTACGTTGTCAAGGTACAACATTTGAAGTTAACTGGGGATAACTTGACGGTGCCTTCAAGAAATCATTGCACATTGCAGTTTGCGTCAAAACTGTTCATTATTGTCATCGTCACTTGTCACAGTTGTCGTAGTTTGACGTGCCATCATTTTGGTCGGATTGAGTTTGAACTTACCGTCAGCATCGACCTCGTTGATCATGTCCTGCAGCTCAGCCTCAGTGGGGTTCTGACCCAGTGACCTCATGACTGTTCCCAGCTCCTTGGTGGTGATGGTGCCGTCACCGTCCTTGTCAAACAAGGAGAACGCCTCCTTGAACTCTGCAGGAGAAAGAAGACTTCATACTGAATTGCCATGCTAAAGCTCTGTTGGGTGCAGAGGTAATATTATACCACAATTCATTTATATTGTAAACTGCCAAAACAAAACAAAAGTTGGTTAACAGGCTGCAGACAATATTGCGTTGGGGTGTCTCAGATAGTGTTGTTTGTCATATTATTTTGTAACAATGAATGCACACAAGGTTAACTCACACATGTTTGTTTTACATACCTGGTGTGGGCATTCCTTTAGTTAAGAAAAACCAGTGAAAAACTCATTTTTCTCAAACTGTGAAAACTCTTTCAACCCATTTTTTCCCCTATGATTCCCTTCAGTGTTTCTCTTCATTTTGCCACGGATAAACCTAACTCAAAAATGCCTCTAAACCTGTTTTCCAGAGAGGGGAAAACCCCGCGTGGACGTGGGCAAGTAAGTCCACACAACGTCGCTGCTACCTGGTTTATGTGGACCTATTTTGTTCGGAAGTCCACACAGTGAATGTAATGCTTGTACACCCTTACACTCTAAAAAGTGACTGCATCTCATGCAATTGTGCACTAGCACATTATTGTCCCGAAATCATGAACACTTGAGGCTCTTGACAGGAAACTGAGGCAGTTGAGGTTATATTTGCAACAACACAAAAGTGAAGCTCAAGTGCATGAGGTGTTAGGAAGTTGCCAGATATGTATCACACGGTGTACTTGAAGCACATGGGGTGACATTCGACTTAACCTCAGGTGATTGTTTTACCCAACGTTGACACTTGACGTGCATCAACTTGTTCGATTCACGTGCACGACGTGGAGTCACTTTTTATATCAATGCGACACAAATTGACTGCCCTCTAACTAGTTAGTACGCCTTGACGCATACGGTATTTGGGGCCATGTTTGCCACACATTTTCTGAGAAATTACCCGCATTGGTCAATTCGGATAAAAATTTACCCACTTTTGGAAGCGTTTGCCAAAAAGTGTAGGTAGTTGTTGAAAAATATTGGGCAAAATAAAAACCCATTTGCCCAACTTTTTTGAGAGTAATGATATGAGAGTTTGCAGTAGAATAAATTATAAATATTGATGTCGATGACCCCAAGAGTATTTACACAATTATGTATGAAATGTTTATCATTGTTTCATAAATGAAATTTCAGATTCAGCTTTCTGAATTTGCTGATTTTATTCTTCCGTGAACATTATGCTATCTTTTTTTCTTCCCGGAAAATAAATTCAAATTGAGACCCAACAGAGAGTGCCACCTAAATTATGATTAATTCATTCAGCAAACTCATTCGGTTGTGCATCATTCTGATAAGACCTCTGTGCTTCTGCCATGCAAAAGCGTAATTTCAACAAAAACATAGACAAGAATGATAATCGTTAGTTTAATACATCAATAAATATATATATAAACTGTGCGAGAAGAGTGCAGTGACACTGCTTACACATGTGGAAGTAATCCCATTACGCTCTGGCTTTGTATTTGAAATCATGCGACAAATTATGTCGATAACGCCCGGCTGTGCTCTGCTCGCAGCTTTTTCATACTTTTTTCCCCTCAAAAATTGATTATATTGAGTCCTATTTTAATAAATTTCCCAGAATCACTCCTATCCTATTCAGAAAATCTCCCGAAGTACAGCGAGCTGATAATGTGCGCTGTTCAAACTCATGCATTGACCATTGGGAGTTATTCAACATCACCATTGATATACACGTTTCAATCAAACTGGACACACGTGTGGCATTTTTTTTTCATGTACTAGTTTGGCATGCTGTCTATACTCGGTAAACATGATTGTTGGACTACCACCATTACGTACCAAACAACAATCAATTTATTGGTTAATTTAAGCGGTAAGCACGTTTTCTTCTATTATTGTGGATATTTTTGAAGTCAATTCGCGCGGCCGACTTGTTTGATTTTGTCATTTCGTTGACGATTATTACAGAAACGTAAACCGGGGGACAAATTCAGAACTGATGAAAACATTCGTGAAATACCAACGTCGCAGTGATTTTGATTCACGGTTGAAATTTGAATCAACTCAACTCGAGTATACAGCCTTGCAAGTTGACGTTTCATAACATAGATTATTGTTATACCTCTGTCTTGAAGACTGCATTTTCATTGGCCTAGAACGATCACGTGTTTAGTTTATTAAAAAGTCATAGCACACTCGTGATATCCCACAGGGAGTGTGCTATGACTTTGTGCGCATAGCACCCTCGGCTTCGCCTCGGGTGCTATGCGCCACTCGGGTGTTCAAAACGTCATATCCCACATCACACCAGTCAACAATTGTTAAATGCTCCATCACAGTTTATGCCAAATGATAGGCCTAATTAATATTCACCAGCCCAATTCAAATCATGGCGTAAATATTCATTTCACGTGTCTTGGAAGATGATCGCGCGTGACTGAATATCATCATGATAACAGGTCAACCTGTAATTGCATGATTACAGGTTGAATGCAATCGTGAGGTCAGTTAAATTATGAAAATTAGAAGCATTTGAGTAATGTATGAGAATAATATTTATTATATTGCAATTTAGAGGGAAACGCTTGATCCCAACTCTAGATAATTGCGTATAATTTTCGAATGAATATCCGGTCTTCATCTTTATTTATTATAATATTATCGTGTCGGTTAGACCGAGCCGATTCGTCTCAATATATTGATTAATTTCCAACATTTAAAATGCATGGATTAGGCCTAACCGAAAGAGGACATCTACTACCGTAAATCCCTGCCCCAGAGGAAAAAACAATCCACTTAACAACTGCTGTCAACAACCAGAAAATCACAGTCACAGCCACACAATCGTGAATGTTTATACGCCCGAGGACAATGCTTTGTGTTTCCATCTGTCCCTGTAATATAACACTCTCCAAGCACATAACCGTACGATCGAGGAGAGTTTTCAACTAAGACCCAACGCTCGAGGACTGAAGGGATGTTTTGTTCCCCCTCCCTGTGTCCGTTCTCTATCGAAAAGCCATACATGCACACACATCTAGTAACCGTGCAAATTATACGGAACTGAAAAATAGGCCTATTCGGTAGATGTTACATTTTTGTGCGTTAATAAATTAATTTGGTTCAGTTAGAAAGGTATGATTTTCCTACTGCTTTAAGAAAGGCACATCACCTTGCGAACAGAAGCCCTTTAAAACAAAATACCATTTCACATTCTCATTTGTGACAGTTGAACAAATAATATTGTTTCTCTCATTAATTAGAATCATACTAATCTAATCTTGCAGAATCTAAGTCTGTATTTTATTTTGTATTGTTCGACTTTTTTAGGCAGCAATGATGTCAATGAGCTGTCAATTGTAGGAATGACTAAGTTCATCAGAAATTCAACAAAAGTGACACCTACCAGCGATTTGTTCTTCTGTCAGTTGATCTGCCTGAAATAGTGAAGACAAAAAGAAAAACAAATAATGAAAAACGATCGCATACATTTACAACAAATCTCAATTTCACCACCCAACACTTATTTGTCCCCTTTGTATACTACAGAGACACATATGGTAATGAATCAAAGAGGTAATATACATTTTAATTTCATGGGTGACACTTTTACACTTCCTGCGTGAACCTTTATTTCGTTGCTTTAATTTCAAGTTCAGCATGCTTCAGGGCCATGCATTTTGAGTCTCATACCAACCCAACGTTTATCTTTCTCCTTTGTACTACAGATCCGTAATGAGTCAAAGTGGTAATAAATATATAATTAATGCCCAGTCCATTTAATTGGTGAGACTTTAACACTGCCCGCGCGAACCTTGATTTTTGTTTCATTAATATCAAGATCAAGGCCAATATTTTGAGTCTTTCATGGCCACTGCGAAAGAATAAAATGGTTCGATTAATTAAGACATCACGTTCACACTCTTTGTTCGCACGACATGAATGGCCGTGTGCAATATAGAAAGGTCATGCCTGAATGCAACTAGGACTACTGACAGAAACGAAGTGGTATAATGAGACGATATTAATTGTTTCCTGGTAGAGGGAAGCAACTGAATGAGTTTCACTTACCATTTTGATCCAAACAAGTGTTTCCAGCAGGTGTATCTCTGTTGCTCTGTCAGTGTCCCCTTGTCTAGCGGCAAATGCGGACGGTGTACGACACAGGCGCACGGACTTCAACAACAGCGGCTCCGATGTATGGGAGATTAGAAGGGGGAAAAAAAGGAAAGCAGCCGCGCAGGCTTAAATGGGCGTGATATGCGCAGTTTAAGTTCTTGCGCATGCGCACTGCACAAACAGCTAGTGAATAATGACAATGAAGCTGGCATTTAATCTGTAAAGAATCATTCATAATGTAGAGAATCATTCATAATATAAAAGACCCTGTGTACGTATACTCGGTGACTCAGAAGGCCACATCATAAATAATTTCATTTACACAATATACCATCAACAATTTATTTCATATCCAAAATCATTTTACACTGTGACCGTAATTAAAAACATCCACAATCAACGTGAAAACTCTAATAATTAAATATTATTGAGAACATAATCGTAGTACGTTATTTGCGCTGCAATCAAATATACAAATTGTCGAAATTCGGTAAATCTTCCTCTTTTGATTTTTGGATATATCGGTGCAAATTTTTTTTGCTTTCATTTTTTTTTCTCCAAAGCATCTACGCTTGTTGTTTTGGACCTTGGACCCCAACTGTTCATCATAACCAAACATGCCTCCAGCGTTGACATCCGAGCTCTATGCAAAATTTATTAATGAGAGAATACATCAGTCGGCAGTTGTCGTGATACATGTACATATATGCGTGCGTGGTGACTGCAATGCGTCTCGCCGCGCCGGGCGGGCACTTATAATAACATGAAAATGTCGCAGCACCATCCCACCATCCTTTGCGCTCGCTCGCAAACAAAGATGCCAGCCTGCGCCTGTAGAGTAGCAGACCCGCACTGCTGTGTATATGGCACGAGTTCGACGAAGACGATGCTGTGCACTTGACAAAGACATCTCAAAGAAATTAATATGCAGCATTACCGTGATTGTATCCGAGGACAAATTCGAGCGCTTGTGCGTTCTCATGGCTCATTAATTTGGGCGGCGTTTGTTGTTAAGTAGTGTTGACAAATTACTTCCTGTTGCCTATTTCCGCAAGCATTAATATTGTGCTGTTGTGATGCGTAGCAACAAATGAAGAATGCAATTTTACACAGATGGGGAAAAAATAACCGTGAAAAACACATCTAAGATGGATAAAAAAAATCGCTTCGAAAAACAGGCTACTTAAAACATTGACAAGTCCAATTTTCTCCTTAAACTTTAGGTCTTGCGAAATTGTTTGTTTTTTTTGTTTAACATTTTCATTTCATGACGCTTCTCGAGATTCCAACCTCATTTTCCCAATACGTTTTTGAGAAACCAACCCCCTCCCTAAATTTAATATTGACACCTCTTCCCCCCCCCCAAACAAACAAACAAAACACACACAAACAAACAAAAGGCAAGAAAGTCGGTCCATTACTGCATGCGTGTTGAAGGCCAAGTGACCGGCGTACGTCACCGTTGAGGTGGAGTCAGAGAGCAATATTTTATTACTGGGACAATGTCTACTACAGTGAATGTTTTCTGCAATCATGAATGATGTTGACCTGAGAATGTAGAACTCAGCCGGTTATCATGAAAGGCTGCATTCGATTATATGACTAATAATACATATGTAAATAATTTATGACAGCCTCTCAATTGACGTTGATCATTATGACCAACATTATTCACGGGCTAAGTTGTTTTTAGAGAAACCATTATCCAAAAAGGTTACATTTAACCTGCAGAAAATTAGCAATTGACAGATGTGATGTATGTTTCCATGTGTTTTTTTTGTGAGTGGAAAGAGCCCGAAATATCTCACCTTTTTGTTAAAAAAATGATTAATGCAAATCTTTTTTGAAATGATAAATTTAATGATAGCAGCGATCCACGCGAAAGTGCGAACAATGAGTACATAATAATCTCGGACAGACTCGTTGATCTAAACGATGAGAGAGAAAACAATAATTGTCGATTAATTATTTTTCAACAATCCCTCTGTCAAACAAAATAACAAACATCGCCCCCATTGGTTCAACAACAAAAATCGTTAAAACATGGAACAATAATTGTACTGATGAATAACAATTCAGTGGTCTTATAAATAAGGGACAGTATGAATATTCACTCATTTCAGGGGCACTTATACGGGCATTGGAAAAACTGCGTCTTGCAGAAACAAACATAGAAACACTTAATATAAGAACTACAATAATTCGATTGCAACTAATGTTTTCTCTAATTACCTTTCATATTATAAGCCTAATTTACTGCAAGTTTATCATTGACATTTATAATCCTCTGTTTTATTTAGCCTGTTCAGTTTCTTGCATAATACTTGTAATTATTTCAGTATTTGGAATGACAACCTTTTTTTTTAATTTCGTTAAATTCAATTTTTAATTTTATGAAATGGTAATGCCTTTCCCGCTTGTAATCATTTTACTACCCAACAATCGTTTGTTTAAACGGAATTATGACAATTACTTCTTTTCCAAACAATGCATTTAAAACGCGTGATCGAAACTGAAATTAATTATTATTTGTTTTTAAGATTCTTTCAAAGTTAGGTAACCAGCATTAGAATATCGCAGGTGTTAACAAGCCAAGTGCTTACATACAGGATGAGAAAGTGACAGAATAACAAAAAGAATAGGCTATTTAAAAAAAAAAAATATGTGGCTCGCTCTATTTCATGAAAATAACTCAGGGATAAAGTACATTTATTGACTAGCAACTGTGGAAATTTCACTGAATTTGCATACTCTATTCCCAATTTATGACTATTTTAATAAAAAGATCACAACATTCACTGTCCTCCCAAAACGGGCAAAAATATTCAACATATTCATATTCAAAACACAAAATCTGACAGTAAAAACAACGTTTCAGTCTTGACTCAACTGATTAAAATCTCATTTGTATTTGAACGTTTGTGTGTAATTTGTAAATCTCACTCAGCTCAATAGACCTATATCATGCTTCCACCACTTTAGTCATGTTCCCTGTATCCAATAACAGTACTGAATGATAATGTTTTTAAGCAAAATGGAACCAGACTATTTTTCCCTCCAGCCTCGCTCTGGTCACATTGATTTGAATGGGGGAAAATCAAATGGCTGCAACATGATAATGGTCTATAGCTTCCAATGGCATTCCACGGACAGCTATACAAATAGGTTCTATTAGTAAAACCGTGCATAACTTGCGATGGCATGGATCAGTTTCAGTAATTTTTTTTAAAATATTTTTCAGATGAGTTGAAGAACATTATCTTTGAAGACATATACTTCATTCATGTATTACATTTGATTGCTTTTCAAGAAAAAAACCCACATTAATCCAGTCACTTTCTCTCGACTTACCCTGTATACGTAAATCAAGAATCGGGCATATCGAACCAACGAATAGCGATGAATAGGCCTAATTCGAATTCTAAAATCTTATCATGACAAGGCTCGGAAGATATGCTTGGGATGTTAATTCTTCGATATTGGTTTTTCAACTGATTTTTCTTATTGGTTCATAAATATGTGCTAAGAAAATGTTTCTGCTTATTGAAAATGAGTTGGGTACAAAGGCCGAACGGTCATTTCATCATTTATTTTGAAATGATCAAATTATCAAAATCAAGCGACATTGGCATAATTTTATTCGAAGATCTCAATTTCAACATAAAAATTGTGAATTATATGTAAAACAAACCACTTTGTGGAAAACCTTCATTTGGACGTCATCATGGTCACAAATTCTGTTAGAACAAGGAAGAGAAACAAATATTTAGTATAGTTTCTCGTCGGGCTTTTTAAAAAGGAGGCAGATTTTCCAAGATGACGGATCGCTTCTTCCCTTTTCTCAGCTCTTTTGCTGAAACCAAATTGTGTCAAAGGAGCCGTAACCTTTTCTACATAGCTACAATTTCGTTGGAAACAAATAAAAAGACGATCCAATGGCAGTACTTGCAACATATATTGCAAAGTTATGAATTTAAAAAAAAGAAGCGGGCGGAGAAAAAGAAGCTAGTGGGGACGAGGAACTGCTTTTTTTTTTACTTGGCCTTATAGTGAGGTTATTCAGAATCTTTATAGTTTTTTGTTTTTGGAATTTCCCCTTCTAATTAATTGGACACGGAGTGCACCCTTTTTGAGCTTTTAAACTTGGTCCTCGCAAAAGTATAATAGTTGTTCACTGCTGGACGTACGTTTATAAGGAAAGGCAAAAAACACTTCCGCGCCATGTGACCAAAAGCTTTGAAATATGGCTATTTAAACAGTATATAAAACACTAAATATTGGCATTCTCTGGACACAAGTGTAATTTGAACAATAAATAGCCAAGTTCTTTGTCAGTAAACTATAAAATCTATTTCAATCCGGTCCCGGTATGCATCTGGTCACAGATAGAGGGCGCTATTACTTATTAGTTTAACGTGAGCAAAGTCGTGCGTACGGTGGCCGGCTCTGAACGATTGCAGCACCACTTGACTCTGAAATGACTTTACTGGTCTCGATATCTGAATAAAAAACCGATAAATAGTTACAACTAAGAAAAGTTATCGGTGAGCACGGGGGAAAAAAGGATGCGAAAGAAATTAGGATGCACACTTACATCATTGACTTGGCCATCTACATCGATGTCTACTTCTTGGATCATCTCATCAACCTTTTCATCAGTCAGCTTCTTAACAAGATTGCTCATTTCGTGACGAGGCTCGGCGGCACTACAAACATAAGTTGTGTAAGATTCACGGTCGAGTCCGGGACATAATTTCATTTGCAAACAAAATTCCCATATTTGGTTGTTTTTCTAGACATGTACCCCCCCCCCCCAAAAAAAAAAAACTCAGGGCTTAGCTTTCAATATTTTGAGGCATTCCCGTTCATTTTAGTGGAATAATTATTATGTAGTTTTAACTTAATCTTCATTTATAATGTCTTGAGTTGTTTTTTTTGCGTTGAAATCAGGTCTGAAGTCAAAATAAGCATGCTGTGTGCCAAAGACATTGTATGTTTCACTCGTTGTTTGTCTTTGAGTGCTGCACACCAAAAATATTCAGAGTGAATTGAAAGGCATTATGAATTGTGTCATAATGAGCAACAACGCTGCACCGAAACCAAAGTGTGTCCTGTTGACGACAAATGATGTCTGAAATGACAGGATACAACCCGCCTTTATGAAGAGATCATATGCTTTATTCTGGCCGGATGGAAAGTTTGACAGTGTATAAGAATATCCTTCGAACCATCTACAGTGAAAATGAACAGTTTTTGTTGACAGTGTATGGATGGACGTTCTATTGTATATTATGTTCGGAAGAAGTGACCGAAGTGTGATCGTCAGTGTATAGTGCATGATTGTTTTTTTTATGTGATGGTTGAAGTGGCGAATCGTGCGTGGAGGGGGGGGGGATTAGGGGGTTGCACCGCCCTTCAACCGCTGACTAATGTTATGATATTATAAAATGGGGCTAAAAAATACTAAATGGGAAGCTATAGTTCCTAAATTTATTCTCGAATTGGCTTAGAATGTAGGAAAAAGAACCGTACATTTCGAAATTGTTGGGGGTGGGGCATGCTCCCAGACCCCCTAGCAGGGCACAACTTCACTCACGCCCTTCATATCAACACCCTCCCCGTTTCCTGAAAGCTAGATCCGCCCAAGACTGCAGATTAATAAATAAATTGCCAAAGACACCAATGATAAATACTTTCAGTTTCAAAAAACAGATAAAAAAATTCACAAATCCTTGGGCCTATGTGTTCCAAACGCACATATCACATTTCTGAATCAGCCCCATTTACCATTTTTTCACTCAACTGTTCAATGTTTGATTGCATTCCCAAGAATGAACACCCCAGACTAATCGGATAAGAAAAGTTCTCTCCTTTAAACTGAAAAACAAAGCAACCTTGAGGTCTACTTTCATCAAAAGCTTCTCAGAAATAAGAGCTGAAGGTATAGTGTTCGGATCTGGGACACTTTATCTTATTAAAAACTTTCAAAGCTTTACGGACAATAACATTTGGGATGATTTTGTCGGCGTTGGCAATATTGCAGGACCCATTCAATGGCCTCATGCAACTTGGAGGTACCATCCCGAGAGTAACGAAAGCCAAACCCCCCTGATGAAGCCGTGCCATGGCAACGACTCCGAAGGTTTCTCTGATCTGTTCCTCACTGTCTGTGTCTTTAAGCTTTCATCTTGCGGGCATCATCGTCAGAAACTCAGGGAAGTCAACAATATTGTGCCGTTGCCATTAGAGAGAGAATAGTAATGAGTTATGTAAATACAATGCTGCAACCAAATCTCTAGTCTGCAGCTAACTTGCAACAAGCTGACATAGCCTGACGTAGCCGTATAGCTCTGGAATCCTGTTCTAGACCCGGCCTACGTTTCAGGCCCCCAAAGTCGAATTTCCTATAGTTAGGATTGAATGTTACTTTGTAATTTTTCGACATATTTGGACTCTAGCAGTGTTAGGAGATTATTTTTCAGATACAAATGATGTGACCTGCTCCATCATACAATCCTACTGAACTGTCAGTGCCAATTTTAACCATTTTTCATACTGAAAACATACTCCAAACTTCAGCCCTACCATCAGCATCAACCTTGTTGATCTTGTCAGTGGGGTTCTGACCCAGTGACCTCGTGACTGTCCCTAGCTCCTTGGTGCATGGTGGTGGTACCATCGTAGCAGGAGAACGCCTCCTAAAGCTCTGCATTAAGGATGAGAAAATAATGGCCAATTGCAAAATATCAATTCAATTGCTCGTGACAGAAGGTACTATTGTTAGCTCTGGGGCATCAATGTCGGTTACGGTGAAACGCCACTATAACGAACACCGCTATAACGAACATCCCCTGCGGCTCTCGAAATAGTAAATCAATTATATAAATGCACAATCACGATAACGTACGACCACTATAACGAAACATTTGTATGGACCCCATCGTGTTCATTATAGTGGTGTTCTACTGTACTAAAGTGACTTCAGTGAGGATTAATAAGTTGAGAAAACACAGTCATAAAGTGATAAATTAGAGGAATTTGAGAACATTAGCTTATTATGTGGGTCATTATTGGACAAAAACACGTACGTGACTGATGACCGTGACATCCACGACCACCTTTCCGGTGCCTCGAGATTTCGAAAAAGACTTCATGACCGTGTTTCTATAAATTGTCATCCTGAATGCGCGTAAAGTTTTGTCCAGTTCTTCCGCCTGAAAGTGTTCGAATCATACAGAGAATACAGATAACTATATTGCAAATATCCAGTCATATGATGCCTATACTCTGCATATATACTTCCCATTAAAACAATTAAAACAACGTTCACTTGCACCGCAATCAACAAGAAACCATCCCCAGTCCCCACCGTGCACCCCAATCGAGAAGGAAAAGAGACAGCTATAGATTCGTTATCTGGTATGTTTATGGTCGTCCACAACCAGTTTATTTCAATTCAGATAAAGAAATGGTCTTTTATTATGGTTTCATTTCAAGCAATATGCAGCCAACATCAAGCAGCCAAGCGCCAAACTGTATACACAATTCAATTCAATTCAAAAAGACATTTATTCCATGCTCCTTTGGATTCAATAAATTATGAACATGAAAAAGATCTAAGGAGATATAATTAGAAATCACACACGGTCTAAAGTGAACACTAAATAAGATTTACCCTCTAATTACTTAAATCTACGTGGCAAATCTGAGACTCCGTAAGTGACCTTTTTATATCATTGATTATGTACAGTGCATTATTTTGTGTCCAGGGCAAGCACAACGGTGGAATGTGTCAACACACTTTTCAATATTGTACAATAAAAATCTGCTTGCATTGTTGATAAGCGCTCATAAGCTTCCCACTAGCACTATATGCATCACGTTGCCAGGCAGTCGTGGAAATATGCCTGAGAACTGGTCACGAAGTTTGCAACAAGGCTCAGCATGAACTGGCACAGGAGCTGGGTGCCTTACAATTACATTAGGCTTCAGGCCAAATACGCGCTTTTCTCAATCAATCAATCAAGTTCATAGTACCAACAGGAAGGCATCGTGTACATGTACATATTAAAGCAATGGCGGCCGTAACAGTCAAACGCCTTGCCGTTTTTCTGCTATGTGCATTTGTATTCATGAAATACATCGTTCCGCGACTAGGACAGGAGATCCTCTCCAGATGTTTCGGTTACATCGTCTCGGTTATTATATCCTATGCCATCGCCGTCAACGTGAAGGAGGGAAAGGTGCAAGTCTCCGGCAAGTCCGTGGTCATCACGGGATGTGACACGGGGATCGGCAACGCGTTGGCCCGGTACCTGGACAAGCGGGGCTTCCGGGTGTTCGCCGGGTGCCTGTTCGAGAGGGGTGAGGGGGCGAGGAGACTGAAGGCGGAGTGCTCGGGGAAACTGCAGGTGGTTCAGATGGACGTGACCAGTGACCAGCAGGTGGCGGAGGTGGCCCAGTTTGTGCAGAGTGCTGTCACGGTTTCAGGGGATGGTATGCTCAATAACTTTGTTGCACGGTTTGAACGAGTATTAAGCAGCAGATCATAATGGGATGTGATGAGGTCACCAGTCAGTAGACTAATTGAAGAAGTAGGTTACACTCACACTGGTGTGCTCCAAGACTGTATACAGTTTGACAATTCTTCGAAATATTCACTGTTTGTTTCATCGTAGAGTTCGAAATTCCCTCTCTAACAATTAATACTTCAAGTTAATCAGTTAATATAGCACACCATTGATAGGCCTACATCGATCGAAGTTATCAGTGTTTCAATCAATTGATCAACAATAATCAATCAAAACGTCACCGATTATAAATTAGTCAAAATGTAAACATGAAACTAAAAGGAAAGCGAACCAAAAATACGGATATACTGATTTATAAAATAATACTGATGACGCATATACATAAAGGAGGACCAATTTGAATAGCAATATAGGCCCAACAAGAAAGAGAAAACATATCGCGGTATTTGTGAATAAAGTAAAAATAGAACTTCCTGTTTTCGCGGATATGCAGCTTTGGTATCAGTGAAGAGTATATACACCTGACCAAATTTGACATATTTGTATTTATCGGATATCTGATTCTGATGAATTGTGGAGAAGTCAATCGCATGACGTGGTCCATTTCCCCTTTCATTTTAAGGCCATTAGATCGTTTTCACAGGCGCGCGCATGCATCTGAATCTAGGCTGTGGTATCTCGAAATCAGTTGCAATGTGACTGCCTAGCCTGATTTGTATTGAAGTCTCGTTGGTCGGGATTGTTAATATTGAAAGGTTTCTCTCTGTTATGCTGTCGACAGTGTTGTGGGGAGTTGTAAACAACGCGGGCATTATCAAGCTTGGGGAGATAGAATGGCTGCCAGTGGAGAGTTACCGTCAGGTCATGGAGGTCAACTTATTCGGAATGATCCGGGTCACTAAAGCCTTCCTTCCCATGATTCGGAGGTGTAAAGGTTCGTCTTTGTTGATATTTTTGGGGGACGGTGGTATGAAAAGAAAATCGTAGCGGGTACAGACATAACATTGAGGTGATCGAGGGCCTTTTTTTCTGAGCATGTTCTAAAGTACACTCTTCAACGTTCCTTGTCAGATTGACCCGGAGTCCGACCTAATCCTATTTGGCCTAACCCTTCTTCGGGCCGGTCACAAAAGGACACTTTTCCGTTTCACAAATGACACTTTTCCGTGTCAAAAATGGTCCATTTCCGAGTCATTTTGACACGACAAAAAGGCAAAAAGTGCCACTTTAACTCAAAGTCCCTGGCAAAAAGTGTCACTTTGACTCGAAATCCTCGGCAAAAAGTGTCCTTTGACCCGAAATTCTTGGCAAAAAAAGTGACACTTTGACCCAAAATCCTTGGGGGGAATCGTTTTTGTACCCTGAAAAGGGTCAGGCCAAATAAAATCCGGATTCTGGGTCAATCTGACAAGGAATTTTGTAGAGTTGTAAAAAAAAAGTTTGGTTCTCTTCATTTTTGAAAAACTTGGCATGCACGAGCAATTCAAGGACCACATTTCTCAAGAATGGGGGAAAAATCCTGAAGTCTTAGATAGGACTAAGACTGACAATGACGTGCAGGAATATTGTGCAGACTTGTTTCATCTGACAATTTGTCGTTTTCGTCTCACCAGGTCGCATTGTCAACATGAGTAGCATGCAGGGTCTCTTCAGCTCCGCCGTGTCCTCCCCGTACTCGGTCTCCAAGTTTGGCGTGGAGGCGTTCTCGGACGCACTACGTCACGAGGTGGACAAATGGGGAGTCCAAACTGTCATCATTGAACCGGGAAATTTTTCAGGTACACGATTGCAGTACGGTCAAGATGCCCCCGATGGGTGCCAATGCGTGTTGTGTAAAAATATACTTCCAAATGCTCTTTCCCATTCCTCTGAAAGCAGCCAAGATTTTGGTCATAACTCCATATTAATTACACCAGTTCTAACAGTTTTTAGTTGATGAAATCGTGCGTTGGAATGAGACCTACTCAATGTTTGAAGTAAGATTATCGGTTTTTATCTGTTTTTTGTTGAACAAATCCCCTGCTGACGAATAATTGTAGAAAACTGTATCACAAGCGAATCAAAATTAATTATCGGTGACCTGCCATAGCATAATGAGGAATACCCCCCCCCCCCCCACCTTTGACTTTTTACGTTATGTACATCATTTTAAAGCGCGCTGATCATTGGCTTTCCAATGATACCAAATTTATTTTTGTAGCTCAGTTTATTCCAAAGATATGACGCAGGAACTTCAGCAGTGTCCTGCCAAGTTTCTCCAACATCATTTCGAGAAAAACGGCTTTGAAAAAAATGACACGCATTGCGCCGCCAACGGCAGTGAAAAATTCTCATCAGTTTTCTCACTTTTTTTGGTATTTGTTTCCCCAACAAAAATGCATAGTGCAAATCTTGGATACCTTGGCTACTCACCTTGGTGTACACTCCTCATCTTGCCTCAGGAGGTCACATTTAAATATTTATGTAGTTTTTAGTATTCCCCCAATATGCAATATGCGTGATGCTCCTATCAACTTGATTACTGTTGTTGCAATGCCTCACTTGAAAGATAATAATATATCTAGTAATCTAGAGCTTAAACAAAATAGCAAATGGATTTGGAAATTTGTGTAGAATTTTAATAGATACTTTTCAGGTTCCGCACACAAAACACGGACTTACAAACTTCAACCCCAAGATTTAGCCTCACTATTTCCCCCCTCTGTTACCCAAACAGCATTTACGAACGCAATGGAAGGCGATAGCATCACTAAGATGATGGACGATGTTTGGAGTAACACACCGGACGACATTAAGGAAGTCTACGGTCTGGACTACTTCAAGGGCGTGGTCAAGTTGCTAAACACAGGCACATTGAGTATGAGCGCCAACACTCTGAAGCCGGTCTTAACGGCCATCGAGGACGCCCTCATCGACGAGAATCCGCCAGACAGGTTCTCCCCTGGCAACGCCCATTCCAAGCTTCTGACCTGGTTTTTCTGCTATTTGCCCTCCACCGTGACGGACTATTTGTACAAGCTCAGCTATGCCCTGTCTGTTGATAAAGCGAAGGGGGTTACTGCGGCAGAGCCTGTAGCGTGACGTGTCAGGAACGAGGCTGAGCGGGGAAGTACTTTAAGTAGCTAGACCTCACTCGTAGGCCATGATGAATACTTGGATAATGTCGCGGGTGTGTTTGTACTTATGAAATACGAAGTTATTGATTGTATTTCACATGCAAATTCAGTGAAGATAACAAGGAAAGTAACAGGCTACGCGTGAGGGATAACTAGTCCATACATTAAAGGTAAAAGGGGCCCGATATCATAATAGTAGTAAAGTCTGTCACGAGCCAACGTGGCCCATCAGGCCGGCATTAATTATCTCCGGTTTCAGTACCGAACGACTGAGAATATTTCTACTCACGTGGATGGGATCAGTGCTAGTCCATCGCAGGTTACTCCCCAGCTAAAGCAGGTACCCATGTATACTCCTGGGTGAAGAGAAGCAAGTGGGGTGAATTAGCTTGCCCAAGAACACAACATGTTACCATTAACTCAATTCGAGCCCCTGACCCTCTGATCATGAGTCACAGACCCTAACCACTATAGGCCACACACCCCACTAAATATCACATCACATAGGAGTTCATATTTCATATGACACACAGGAAGGTCCGTGGGAAGTAGATTCAGTGGTTTCCATAGGCACATGGGCAATTTCCGGTGTCACATGAAAATACGACTCCTATGAAAACCGGACCCCTATTTCCATATTTCTTGGTCGATCCCTTGCACGTGACAGTCACTCTCCCGAAACGATCCTAAAAATAGCATAGTATCGTATTCAAGCGTGCGCAGTACTACCAATGTGTCCACATTTCATAGAGTTGGATATTTACGCTACACCGGCCTTGACCCAGTAATGCAGATACAGCCTTATTATTACATTTCATCTAGGAAGATATAGTAATTTCGCTCGTACCCCCGTCCTGCAAACAGGGCTGATGCCGGGTAACTTATCATGACCTTCGCATGCATGTAGTGCGCTACGTATGAAAAACAGCAGCAGTGCTGCATGCTACGTCACAGATCGCGCATAATCTATCCAATGAGAGCTCGAAGAGATCAGCCCTTCCCAGCGTCCTGTTTGCAGGGCGGGCGGTACGAACGAAGATGGTCATTGGCATCAGAATTACTATTAGAGGCCCCCAATATTGGGGACTCCGGCTAAGTATGGTGTTGTGTACTGCTTCATGAACTTCATACTCGAAAACAAGATTTTGACCCCCATCTTCATTTGACAATTTGAACTTGTTTGAGCCTGGATCTGTTTTTCGCTGAAAAAAAGTGGATGAGTTTCGCAGGCATCTATAGAGGCAACAGAGGTCATGAGGACTTCAAATGGAAAGCAGATTCATTTTATGTGACACGAGATTGTCATCGAGTCGTCTGAGGATAGTAATGACTGTCCTATGCAAAACTATTCCAACTTTGTATTGTGCGGTATTAATAAAGAAAAGTCTTCATAGAAGATATCAATTACTAAAATTAACTTATGTTTAAATGTTCAGTTGTAGCGTTTTCCATGCAGTTTTTATTTCATGTTTTTTTTTAAATTTCTTTCTAGTAAACATAGCTAGCTGTGAGACAATAAATTATGTTTCTTCTCTTGGATTTCTAGAAATAAATAAATCAACGAAAAATGTATGGTACACGATGTGCATGCGTCATGCATGTTTATGTGAGTGTATGGGACCAGCGCTTGCATCATTTCTGGGTTTTCGCATAATCACTCTTAAAAGTGTCAAATTCGATTCAAATCTGGGTTAGATTTGACCTGACGCTTGTCCGGGTCGAAATGACCTCTCTAAGTCACTTTTCCGGGCCACTTGACTCGGAGGAGATCATCAGTTTGGCATCAAACAATGAAAATTTTGACCCAGAAGACGAATATCAGGTCAAATCTGACCCGCATTTCCAGCCGGATCTGACCCGGGACTTTTAATTATAAGAATGCAAACGGATACCACGACTAAAAGGATTCGGGACATTTCTCCACGTATTTGTTTTCTAAAATATGTATTAGAAAAGGCACACCCAGCTCAACTCTTCATGTCGATAAATTTTCTGAAGAGCTTGACACTCTAGTAAATCATTACTTTTACATGAGTAAAACTAAACCTGAGAGTTATTATTTCTAGAATGGAAGGGCATGAACTTCCGTTTAGGATGGTCATTAATTATTAATGAGTGTTTCGTTCGTTGAGATCTATTTCAGTAATGTCTATTTTTGTTCAGTTGAGGGATTTACAGCTATACACAATGTAGTACTGATAACCTTTACAACCATGCAAGTGTGGGCTGATTGGACAAGTTAAGCCATACATGATCAGCCCACCGTCGATGAGTGCCCACTTACTTTGTACCACCATGCTTGAGCAGCTGCATGCAACGAAGAGACATGAGGGCTCGATGGCTTTACAAAGAAAATATACAGCAAGCTTGCTCACACTGCGGCCGCTGAAACAACTCCGTTCATAAGCATCGAACCAAAAATGGCTGCTGTAAGGATAACAAACGCAGTCGTGTTCGCTCTCTGTTTGTATGTCTGTCTCGTTTGGATCGTGCCTAGAATTGGTGAGGAATTCCTGTCAAGGTTCTTCGGTTGCATCTTATCTGTTTCCTTCTCCTACTTCATCGCCGGTCGCTTCACCGGGGGAAAAATCCCCAGCGTCCGGGGCAGAGCCGTGCTGGTGACTGGCTGCGATACTGGAATAGGTAACACGTTGGCCAGACGCCTGGATGACTTGGGGTTCCGCGTTTTTGCGGGTTGTCTGTTCGCCGAGGGACCGGGGGCTCTAGGGCTCACGAGCGAGTGTTCAGGGAGACTTGAGGTGATACAGCTTGATGTGACGAGTGACCACGAGGTATCTCAAGCAGTCAAATCTGTGAGGGAGTCACTGTCCACGACGGGAGATGGTAAGGTTTTGAGCTTTAATGCGAATAGCAACTGAAATAGATTTAAAGAAGTGCCCCCTCCACCCAAAAAAGTCAGCTTTCCACGCCTTGCTAGGATTCACAAGGAAATCTTTTGGGTGAAAATCTATGAAAACGCCTATAGGGACAGGCGCATGCTAGCATTGCTCCACTAACTCGAGGTCTTTCCCTTTGTGGAATTTGGCGACGGAAAAGATAAGCTTTGTGTAATAACCACCAAAGCCAATGGAGCCCTTTCAGACAATGCCCGATTTCCTTGAACATTGGACCCCTGAAACGCGCGACTAATGTGCGTGGCAATTTAAATATAGCTCCATGGGCAAACCTATAGTAATGGGTTTTTGATAGTCCGAAAATTTGGGACTCTCAATACTGTGTGTGAGAGTCCCATAAGTTAAGGTATCTTAAGAATTTTGCTGGCTAAAGAGTGAGTAAAGTTGGCCTGATTTCGTTTTGCATATTTATCAGCACTCAATGTCCCAGTCTGTTCTTTTTTGGTATATTTTTCGGCTTCAATCATAAAGTTGATTATTCTCCTTTGGGGTTCTTTTGAAAGTAAAGGAGTAATCAACGAGTCAGCGAAACCTTATACTACGCCCAAATTACCTTGTTCTTGTGATTGCATCGCAAAGTATACAACAGCGCCATCTTGCGTTGGGATATGTAATAAAAACATTTCCTGCCATACAATAAAAAATCACATGATTACAAGTTTCAAGAGTTATACCCCTTTTCAAACTATATACCCGCTCCAAATCGATCCCACATTATACCCCCCCCCCCCTAATTTTGTTTGCGTTCTGACTAACTTAAAATCAATGTTCCTTTCGAACGTGTACAGCAATTTTCACCAAATTAGTCTCCGGACATCATAAGGGAACTAGGTGCCTAGCAACGCCTGGATTAGTTTTTCCAGTTTGCTAATCAGGCGTACTTCCAGACATCCGACTCTAAAAATGTTTGATGTTTTTGAGCCATTAAGAAAGTCCACTCGGAAAAAAATACGTAGACATTTGGGGGCTTGCCAAAGGCGGTTTCATGACAGGCCCTTCTCCAAGTATAAATGCGAATGTGAAGCGAACATGACGTCTTAAAACACTCACTGTGAAATTTGCCGAAAGTAAAATGTGTTCAACTATTGCGAATTCATAGCACGAATAGTCGCTTGAGTCTCGTCACATATTCGCGTTTGCGTGGCTTTCGTGCCGAATGTGAACCAGCCTTTAAACGGGCTTGCCCACACTGCAAAAACTGTAGTGTTAATTTAACACCATTCGGTATCTATATAGGACAACACCAGTAAAATTTAACACCAGATGGTCCTATATAGATACCAATGGTGTAAATTTAACACTCCAGTTTTTGCAGTGCAACGTTGTCATGGTGAAGGGGTTCCGGAGATAGGAGTGGATTTTGTCCCCTAAGACCTCTCACCCCCTCCCATGGGCGTCGGGAGGGGGGGGGGGGCGCTTGTCCCACTTCCCCCCTCCGGAAGCCACCCCTAAATGGAGGGGGAAAGAGTGAGTGAGAGAGAAAAAAAAGGTGCAAATTCATATTGCTGTTATTAATGCACATTTAACGACCTCGGCGGGTTAGCGAAATGCCTCCCTGCCCACCCTCGAAAAAAAATGATAAATTGAGAATATGCTAATTGAGAAAGGATTTGGGGAAATAATGTGCTTTCGTGTCCCCTCTAGAAAAAAAAAATCCTGTCGACGCCTTTGACCCCACCCTCTGTATCCGCCAATGGTCGTTTTGTACATATTTTTTTTCCCGTATCTTTTTGTCTCCAGTACTGTGGGGAGTGGTGAACAATGCCGGCACGGCATGCTGGGGCGAAGCGGAATGGATATCGCTTGACAGATACAAGAAGCTGGCAGAGGTCAACTTGTGGGGGATGATTCGGGTCACGAAGGCCTTCTTACCTCTCATCCGAAATAGCAAAGGTAAATATTAGAAGATAAGACGCTCGAGGCTTTGGCATACACACGAGTCGGGTCTAATAACGTTGGAAGGAAATTGCTTTTGACGCGTCGTCAATAGGCTTAGAAAAAGGTCATGCAATATCATTACTTCAAGACAACTGGGGGCGCTGTTTAATATCGACGAGTATAGTTATTTGGTACTTCCAGTGATCTCCGTTTCACGACTCTTCAAAGTGCTTAAGATACATACATCAAACTAAAACTCGCCCATTAGGCACAATTTTACTAGAATTTGTCTGGAAGAGACCCAAACCTTGCTAGGAAGAATTTCCATGCTTTGGCTCTCCCAGTTGACGGCTGTGTCGTGCATTTGCTCCCCCTACAGTCAGTGTTGTGAGTTATTTCCTAAAACAAATGTTGATATAGCCGATGGCTGGCACTATTTTTGTACACGTAATTTGAATTTGACGTGCATGATAAGATCTTTTCAGGACATGCAATTTGTGATTTGTTTCGCACGTGCAATTTGAGACTACTTGTATACTTATCCGGTGGTCAATTTCAGCAATTCGCAATCTGCACGCTGTGTTGTGAACACTTTTTGCCCATGGGAAAAATAGTTGTCTCAGGCGTTGGTTTTTTGATCAAATGGGGGGGGGGCGCTAATCCGCGCTATTACAACTGAATGGCGTCAGGTTGTATGCATTGTCTCTATAATTCATAATTCAACGAAGTAAAAAATAAGTTGTAAACTTCATCCTAGATAATGAGCAGTTGATGGTGACACAATATTTTGCGGTCCCTCCTCACCAATACGGCAAATGAGTGGGGGGGGGGGGGGTGCAACGGGGCCATACCACCCCCCCCCCCAAAAAAAAAAAAAACCCCACCGCACCCTACTTTATTTTGTTTACATTTACGAGCAATACATTTGCACCCCTCCCCTTGCTTTTCATATTTAATATAGGGCTGAGAGTTTCTGGACCCACTTTTTTTCGGGAACAAAAACATTTGCGCCGTGAATTATTCAAGACGTTTGGTTCTTGTCTGCTCACCATAACTTTGAAAGGTATGATTCCTCTCCACCATTCTAGGGCGTGTGGTCAACATGAGCAGCATGCTGGGTCGTGTGAGTATGCCAGTCTGTTCAGCGTATTCCATCACAAAGTACGGCGTCCAGGCCTTCACGGATAGTCTCCGCAACGAGCTCGCGTCGAATTTCGGTGTCTCTGCTGTCATTGTGGAACCTGGCAACTTCTCAGGTAATAATTGTTGCTTAAAGAGAGGCTCCGACCAAGGGCGGATCCAGGGGAGGGGGCAATGGGGCAACGTCCCCCCTAAAAAAAAAAGAACCCATTTTGTTTTGTTTTAAGTGACGTCGCAATAAAGGTAGGCACTGCGTACACCACCATCTTTTCCTCATAAAAACATGGTTAAAGTATTCAGATATAGCCTCAGATTGCACCACAGAGCATCTAGAATCCACAGTTTTCCGAATTCCACGCCGTACTTTTGTGCACACACTCTTTAGGGAACACAATTTGTTTTTGGCCCCCCAACAAATTATTTTCTGGATCCGACCTTGGCTCCTGACCAGATTAAAGAAAATCTTAAAGTAACCAAAATCATTTGCATTGCGGCTTCCGTAAGTTCCAAGAAAACAAAAGTAATTTTAGGATCCCAATTTTATTCGAACGTTGAGCAAACTTAATTTACTGTAGTGATCTTATTTTGGTTATGAAGATTTGAATAGTTCGATTCTGTTATGGCCTTCGCAACCAAAAATCTGTGTGGAGTGTATCGGAAGTTGCCCTTCGTTCCACACACACACACAAATCTTAAGATAGAGTGAGGCGAAATTTAAATTATAAAAATCATTTCTAACTAGATGTATTAGAGCCTAAAATTATGGCGGCTTGTGCAAATTTTCATCACGTCACCCCTCATGCATGTAAAAAGGGACAGTAGTATTCATTGTTACGGGGTCTCCATTCATTTCGTTGCCATTTCAGGGGGAGGGTCCGCCATGTTTACAAGAGAATACATGACCAAGGATCTGAACAAGGTCTGGAGCGAAACAACTGCAGAAGTTCAGGAGGTTTACGGTGTAGAGTATTTCGAGTCGACGAGAAATAACATTGTCAACGCGTCCCAGAGCTTCTCACCGACCAGCCTCGTGCCGGTAGTGGACGCCTGCACAAACGCCCTCACCGACGCAAATCCGCACGAGCGCTACTTTCCCGGAAACTTGACTTCTAAACTCACGGTTTATGTGTTCTCCTTTCTCCCAGCACCAATCACTGACTTTGTGCTGGGGATTTACTACAAAATTATAAGTGTACCTGTAAAAGGGGCGAAGAAAAATGGTCCGCGTTGAACAATTTATCTGAACGATATCAAACAATAGATGGCGCTGTTTGCTAAAGAGGAAAGGTATGCTTGCTTCCGCGGAATGGAAATAAAAATGACACGCGTCATTCTCTAATATTATTAATCTGACTAACTGAGACGCACATTCTGAAATAGGAAACCCATAGAAGTGTTGTTTAGTTTTTATGCTAAATGGAAAATATCCATTTCGAAACGAATTGCAGTGATATAATTATGATTTGCATGCAGGAGAAAAGAAACATTATAGATGGAAAAGAAACATATCCTTTAGAAAAATATAATAGGCTTGAATGAGGGATCACTGAAAGCACGATTGCATCGATCGTATAGGAATCTTGAATTATGAAACTGTAGCTTCAAGACCTTAATGGATTAACTTGTTCTAAAAATGTTAGAGTTCAGAAATGAAAGATTTAGGCCGAAAAAGATAATTCGCTTAATTCCTGCCGATAAACCACTAAATTGCTGTCCTTGTGTCCATGTTACTTAGTTTAAGCTATCAAATTAATAAACATCCTAAGCCGCTGATAGTCAGTTCCATTTGTTGTAGGCGGAGGTGAGATTCAACACCTTCTCCCATGCTTTCCACATCGATTAACGTGCGATATCCAGCTCAAAATAGTTACCTTTTCCTGCCACACATTTGAAAACAATATAAAGTGAAACGATTACACAGTTGAGATTACGTATAAAACATACACCGTACAACAGCTGTTTCTAAACTGCATTTTTCGCTTGGCCTTTGAAATGAAATTTCTGAAATTGAACGAAATGGAGTTTATCACGTTTTATAAACAAACTATTCTATTGTAAATGCAACAATATCAATTACTGTCTAATGAAAACAACTAACTGTTCATTCTACTCGCTTATTCCGACATTGATTTAATTAAGTTTAAAGCTTGAAAGTTAAACGAAAATAATGCACTCTTTTTATAAGACCCGAAATACCCTTTAACCCTATTAACCCTAAAGGGGCCGGGGGGGGGGGGGGGCGGAATCCGCCCCCCCCCCTCAACATTTTCCGCGATAGCTTCTAAAAAAAAATTTTCGCGACCCGAGCTGTTATGACTTTTTAGCCTCGAGCTTTGCGCATCTTTTGATACCAAAAACTTAAAAATCGGACCACGGGTTGGCCCGTAGCGAAAAATTTTCAGGCGCTACGCGCCGTGAAAACTGAATTTTCGCATATACGTCGTGTACACCGAGCAGAATTGCCATTCATACATATGAATAATTAATTAGCCATAATTCCAAAACCCTTTGACCTATAGTCATGAAATTTTTTGGGCATGTTGAGGAAGAGTTGCTCTATGCATTTGCTGAGTTTCAAAATTGTTCGTCACTCGATGGCCGAGATCTTAGGGGGGGGGGCGGAATCCGCCCCCCCCCCCCGGCTGAGAGATGGTCAAAATAACCCGGCCCCTTTAGGGTTAAACGCAGGGCACATCATTTATACAAATTCGAAAGTGGAATTATCAAATTACCATGGAATTGATTCAAGTAAAAACTAGATTTTCCGTATGCACTCAACGTGAAAATTAGTTACGCAAAGCCACTAAACTAAATTTTGCAGATATGTATTATTTTAAAGCAGATTATTTTCTGATTAGTAGCACCATCCCTGTGCTTCATGAGAAAATGCCTACAAGTGCCTAAAAAAAGGGATTATGCTTATGAGCTTTTGTACAGGTTCAGGTAATGTGAACAAAGCGCTTTGCATCGTGTTTATTCCTTTGGTGTTTAGGGCTCAACAGGATTTTTTTTCAAAGTAAACAATACATTTGTTAATTTATTGTTGAATTAAATACTTAGCCCCAATCTTGATGACGTCATCGTTTTTCACGGGTCACCGTACAAATAGACACCCTGTGTCCTATCTTCCCTCTCTAATATCTTTGGTTTTATGTAGTCAAGGCGTTCGTCACTATCCGTCCCGTACGGTATTATCGGCGGCATATCCTCGACGCGCGCTGGGTGCACTGAACTAATTCAAACCCCATTGAAAACATTACATTTTTAAATATTCACACCAAAACAAAATCACCTCTCGAAAAGTGATAGTTCCCAAGCCAGCATGTAGCCATTGTACAAGTGGTTCCTCCACTGCCCAGGCAAATAGGTACTTTCTTCATTCAAAATAATGGGAAACGAAGGCAAGATGCGAGTTCTTTTGTGTGTGTACTTTTCACATATTCTTGTATTTTTTATTGGTTTCATTCAAGTTTGTTAATTTTTGAAGTATGTGCTATCTTTCTTTAATCTACAGAAGAAACAAAATGTAAACTAGTAATACGAGAAAATGAAACATTATGAAAGTCGACGTTGAAACAATAAACTACGGCAACATTCAAGCAAAGGTGATCCTTTCCCCTCTTTTTCTCGTGCACACATACATGTATACTTTTTGTTATAATTATTTTCGTATTTCTTACTATTTGCTCTTTCATCTTCTGTTTTAAATTGCGATCCGTGTTTTCTTATAATTATGTCTGAATGTGATTTTTTAAATTTTTTTTATTCAATTTGCTTCATCTTAAACATGCTTCATTTAACTAATAACTGAATTTTCTTTTTGATGTGCAAACAAAGAGGGGGGGGGTGTGATTTGGTTCTTTTGTGGCTGCTGCTTTGTAGAAGAATCTAGTGAGAAAATTCTCATGTACTTTCCAATTGGAACAAAGACACTCTATTGAATTTTGACGAACAAATAATAATATGAACCGATTTCGATTTCCTTTGCTCACATTTCACAAATGCTTGCTTAATGGCGAATTCGAATGACCAAACTGACACAATTTGAGCGAATTTGAATGACCCAGTGTCAAATGTTAATTTAAATGCATAAGTTAAAATTGAATCATTGAAAAGTACAATCGCATGCCTTTAGATTTCATTGAACGATTTATTTATTTAATTGAATGTTGATCTAAACGTGCATCCAAATTCGTGCGAAAGTGAGTAATTCGTCATCAAAATTGGTTGCCAAATCAATTTAAAAACCTGTTTTTTTTCAATAGGCCTAATTAAACACAACTATCAAAATCTCAGATATTATGTCAAGCAAAGAAAATAACGTTCTTTCTGAAACAGCTTTGATACATCATCTCAGATTGTTTCAGAGAATTGTTTTGTTTGTTTTGGGTTAGCCTTCGCAATCTCTACTCGGCATCGACGTGGATGGTGAGAAAGTCCGCGTGTCCAACTGTAACGTCACCTGTCAACATTAAGAAAGACAAAAAAAGACACGGTATTTTAATAAAAAATATCCGGTAAAAACTGGTCAAGGTGCTGATTTCCAACTCTTTCTTCAGGCCTTGTTTGCTCATTTATCCATAACAGTGACGTAATGAACTTAACATCATAGGAAAGATTACATTTTCCCTTGTAGTTTTTTTCTGAATTATTCAGTACATTTCTGATAATTCACATTAAAAAATGGGTATACTTTTTAATATGTTGAGACACCATGTACATGGTGTTGTGGAACGAGTATAGGATGATGTTTAAGCCGCCATTGACTGCACCACGCTTGCTCCAACGTTGAAAATAATCATTGTTACAGTTTTTGGACCCCGTGATCTTGAGTTACGTAACTTGGTTGCTAAGTGGTCTTTAAAAAAACCTTGGTAGACAGGGATGTAATGTCTTTGGTTCAGTTTTACAGTTATTAAGGCCGTTTATACGAATGGGTAAATTGAAGCGGATCCGTTCGGTTTGTCCTATTCAACAGCTTTTTAATTAGCGGAGAATCATTGGAGTAAAACGGAACCAATAATGTCAGTGTTAAGTGGATGGTGTTCCTTTTACCTATTAGATAGAATTGCAATTCGCATTCTATTTGAGGTGTTCATTTTAGCTTTCCCAGTTTAACACTATTCGGTCAAATTCAAACTGCTTGTATGCCTAAATTAAAAAAAAAATCAACACTGGGGAAAATAGCAAACGTGAGGGAATATAAATAAATGGGACACTCCGTACGAGGTGGATGTAGGTAGGGATTACTTTTATAATGTAACAAATAAAGATCATAATCAGGCGAACTTTGTATTTAATTAAAGAAACAAATATATCGTATTGCCCCCATTGGGACTTCATATTGAAATATTGGCTTGATAACACAAAGAGTCCGTTTTTCCCTATAAGCGGGTTCCGCTTTACCCCCTATATGGGATAACACGGTTCAGAGATGGAAAGAGGTTTAATTGCCCTGTAACCATGGCAACACTTATTGAATGAAAAAAGATCACATTGTTGCACAAATACAGCAATAAGTGTTATACACCTCTACATCTCAGCTCGAGTCCCATTGATAATTATAATTCACAATTATATTTCACATAATATTCCACCCGTACCTGCACTGATAACGTTATTCCAAAGTACGTCGCCCGTCAACCTGCTGTACAGTATAATCGGGTAGGGATACGCCGTGGACGGTCTTCCCCATGCGCAATCCGCTGTGATACCGGAATCTATCACGACCAACCAGCCTCTGTCGCCCGGGCATGAATTGTGTATGTTATTAATGTAGAATCGTCGATCTCTTTGCATGACGTGGCAAAAACATAGAAATAAATATTTTTACTATACACATCCTTGCAAAAAGGCATATTGCAACACGAAGAGGCTGCAATTGTTTTACTTGACTCTATCTTCACTTGTATGGTTGGATATCTTAAATTGTCACTACTTTTCCAAATGTTTACACAAAAAAACAGTAATCAGTTGCTATAATATACAATGCTCATAAAACATCATCCGACCAGTTCGGCCGCAGCTCTGGTTCCGAGACCAACAGATTCTAAAAGTTCCAGTAGGCGCCACTGTCACGTGACCTACACCAACAAAAACATGTAGGAACCTGCATATTTCTGAAAATGTCCGAAGTTTTCTAAATACATTTTCGATGACACTAGGATAGTAATTATTCGCGATATCTTGGGTATTTAGGGGGGGGGGTAAAATTGTTAACAGAATAGGCCTACTTAATTGTCATTTAAGTTTCCGACAATTTTGAATTCAACCATTTGAGTTCCGATCTTGCGGAATTCTTTGGCGGGCGTAATGCCCAGTATTTCTACTTAAAGTCCACCGTTTACACCTGACCTAAGACGATCATGTCAGTGTCCACTCTGGTCATCGATTTTATATTGTACTCACTCTTGAATATACCCGTCAGTGCTGAAGAAGTCTGGTGTGGATGATTTCAAGTTCTGCCAGGGGCTTGAGATGAGGCGCTCTTGGGTGAACCAGTTATGGATATCCGTCCCGATACCGTTGAATATCAGGTCAACTCTGCGCCCCTCGAAATCATGCAGGGAAAGTTTTACCTTGACATCAAAACAAAACACGTTCTGCATGTGCACAGCTTTGCGAGAATGTCTGAGGTCATGCGTTTGGTTGTGATTAAATTTAGCGATTTCACTGAGAAAATCATAACATGATAAGCAGTGTTGTAGTATTACTCACCCATCTGATGTACTCGTACTCGCACTCGCAAGAAAAAAAATACCCGTACTCGTACTCATGACCAAAGTACTCGTATACTCGTATTAATGTTCTCCCGCAAAAATTTAAACGTTTTTGGGAGCTACATGCAGGAAAAGAACCTGGTTTCTAATGTTGAGAAGGGTTCTGCATATTTCATGCCTAGTTGGACAGCGAAAAGCCCTTAGAAACAAGTGACATATTGAAATTTGCTCCTTCTCATGGAAAAACTGCCCTGTACTCGTACTCATACTCATTGCAAAGTGCTCGTACTCGCCAAAGTACTCTACTACAACACTTATGCTAAGTCTCCTCTGACGTCATGCTATTTGGATTTTTCAAGTCGCACACGATCCCAGATTCTACTTAACTTCAACCTCGTCCTCAATAGCACACCTTGGAGGCTAACATTTGGCATCCCATCAAACCAATCAATTAACCCTACGCGCCGTGAAAACTGAATTTTCCCATATACGTCGTGTACACAGACCAGAATTACCATTCGTACATATGAATAATTAATTAGCCATAATTCCAAAACCATTTGACCTAGCAGGCGGATCACGTCACATATCCAGAAAAAAATAATAGTTCTTCCCAGCGCTCTGTTTGGGCGGTGGGTACGAGCGAACTTGTGAATTTGCAGACATCAGACCATTCCACATGTGATCATGATAAATGTGCACATTATTTGTAGAGGCTATAAAATAGTCCAGTACTCACTCGCCTAACGCTCAGTTCTCCACTTTTCCAGCTGTCATGCAGCGATTCATCCCGCCAACTCCCACTGACACCCATCGTGTTGTCGTCCCAAGATGCTGCAGTCCACATTCCGTACAACTTAACTCCTTTCCCCGCCATACCTTTAAAAACCAACTGCCATTCCGAAGCTGGCGCAGCAATGAAACGATAACATCAAGTCTTTCATACCTTTCCAAGCAAAGTCCTTAACACTGATAGCGTCCAACAGTAAACAGAAGTACCCTTTTTAATTACTGATTTCTGAAGTAAAGAAATTAACAAAAACTTTTTCTCGCTTCAATATTCTCCAATAAGATCTTCATTCGTGTTTACTCGACTGCTGGTTTCCAAAACCAAACCATTGCTCTCATCCTCGAATCTCAGACGGTGCTACACTTTTGACAGAAAAGGCAAGTGTGTTCATGATGACAAGTGGGAAGCGACAAGTGGTTTTTTACAACATTTACAAACATCACAACACAAAATGATCAAATTATCACAAAATACCTCACTGGATTGTTAGGGAAAGACAGTCCAAAGCATCCTGTTAAATCGTGGCTCCTTGTGTGCTGACATTTTCAAGAAAAACGTTATTTTTGTATCAATTTCCAACGCTGGTCGGCCGGAGAAAACTGGCCTTTTTCAAAAACTGCTCCTCATATTTCATAATTAGATTTTCCGCGGTTTTTTTTGCAAGTGATTATACACCTGTGAAGGGGTACAAGCGTGCTAGACTGATTCTCTGACCGTACAATTCTCCAAAGTCTATAAATTGCTCCATTTCATCTAAAGTGGTGTCAGGGCACCAGACTACAAGAACAGTTTTCTTGGTTTTTCCAGCATCTAGAAGCCCAAAACGTGACACAAGTCATTTTAACAACATTGGCTATAAGGCCAAAAAAAAATAAAAATATTCGGTCTCTGGTCAGACCAAAGTTCCGGAATTGACGCGGCCAACTCGGCTTTTTGGGGTTTTTTTTGCTTTGTTTTTTTTTTCTTCAAGCTTGGATTGTACAGACAAGGTGGGGTACTATTTTGCTTTTTTCGTGTCCTCATGTACATTGGTGTCCTCCATAATTTGCCTTGGTGCTTTCGATCATTTGCCTTGGTGCAATTTCCCATTCCTTGGTGCTCTTTGGTAAAAAAAAAATGAGGAGGTGCGGAAATAGAGGGCGCTGTTGGAGCTACCGCGGAACATTTTGGAAAAAAAAGATCGACGCGCATGATTAAAATCGACGCGCGCGCGTGCTGACCAGAGACCGTTTTTTTTTTTTGGCCTAACATACAATTCCTCCAAATCCATTTATTTCTGAAAATTGCAGCAAAAGCAAGTGTTGTACATTCCCTTTTTAATTGAAACAAATGGACATAGATCATTGTGGGAAGGCAGACTGATGGCCCAGTAGTTTGTACCGCTGCTTGTTCTTATCACCTGCATTACAAGTAGCAACTAAAGCACATTATCTGCAAGCAATCTTATATGAGTATAATACAGAGAATGATAAAAAGAAATTGCCATTTCGTTACGGTGATACGTTAATAGAAGCACAGATAAGAACATACGTGGCACACTGCTCCGTTCCAATCTGCATGTGCCTAATAAAGTCTCTTTGAAACACATACCTTTGTTGCAATGAACACTACCAAGCGCTTTGACAGCATCCAGTTGGTACCGAAAGGTATCGATTTGACTGTACAACGGACGGAGAGCTTGGTCAAGAGTTGACTCGGAGCGTTTATCTGTGCGCGCGGTGGTACCAATCAGGCAGCGCTGCGCCACCACTACTAACATAGCTACCAGAACGAACTTCATCTTGAAAACAGGAGATTCAAAAGGTTCACTGTATATCTAATCGTGTTTCAGAATTGCACTTTTATAGCTCTACCTCCGAGCGTGAAACCTTGAACCTTAGACTCTCAGACATGAAGACCCGTGCCACGTACACCACTTTACGGAAGCGTAATGCTGCCACATAAGAAAAAAAAATCAATAGTTTTCGTTATTCGGACGCGGATTGTTTTTTCGTTAAACGAAAAGTGGCGGTTTTGTTGGTACATGTATATCGAAAAGTGTATACGTTATAAGGAACTGTTACAACGAAAAGTTTTCATTGCAACGATCTTTTCGTTATAACGAAAAGTTTCAGTTCTTATTTTTGTGCGGCAGAAACAGGCTTCCGTACCACAAATGTTCCAAACCACAGTATTTTGCCACATTGCCTGGTTAAATGTTAACCCAAATGAGTTAAATTTAATCACATAGCCTGTGAAAACTGCAACTGTTCACTACGGAAACATCTCACCAGACAGATTCTTTGCAATCCCTTGGCAAAACAACTGCTTGTAATCATTAACCAAACACTTACAAACTGGAATTTGCCGACACTACTTTGGATTGACTCAAGTATGAAATGCCATGCTGTTGCATACAGTACAATGGTAGTTGATGCCCTAAATGTAGGTACTGTGTTCGTACAATGTGCATGCCTGTGCAATCATTTAGGCTTCAATTATTTTAGAAGACAGCAAAGCCGATTGTTAACAATCACATGAGCTGTCCTAAAAAAAAAACATCAGTGGTGTTTTGTTTTAAAAGCACTAGGAATGCAAAGGGTATACATTCTACTGAGGCACTGGGGGATCACATACGTCCAATTTAAGTGCTTTTTGATTCATTATATCAACGTTTTTGGAGTTTTTTTTAATGCAATACTTCAGAAGAAAGATTTTGTCGGTTCTATAGGACAAAACAATGAATTTTCTGCAGAACTTTATTTGTGTACTTATGTAACTATATTCCTACAAATGTACTTTTAGGGAGACACGTTAGCGTAGAAATGTCGATAGTAGGGAGACACGGGCTTAATTGGGAGACACCTAGGTGTCTCCCTATTGGCGCAGCCCCCCTTTAGAGGAAAAGTTTTGCCGTCGAAATTAAGTTATATTTGTTGCTCGTGGTCTAATTAGTAAAAATACCGAAATTCGTGGAAAAAGGACAGACAAAAAAGTTGTGTGCACAACTCTATGGGAAAGTCTCCCTATTACCCCATTGCCGGTAATCATTATTATTATTATTATTATTGTATTAAGAAAAAGGGCAGGTCACTTTGGAAATTTGAAAGGGCACTGAGGCCAAGTGAAGGGACACCACTGAGGCCAACTTTCAAGAATTTAATCCATAGTTTTTGCATAGCACAAAGGCCTTTACCTGCAATAAAATAGGACATATACATGTGACTGCATTAGCCCCATGTGCAGTGGGGCCGAATTTGAGCTGATATTTCCAGACAGGATAATATCTACAGTTTATCTAGCAACTAAAAATAAATTAAGATGAACCTTACGAAAAAAAAACCCGAATAACGACTGTTTTGGTTAACATACTTCCGGAACCTGCAGCAATGTTCTCCATAGACTTTGTACACCTTCGCTTATGAAGTGGCGTCTGCATGGCTACTACATTCTTTCCCTTTTTTATTTTGTATTTTTTGGTGCACTGGTTTAGTGGAGTATTTCTTCATTTACGCAATGACAGCTATCAAAATGGGCCCTTAAGACTTGCCATAATTAAAGAATACATTTTCAAGGTCGTCGATGTTTCTGTTTCTAACAGATACGGAGTTTGAAGTTCTTCACATCATGCCACTATATATGCACGGCATTAAGGCAAGAGAAATACGGTCGGTAGGCCAGAGAGTGCTTTTCCCACTTTTTTTTTCTCTGAAGGTCTGAGCATTATGGTCTGAGTATCCCGATCATATGCCCATTTTCGGCCCGATTTGTTAACATCTATACATCATGAAAACTGACAAATTCAGCCCCCAAAAGTGATGAAAACTTTCTTTAACTATTGCAGAAAATGTTTACGGTGCATGGATGATTCTTAAAAACACAACACACTGAAAATGCAGTCAAGGGGCGATGCGCAAATTTGCCAACACCGTCCGTATATCGCACAGGATCGGCGCGATATTAAAATCTAACTCAAACAATTTTTCAGTGGACGTAGCACTTGGGGCACATTTAACCCAAACATGTTAGTGAAGCAATTTTCTTTAAATTAAGTTTCAATTAAACCCAGACATTGCGGAATAGCAGTAACTGTATATTCAACCGTACTTATTGGCCGACGGATCCAATGCTGTTGGGTTTATATTCATTACCCAAAATGTTATAACCACAGTCTGAATTAAAATGTAACCTGGTAAGTCAAATTTCAAACACTGAAATTTTACTTTTAACAAACATTTGGGTTATTCACGATCATTGAACCTCATACTATGACCCACATTCTTTTACCCAGAATTTGGACTAAGTCAGTTCTAACGCAGAATTTCAACCCAGAATTTTTTTCATATTTAACCAAAAGTGGGTTAATCGTGATTGCTATAACCCCAACCGGTACCCACAATTTTAGTTTAAACTTAACCCAGGCAATTTTCAGTGTGGGTGCCTGACGACGTTAGTGAGGAAAGGCAAGCGAAGTTGAAGTCGATTCGGCGTCCGAATCTCCTGTTTACTTTAATCTAGGTACGCCCATTTGGACTGTGTGGGAACAAGCTGACAATAGACCTAGCCGAAGCCACCACTACCCCTTTCGGGCATGGCCTTTGACTGAATGGAACAGATATCGCGTTTTAAAAGTTACCTTGTCAACGCGTCCCAGGGCTTGTGTCCGGGTTACTTAGTATAAGTTGTCAAATTAATAAAAATCCTAAGCCGCAGATAATCAGTTCAATTTTTAGTAGGCGGAGGTGAGATTCTACAGCTGTCCCAATTAAACAAAATTCATCCTGCCCGTAATGTTATGAAATTGTTTGTTGTAGTTTTCATTGTTGCATGGGTAACGACACGTTGAACAAGAGACTTGGGTATATAGTTTCCAGACAAATAAAACGCAGTGGGTTCAAGTACCATTAAGGCTAACAAAAAATACTCGGTCTCTGGTCAGCGCGCGAGTCGATTTTAATCATGCGCGTCAACCTTTTTTTTCTTCAAATTGACACGGAAGCTACAGCAGCGCCCTCTATTGCCACGCCTCCTCAAATTTTTGTACTAAGGAGCACCAAGGAATGGCAAATGATAAAGGGCACCAAGGCAAATTATGGAGGACACCAATGTATAATAAGGTACACGAAAAAGCAAAATAGTACCCACCTTGTCTGTACAATTCAAGCTGGAAAAAAAGCCACCCCCCCCCCAAAAAAAAAAACCGCGTCGTCGCATCAAATTCGAAACTTCGGTCTGACCAGAGACCGATTATTATATTTTTGTTTTGGCCCAAAAATGCAGTCTCTTTTTTTTGTTTATAGAGCCAAAGCAGATAAACCCAACAATCCTCTGCGTGTGCCCGCCTATAAAGACACGTTGGTTTGAGGAGAACATAGAGCTGAATGGTTCAAATTCTGGGGAACAGAATGTGGGTTAAATAACCCAATTTGTTGTTAAAAGTGAAATTTCAACAGTTGACATTGTGGGGTAAAGCACCGACTGGAAGGGTTGAATTTTAATTCAGACTGTGATTATAACATTTTGGGTCACGGGTACGAAGTGGTAATCAGTGTTGTAGTCGAGTACTTTTTCCGAGTACCGAGTACTGCCGAGTACTCATGTAGCCGAGTACGAGTACGAGTACTTCTGAGTATACGAGTACGAGTACTTTACTTCCAAGTACGAGTACTTTACTTCCGAGTACGAGTACGAGTACAAGTAATTGTATTCCGAATACGGCCATACGGGAAATGGTAGATTGTGTGTAATAATTGGCCCAGGCCCAGTCAGACCGATATACAGACCCACTCATGGCTAGCTGTTGTGGTTGTCTGGACCCGCACACAGAAAAATCAGGAACACCTCGATTTCTCCATAAGCCAATCAACCATTTCAAACTGGAAGTATCGATAAAATAAGGCCATGGTGTATAAAGTCAAGCTATACCATTTCCCCGAGCACTGCTATTCGAGCACGAGTACTTTGCTGCCCGAGTACAAGTACCGTCATTTCGAGTACGAGTACCTTGACATTCGAGTACGAGTACGAGTACGAGTACTCCAAAAAAGGTACTAGAGTAGTACTCGAGTACGAGTACTACAACACTTGTGGTAATGGAGCCAAGTGGCGTTGGGCGAAGTGGCAATGGGGCGAAGTAGCAATGAGTCGAAGTGGCAGTGAATTGCAATTGGGCGATTATAATGCACCTTATACACAAGTAACCTGTGACATTTTGGAAACCTACAAACCATCATTTAAGTTGCAATGTCCAATGTAATTTTTTTTTTCTGCATCATTTTCACTATGCTTTCTGTTTCCTTGAGAGGACAAAGGAAACAAGAGGGAAAATTCAAGATTTGAAGAGGACTATGGAAGACCATTATAGACTCTAAAAATCCAAGATAAGGCCCCCCAAAAAGTCTCCGGTTTCTGGTATGGAGCTTGCCCAAAAAGTGGTGCGGCGACGCGGCTTCTTTTTTTTTTAACCTGATTTTTTTTGCTTGAAATGTCGGCTGATGACTGCAAATGGTGCCCGACTAAACTTAGTGCAAATATATGGGAGTCCAGGGAGGCCAAATAAAGCTTATTCTCGACCATAACCCAATCTAAAAACACGTTAAAATTGTGCAGCAGAAGGATTCCAGTCAAACCAGTGAGTTTGGCGGTTTTGAGACATCATCTTTCATTGAAAAAAAAAAAACTTTTTCACTTTGCCAACGCGCATGGCTACGGCGACGAGCGCGCATACCAGAAATCGGAGACTTTTTTTGGCCTAAATAATGCAAATATATCAGAATGTAAATTAACAATATGTCAAGATTTTAAGATTCAAGAGAG